TAGGCAAGTTGCATTTCATTGCTAGATGCTCAAGACCTGACATAGCTGTAAGCTGTAACCTGCTTAGCAGACATGCTAACAATCCTACTGTTCAGGATTGGAAAGCTCTGAAGCGCATAGCCCGCTATTTGAAAGGGACTATGCACTACAGGCTGAGGTTCACCAGTCAGAAGACTGGAGGTCTTGAAATTTTTGCAGATGCAAGTTTTGGAAGTGACACCACGGATGGTACAAGCACTTCTGGAGTATGCTACATGTACAACCACTGTCTGTTTGACTGGCTGTGCAAGAAGCAGACGACAGTGAGCCTAAGTTCCTGTGAAGCAGAACTCAATGCTCTGTCATTTTCACTCATGGATTGTGAATGGTTGATGCAACTGTTTAAGGACATCAGAGTTTCTGTGAAATGTCCTATACAAGTGTATCAAGACAATAGATCCTGTTTGGCTTTGCTGAACTCGGAGAGTTGCAAGCAAAGAACCAAGTACTTGCAGATTAAGCTACATCATGCAAGAGAGTGTATTCAGAAAGGACTCATTCAGGTGTCCTACATGGCAGGAAATGAAATTCCTGCTGATCTGTTGTCTAAGGTTGTTAACAGAGAACAACTTAAGGTTTACGTACAAAGGTTGCAATTGGGTTGAACCACAGGTACTACAGGTTACACGGAAAGGGGGAGGATGTTAGGATATTTCCGTTCCACCTTAAGAGGGAGCAGGCTTTGTGAGTCACAGAGTCTGCGCATTTCCTGTTCACAGGATGTTTATGTTTCCTATTGCTTTCGTTTTCTCTCTCTGTGTCTGGAGACACTGATGCAGGCAGTCATGTTTTTCTTTGTTCTGACCAACGCTGAATAAACTTGTAAATAATGCTCTCCTGCGTGCAACTTCTGCTGTGCATTATCTGCTGATAAAGAGTGTGCATCGGCTCTAGAATGTTCTGGAGCTCATGTCGCTAATTGCTGATACTGCATGTCTACGGGAGATCGATGGATCGTCCGGCAGCCGGCTTGGGGGCCATGATGGACTTTATCTCCCTGGCAGTATCCCAACAGTCTATTCCTAAGTTATGCCTCTCAATTAGTACATTACAATCATGAGTCTCATTCCACTAGGTTTCAGTAATGTTTATTATCATGTTTGTCATCCTGTATTAAGAGCTCAAGTTCATCTTGTTTATTTCCCATGTTCTATGCATTAGTATAGAGACAACTGAAACCTTGAGTCATTTCCTCCAGCTGCTTCCTTGTTTCCTCCCCTGCCCAATTGCAGGTTCCTGTAGCACTGCCCGAGTTTCCTGAAGTTACTATCCCCAGTACTTGGTGTTCCTCTGTCTTCTGAAATATTCTCTCCTCCCCATCAAGATTCAGTTTAAAACTCTCCTGATCAGATTTACGAGACTCCTAGCAAACACATTATTGCCAGCTGCTATGGGGTGAAATCTACCTCTTACTAGAAGTCTTCATGGAAGTGGATACTATGGTGCAAGAAGCCAGATAGCACCATCTGTACAACCAGTGGTATACTTCCAGTTTTTTCTCCTCTCTTCTTGGGCTATGACCTCCAATAGGAAGGAGTGATGAAATACCCACCTGTGCCCCAAAGTCCTTCAGCTTCCTACTCAGAGTCTCATATGGACCTCTACCCCAAAAATCTTGCCCTGATGGCACCAGTGAGGAGCCCTAAGATGATGCAGTCCTAAGGGAATTACTCAGGAAACCCCATGGAATGTGTTTGCACAGTAGTACCATCTTGGATGTGCATTTTATTTAACCCATCCCCCAGTTGGCTTTTGCATTTTTTTGAAATTCTGCTACTTTTAGTGGTACCCAGCCCAAATCCACTGTGTGAAGTGGCCTCTTCCCCTTGTGTAATGGCCTCCCTCATGCTCTTTTTGTTGGACTGTTTTCAGGAATGTAGACCATAGTTTTAACTCTCAAAAATAGCAAAATGATCATTCTCCGGGGAAATGGAGGATAATTATTAAAGCCATATCAAACTTGGTTCACACACGCATGCACATAATTTGATTACTCTTTCTATGCTTATTCTTTCAGAGTCCTAGCTGAATGTGTGTACTGATACCAATAATTCACATTGTGCCTGACTTGATGTGAGTCTGTTCTTTTGTGGTCCATTTAAATAAATCATGCAAGATCTCTAGTTGGGTCAAGTTTCACAAAGTGATGCTGGGACCTTCTAGGGAAGGGACTATAACTCAGCACTAAAATAGGTTTTGTGTGCATTTTCAAGGCTTGAGGTTGCTAGATTCAGTATGGACAGATTTACCTGCAGCTATGAAGAAGAGAGCTACAGTGTCTCTTACCACTGCGGCACAATTGCCTCATCTGATCAGAGGCCCATGGAGACAGGTTTCAATGCACATTAATTGGGTGCACAATTCCCCTTCTAATCTGTTATGTACTGAGTTGAATAGGATCCAAACTGCAGCAGTCTGATTGGTCCTAGAACAATAGGATCCAAAATGCAGCAGTCTGATTGGTCCTAGAACAATAGGATTCAGAATGCATTGGTCGGACAGGAGCCTAGCACAATCCAGCTCCAGATATGAAGTGAATCCACAACCTGATTGGCCTACAGGAGAATTCCAGAATTAGCCTATCACGTGCAGCCCATTGTGTAAATAATGTATACAAAGCAGATACTTTGAGGGGACTTTCATTCCCTCCTTACCACTATGAGCTGAATAAAGAGCATGAAATCACTTTGCGACTCTGAGTATATTTCATAATCCAACTGGCATGGTCCTATTAAACAATTGGCAATAACACCAAGTAGCTGTTGGGGAAGAGGAGGGGTCTGGATTTAGTCACCCCCCCCAACCTTTCTTTTCACCAACAAACTGATGGATAGCACTGCTCTACTTCTTTGTAAACCCACTGGAACCAATGCCAATGAACAAGAAAAATGCAACACTATCTATCATCCATCTATCTATCATCTATCTATCTATCTATCTATCTATCTATCTATCTATCTATTATCTATCTATCTATCTATCATCTATCATCTATCTATCTATCATCTATCTATCATCTATCTATCTATCTATCTATCTATCTATCTATCTATCTATCTCTATCATCTATCTATCTATCTATCTATCTATCTATCTATCTATCTATCTATCTATCTATCTATCATCTATCTATCTATCTAGCTATCTATCTATGTAACCATAAAGAAGAATTGGATTTTATTTCAATCCTCTTCTTCATTTTAAAAGTTCTTTAGGACAGCTGAAAGGTGTGAGCACATGCATGTTTAGTGATTTTTTCCAAGCAAATTATTATTAACAAACCATTACCGAGGCACTTGGTTTTTTTTTAATTATCAACAAGGTTTAAGATTTGGTTTCTTATAGTAAGTCTCTGTATCCTATTTAAAAGATGTGCTCAACTTCATGCCTGCTCCAATCTCAGACAGCAGGATAGGGATAGCTCCCCTCTCTCTGAAATGGGCTGCTTGTCATGATTGATGATGCTGGGTTTAGAACAAACATTGGTATGACTCAGGAAAAGTCAGCTCTTTTCAATACCTTCAGGCAGAGCAGGAGAGATAAAAGGTAAGCCGTGTGCTGTTGTGGAATCAGAAATGTTCTGCCTAGCTGGGCTGCACTCAGACAGAACCGGTTTATTCCTGTGGGGAAAGGGATGATGATCCTCCACAGAACTGCCCTGTAGAGGTTGGTTTAAATAATAATAATAAAAATTGGCATGGTTTGATTGCCTTTGTTTTAATGGTTGTCGATTTCCCTGTAGCCCAAGTCATAGGCAGTGCAATTACACCTTATTGCCACAGGAGGTCAGTGGCTGCTGAGAAATTATATATTTATCTATCTATCTAATCTCCCCTATCTTAATTTATTCTTTTTCAGTTACTACTAGTGCATGAGTATGTGGATGGGGTTTGGTATTATACACAATGGCAGTCTGCTGCTACTGCTTGAGTCTTCAGCCGATGCCCAGGAACATTGTTGCGCTTTGAGGCCTCCAAGCCCTTCCCCTGTAAATAACTTCACACTGACTCATAAATTTTGTTTAAGTTATTGGGCAAAATTTAGGCCACAACTTTATTAATTACAGCAAAGTGAGCAATATTGGCTTAGGCATTGGCAACAGACTATAACTGGTAGTCTGGCTGGTAGTCTGAAAGGGTAAACACCAAATGAGGGAGCAACATCGATGAAGATCAACTGAAGCTCACTCCAGAGTTCCTGTGGTCCTGGCAAGGCCCTAGCCCCTCAAGTGGACTTCGGATGAGATCCAGGACCCCCAGATTCCTTTATCAGAATACCCTATTTCTGGAGGGGCAGGTGATAGCCACACCTCCCCTCCCACACACTTCAATAAGCTAATGCCTAACTGCCTAACCTTACAAAGTTGTGACGAATGCTATGGGGGTAGGAAAAACCAAGTGGCTCCAGCCAATCTGCCAAATGGAAAAATTCCAAAGCAGGGCCAAAGCAGCATGACCTAAACTTAGGGAGGGAGGGCGGGTGTACGGCAGCGCGAAGCATGTGCCCCCAGTCATGTCGCGCTGCCGCTTTTATAGGACCTGAGAATCACGCCGCTTGCCCTGATTGGCCAAAACAGCCTGGCGCGATCCCAGGGCCTAACGGTTAAGATTTGGGCCACACCTATCAACAACCCACCTTGCAGGGGTGTCCTGGGGGCCCGCACGCAGCCAGGACCCTCATTAAGGAGGATCCCATTTGTACACTCTTTGGGCCCCTCCAGACATCCTCTTTATGGTGATTTCATGATGATTTGTGCTCCTGAAAGTATCAGGGCAGTTATATGTTATCCCATTTTCCCAAAGTGTGCCCGCAGATATTTTGGGGGCAGACATACTGCTTCATTTTCAGTTAGTAGTTTTGTGCTGAAATCCTGTAATATTTTATACCAGAAACATTCACAGAATCATAGAATTGTAGCGTTGGAAGGGACCACGAGAGTCATATCAAACCATTATTTTGCCCGGCACAAGGCTCGATCCCACAACTCTGAGATTAAGAGTCTCACGCTTTACCAACTGAGATATCCTGCCTTTGTTACATTTTTGTTGTGCCACAGGGCAAGAATACCTCTCAGATGGGGAAGTATCTCAGAACAGACCTAACATGTGGACAGTCTAGTACAAATATATACCACTGTTGTTGTTTAGTCATTTAGTCGTGTCAAACTCTTCGTGACCCCATGGACCAGAGCACGCCAGGCACTCCTGTCTTCCACTGCCTCCCACAGTTTGGTCAAACTCATGCTGGTAGCTTCAAGAACACTGTCCAACCATCTCATCCTCTGTCGTCCCCTTCTCCTTGTGCCCTCAATCTTTCCCAACATCAGGGTCTTTTCCAGGGAATCTTCTCATGAGGTGGCCAAAGTATTGGAGCCTCAGCTTTAGGATCTGTCCTTCCAGTGAACACTCAGGGCTGATTTCCTTAAGAATGGATAGGTTTGATCTTCTTGCAGTCCATGGGACTCTCAAGAGTCTCCTCCAGCACCATAATTCAAAAGCATAAATTCTTTGGCAACCAGCCTTATTTATAGCTCTCACATCAGGGTACTTACAAAGCATTTTTTTGGGGGGAGGATTTTTGGGCATGGGTGGGGTATTCAATCACACATCATCAAATTTAGGCTGCAGCATCACATGACCCGGAAGCTGTATGCCGGCTCCCTCAGCCAATAAAGTGAGATGAGCTCCGCAACCCCAGAGTCGATCACGACTGGACCCAATGGTCAGGGGTCCCTTTACCTTTACATAATACATTGCAGGGGTGTGTGTTGTTGTTGCTCTTGTTTTTATTATGTATTTTGTGTTTTTATGTTGTATTTTTATGTTGCGAAACGCCTTGAGATCTACGGATGAGGGACGATATACAAATGTAATATAAACAAACAAACAAACAAACACATGTTTGCACCTCTTGCACGATAAGCACACTTGCTCCAAAGACTGGACTTTTTTGTGGGGGGAGGGGAGTAATATGAAAATGTGGTGGAAGGTGTGGAATAGCACTTGCTTCTTATTTTTATTATATTAATTGCGTTTTGATCCCAATTTTATCTTCAAGGAACTCAAGGTGGCTTACATGGTGCTCCCACACCTCATTTTATTCTCACAGCAACCCTGTGAGGTAGGTTAGACTGCGGGCTCATCCACACCTACCTTTTGCCCAGCGCTTCCTAGGCAGAGGTCTGCACTTTAAAGAACTGAGTCTGAGTGTTTATCTTTTTTGCCTGGGCACTTTCCACACAACAAAATACACTCTTTAATGCTGAATCAGAACAAACGGCAATCTAGGTTTTCCAATTCAGCAGTAAAGAGCAGGTTTTCACAGGGAAAGTGCCAGGACAAAAAAAACCATGTACTTGAACATGGAGCTTTAAAGCTCAGGCCTGTGCCTAGAAACACAGTACAAAAGGAAGCCTGGATGAGCCCAGAGAGGAAGTGACTGGCTGAAGGTTACCCGGTGACCTTTCTGGTGAAGTGGGGATTTGAACCATGCTCTCCCAGATCCTGGCGTTGTGGGTTAAACCACAGAGCCTAGGGCTTGCCGATCAGAAGGTCAGCAGTTCGAATCCCCGCGAAGGGGTGAGCTCCCGTTGCTCAATCCCTGCTCCTGCCAACCTAGCCGTTCGAAAGCAAGCAGTGCAAGTAGATAAATAGGTACCACTCCGGCAGTAAGGTAAACTGCATTTCCGTGCACTGCTCTGGTTTGCCAGAAGTGGCTTAGTCCTGCTGGCCACATGACCCGGAAGCTGTACGCCGGCTCCCTCGGCCAATAAAGCGAGATGAGCGCCGCAAGCCCAGAGTCGTCCACAACTGGACCTAATGGTCAGGGGTCCCTTTACCATTACCTCCCAGATCCTAGTCCAACACTAGACCACACTGGCTCTCACTAGTCTCCCCACAAGCAAATTAGAGTGATTAATCATTAAATAGTCAATATAATCTAATCTCTCTGCAAACAAAGCAGGCTGAAGGCTCAATAAATGGGCTGCTGGGAAGCAAGTACCCTCAGTGACATGTCAAGGAATATACCTGCAGTAAAACAAAAGTTTAAATCTGGTCTGGAGGGGCCTCTGGTGTGAGGCAGCCTAACTATGAGGAGAGGAAAGGTGAGGTGGTCACCTAAGGCAATGGCCTTAGTAAGGTGTAGTGAAGATCAGCATATTTGTGGGTGTGTAGGTTTAAATCTGCCTATGAGGAAGGGGAGAACGTTCAAGAGGATGCTGAGTCTGCACCTTATGATTACACAGACCAGCGACTTTAAAGCGGTAACATCTTGGAGAACTGGAACAGTGTGTGTGTTTGTGGGGTGGAGGTGGTTAATGGGGTGGGAAGGTTATTGTGACCCCAGGCAATTCTTTTGGGTGCCACAGATTTTGTGTTGTTTTTTTTGGGGGGGGGGAGTTTAAAAAATAATAGGGAGGTGTGTCATGTAGATGCACCGTCAGGCTGAAATCCACACTAGCACAAATCCGAAAGCCATTTGCACATTGCATGTGTGGTGCTGCACGTAATCTGTACTGCAAAGAGCTACTGACTGTATTAGCAAAGTCTGCATTGCATCAGGAGGAGCAGTGTTGCAGCAACCTGGGTAGTCGCATGACACACTGCTCCTCTGAAACAAGGATATTATGACATGGGATGGCTCATTCTGCAACAGGACAAAGTCTTATTAGGAGACCTTAAAGGCACCGTGTCATCTGAGCCGAGACACTACAATGGGGAAAGGGCCTTCCCAGTGGTGGTGCCCCATTTGTAGAAGGCTTCTTCCAGGGCTGCTCACCTTGCATCTCTCCTGATTCCTCTCCAGTGCTAGATGAATACCTTTTTTTATCTTCCCAATTTTGTCTTTGTTTTGTGCTGCTTTTATCTGCATTTTTAAAAAAGCTAGTTGTTGTTTTCCTCTGTATTTTATTCTTTAATTTTAAGCTAATATTTTTTAGTGAATTCTTCAAATCAAACCTGGGGTATCTGTGGTCCTTCAGATGCTGTTGGACTCCCAGTTGCAGTCAGCATGGCCCATGATGGCTCACCCTATCTGGCTGCTTTAGCCTGATGTGGCGCACAGATACGTTTGCACCGTAGCAATTGAGGCGCTTCCTGTGCAGGGTACGTGGCAGATCCACACAGCTCTGCTTTGTTTGGTTCCACAAACTCCTCAACAGTCTGCAGAACTGTTACATTTGCACCAGAGCTTGATGGGATGGGGTTGTCCTTCCGGTCTTCGGGTACTCTGTAATGTGCTATTGATAGCTGTGCTTCTCTCATCACTCTGATGCATCTTGCCCTATGTGGGGCACTGAGCAAAGGCTGGAGAGGAGGACTGAGGTCGAGGGGAATCATTCAGCCATGAGAGACAAGTGGCAAGGTTCAAGAGAAGGAGACTGTTGTGACAATGGCCAATGCTGAACTAAAGAATTCGTTCTGGCTTGCTGAGTAGTCAAATCTGTACCCCATGCAAAAAATGTTAAGTAGTTCTTGGCTAGGCGCTGTGTCATGGTGGACCTCCATGTGAATGTTCTGAACCTGCAGCTCACAGAGTAGTGAGAAGCCTCAGATGGTTGGTGAGATAGCAAAGTAGCAGATACAGTGGTACCTCAGGTTAAGTACTTAATTCGTTCCGGAGGTCCGTTCTTAACCTGAAACTGTTCTTAACCTGAAGCACCACTTTAGCTAATGGGGCCTCCTGCTGCCTCCGCGCTGCCAGAGCACGATTTCTGTTCTCATCCTGAAGCAAAGTTCTTAACCCGAGGTACTATTTCTGGGTTACCGGAGTCTGTAACCTGAAGCGTATGTAACCTGAAGCGTATGTAACCTGAGGTACCCCTGTATATTAAATAGTTTGAACACAGTTGTGCATTACATCAAGAGTGGACTGATTAAGTGATGCTGTAGATATTACATTCATTACTGAGTAATTGAAGGAATGAGAGAGAGGTTTCTTAGAATGTCAGTATACTGTTATGTATTGATCTTTTACACACAATTTTATATGCAATTTTGTATTGTATTTTTTTCAGAATAAAGGCAAATTTAAAAATTATACAAATGTGTATCTTAATGCCCTCTGCAGGGACGGTGTGTTTTTTTTAAAAAATGATATTTATTAAAGTTTCAAAGAAAAGATTACATAGATAAAAAGAAGAAAAAAAGAAAAAGAAATAAAAAAGAAAAAATACAAAATACAGAAAAAAGATAAAAAACACTTAAAAAACACATCGATCTTTCCATACCTTACATTTCATTTCCTTACTTCCCTGACTTCCTCACACCTCCCTTTTTTGTATTCCAGTTCTATTAGTTAATTCAGCAATTCCTTTCCCTCTTTGTTTTTGTCTTAATCCTTTAACTTAATATATTATAACTTTAGATTCTCACCTGTTAACAATCCATTTTTACATACACCTTTATATCATTGCTGCTAAAACCACTTAACTTCATTCTGACATCATTCTAACAGGCAGGGACGGTGTTGAGGTACCACTGTACCAAGGAGCTATGAGCCCTTATGCTGGAGAATAGAAGCAGTGGAGAAAATAATTCCCTTTTCCAGGTTTCTGACAATAGCACTTATGCTTCGTTGCTGCAGAACAGTAGCAAGGATCCAGGAAGAAGCTGCTTTTCAGCTTCAGAAACAGCCTTTATATTGGATCAGATTTAAAAGCAAAACCTTGCTTGTTGTCAAGGATAAAAAGAACCCTACATTATTTTTTCATGGGGCAGGAGTGTTACTAGTTATGCTGAGGTCTCAGTGAAGTGATTTCTTTTCTAATCATCTAAATTTCTTCATAGCATGAGTCACTTTATTTCCTGTCCTAAGCTACTAACTAGTACTACTGGTTGACACACTCTGTTTCCCGTCCTAGAAATGGCTGAATTACAGCCATTTGTGAAACGATATTTGAGTTTGATCGACACAGACTGATGTAGCTGTATGGCCTTTTTGTTCATATGGCTCCCTGCATTTGGGAAATGTAATGTGCTGAATGTATTGGAGAAGATTTACTGAGCATTTTAAAAAATGTTTGGGGGGAAATCCGAGGCAAGCCATTAAAACATGTTTTACAGCTTCAAGAACAGTTAAATCAAAGGAATCAGCTGCCAAATGAAGTTGTGTAATTGCTATCACTAGAGATTTGTCAAGGCTAAGTGTGCGCGTGCGCATGAGTGCGCGTATCTGGGAGAGTATGAAATCAGTCTTGCCGCAAAGTGAAATGAGATTAAATCATTTGCCATTGGCATATCCCTACTGAAATAATTTCCTCGGTGCTGCTGACCTTATACCAGCCTGAGCTGCTTCGGCAAAGGGGTGTCCAGATAGCCAAGAGGATTATGTCCCTAACCTCATCCTTCTTTTCTTTGCCTTCCCTCCATCCTTTCAAGTCGGAATAAAATGAAGCACATGTGAAAGGCAAGGAAAATGGAGCCCAGATTGATGTGACCTTTATTATTTTAACAGCATCTTTCAGCACAATTTACAGAGTTGCAGGGCTGCAAGGAACAGAGTTGGAGTATAAAATAACATAAATAAATAGAAGAGGAACCAAGGAGGTCAGCAAAAAACAGTTGGAATCAGGCAATGAAGGGTGCATGAAGGGTTGAGATTGGTCAATGCCTTTATGCTTCAGCCACCAAGGTTGAGAATTCTGGAGGAAAAAGAGAGAGGAAGAGGAGACAGTCAAGTCTGAACCCTACGAGGGCTGTGATGAAAAGGACCAGCCTCGTTGTTCATGTCTTCTGAGATCCAGTTGTCAAATCACCAATTTCACTGGTGTCAGGAACACAATAAGGGAGTAAATGTTTTAAGGCAGTCTGCACCAAACTGATCCCCTCTCCAATGTTTTGGACTAAAACTCCCATGATCAGCCCCAGTCAGCATAGTTGTGGGGCCTAGAGCTGATGGGAGTTGTAGTCCAAAGCATCTGGAGGTGGTAGGTTTTATTTCTCTTTACTCAGTCAAAAAGCACTTATTTCACTTTGTCGTTTCCTGACAATTCATAGAATTGTAGAGTTGACCGAAAGGATTATCTAGTCCCACCCCCAGTTAAGTTGCCAGGATGGGATGCAAGAGATTTGGAATTGTTAGGTCTGTACACAGCTCCCACCCTGCAAGCTGGGCTGACCTGGGGGAGCTTCAGTCTGCATCGACCTGAGGGCTGGGCTAATGTTTAATTAGGGTTCACAATTAAACATATGGTCAGGCAAGGAGCAGGGTGGGGAAGGAGATGCAGCCTCTCCCCATCACCACCACTGTGCTGAGAATAGGTCGGTTGAATCCTGGAGAGTGGTACTTCACAAGTACCTTCTCTGCAGGGAAGCCACTTCTGAAGGAGTACCCTGTAGTCCACAGGATTGAATTTTTCGGGGGGCCTGCATCTCCACAGCATGTTCCTGTGGGTTTTGTGTGTGCCTCACTTTCTCCTTGGTTTCTCAGCTGTTCTCCTTACCTCTGTGGAATCTTAGGGCAGAAGTGTTCCCACACACACCACCCAATTCAAAGCAACCAGGAAAAGGTTAGAGACCATAGCTCCTAACAATATTGACACCCCCATTTCCTAGTCACTATGCAAATCGAGAGGCCCATCTAGACTGACTTTTATTGGCTTGCTTAGAGATCTGTTTGGAAGGGCCACCTTAGTAGATCGCCATCTCCTTCTTGGACTCGTTTTTGCCTCTTAATGGCCATGGAAGACTGCCAGATCAGCACATGACATGTCTCCCTCTGTTCCTATGGCCAAAGACACAACTGAAGTGCTGGCTCTGGGACACATGCCAACTCCTGTTTCTAGTACACCAATATGACCTAGATTTATGAATCATGCATTTCCCCTGGTATGCTTCATGGAAAGAGGTGATGGCACAAGAATACAAACATGGTCACAGTAGAGCCAGAAGGGTGGAGGAAGGTGTCTTTTTTGCAATGTATGCATATACCTAACACATATACCTACATGCTGTCCTGGCAGTTTAATCAACAGCAGGAATCTAAAGCCATGTCCCTTTGCTTTACTTCACATTCTTCACCCTCAGCTGTGGGTAGCAAAGGTGGCAATGATGCTAAATTGCCAACTGCATGTGAACTGGCATTAGCTCTTTGCTCAGACCCTTTGGCAGCTGCTAGGACCCACTGGTGCTGACACCTGCCCTGGGCTGCCTGACTTGGTCTAGGAGCCACATTTTTAGTTTCCTCCAATGCCCACAATGTAGCAGTGCTCTGTGGGATATTTTATGCAGTCAAAACAACAATACATGTTTTGCCAGATAGGCACATGAAAGGGCTGAGGCTCACAGAGCTTTCCTGTAAACTTGCTAGAGAGAACTCTGTGAGGTCACTTCCCTTGTGCCCTGACAGGCAGAATCAGCAAGCAAAGACCACAACTTTAAGCAGTATTTCAGATGCCCAGATAGTGCATGATAAGGAGAGTGATACCACAGCCCAGATTCATGAGAGTCTGGAAGTTTCATATGGATTTGCAAACAAATAATGAAGGATTTGCTTAAACTGAGACTGCATTCTAAGACAGATTATGCTAAACATGTGACAGAGTTCTTGAGAGAGAGGAGAGATCCAAAGCAGACACTCTGGGGCATTGTAGGAAATTAAAATGGTGGCTAAGACATGATTCTGCTGCCATTGCCAAGTAAGCTTGTCAGGACTTGTTGGGCTAGGAGGAGGCCCATCACACAGTGCTTTGTCAAGGTTCCCCTCATGTCTGAAGTCAGCTGTACTTTTTCCCTGAAGCCTGGCTTTTCACCCAAGTCCCATCACTTTAGACTAGCATTTGTCACCTTCTGATAACTGTACCCCACTTTTGTTCTGGATTCAAAATGGAGATACACCTCACCCTTATACCCAGGAGACTCTTTAGACAATGACAGAATGAGAGGAACTCACTCTCTGAGGTATATGTTTGCATGATTGATTGTTCTGCCCCAAAGGATGTGTACCCAAAGCCACGACTCTTGCAGCGATACAGTGGGTAGCCTTCTGCAAAGAGAGGTGAGTGTCCTGCTGCACCTTTGCAGTGGAAATGATTGCACTTGGGAAGACAGGCGAACTAACATCAGTGTACTGGAAGAAGCAAAGATCACCAGTGTTGAAGCAATGATTCTTCAACATTATCTTCGTTGGACTGGTCATGTTGTGCAGATGCCTGATGATCGTCTTCCAAAGCAACTACTCTATTCCGAACTTAGAAATGGAAAGCGCAATGCTGGTGGTCAACAAAATAGGTTTAAAGACTGTCTCAAGGCAAATTTTAAAAATGTAGTATAAACATTGACAACTGGGAAACACTGGCCCACGAGCGCTCCAGTTGGAGAACAGCCTTTACCAAAGGTGTCATGCGCTTGGAAGACGCTCAAACTCAGGATGCAAGGGAGATACGTGCTAAGAGGAAGACACGCTTGGCAAATCCACACCGTGATCAACTCCCACCCAGAAACCAATGTCCCCACTGTGGAAGGACATGTGGAACCAGAATTGGCCTCCACAGTCACTTACGGACTCACTGTTTAAACCATGTTTATGGAAGACAATCTTACTTGGCTAAGAGTGATCGCCAAAGAAGAAGAAGAACTTCCAGTGCAATGATGTGGCAGAATGACTGCTTGGAAGGAGATGGCAGAGACGCAGTGGACAACCACCTTGGAAACTAGATGTCTTGGGGCAACAGGAGTATCAAATTACTGAATTAACATCTTTCTTGTGTCTTGTTTCTTGTGTTTCAGCATGCATTTTGAAAATCATTCCTTTTCAATGCATGGTTGTTCTTGGTATTATTTCTGACCCGCTGGTGTTACACTTGAACTCTCCAGGGCAAAGCACCTACCATCAACACCGATTTTGCCATCTCCATCCTTATCTCCAGCGGCCAAGAATTCCTTGGTTTCTTTATCAGTCAGGTCCCTGGCATCAGGGGTAAAGCCCTTCAATACAAACCTATCAATGAGAAGAATGGGGGAGGGGGAGAGGAAGCTAATTCATGAGGACTCTTGAGTTACCCAGTTTTTAAATTTCATGCGTGTAGCACATATTTGCTATCTAAATGTACAGACAGCTTTTCCTCTGAAAGGTGCTCCAAAGTGGTTCAAAGCACAGAATAAAAACACAATCAAACATAATTTTGTTCCGTTTTTAAAACATTTCACAATAAAAAAGTAGGGCAGCACTAAAAATGGCAGAACAGGAATTAAGCCATATGTAAGGGTCAGGTAGAGCAAATGCACATCCACCAGATACTGAAAGGCCTTGGGGTTTGTACTGCAGGTCTATTTGGTGAAGGAACACCACACTTCAGGCATAATCATAAAAATAAAACAAAATACCAATTTCTGGCCACAGGTGGCATCACTTCAGATGATGGTGGCATCTGGAGCAACATCTCAATTTATAGGGGTGTGTGTTGTATATGGGATAAGTTTCAAAGGGCTTTCAAGGTCAAAACTAGTGCTTGAATTTAGCCCAGAAGCAGACTAGTATAAAGGTAGCCAATGTGGTGCCTTCCAGATGTCAGAGTACAACTCTCATAACCCCTGTCCATTGGCTACCCTAGGTGGGGATGATGAGTGTTGTTGTCCCACAACAACTGGCTACTCCTGGACAAGGAACTAGTGGAGCTTTCAGAGGATCAGTGTTACACCATGCCCCCCCCATGGATAGTACCATGTAAAGGTCACACTGCCTCCTTCTGGACCACCTGATGTTTCCAAATTGTCTTCAAGAAGAGCCTCATAGAAGGCATATTCCTATAGTCAAGCTGAGTGGTTTACTATAACATGCATAACAATGGCTAAGTCCCTGGTCTCCAGGAAAGGGTACAGCTGGCAGATCAACCACAGGTGAGGGAACACGCTCCTGGCTAGAGTTGTCACCTGAATATCTGGAGCTAAGAGCGCCCCTTAACCTGCAAACTTAAGGAGGGGTGCGACCCTTTTCACAAAGCAGCATTTCCCCCAAGAACCACCATCAACACCTCTACCTCTGCCTTTGCCTTGCCTGGATTGAGTTGATTTGCTCTCATTCTGTCCGTTACTGAGCTCAAGCACAACAGGCTAACATGGAGAGGAACAGTTGGCCCTGTCCTGCCTTGTGAGGGTGACCTTCCTAATGTCGCTGAAAGAGAGGAAATTGTCACATGAGGCTGCTTCAGGTGGAAGAGAGTCTCACAAGGGAAAGCTCTATTTCAGATGCTTCAGCAGTTATTTCAAGCCACGTTACAGATTCTTTCCATCCGTTCTCTTTTGAGAATACTCTTCTTTTTAAGTGCTTACTTCATGAGCTCAGCCCTTGCAAGCAGGGCTGTAACTGGGTGGGGGCAAGGGCTGCAAGACCCCCTCAGGGGATAATCCAGATCCCCTTCCTTGAATTTTCATCTTTCATCTAAAAAATAAAAAGGCTAAAGCCCTCTTACTTGCAAAGATATAAGGGAAAATAACATGCAGGCAATATTTGATCCAGTAAGAAGGCAGACAACTCCAACCCAATCAGCACTTGATACTGACTTTTTAATTTTTTTCTATTAACATGAAATGTTATTAAAATGTTTAAATAAATTTAGGCTGCAGTCCTAAACAGTAAGCCTGATTTAACTCAATGGACTTACTTCTAAATAGGCTAAATTTAGGCTGGAGAAGAAAAGACTGAGAGGGGAGACATGATGACACTCTTCCAATACCTGAAGGATTGTCCCACTGTAGAGAACAAAGACTTGTTTTCCAGTACCTTGGAGGGCAGGGCATACCTAATGGGCTTCTGTGAGATGAGGGTAGATTTTGGTTGATCATTAAGAGAAACTTCTAAAAAGCAAGAACAGTTTGATGTTGAAACTAAATACTGGGGGTGGGAGTCTCCCTCCCCAGAGGTCTTCATGCAGAAGCTGGACATCCAACTCCTGGAGATGCTCTTGCTTTGGATTTCCAGCCTCAAGAAGGTTGGGCAAGATGGCCTACAAGATTCCTCCAAGTATATGATTCTTTGACATAGGACTTGAATGGAGAACCTTTGGCCCTCCAGAAGTTCCTGAACTACAACTCCTATCAGCCCCACCAAGCATGGTCAATGGCTAGGGATGATGGGAGTTGTAGTTCAGCAACATCTTGAGGGGCAAAGGTTCCCCACACCTGATTTAGGATTACCCTTAGGACGAGAGCCCTTAGGATGACTTAGGATGTAACCTTAGCCTTTCTTCCCCCATGTCTGGCTACAGAACTGAATTTAAAATCACCGGCTCTTACTCTTGGTTGAGCTCTTGGATCTGCATTAGTTGTATTTCACCAGTCAAGAACATTGAATAAACTTAGCTTATCCTGGTTGGACAAGTGACAACAATTTTTCATAAAGCAGGCCTTATCACAAAACAAGATATCCTTTTGGGTCCTAAAATGGCACTTAAACAGCTCAGAACCACTTGCAATACCTAAAGGATTGCCTCTCCCCATATAAACCACCCCAGACCCTGAGATTATCATCAGAGGCCCTTCTTCATGTGCCTCCTTCACAAGAGGAACATGAGTTTTCTGCAGTGGCTTCCCAATTGTGGAATGCTCTCTGCAAGGTTTGTCTGGCACCTTCATTATACACCTTTAGGTGCCACACAAAAATGTCCCTTTTCAGCAAGGCCTTTGGCTGATTAACATCCTACATCATTTAAATGTGTGTGTTTTTCGTGTGTGTGCTATTGGCTTGTTTTGTTCTTGTTTTTATTATGCACTTTATGGTTTTATTCCTGTGAACCACCCTGAGATCTTTGGATGAAGGACAGTATACAAATGTAAACAAACAACTATTTAGAAACTGTTCCACAACTTTCCCACAAGGATCTCATTACTCACCTGATGACTGAGTTTGGCTTACTATTGCAAGGTATTGGAAGACACTAAATGCAGACTTACTGCATTTGAGTTCTGAATCTCACAACTCTGGGACTTACCGGTAATATTACTGGAGAAACTGACAACCCTTGTCCAAGAGAGTTGAACAGAAAAGAAAACTACTACTTTCTGATTAACCTGGCATAGTTTTATTACATTGTTGTTGTTTGGTCATTTAGTCATGTCCGACTCTTTGTGACCCCATGGACCAGAGCACGCCAGGCACCCCTGTCCTCCACCACCTCCCACAGCTTGGTCAAACTGTTTTATTACATATGCAACATCAATAGAACATTGTTATAGGCTTCCAAGGATACATGGCAACCTGTGGAATGTTACCTTTGATTAAAAACTGAAATGACTTAAAAGTTTGGTGCTTCTGCTGGGGGTGGGGGTGATGGTTGATTGTTGATTGCTTCTCCTTGTATAAATAAGTGAAAACAAAATATTTTGAGGGTGGGGAGCAAAAATATCAATTAATGTTTATGTATGGGGGCATGTGGATATTGTCTTTTCTGTTGGCTGATATTAGTCATATGATGGCTGGTAGCTTAACATCTTCTGTGCATATATTGATATGACCAGATGCTGAAATGTTTAAGACCAGTCCATGCTGCACATTATTTCTACAACCCATATTTTAGTTGGTATATGAGAGGAACACAAATCTTTCCTTACTTTAGTTCATCCTCCTCAATGTAACCGCTTTTATCTTTGTCCAGAATGTGGAAACATTTCTTCACATCTTCTTTGCTCTTAGCTTTCAATCCCACCAGCTGAATGAACTTCTTGTAGTTAAAAGAATCGGCAGCTGCAGGAAGATGGAGAATTGAAGAGGGCACCTCAGTTTTAGAGTGGCTGACAAGGCACTTTAGCAACCTTAACTCTGTAAACAGGCCCATTCATCTTTCACTTTTCAGATGGCATGGGGTTGGTTAATTCATGCCTGCTCATTGGTAGTGACAGCAACAACACCAGTGGATGCTTGCATGTGCGAATGGGCCACCGTAGGTCTGGCACCACAAATCATTTCAAACGCAGTGCTTTCCAGTGGAGTCAGTTCACGCATTCTGTGGCAGGCAGCTAAGTACAGAGAAAATTATTATCTATATCGGAGCAGGAAATAGATCTGTTTGAAAGGCCAGCTCCTTGTCTCTCCCACCCTGTGGGCCTAGTTTGACAAGTGGGCAGCTCTGCTCACCTGTCATTCACCCAATGTCACAATGACATCAGGTGATCCATTTTGGCCTCTGGTGACAATCAGTTGATTGTCAGGCCTTGCAAAGTGCCTGCAATTTGTTGTTGGAGCTTGCAAAGCACCAGAGAATTCATATGCATAGATTCCCTTCTCTCCCTGTTGACGGAGGCGCAACTAAGTATCAGAGAGGATTACAACAAATATGTCTCCTTTCTTCAGTTATGGAGCTCAATAGCAGGATCCTTGAGAGTCCCAAGTAGTGTTCTATCCAAATAGTGAATAGAACCAGAGCTTCTAAGCTTTAGCAAAGTTGCTGCATTGTCTAACATCATGGACATAACTGGGAAACTGCACCAGAATGACTATGGTAATCTGGAAGGTAACTAGTTTCTGCCCTACACCTATCCCCCTTGGGGCTGTTGAGAAAATAATAGAATTGTAAAGTTGAAATGGACTCTGAGGGTCATCTAGTCCAACCTCCTGCAATGCTGGAATATTTTTGCCCAGTTGGGGCTCGAACCCACAACCCTGAGATTAAGAGTTTCATGCTTGATGTGCCACAAATGTCTAACAGAGGTCTGTGTGAGCTGGGAACCTAGAAGAAATATTTGTGGGCTAGTCACTTTTGTGGCCGAGAGTGGTGGAAATTACTGATTTTATTATAGCATTTCTGTCCTGTGTTTCCCAATGGTTTGAAGCAATTGGACATCATGGGCTGGGTGGTGGGTGAGAGATACAACTTAAATATAAGCCAAGGGTGACTTTGACTTTATTTGGAAGAGACTCCCAGAGGTATTCTAGCTCATTGGCCCGGTTTTATCCTCATCCACAACCAACACACACATTTCAGGAACCAAGACTGACATTTTTCTGGTCCTCGCTGGCTGTCCATGAGACAGGCACATTTGTAAAGCAGAGACAGGACAGAAAAGACAGGCTTTTGAAAAAGGGTGACTCGGGTAGCTCTGAATGTGGTATGACCTGGGAGCAAGGGGTGGTGGAAGACACAACATTTCAAACACACCTCCCTCCCCTAAGCATCACTGTAGCAGCCCTGCTGCCAGGGAAGACAACAGAGGCCTGCTGTTTTGCTTGTCATATTTTGAGTCTGTCACCTGCCCTGCACACCTAAGCAGCGGGGTGGTGGAGGAAGTGGAAGAGAGATAATAAATAGCCCCACAACTCGTAGTCAGGTGTGCTGATAGATCAAGGTTTTCTCCAAAGGCTTCCCCCCCTTATCATTCCTTGGTATGCATATTATTTAGGGCAGTTACCCAGAGACTGCTGTAGCACAGCACAGTGTTTCTTTTTCTCACTCTTGCAAATAAAGGACATCAGAAGCTTAAACGCTTCTGAAATGAAACTTCGAGACCCGTCTCGCCAAGGGCTCTAAATCCGGGGGAGGCGCTAGGGAAATCGAACGCAGTGACCTCTAAGAAGTGCCCTGATTAGGCCGGCCTCCTTTGATGTGGGCAGCAGCCTTTGTCCGCCGCTGCATGCAAATCAAGAGAGAATCAATGAATGAAAAAGAGGGAGAGAGGAGCGGGGTGGGGAATCAGCCTGGTCTTCATATTGGCCCGTATTTCCCGCGGGAGCCAGACTTGCGAGAGCAATGAAGTGCCAAGGACTAAAGCGATTTGCAGACCAGCTCGCCTTCCCTTCGAGTTTTGGGCTGCTACTGCGATGAGTTTCCTTCCGAGCTCAGCCCTTGGCTTGGGCGTTCTCGGCAAGGTCGCCGCGTGAGAAGGAGAAGGAGGCAAAGAGGACATCGTAGTGGTTTAGGGTTGGGGGGGGAGGTGGGTTGTAGCATGTACATTCGGGTCGAGGCCAGAAATGTCCTGTTGGTTGGAAGTTGCTTAGAACACAGATAGCTGGGCAAAGCAACTATCTTGTGCAGGCGCTAAGCTTCGGAGAGCTACAGACACCTGGGAAAGGTGGATCTGGCCTAACTGGGGTGTCTCTGCCTTGTGATCCTGGTTTTGCATGCCCACATGTTTGAGGGTATCATGGATTGCAGAGTTGGAAGGGTCCCTGAGGATCATCTAATCCAACCCTCTGCAATGCAGGGATATGCAGCTGTCCCATACAGGGATCGAACCTGCAACCTTGGCGTTAGTGTGCGTATGTGTGTGGACAGGGCCGAATTAAAGGTTTCTCTGTTTAGTTCTGTCATTGCAAGCTGCCTTACACGGAGTCAAACCATTGGTTCTTCGAGCTCAATATTGTCTACACGGACTGGCAGCACAGACAGGAATTTCGCCCAGATTTACCTGGAGATGCCGGAGCAAGCACCGACCCTGGGACCTTCTGCAATCAAGGCAGGCACTCTAGCCACTGAGCTATGGCTCTTCCCAGGCCAATGATCTTCACTGACCTTTATTCAGACCCTCACCTTTCTTCCATAAGGGAACCCAAAGCGGCGTAGATGTGGCTCCCAGGAAGTCTCCTCCAACCCAGGCACTGGCCAGACCCTGGCTTGCTTAGCTTCAGCAAGGCGGTGACCTCACATGCCTCCAGACCCTGACTTGGGACCGAAGGCGTGCTTCCAAGGAGGGAGCTGTCCGAATGGGAAATGGGAAGGTCCCTGCCTCACATCTAAGCAGTGGGGCTGCCAAATCCTGCAGCCGGGGTGGGTGGTGGATCGAGACCCTTGAGTTAACCCTGTCCTGCCCACAGTCCTGAACCGTGGACGGCAGCTTGCATGTTCAAAAAGCGGGGAGGAAGCCTCTCTTGCAGGCGAAGTTTGGACCTTTGCAGCCACCACACCCGCAGCCCCGCATGACTGAAACCCACGGAATATCTTTAAAAAGTTATGCATCTTGAAAAGCAGACACAAGCAGAGCAAGGGATGCGAGTCCTTGGAAAGATGGATAAAGAGGGGAGGTCGTAGCTGGGGGTGGGGGGTGGGGTGCCGCCTTGCTGCCAGAAGGGCTCCAGATTACTCAGGGCTCCCTATGCCAATCTTTGGGGCTGTCCAAAGGTGGGGAGTTCTCCGCTAGCTGCGGCGCAGAGCCCTCCCGCAGTGGATTCTCCGGGATCTTAGCGGTAAAATCAACGAAGCATTGCCTTGCCTTGCTAGAGGTGTTCCGAGGAAGTTAGCAAGCAGAGGAGGACGTGAGCCCCGGACTTGGACCGGCTCAGATTGGCAATCTGCGCTTGCAAAACCCCAACCGCCCCCTTCTCTCCGCATCTCCTTGGGCCGGACTTTGGAAGATATGCGTCCCACTCTCCGCAATGCCTCCCCCAACCCCCCCCCCGCCACCCCATCTATCCCGCCGGTACTTGGAAGTCTCCGGCGTGGCTCACCTGCAAAGGCTGCCACCGCCTTCTTGATATCGTCAGCGCTGAGCACGTCAGTCATCGCCATCCTTGCAACTGTTGGGAGGGAAAGTGCCAAAAGATTTAAGAAGAAGAAGACGGGAGAGGAGGGTGTGGGGAGGGGGGCGGAAAGCGAGGGAGGGAGGGAGGGGGGAGTGCCCTCCTCATCATTTCTGCTCATATGACCAAAACTGCAGTGCCGGGCGGGGATGGCACACCGGGAGAAGGGCTGGAGGGGTGCCAGCTACAAGCAGAAGCAGCAGCAGCAGAACGAAAAGAGCCACGAGGCTGTGTGTATGTGTGTGTGTGTGCATCTCTCTGCCAGACGAGCACCAGTTTGCAAAAAAAGAGAGGGGCCGGTGCAGGCTAAAGGGGTTGTGGCCGGGGCAAGAGGTTTGGGTACTTTCTCTGCATCCGCAGTCCCAAGTAGCACCTGGCGTGGCGGGAAAGAGTTGCAGACAGGAAGCGAGAGACAGTCATGTCAAGGTCAACCTGTCGGCCGGTCCAGGGAAAAATAATGTGGTGGGACAAAAAAACCAGAGGAAGACAGGACTGCCTTTGGAGCATCTCTTGATGGAGATGGGAGGGATGGCGATGTCTATAGACACATCCCTATCTTGAATGGGAGGGTTTCTAGATTTATATCTAGGACTGGAGCGATATCTATCTATAGATAGATGAAAGCTAGGATGAAAGGGGTGGCTATCTATCTAGGATGGGAGGGATCTATCTACAGTGGTACCTCGGGTTAAGAACTTAATTCGTTCCGGAGGTCCGTTCTTAACCTGAAACTGTTCTTAACCTGAAGCACCACTTTAGCTAATGGGGCCTCCCACTGCCGCTGTGCCCCCGGAGCACGATTTCTGTTCTCATCCTGAAGCAAAGTTCTTAACCCGAGGTACTATTTCTGGGTTAGCAAAGTCTGTAACCTGAAGCATCTGTAACCTGAAGCATCTGTAACCCGAGGTACCACTGTATATCTCTATATACATCTAAGATGGAAAAGAGCTATGTCGAACTATCATCTATCTATCAGCTATCTCTAAAATATATAGCTGCATCTAGGTTGGGACTGATACCTCTGTCCTGGATGGGAGGGAGGGATGTAGGATGTATCTCTAGGTTGAGGGCCATAGATTCTCCTCTCCTTCCTTCCCAATGAATCCTCACAACAAATCCATAAAGTAGTTTTGTGGTGGAGCTTAACTCTCCCCCCCCCCGGTTGTTTTTTTTAAACAGAGCTTACTGATTGGCCAAAGTTCACTATCACTGTGAAGATTTGAACCCAAGCCCTCCAGTCAAAGTCCCCCTGCTCTAAGTAGGAGACTTTGTTTATTGATTCTAGAGAAAGGAGAGGATTTCTGCAGGTATAGCTTTCCCCCAGCCCTGCACACCTTTCCAAATCCCTCTTTCTGCACAGTTATATAAAGTACAACCCCACCAACACCACCTGCTTCTTCCCATCCAGTCACCTTGCGGTGGTTCCACCTGTTAGCAAACCAGCAATGGAAACGGTAGAAAACCTACAGGTGAACAACAGCATCTCCCGTGTGCTCTAGGATCCAAACCGCTATCCTGGACTGAGGCGTAAAACCCCACTGAATACAGTGTGGCTTCCTTCTGAGTAAATATGCATAGCATTGGGGTTCACAAGAGTCTACTACTTCATAGGCTTGTTGGATCATGCCAAGGGATCTATCTCGTTCAGCATTCAAACAGTGAATAAACCATGTGTTTCTAGGAAGTTCACAAACAGGGCATGGAGACATTTGTCTCGGTTGCCCTCCAGCAGCTGATATTGAGACAATTTGCTTCTGGTCATAGAGGATCTGTTGAGTTATCTTATCATGGCTAATAACCATGAATTTCATCCATTAATTTGTCCTTTTCAAAGCCCACATCCTGTGGCAGAGGGTTCCACAGGAATCTACTCACATTTACTTTCATTAGGTGTCATTGAGTTCTAATATGACAAGAAAAATGTCTCCCTATGAAACTTACTTGCCAAGAAAACTCCATGGACATAAAAAAGGAGAAGCTTTGAGAAGAAAGTGAGAGTTTCCAAGGCATGCTCTGGTTCATGGGGTCATGGAGAGTCGAAAATAACTAAGATGACTAAACAACAACAAATGCACTTACTGCTCACCACTCAAGATTTTAAAAATATTGACCATGCAACCACCCTAAACTTATACTAAAAAGCTCAGAATGGTTTAGCCTTTGCTACTAGGGTAGGTTCAGAAAAGGGCAATCAACTCCTTAATAATCATGGCTGTCCTTCTCTGCATCTTTCTCAGCTATAGGATATCTTTTTTTAGATTAAGTGATCAGAAGCCCATGTGATACAGTATTTCAGATGTGCTATAGATTTTTATAAACACAATATGAAACACAGCATTTGATTTTCAATCATTTCCTAATGACCCCCAACACAGAGGGTAACATTCAACTAATGTTTACTCAGAGTAGACCTATTGACATTAATAGACCCAAATTAGACATGGCCATTGGTCATTAATTTCAGTGGGTTAAAGTTAGCTGAATACAACTCAGTATTTGATTTTTTCAAAACACCTACTGCTCACTGAGTGACATATCCACCAAAACATCAATATCTTTTTTCTTGATGAGTGGCAGCCAGTTCAGAACCATCCCATGTATACAAAATCATAGAATCATAGAATCTTAGAGCTGGGACCCAAGGGTCATCTAGTCCAACCCCGCTGCAGTGCAACTACAGCATCCATGACAGATGGCCACCCAACCTCTGTTTAAAAACCTCCAAGGAAGGAGTGTTCACAACCTCCCAAGGGAGAGTGTTCCACTCTTGAACAGCTCTTACTGTCAGAATCTCCTTTCTTGTAACTTGAAGCCATTGGTTCGAGTCCTACCTTCCAGAGTAGGAGAAAACAAGCTTGGAAGTGTATATCATTGTTTTTTTGACCATAGTTTCCTTTTCACCCAACTTGGAGAGCTCTTCCTGTCTGCCTGGTTCTCTGATAGCAAAGAGCTCTCAAAACTGGGTGAGAAAGAAACAGAAATTTACTCCGCCCCCAACTGCAAATAATCTGCAGACCTGCCCATCTCATTACTTAACTCATATCATATCATTTATAAACAGATTAACTCTTTTCTTTCTTTACTACTTTTATAAATTGCCCTTCCTCCGAAAGGAACACAGGGTAATGTAGAATAAAAGATAAGACAGCAAGACACATCAGTAAGTAAAGCACATACGCACACAGCAATCTCAGCGTTTCAGTGTTAAAACAACAAAATATTGATCTGCAAAGGTATCATCCCTAAGCCACTGTGGGGTAGTGGTTAGAGGTTCAAATCCCCCACTAGGCCACAAAGCTCAGTGTGTGATTGAGCTGTAAAATAAATAAAACATTATTAAAGCTGGGTGACCTTGGGCCAGTCACTGCCTCTCAGCCTAACCTACCGCACAGGATTGTTGTGGGGATTAAATGAAGAAGGGAAGAACCATGTATTCCACCTTGAGCTCCATGGAGAAAAGGTGGGATGGGCATTAAATACATAATAATTAATACTAAAAGTGTTTAGCAGCGAAAAGTGGAGAAAGTGTTGGAAGCTGGGCAGAGAGAGGGGAGGGAGACACAATGAGTTTTAAGAAGCCATTTGAGCATGGGCAAAGGAGCAGCAGATCCCAAAACGAGAAAGGAATCACATTCTGGAAGTGAGAACTTATAACAAAGAGGAGGAGAAACAAGGACACTTATTCCAGAAAAGAACAAGCAGGAACATAGCAGCCAAAGCAGGAGATGCATGTGAGCGAAGCAATTACAAAGATGAAAAGTAGAATTTTGTATGCCATGTTGAAAATCAGCAGAAGATAATGAAGCCCATAAAGCAAAAGAAAACATTTGCTTTGCGGGAAATCAAAATAAATTGTGTGGCGGCATTTGCTAAGTGTTGACCACTGAGGGGAGTCGTGTAACTCTTTCTATTTTCTCTCCCTCCCTCAATATCACCTTCAGAAATGTGGTCAAGGGGTGACAGTAGGCTCCCAATATTATATTACTTTTATGAGCCTGCTGTTTCCATCCACAGTGATTCTTTGGAAGCCCTTCTTCATGATAAGCTTCCTAGTTTATTGACTTCACCCCCTTTCTGGCATAAAGAGCAGCACTGCCACAGAATGCCCTTCTGCGTCCTTTCTATAGCGTTTATGTCCAGGGAAAACTGTATTCTGTTGACTTCTCCTTGTTCCACCAGGTCCCTGATACACACCTATTCTCTTTTAGTACCAAGCACTCCAATGTTTCCATTTTATTTTTGAGGCTTCTGGCACTAACACAGAAGCGCCTTTAAATTGTGTCGCTCTCCAAACAAAATTTCCATGTGCAGTTTTGCCATATCATTCTTTGGTCTCCTTTTGTTTGCTTGTTTATTACATTTATATCTCATTCTTCCTCCAAGGAGTTCATTTTACTTCCACAACAGCCCTGCACAGTAGGTTTGACTGAAAGAGAGCGACTAGCTCAAGGCCACTCAAGTGAGTTTCACTGATGATTAGAGAAATGAAATTGGGTTTCCCAGGTCCTAGTCCAGTACTCAAACCACTTGGCCACTGTGTCGCCATAAGTGATCTTTCTGCAGAAACATTTGGCTCTGTTTGTGCTAATTTTGCCTTATTCCAGAAGAATCAAGTAGCTGCATTCTACACTAGCCCACTGGCCTCTATATCACCCATGCTTGCTGCAAGGCAGGCCACAGATGGATCAAGCTGCCTTTCAACGGCACACAGTAAATATGTCCATCTGCTAGCAAACAGAGGAAGGTCTGGATGGTAAAATCTGCTAACAGGCATTACATGCCTCTCTGCAGTTCCTCAGTGGAGGGGCTGATCCCAAAACAAGAGTGTCTCTTGGAAAGGCTGCTCACAATGTGCAGAAATGCTTTCCAACACTCTGAAATTCATCCTTGGGGAATGAACGCCTCATTTATTTTATGGCTTCCAATAAAAATGCAATGCGGGGCTCCAAGATCACTGGGATCTAAAGAGATACCTATGTCAGCAGTAGGCCCAGGAAGAGACTCATAGGGCAGGGCTGTAGCAGACTGTCAAGGCTGTGGATCTGACAGCATAACCCTGGCTTTGGCAGTCATTTCTGTGCTGAAGTTAACAATATGAAACAGCAGAGCAACTCTTCTGCATAGTCTTGCAGCACCTTTTATTATTTTCCATGAGATTTTGTGGGCAACGGCAAACGGGTGGCGCTGTGGTCTAAACCACTGAGCCTCTTGGGGTTGCCGATCAGCGGTTTGAATCCCTGCGACGGGGTGAGCTCCTGTTGCTCGGTCCCAACTCCTGCCAACCTAGCAGTTTAAAAGCACACCAGTGCAAGTAGATAAATAGGTACTGCTCTGGCGGGAAGGTAAACGGCGTTTCCGTGCGCTGCTCTGGTTTCGGTGTTCCGTTGCGCGAGAAGCGGCTTAGTCATGCTGACCACATGACCTGGAAAAACTGTCTGCGGACAAATGCCAGCTCCCTTGGCCTGTAAAGCGAGATGAGCGCCACAACCCCAGAGTCGTCCGCGACTGGACTTAACTGTCAGGGGTCCTTTACCTTTTAGCACTGCTGTAGGTTCTTACTTAGAAGTACCTGTGATATATGCATGTTTAATCTTAAAGGCAGGGCTGGGGTGAGGAACCTGCTACCCATCAAATGTTATTGGGACTACAACTCCCATCATCCTAGGTGATTGCTTGGGGTTGATGGAATTTGGAGTCCAACAATATCAGGGGGGGACCACAGGTTCTCCTGCTCCACTTTAAAACATGACAGCCCTTTTTGCGGCCACTGTGGACCACATCACTCTTCTATGCTTTCAAGGAGGAAGCAGTTTCAGAAGTACAGTAGAGGAAGCTGAGGACTGGGATTTTATCCATCCTCTTCTCCCCGTTATGCACTCTCATCCAGTCCAGGAGTTTCCAATCATCTTCATAGGCTAATCTGCACCCAACATTAAATACCCCCTTAAAAAGTGCTTCAGCTGGCCACTTTTACTTTGAAGAAAAAACTGCCATGGAACATCCAATCAAGATCTGATGTGGTACACACGAGTTTGCCTCTTGAAAACCCTCCCCAGCTTTTGTCAAACACACCTAACTACATAGGAAACGCACCCAGATCTCCGACTGCGGAAAGGGAAGGTGACCCGCAGTGGTTCTCCTCCTGCCACTGCTTGTTGTTACAAGGCAGAGGAAGAGCTCTGTGAAACTCCTGAACTGCGTGAAATTCCGGTTAAACATAATTTTCTTGCTACAACCAGCTGTCCCTCTGCCTGGTATGAGGTTGCAAAAATAGGAGTGTGTGTGTGTGTAAAACTATTGCTGCTTTATTGCGGATCTGTAGGAGAATGCAGGTTTTCCAGTGACACAGAACTCTTTGTCGGGCAGAAACATGGTCCACCACAAATCACATCTTGAGGTCCTATTTTAACAGCGAAAGGGCGTGTTGGGGATGCAGATCACTCACCATGGTTTGCCTCTCTTTCCCCAGTGCATTACCCCCCCCCCCCCACCTTCAGTACAGAAGAGAGAAAAATGCTTGGGGTCTCCGCGGAAGCAGTGAGGACGTCCAGTGGGGACAGGGAGAAGTTTCACTTGCACCTTTTATCCGCGCGTCCCTTTTGCTGTTAAAATCAGAGCCCCCCACCTCGTTACTTTCTACACGATCGTGTCAGCAGATCCTGGTTTAAACACAGTTTGACCTGTCGCCGTGGCGTCTGGTTTCCCTCCAAAGCACCCTAGGCTGTAACTTCGGTCTTTCTCTCCCACTCGCCCCCCGATTTGGAGAAGGCGGCTAAGTAGATCCTTGCTTGAAAACTCCGTCTTTCCATCCAGAGAAAGAGGGAGAGAGAGAGAGAGAAGCGGGAAGGAAGGAGCTTGGTGGTGTTGATGCAGCAGCACCTGTTCCCTACAATACACCCGATACTTTCTGCCCTGGTTGCCGAGGCCCTTACTCAGCAACCTCTCGCACTCAGGCGCCGCCTCGGGTCACGGTGCGCCAGATCTTCCCTTGACCGCCCGCCAGACCGCAGAGATGCTCGGCTTGACGCTTGCTGCTGCTGCTGCTGCTGCTGCGAGCGGGACTCGAGTTTCGCACCCACTCCGCTCAGCTGAAGGTGCGATTGCCTTTAGAGGACTGCAACCCGAGGCCCGCCTCCAGCCTGCTCTGCTTTTGCTAGCCCATCCGCAAGTAGCCAAACCGGGCTGGCGCTCCTCCTGCGCAAGCCTTTACTTAACAGGAAAGATGGAGGTGATAGGAGGCCGAGGAGATGCCCTTATCACCCTGCTCCCGTTTCCGAGGTTAACAAGGAGTTACCAACGCCCCCAAGGGGGGACTGGAAAGAAAGTAAAGCAATTACATAAAGAAAAATCCAGCGGAGGGCGGGTCTTTGGCATGACACCAAATAATGTCGGCGATAGTTGAGCCACCTTTGCAAGCAAAGTTAGGAAAGCAAGCGTTAGAATAACACAGGATTCTTCGTCAGGGAACAATCGTTCCTTTAGGCTTTAAGGAACTGGTGCAAGGAAAAATGCTGGACCTTACATTAATTTAAAAACTACATAACAACTGTTCTAGTAACCATCTGTGCAATCTGCTCCAGTCCAACTTATTTTGGGGTTGAGTGGGGAAGCCTCTTTCAAGTAGGGCAACGTAAAGCGTAAAGCGTGGGAAAAGCTAACAGGGTTCTATCACCTACGCACTCACGAAAAGCGAACATAAAGCATTGCTCTTCCTGTTTTTGCAAACTGAGAGCTGGGCTCGAACCTCTGAGGCTTCAAGAGGACCGCCGCAGCATGCATTGCGCTCCGCAGGCCCTCCGCTCTGCGCGCTCTCTGTCTCTCTCTTGACACCTGAGCGCTCTTTGGTCCAAGCCGCAAGCAGAGATGGAAGAATACGCCTGCCTCATCTTTGCAGTTCTCAGGTTTCCTGCCTGCCTCTCTTGAAACCATCTCCAAACTTTGCACCCCTGACTTTAAACACGCGCGCGCGCGCTTCTCCCCCTGAAGAAATGTGGCAAGTGCTGCGCACGTTTATATGCAGGGTTTTTTTTACGAAAGAAAAACACATCCCCGAGAGCAAATCGAGGGCAAAACGCACCCAAAACATTCGGGTTGCCATCATTTTCGGGGTTACAAGAGCGCACGAGGGCCCAGCTAAACAGGCAGCAGATGAGGGCGCTTGGCAATCCCTTACTCAAAGCGATTGTTCGTTCCCTGATCCCGGACTTTCCACGCACAAATACGCACCGGGATCAGATGCTCGCCTCCTTCCTTCTCTCGCTTCAAAATAGGTCTTTTTAAGGCACACCCTGGTTGAGTTATATCTCCCCTTCCCGTGCTTTCTCAATAAATCCCGCTTCCCCATGCCAGTTCCACCGCCCTCTCCGCCCTCCTCCCGTTGAAGTTTCCTCCTTTTTGGATTTCCCCCCTTCACCTGTTACGATTGCCTTGCTGGGGAAGGAGAAAAAAGAAGCAGCCCCCAGCTTCTTCTAACGCGGTGGATACTTCTGTTTTATTGGGGTGGGAGAGTTGTACCCTACAGGTAGGGAGAGACACCGCTCCTTTAGAGACCCACCCCCCTTGTCCCCCAAACCCACAGATGAATCCTTCTTGGAGTAACGGGATCTACTCTCTCTGCCTCCATTCCTGAAACTTACCTGTCTAATGTTTGTGCCAGGCGCGCTAGGAAAGGCTGGTGGGTTTTTGAAGGTGCTCACACAGGAAGGTGAAACCCCGGGTGGGCACCCCACTTATATAGGCTCCTTGCCTCTTCTATTTCGGGAAGGCGATGTCCCCCTCCTCGCCGGTGTCAGATACTCAGGGACGGTGATGGCAGTATCACATTTACCTTTCCCTAACTAATCAAGCGGCACTATTAATAATCCTTGGCACCCACCTTCCTCTCGCTCCCGAAACCTATTACATCGGCAATCTGGCGGGACGCTCTGATGAAACTTCCATTTATTTGTCCCCGGAGAATCGAAATGACATCCCGTCCCCGCGCGGCTATTTAAACTGTGTGCCAAACGGGAGGAAGGATGGGATTGATTGGAGGAGCCCCCGCGCAGAGCGGCCACACCTGGGTGGGGAGGAAGGAACCAGGGCAGAGCCGCGCCTCTGTCAAGGCAGGTACGGTGGTGGGTGTATTATGGAGCCGAATCTGAGCTCAAAACACTCACCCCCGGATACTGGGCACCAGGAAAAGCAAAGATCTGTGAAATAACAACAACAACAACAACAACAACAACAACAACAACAACAAGGCTAATCTGTATGTATTTGCTTAATTGGCTTCTACTAGAGACCAGGAGGCTTAGGGAACACCATCTCATCCTATGGAACTTTCCTGTAAAAAGAAGAGAATTATACAAACATTATATGTTTTTGCCTGATGCTTCATTACATATATTTAGTTGCCAGGCTAAAACGTTTCTTTGTAACCAGGCCTTTGGCCTTCTATGACCTTTGAAATTGGGTGGGGGGTTTTTTGTCTTGTTTAGGTTTTTGGAGAGGGGCTTCTTAGTTTGTTTTTGTCTTATTATGTATTTTGCGTTCTCATTTCGTATTTTTATGTTGTGAACAGCTCAGTGATCTATAGGTGAAGGGTGGTATACAAATTACATACATACGTACATACATACTGGTACATATGACTGCTTAGCACTTTTTCGGCTTCTGAATTTTTTTTAATTGCTCAATTTCATTTCCCCAGTCATAAGGACTAGGAACTTTTAAACAATGGAGGGGAAAAAGAAGTCCTTTTAGGAAAGTGGGAAACTGCTTCCTACCAGGATTGGACTGTTTGTCCCTCTGCCCTGAATGGCGCTGGCTTTCCAGGGTCTCAGGAAAAGATCTTTCCCCATCACCTGTAACCCGATCCTTTTAACTGGAGATTCCCAGGACTGAACTTGGAGCCTTCTGCTTGCAAAGCACTTGCTCCTGAGCTGTGGTCCTTTCCTCCTAACCCCAGTTGTAAATTGCAGACATATAGTATCCTCATAATCCATGGTAAAGATGAATGGCCAGAGGACCTTTGCTCCCTTTGCCCTTCTCCAAAGTGTCTTGCTTATCCCTGTTTCGTAGTCATCATGCACCAAATACAGAAGTCTGCCTTTACTCATCTCTGTTGGTGGTCTCTTGGACATGTGGCCGTCTTGAGCCCAATAGGAAGGAGCAGACCATGCACTTCCTGTTACTGAGTGTGCTGGAGTGCAAAACAGGAAGTGCAAGCCACCTTTGCACTCCTTTTGGCCCCCAGGTCTCCAACCATCTGAAGCCAATCTGAGGATTTTAGCATTAGCTTTACAGTGGTACCTTGGGTTACATACAATTCAGGTTACAGACGCTTCAGGTTACAGACTCCACTAACCCAGAAATAGTACCTCAGGTTAAGAAATTTGCTTCAGGATGAGAACAGAAATTGTGCTCCAGCAGTGCGGCGGCAGTGGGAGGCCCTATTAGCTAAAGTGGTGCTTCAGGTTAAGAACAGTTTCAAGTTAAGAACGGACCTCCGGAACGAATTAAGTACATAACCAGAGGTACCACTGTATAAGTCAAAAGAGCTGTGAGTCAAGAAGATCAGAGTATTGGGACATTCCTGTGATAGCAACAATGCTGGAAGATGCTGCAATAGGATCTACAGCCTCTGTTCAGAACTGGGTGAGTGTGGGAGAGTCACAGTACACTGTAGTGCGTTCAGATGAATGAGTACTGCCATGCAAACAATTTCCCTCTATTGGGCGCTGTGTCCACAGGAAACTGCTGCACATACACCTGATTAAATAAATGGTGCCCGTAGACCGCATTGATTCAAGGCTAACTAATCTAGTCCCTCATGCGGCCCTCAAGGACTTTTTGGTGGCCCTCGGCAATATTTGACATTCTACCCCCCTCCCCTGCCAGCCCTTGTGCTTCTTTCCCAAAGCTGGGTAAGCAAGGTGCTGGGCTTTGGGGAGGAGGTGTGAGGGCTCTGATAGGGTCCTAGAGTCTTCCAGTCTCCTTCCCAAAGCCTAGCTAGTACTTTCCCAGTTTTGGGAAGGCTCTCAGACCCCGCCAGAGCCCTGTGCATTCTCCCAAAAGTCTGGCACCTCGCTTATCTGGCTTTGGGAAGGCAGCATGGGGAGGGCGTCAAATTTCGGCTTCGCTTCCTTTGCCCCCTACATGACAAGGCAGTGTGCAACCCATGGGTTCCATGTTGAAGTACTCTTGCGGCCCATTTGGTATGAGGACTGCCCTGTTCAAGAATCATAGAATCACAGAATTGTAGAGTTGGAAGGGATCCCAAAGGCCAATCTAGTCCAACCCCCTGCAATGTATTATGATCAGAACTCAAGGGCACCTTCTAGTCAGGCACCTTGAATGCAAAGCACGGCCAGTGAAGGGGGTGGCTGGGGGAGAATTCCGAGGGCCAGACAGAGATGGCTGCATTTGGCTCCTGAGTTTCCCTACCTCTGCTCTGTTTATTATGTCACACACCCCAGGTTCCATGGACCTGCCATATATACAGGTAGCTTAAACCAACCCTCTTTATATGTGTGCACTTTGCTTTTTATCCCTAGGGCAATGGGGAAATTTGTTGTCCTTTGAATTAGGGAGGGATATCATGGAGAGATCCTCTATTACTTACAGGTGATTGCTAATCACATTTGTCTGCAGGCTTGTTGTCATTGACAACTGGGGGAGGAGGGAGAGTTCCATTTCCCCTCTTGCAAGCCAATACAAGATGCATCTGTATAAAATCAACGGCCTTCAAGCACTGGTTTCCTTGCTACTTTGGACAGCTGCAGCGATGGATGGCTATGGCAGGCACATCTGGAAGTTCCAAAGCTGAAAATCCCAAAGCCAGGATGCAGGGCTTGCTGCTCTAATAGAAAGCAGCATTACTCAGTGGGAGTTTTGTTGAGCAGTACATACTACACAAGCACACAAAAACCCACCCAAATCCATGGGTAATCAGAGGAACAGACTGAAATAGTTCCTTACCCTTTGAAAGCAGTCCTCCAGTGTGGCTTATTGGCAGCACAGCTCTCTGTGAAGGAAAGAAAATCTATAACTCCCATCAGCCAGGGAGAGAGGGAGAGGACTCTGTCAAATGCTAATTTACCTGGCAATATTTCATGAGCAGCAAGCACTTTTTCCACCTGGCAGGACTGAGAATGAGATGCAGAATTTGACATCTCTAGGTCACCCTTATGAATCCAGCTCTAGTTAGGAGTCACTGAAAACTGTCTCTGACATCGGTCTAGGTGGTGACATTAGATGGACATGGAGGGAGGAGGTCATTGTACAATGGTTTACTGTTTGACGCTTCTCAAACTTCTTGGTACTGGGGTCTTGTCACGTGAGCAACTTTAGGACTTTGTAACCCTGGGAGGAAACAGTACCACATTCAAAGGGACAGGAGTACCACATTCCCAACCTAGCAGATACCATGGGGCAGGGGCAAATTCAGGAGGAGACAAGAGTACCAGGCTCAGGGTGAACCAGGCTTGGGGGTTCCTGGCACTTTGCCTTCTATTCAAATATCCTGTCAGTAGCAAGAAGAAATAATACCAACAGTTAATCTTCATCTTGAACTTTGTGACCGGTGTTAATGTATTAAAAATTATTTGCAGGGCTGGCAAAAGGTTTAGGGTGTTGCAGTAGATGCTGGCCCGTTATGATGAATGGGGCACTGCCCCACTAACTCAGTTTGTCCTCAGTCCTGTAGGAATATGCACCCAAAATCTAACAATGTGTGTTTGCTAAATAAGGATATGAAAGGGTTAAGACTCACAGAGTTCCTGATTACTAGAGAGGGCACTGTGTGACATCACTTCCCTTGAGTTCTCTGGTGGGAAAAAGACAAAAGAGTTTAATCTTTTCTACTGTCCCTGCCTCAGAACTCAGCCTCTTTTTCACAAGGCTTCTCAGGCAGACGGATGTCTGTATGATCTCCGCTCAAGCAGAGATTTCATTTTGAAGTCAAATATGAATTTTATAACCTAGTAGCTGAATTTGCGCACCTTGTTTTCATTACCGTTACTGCTGGCATCAAGTGCAAGACTCTATGTAAGTAAACACTATTTGTATGCTTAATCTACAGTCTGTTGCACTATTCTTTTAATTAAGAGGGAAAGGGGGGATAATCCAGTCTGTTACAGCAATAAGGCTACACGGCCTAATCCCAAAATTTCCACATTAATGCTGCCTATAAACCCCATCCAAAAGCTCCCACCCATCTGCCTTCTTACTTCCACCCAGTGTCTGCCAGCTACTTCCTCCTTAGGATGGAGAGAAAGATGCTCTGGCTCCACTGCTCTGCCCTATGTGACGATGGCACATAGCACCAGAATCTAGTTCATTTCAGTAGATTGAGGCCAGGTACAAGCCATGTGTACCCTGTGATATATTGTCATCTGTCCCCCATCCTTTTATCTCCATTAAACACTACATGACATGAACACAAGCCTCCTGTCTTTATTTGCAGCAGAATAACCAGACAATAACATTGGCAGACTTGAAATATGGCCCCTAATGTATGCCTTGACGATTTTTTATCTAGTCCTGGCTAGAGGTTAATTTTCCCCGATTATAGATTATTCATGGCAAGGCTAGGAATAGATCAAGGGATTGCTTATTGAAAAACATGTTAAGGCATCTGAAGTGAAGCTGCACATCTACGCAGGGGCATAAAAATTTGAACCTTAAGGAGAGTATTGTCTCATCATGGGTCAGCTATCATTTGAGGTCACTAAAGAAACCCTCCCTCAGGCACACACAGCTAGCTATAAGAGGTAAAAGTGTATTGAAGTGGTTAGTCTTTGAATTGTTAATTAGCTGTTTTCCTTTGAATTGTTAAATAGTCTTTGAATTGTTAATTAGATCCATCATGCCTCTTTCACTCTGAGCACAAGGGCAGCTTTTGTTAGATTCAAAGCCAGGAAGCTTTGGAGAGGGGTTTCTGATGCTTCAAGTGCAGAGTTGAGAAACACAGAACCTTCTGGTTGCTTCTGGTTAAGTCCTCTTCTGCACACTTGCATCCTTCCAGTGGCAAGGAGTTTCTCAGTGAGAACCAGAAAAAGGTAAAACCTAACCATCTGTCTATATTTTCTGGGAAATTGTACGACACATATCATACTCCCAAACCTCTCATTATCCTCCTTCTAGCATAGGGCATTTCAAAACCTTTAGATCTATAATCTAATGCAACTACAATTTTATTTATCCCTGTGTGGCTAGGCGTAGTTTAGTCACAACACTCCACTGTGTGATTTATATGCTTTATTATTTAGTTTCAATAAATGAGGGTTTCATTTTTCAGTGTTGGTTTGCATGTTTTTTCTTGGTTCACACCTCACTCAGTCACACTTAGAGAGGCACCCTTCTCATTTTCCGTTGAGGTCCCATCCTTCTCTGTGAGATGGGTTTTTGAGGGATCCAGTGAGCAGTGGGTGAAGTCAGACATTCCTAATGCCCACCAGTCTCAATGAGCATCGGCCTCTGTTGGGCGATTGTTGACATGGCTCAATAGACATCTCCCCTGGCAGAAGTGGCTATGGGAAGCCAGCACCAAAGTGCTACAACTTGCAGGACAGCAACAAACCACTTGCCTTTTTAAATTTTCCACAGTGTCCCGATCACAGAATTGTGTGTTTCCGAGCACAATTCAAAGTGTTGGTGCTGGCCTTTAAAGCCCTAAACGGCCTTGGCCCAGTATACCTGAAGGAGCGTCGCCACCCCCATCGTTCTGCCCGGACACTGAGAGTCAAACTCCGAGGGCCTTTTGGCGGTTCCCTCACTGCAAGAAGTGAGGTTGCAGGGAACCAGGCTGAGGGCCTTCTCGGTAGTGCCGTCCACCCCGTGGAATGCCCTCCCACCAGATGTCAAGGAAATAAACAACTATCTGACTTTTAGAAGACATCTGAAGGAAGCCTTGCTTAGGGAATTCTTCAGTGTTTGATTTTTTAAAAATATTCTGTTGGGAGCCGCCCAAAGTGGCTGGGGAAACCCAGCCAGATGGGCAGGGTATTATTATTATTATTATTATTATTATTATTATTATTATTAATAAAACTGTAGCATTGGAAGGGACCCCACGAGTCAGCTAGCCCAACTCCCTGCAATGCAGGAATCTCAAGGGTTCATGACAGAGGCCCTCCAACCTCTGCTTTAAAACCTCCTGCATTTCAATCTTCCCTCCACAAGGATTTTCATTTCTTCTTTAAACAAAAAGGAAGGTGCTCTCAGCACATGTCAGGGGAACGAGGAGCCTCGGGATCTTGTGGATCTGTTCTCTTCCACAACATGTCCCCAAATCACACTGTTTTTGGCCCCACCACCAGTGGAACAGCAAAGTTTTTGTTGCTGCACTGGGAGAGAGAGGTCCAGTAGAGAGGAAGATCAGCTGCACACAGAAGTATAGGACCACTCTTTTAATCTAGAATAGGGTTACCAGACGTCCCCGTTTCCCGGGGACAGTCCCCGGATTTGCGAATAAGTCCCCGGACAAATTCCATCCCCGGATTTCATCTAATGTCCCCGGGAAATGCAGCAGCGGCAGTCTCAGCAGCCCAGAGCAGTTGGCTCTGGCTGGCTTCAGGAGCTGCTCGGAAGTCCCCATATGATGGTGGTGCCTTCCATGCTTGACCCACCGCACACCACTTCCCCACCACCACCACCACTGAAGAACCAACAACTCAAGGGCTGCCCAGGCTCATGGAGAAAGGAGATAGAAGCCTTGGAGGAAGGGGAAACGTGGCTGTTGAGGTCAAGGCGGCAGCCACTCCTCTGCCACCGCCATCGCTGCAGCATCAACGTCCCGAACGTGTAGTATTTAATTAATTAATTAATTTAAGTGTCCCCGGATTCATTGAAAAAAATCTGGTAACCTTAATTTAGAATATATCCAATAATGGTCCTTTCAGCCTTGCTGAGCATTGCTTTCCCACTGAAATCGTGCTTCTGTCAGATCGCCTCATTTGCCTGTTTCTGGAAATGCCAAGAAATCATAGGCCTAAGAGATTGAATGTCTTTGCATCTATTCACAATGAAATACACCCCCCGTCTGCTACTCTTAGTTGTGGTTTTATGCTTGGGATCATGTGAGGGAAATGCACACCACTGTGCAAATGGCTCGGATTGGAAGACATCACATGGCTGTTAATCTTACAGTAGCTTACCGTAATTTCTTTGGTTGAAACATTTTGGGCCCACCCTTTAATAAAATAACAACTAGCAATAAAACAACACAGAAAGCCACAACAAAAAATGAACGCAAAACGTAAGTTTGGCAAACCATTTGGAGGTTTATTTGTTTTTACAATCAAGCAGCATATAAATTTTCTGAAATAAATAAATAACCAACAAATAACCACTGTGAACCCAAGTGGCAAACTAAGGTTGCAGCTCCAACTAGCAAATTCAGGATTTGCAAGCTAGTCTGAAAAGAAGACTTTGAAGTTTTGCGTAAAGTGTTTGATATTCCACTTTGCCCAGGCCTTTGGCTAATTAAACAAATGATGGCATTTTAAACAGGGTGTGTGTGTATTATTTTTGTTTGTTACTATGTAATGCATTTTTGTGGTTTTTTATATTGTAAATTGTCCTGTGATCTTCGGGTGAAGGGCGGTATAGAAATTTAAATAAATAAACAATAGACTTAGGGTTGTTCAGACTCCACACTCCACATTTAGTGAACATGTGAGGAAGAGGAAGCATTGTGCCTGCCAGCCAAGTTCTGTTTGAGGCTGACACACTGGTGATGATGCTCTGTTGTGGCTGAATGTTTGGTAATAGTATGAAAAGAGCACTAATGTCAGCATGAGGGGGCATGACAATTCCATTCATGACTCAGAGTTGTCTGGACACCCCTTTCAGTGGTGATGGATCCTTAATTTTAGAATTGTAACAGAAAAAGGCTTCATTCACATGGCAGCTTATTCTGTTTCCATGAAGTTTCCCTAGCTTTTAATTTCCACATTTGAGCTTCTACACAATGTAAAAGCCACTTCCAGAACTATAGTGGGTGTATAGTAGAATAAAAGTCAAATTGAGCACTCATATTATTTGCAAATGGATTCTGGAAGCAAATAATATGGAAATTAAACTTGCACTGTATTCTATTATAGTTCCAGAAGTGCCTTTAATGTCATGTGGTAGTGCAAATATAATACTGAACTTAACAGTTAGGGGGGAAATTATGAAAGCAGAATAAATTGCCATGTGAATGCAGCCTAATTCTATATCATAGAAATCACAGAACTGTAGAGTTGCAAGGGACTCTGAAGATTATCTAGTTCAACCCCTTGCAGGGCAGCTGGAATATGCAGCTGTCCCTTCTGGGGATCGAACCTGCGACCCTGGCGTTATCAGCACCACATTTTAACCAACTGAGCTACCCACATCCAGTGCTTTTTTTCTAAAAAAATGTTTAGGGGTACTCTCATTTTCCTACTCATATTGAAATACTGCCCCTCAATGAGGCCAAACTTAGAATCACAAAATGTTATGGGGCATGCGTACCCCTGTGTCCCCCCAGAAAAAAGCACTGCCCACATCCATATTGTTGCTGCTATATCTCATTGCATAGGAAGCTATAACAAGGTACTCATGGAATGAATTTAACCTTGCTGTGAATGTCCTGAATCATGGAAACTTTTTTTTGCATTTTTAACTGGTAATATGCAATGCTTCTCAGGAAGTCCTGATACTGAACTACATCTAGCCTATTTTAATATTCCGAAGCAGTGCTGAGGAAAAACATCAACAACTATTGATATTGCTTTAGTGGCCTTGTGTGCAATGCTGCTGTATATATACTGTGTTCAGATATAGATCTAACCTTGATTTGTCATAAACTATCAGACACAGGCCGCTGTCACATACTGTCAAATATCAAACATTAAAATCAAACTGCAAAGTCAAATATCTAAATCAAAGCATGATTAGTTGTCAAATAGTGACACCAGATATTTTGTGAATATTCAGCAGACACCTGAACATTCTGAGAACATCTCATGAAAATTTGATGTCCATTTGCAGAGGAGAGTACAAAGGAGATAATTTGCAAACAAAATAGTTTCCATTGTATTTTGCAACCATTCACTATTTTCTCAGTCCTTCCCTTCTTTTGTTCTCTCTTTCTCTCAACACTCTGCAATATCATTTCCTCCCTCTTTCTGCAAGCTGTAGCCTCTATGCTCTTTGGTCACACCATCTTTCTACATATAAAAGACAATCACAGAACATAAACGTTCCCAGGGGTCATCTAGCCCAGACTTCAATCCCTAGATGTTCTTGGACTCCAACTCCCATCATGTATGACCACTGGCTAAGCTAACTCGAGATAATGTGAGTTGTAGCCCAACAGCAGTGGAGCATGAGACTCTTAATTTCAGGGTTGTGGGTTTGAGCCCCACGCTGGGCAAAATGTTCCTGCATTGCAGGGGGTTGGACAAGATGACCCCCATGGGTCCTTCCAGCTCTACAATCCCCTGATTTTATGAACATCTGATGTTGTCTATTTCTGTTCCAAGAACCATCTTCCCTGTGTTTGCTTGAAAACTTGCAAAGTGGAAGATCTCTCGCATTCCATTTCCTATATAAATGTGGCTATGTAAATTCTTTCCCCTAATATAACCTAATTCTACGTTAGGGGTACAGAACCTGTAGTCCTCCAGGTGTTGCTAGACTACAATTCCCATCATCCATAACTTTTGGCTGGGTCTGATGGAAGCTGGGATCCAACAACATTTGAAAGCCCACAGGTTTCCCACTCCTTTTCTACCTTCTTGTATGTAAGGTGCCAGAGGACCTAACCTGGGGTTTCTTATAACCAGATGTAGGCAATTTACTCTCTGCACCACCATGACAGCGTGTCATAAGAGGGAGCTGACGACCTTCCCTCTGTTGCGCTTTGGTACTGTAGCTTCTATTTCAGCAGGTGACAGAAAAAGGCAGATGAGGTTCCACCTGGCACTATAAAAAGCCTCAGAATCTGTTTTGGCTCTTCAGAGTGAAGACTGCCCACAGTTTTTGCCAAACTACCCATGCCTCTGCCTGCTGATAGTTTGCATTGCCTTCAGACAGCCAGTCCTGCAGCTGCAGTGAAAAAAAACCAATAATTTGCCATACACCTAGCAGAGAGGGAATGTGATTGTGTCTTTCTGAAATCCTTGTAAGGTTGCAATCCTAGGCACATTTACCTTGGAATAATCCCAAATGAGCGTTCCTGGACATGGTTCTGAAAAAGCACGCATAGGACTGGGTTGCATATTTAACATCATCAACCATGAAATACACTTTCATCAGAATAAGTTCCATCAATCTACCCCCACAGGATTTCCATTCCAGACCCATTCCCTCAAGATCCTTTCCAATTTATCAACACCTTTCTTGGATGATTATGATGCTCACTTTTCAGGCTGAGCTTTTCCCAGTAAGACTATATTCTTGCTACCTTTTTATGTATGATTCACCCTTTAAGTCCTTATGCTTCTTCCTAGGCATTTATTTCCTATTTTTTATTCTGAAAGATTTATTGCTTTATTACCCTCCTGGAACCTGATTCAAAACCTGATCATGAAATGTGGCTGTTCATATGAGGTCCCCAATGGGTCACTACTGTGATGGGAAATTTGTTTCTTCCTTATCATAATTCATTTTAAATCACAGAGAGTGCTGACCCAGGCATTGGCTGGTTGTTCTCAATCAGCATGTGGAAAATCAGCCTTCCCCCATCATACAATTCTTTTTGTGAACTTTCCGCCCCATGTGAAATTTTCAGTGTATGACTTTTGACACCCGACCCTTCACTCTGAGCAGTTGAAACAATTGTGAACATTCTGTGATATCATCAGTAGTTGGGGGAAAGAAACATCAATGTCACAAACAGATACCCCTTGCCTTTTGCCTGTTAGAGACAAATTCATTGACAGCTTGCAAACATGGATACATACCATTCTCCCCATTTTGCAGCTGCTTCAAGGGTATGAAGGGGAAACTTTTACAGCTCAGTATTCTGTCCTGTTGTCTTTGTCCATGGAGTTTTCTTGGCAGGGATATTGGAGTGGCTTGCCGGTTCCTCCTCCAGGTGGATCACGTTTGGTCAAAACTTTCCACTATGACCTGTTCATCTTGGGTGCCCTGCTCGGCATAGTTCATAGCTTCTTTGAGTTATTCAAGCCCCTTTGCCATGGCAAGGCAGTGATCCCATCACCTCCTGGCAAATAGAAGGGGAAGAAATGGAGGTAGTGAGAGATTTTACTTTCTTGGGCTCCATGATCACCGCAGATGGTGACAGCAGCCACAAAATTAAAAGACGCCTCTTCTTGGGAGAAAAGCAATGAAAAACCTAGACAGCATCTTAAAAAGCAGAGACATCACCTTGCCAACAAAGGTCCATATAGTTAAAGCTATGGTTTTCCCAGTAGTGATGTATGGAAGTGAGAGCTGGACCATAAAGAAGGCTGATTGCCGAAGAATTGATGCTTTTGAATTATGGTGCTGGAGGAGACTCTTGAGAGTCCCATGGACTGCAAGAAGATCAAACCTATCCATTCTGAAGGAAATCAGCCCTGAGTGCTCACTGGAAGGACAGATCCTGAAGCTGAGACTCCAGTACTTTGGCCACCTCATGAGAAGAGAAGACTCCCTGGAAAAGACCCTGATGTTGGGAAAGATGGAGGGCACAAGGAGAAGGGGGTGACAGAGGACGAGATCGTTGGACAGTGTTCTCGAAGCTACCAGCATGAGTTTGATTAAACTGCGGGACGCAGTGGAAGACAGAAGTGCCTGGCGTGCTCTGGTCCATGGGGTCACGAAGAGTCGGACACGACTAAACGACTAAACAACAACAAAATTCTGTCCTGTCTTATGCCTTGATCTTGTATAAGTGCTGGCTGGAATAATGATGCAGGTTCCCCAGAAGGGGGGTTTTGAGTGTGGGTGCAGCCTCTGAGGATAGATAGGTTAGGTGATCTATAAGAGACAGTTAGTGACCCTGATGGTGATGTTCCATAGTGTGGTGTCAATGTGAAAAGTAGGGATGTAAATAACTCTTGTAGAAGCTAGGGTTCATTCAGTGAACTATAGTTGGTGATGGGTCAGCCAGAGTATTTGGGTGTCTCCTAGTTTGACTTGTATTTTTTTGTATTAAAATAGGATTGCCTTTTTATAGAAGTCTCTAAGGTGGTGAAAACCTTTGGTTTGCCCTTTCTTTACTTGGAAGCTTTAGAATGCATTGTGGAATGGTGGGTGGTGGACATGGGGAATTAGTGGGGATAGGGCTATGGATGGTTTCCCCACTTTTTCTTTCCATGTTTTAAACATGGCCTGCTGCGTGAACCTTTTGTTGTTGTTGTGGGGGTTTTCTTTAGTTTGCTTTGGAGAAATGGATACACTGTCACAGGGGTGTTTCCAGTTATATCTGTCTCCATTTACTTCCCCCCCCATTTTTGCTTCATCTTCTAAGATGTATGGAATTAGGTGGCATACTTGGTTGGGGATGCAGTATAATTCTATATTGGGCATGTGGGTGGCGCTGTGATCTAAACCACTGAGCCTCTTGGGCTTGCCGTTTGGAAGATTGGCGGTTCAAATCCCCACTAAGCTCCCGTGGCTCTGTCCCAGCTCCTGCCAACCTAGCAGTTTGAAAGCATGCCAGTGCAAGTAGATAAATAGGTACCGCTGTGGTGGGAAGGTAAACCGCGTTTCTGTGTGCTCTGGTTTCTTTCACAGTGTTCCGTTGCACCAGAAGCGGTTTAGTCATGCTGGCCACATGACCTGGAAAGCTGTCTGTGAACAAACACTGGCTCCCTTGGCCTGAAAGTGAGATGAGCGCTGCAACCTCATAGTTGCCTTTGACCCCGTCCAGGGGTCCTATATATATGATTCCCCAGCCTCCTTCTGAGGAAGGGAGGTGCAGGAACTTGGGAGCTTATTGGTTGCTTTTTATGTGAGAGGATAAATGAATGGAAAAGAGCCAGTTCTATAAGCAACAAGAAGCTAATGCGTCTACCAGATGTTTGGTGTCATTGCCACTGTGGCTTTATTCACACCAGGCTAGAAAAGCCCATGTAATTATTGCTGCAGGGGTTTCCAGGTCAGGATAAACTAGCTTAGCAGAAGCCAGCTACATTGCTTAACCCCCTGCCTACTTGAGACTGAGCGAGGATTAAAAAGATTTCAATCGGGGGGAAAGTAGTTGCTTGGGATTCTCTCATGCATCCATTTTTTGTGACAGGTGGACATGGCTCAAGAAAATCACCATTTTATAGTTCAAATTGGGGAAAATAAATACAGTAAATGGACAAAAGTACAAAGATTCACAAAATGTTTAGGGATATGTGTACCCCTGTATCGCCCCAGAAAAAAGCACTGGATGTATATATCCATGTAGTGATAAAATGAACCTACAAAATTGAGATGGAGAAAATGATCACGATCAACTAAAGCCTCTCTGCTATTTTACATGATCTGTTCAAAATCACCTTGTTCAGCAGCCAACTATTGAACTTCATATAGCTCAAGTCACAGCAAAGCATGGTTTGACTACCCTTCCCTATGCATTCACTGTAATTTTTGAATGTACCGTATTTTTCGCTCTATAACATGCACCAGACCACAAGACACACCTAGTTTTTGGAGGAGTAAAACAAGAAAAGAATATTCTGAATCTCAGAAGCCAGAACAGCAAGAGGGATCGTTGCGCAGTGAAAGCAGCAATCCCTCTTGCTGTTCTGGCTTCTGGGATAGCTGCACAGCCTGCATTCGCTCCATAAGACGCACACACATTTCCCCTTACTTTTTAGGAGGGAAAAAGTGAGTCTTATAGAGCAAAAAATACGATATATTCCTCAAGGACAGAAGAGCTGGATTATAAAGTGTGCGCACAAGATCAGATGATAGTGTAAAGTGGAATAAATTGCCGTATTTTTCGCTCTATAACACGCACCCGACCATAACACACACATAGTTTTTAGAGGAGGAAAACAAGAAAAAAAATATTCTAAACGAAACAGCGGATGTATTATTTTTGTGGTTCATGCTGTGGCCACAGACATGTGATCTGACGGTGAGTTAGGGGTAGCCCAATGCAAAAATCCTGAGGATCCATGTGGATCCATGCTTTGTAACCACGTTTTAAGTGGGGAGGGAAGGAAAAGCACTCAAGGGACAAGGAACACGCGTGGGGTGGGTGGAGAAGGATGCTGTTAATAATGCAGAAGAGGGGTATAAGAGGAGAAGGCTCCTCTCCTCTCCCGCTTTGCTCCTTTAAAGCAAGCAGGCTCTCTGTCCCTCTCTCCTCCCCACTCAGTGGCTCTTCTCCCACTTTGCTGTTGCAAAGCAAGCCATGGAGGAGGGAAGGAAGGGGAACCATGGATCCTCTGCTCACGACTGCAGCAGATCCCCCCGCCATCCATAGGCATTCGCTCCATAACACGCACAGACATTTCCCCTTACTTTCTAGGAGGAAAAAAGTGAGTGTTATGGTGCAAAAAATACAGTATTTCATGCCACCCCAATCCTTGAGTGGTGCGAGATTCCAGGGGTTCCGGGCATTTCCCCAGGGTTTCCTTTGGAATGAGGTACAGTGGAGTCTTTGTGATATATGGCTAGCATATAAACAGCCTGCAAGGGAGGAATATTGCTCGCAGCAATAACACCCCAAGAAGCTCTTGCTTCTCCCATAGCCACAGCCTTGGATTCAAGCAGAAATCAGGCATGGCTCCATCTCTCAGCTACCCAACCAGCTGCAGGCTTCTTACTTCTAGCTCACACACCTCAACTCTGACTCTTTGTCTTTCTAACTACCAGACAGCTGAGGGAGGGAAGCCTACCCATTTGCCCTCTGGCTCAGGGCTACTTCCTTTGTAAAGACCCAAACTTAGGGGGCCATTATGGCCCTTGGCTGGCTAATTCAGCAACTGAATCCCTGCAGAAGGGATTCTGGCATGTGGCCAACCCCCCCCAACTCGTAACAATATCTTAGTCTGTCACAACCCTTTTAGGTTTGCTGAATGCAACTGCCATCACCTGGATTGATCAGCTTCATAGTGGCACCTAAAGGCATCTTCAGTCAAAGGGTGAGCATATGCCTGGTGCCCTTCAGATGTTTTGAACTACAACTCCCATCTTCCCCAGCCAGCAGAGCTTATGGGTCAACAGCATCTTTGTAAGGAAGAGAATGGCCGATGCAAAATGGGCTTGGCAGAGTATGCCCTTTAAATAATGGAGAGGAAATAAGATCATCACATAACATTAATTCTGAGAAGCGCTCGCCGATTTGGACTATCTTGCTGCTTTTTCGCATTACAGTAATGATGCTTTGATGTGCTTCTGTAGATTTCTACAATTCCCATCAGTCCCAGCCAGCAGAGCTACACAGTTGTAGTCTGAAACATCCGGAGGGCACCAGATTGGCTACAGGAGTACTGACCAATTCAAGTTCCTTTGAAAACTAGGTATTTGTGAATATGCATATCATGGCCATCTGCATCTTAAATAAGAGTAAGAGAAAACAAACACCAGAAGCTTTGAGAAATTAAATCAAAATGAACTTTTAACATTCTAAAGTGGTACATACCCTCATTACCAGTTATGTGGAACAGGGAGCATAACTTGCAAAACATTCGTTTGGTCCCAGATGCTATTCATAGTACAAAGCAAAATTGGATTGATTATAGATGTTTACAAATATTCTGTGGTTTTTTTTAATGCATTCATTTTATATCTCTTAAAAATGCTGTATGCCACCTTGAGCAGTGCAAATGCATTTGACCATGACTGCAGCCTTTAAAATCCTGGTGCTTATACAGGAGATGGCCGGAGCTGCACTAAGGAGAACATCATAGCTCTGATCCCAGAATTTTGATCCGGGGGGTTTCCTGCCAACATCCCAAGTGAAAAGTGCTGGCTAAGAAAGTCTAAAACTAGCACGAGGCAATGAGTGAGGATTCCGTCAGCTGGCAATGCACCTTAGCAATATTTCACTGGTCAACAGTTTTTTCCCCTTAAGTGACTGGCTCAAGAAAGTGGGCTATATCAGCCAAGCGTGCAGCAGGTTTTGCAACAAGGGCATACTACTTGGGCTCAGCTGTGTGATTGTTAGCCCATCCTCCTTGCTGTGCCCTCCCACCAAACACTTGGGAGCACTGCAAGGAATTCATATGACAGCTGGCGCTGGAACAGAAGTGATGCAAACAGTGATGACTGGTGCCCATTGAAAATGACTGTGCAGAAAGCATGGAGGTCAAGGGTAGGCGGAGCAAGAACCAGCTACTTCTAGGTTTGTCCTTATCCTCTTCTCTCATGAGTTCTACAAGGGCAACACTGAAGAAAGAGTAGGCAGCCAACAACCAATATCACCCACCAATCCCGGACTAGTCCATAGACTCATAGAATTGTAGAGTTGGAGGGGACTCCCGAGGGTCATCTGGTGTAGGAATCCTGCCCACAGCAATCCCCGGGTGGGCTCAAACCACCAACCTTCTGGTTAGCAGCCAGAGGCATTGACCCATTGTGCCACAGGACTAGTTGTAACTAAGAAGGCAAGCAGGTGGATGAGGAGAGACTAAGGTTGGTAGACAAAACCCCGTTTGCTTTAATGAACCAGCTTCACTGGATGCAAATACAGTGGTACCTCGGGTTACATACACTTCAGGTTACAGACACTTCAGGTTACAGACTCTGCTAACCCAGAAATAGTACCTCAAGTTAAGAACTTTGCTTCAGGATGAGAACAGAAATCGTGCTCCGGCGGCGCAGCGGCAGCAGGAGGCCCCATTAACTAAAGTGGTGCTTCAGGTTAAGAACAGTTTCAGGTTAAGAACGGACCTCCGGAATGAATTAAGTACTTAACGCGAGGTACCACTGTAGTCTACTGGATGAAAATGACCTGTTCATGCAGAGGAGGAGCTTATTGCCAGGACACAACTGAGATTTAGAAAGAAGGCCCCTCCCCAGTGTGATCATTCCCCATTGTGCTATTTTTGGAAGTCTTAATCCATCCTTCTTGCGGATCCACTGAATGCCAAAAGCAGCAGAGAAGGTGTATTAGGGGTTGCACTAGGTCTAGCTCTGTGGCTCTCTCAACCATCTGTGGTTCCTTGGCAGCTGTGGTGCTGGTCTAGCATCCTTTGGCCGTTCACTGCTTTGCATCCTGCCTAAGCTGATGGTTACTAAAAACATTATATTTAGCATTATAGGAGCCAACTCCTAGGGCCCGAGGTCCCTTTGGCCCCCTCAATAAAATATTTGAGGTGGCCAGGCTCCCCCAAAGTGCATCAGCATTGCCATTCAAATGGTGTGCATGCACTGCGCCTTGTGATTATGTGGGGCGGGGCTTATCTGCCCACCCCCTATATTATTCAAGTTGTCAATCCTGTTTAGCATATATGCCACACTTGAGAATGCTCAAAGCCATTTGCACGCATTGTCTCAGTAAACCTTGCAAGAACCTAACCCAGATTTTGGGGCTATAAAGCTCTCCTCTTTGAGGTAGGTTGTTACGAGTCCCTCCAAATTCATTCCATAGCCTGAGATCAGAGAGCCTTTCTGGCAGCACTAGTTGATTCCATGCATGCTTTCCAAACAGCAGCAAGTCTGGAATCATGCTAATTGGATTGCAAAATGTCTGGCCTTACTGGAGATATCACATTATCACCTTTGAAAAGGGGTGGAGCTCAGTAGCAGAGCATCTGCTTTGCATGCAGGAGGTCCCAGGTCCAATCCTTGGCATCTCCAGGTAGAGCTTGGAAGCACTGCCTGCCTGAAACCCTGGTGAGCTGCTGCCAGTCAGTGTAGACAAAACTGAGCCAGATGGACCACTGGTCTGGCCCAGTACAAGGCAGCTTCCCATGCTCCTATTGCAACTCCAGAAACAAGGGACCCTCTTTTTAAAAAAACAACCCCTAAGGTGTATGTGAAAAATCTCCAGCAGGGAAATGCATATGTAGAGTTTGGAAAACTAGTGATTTTCCCCTTGAGTGCTGATGGGCCAACAGATCTTTGTAAGGCAGAGAATGGCTGATGCAAAATGGGCTCGGCAGAGTATGCCTTTTAAATAATGGAGAGAAAATAGGATCATTACATAAGGTTAATTCAGAAAAGCCCTGGCAGATTTGGACTACTGTATCTTGCTGCTTTTTTGCATTACAATAATGATGCTTTGATGTGCTTCAGTCTTCTGTAGATTTCTCAGTAGTGAATTACTTAGTTCCTCTGGCAGAAAGCACTAGCGGGCGTCTTCTGTGATATGAAATCTCCATATTCTTTGAGTGTCCATGCAAAAAATCAGATATGCAATTCTTTTTCTTTATTTTTTCACCCCTTTGTTGTACCTTTTGACAGGGACAGAAAACGATGCGCCTGTTATTACAACATGCAATTTTGCCTCCTTAAGAAGCATTCCTGCTCTAATCATGCAGTTGCTTTGACTGTAATTGCAAGTTTATCCTAATAAAGGATCAATCCATCTTGTTTTCTAAACTACTTTCTTTATGACATACAATTGTTGGTGCTAGTGGTTTCCATTGTTGGTTCCAAAGATATGACTAATAGTAAGAGTAGCAGCAGCTATCAGTCCACTGTCATGACCCCAGAGCAGTAGCAGTTGGTTGGACAGGGTGGCCGTCCTTGTGGTGTAGTGGGTAGGTGAGGGGCTAGGCAGCAGTGTGGATGGTGTGGTGCAAACTCACCAACAGAACAAATCTGGCAATGAGATTTATTCTCCCCTTCTCCTTGATTGGACAGTGCAGTTGACTTTCTGCAGTATGGTAGCGCTGCAGAGAGCTTGCTGGGGAGACCATGCATTAAAAAGGGACTCAAAAATAACTTAAACAAGGTTTTAATAAGAAAAACAAAAACTCCTTTTACACTAAATACATTAACAAACAAACATGACCCAACCACCAACCCATCCCCCAGGGTAATGGGAGAGCTAGGTGCTGCTCCTTATATACTACACCCAATTACCAACACAGCTTAATCAATACAACTCAGCAGCACCTGCTATGTTTCACAGCTGTAAAGCTGGGTCTCGTTATTTTGCTCTGGCCCTTTCTCTGGCCCCTTAAAGACATACACATCGAGTGGAACAATGATGAACCTTTACATATTAAACCATTCAACACATCACACCAACAGTGGTGATGGGAGATTAGGTAAGCAATGTTCCTTCAGCCCACCTATAGCTACTGCCCCAGAGTCCAGCACTGAGTCAGAATCTCAGTATCACCAACAGAGCAGCTAGCCCACATTTCAGGTTATATCTAATGCTGGTGATCAGGGGAAGACAAAACCTGAGGCCGGCAGGCACAAGTTCATTGAACCAAATCCTACCTTACCAAGGCCCATTGAACCCCCACCAGGACCTTTCTGGGTGCCTTTTTTCCAGATCCAAAGAACTGAGTGCCTCCTATATTACCTTGCCAGTCTAAAGGCACTGGGAGTGCACCAGGCAGGTCATGGAGCATAGGAGAAGTGCCCATCTTCAGGCCAGAGAGTTGGCCCTTTAAGAGAGTCTATTTCTTTAACAGGGGGTGAAGCCCAAGAGAGGTGGACTGGAGACAGAGGTTCAAAATACCTCAGATGACTTCTAATCCTTGCCAGAGCAGGTTGCTAACGAGGAGCTCTCGTTGGTGCTGCAACAATGGAACTGCCTTGCCCTGTGGGCTCCTCTGCAGGACCAGAACTGGACACCCAGAACAATTGTGATGCTATTGATGTCACAGGAGTGTGGACTGCATGAAGTGCATTTTAGAATGTTTATTTTGCATGGCCTTCATACAGCCCTGGGTCAGTCTGAAACCACAAACATTGGCAACCAAATGAGCAACAAGCCAGACTTGGTATATGACTATTGGTATGACCAATTAAGGAGGGAAATTGGGAAGGGAGTAGCATGTCAAAATATGCCTAGCTGATGATGAATAGATGTCTCCTCTTCATAAGTTGATGCTTTTCACCTCAAATAAATTGATGGACAATTCTACAGTTTTTCTAAAAGAAATGGACAGCTCATAATTACGAACTATCCCTAACCATAAAGGGAGGGCCCACATAGCTCAGTGGCAGAACGCATGCTAGGTCCAATCACTAGCAATTCCAGGCAAACAGCAGCTGGATCAGGTACCAGGTACCTGAGATAATGAACTGAGCCTGGAAAAATGAAGGCAGATAGTGCAGATCCTTCAGAATCGGTGTTACGTGATTCTAGCAGAATGAACTGCTCAGCATTCCGGCTGCACCAGTTGTAGTTTCTGGGCCATCTTCAAGGGCAGCCCCATGTAGCAGGGACCATTTCAGTAATCAAGTTATAAGGCATGGATTATCGTGTCTGGGCTATCTCTGTCCAGGAATGGCTGTAGCTTGTGAGCAGACTATAGTTAGAAATAAGCACACTACCACTAACACCACTTGGGTCTCCTATGACAAAGCTGGATTGAGAACTACTGCCAAGCTTGGGGTGTCTGCTGCTTGCAGGTTCAAAATGTGTGCAACTCTGCCAAACCAATTCCTAATTCTGAGAATCACAACCCCAAAGTGCCTCCACCTTGTTGAGTTCCAGCCTCAGTTTATTCGTCCTCATACAGTCCACTACAGTGGTACCTCGGGTTAAGTACTTAATTTGTTCCGGAGGTCCGTACTTAACCTGAAACTGTTCTTAACCTGAAGCACCACTTTAGCTAATGGGGCCTCCCACTGCTGCCGCCCCGCCGGAGCACGATTTCTCTTCTCATCCTGAAGCAAAGTTATTAACCTGAAGCACTATTTCTGGGTTAGTGGAGTCTGTAACCTGAAGTGTATGTAACCTGAAGCATATGTAACCCGAGGTACCACTGTATTGCCTCCAGACCACAACAGCCCCACTGAATGCAGTGGAATATTGAGATACACAGAATTACACTGCACATGTCCCAATTGCCCAAGGGACTCAATCAGCCTAGTGCAAAATATATTTCTGCTTATTGGATGGAGAGGCATCTGTTTCAGTGGACAGGCTGGTCATTTTGCTCTCAAGTTACTCACACTCCTAATCCCTCTCAAGCTTCACATGTAGACTCTAGCAAAAGAAAAGTAAGCACTATCCAAAAGGCCTTCTCCCCCTCCTGATTCTTTTTTTGCTTTATGGACACAATTTATTACTTTTTTTGGGTAAATCTGAGTGACCAGTTAGCACATCCTATTTCCAGAGATAGACATTTCACCTGCATTTCTGGCTAAGGAGAGGAGGTTCCTCCCTTCTCCAATTGCTGGTCTATTGAGGCCATAGAGTTTCTTTTGGAGGTCACTACTCAGTCTAAAAAACCATTTCAATCTCTTCTCACCCAGCAATTCTCCAGTGAAATATGCTGTTTCAGTTAGTGATGCAGGTTCAGTTAGTGCGTATTGGGACATTGATCCCAGGAAATGATCGTTCTCAGTTCTTTCTAGCATTTTAAAGGTATTCAATTAAAAAATAATAATGATAGTGAGATCACTATGTGGTCAGTGGCATCACCTTCACGTTTGCTCAGGTAAGCATAATGCATATGCAAATTCTAAAAATGTTAGTTCCCTTGCTGATTTTATTTATTATCCATGGAATTACGCAACATTAGAAAACTGTCTTCCAACTCTAAACCTAATGGTTGCGAAAGACCCGCTGAGACTGCTCCAATTCAAGCACTGAAGTCCCCACAAAAGAAATATATGTGCTTTGCAGAATGTGAGATGAGTCCATTCCAGTAGAAATCTCTCCATATCACAGCAGTCACTGGGAAACAATTAGTAGGGGGGAAGAACCATTGAGACTATGTAAGAACTCTTGCCTGGAGGAGAGGAGATAATAAACAGAACAGCGCCACAAGACGAGGCACCAGTGCTTCTGCTGAAGCCATTTATTGACCTGTGACTAGCATGGGGGGTGGGGCTCTGGCATAACTCCCTCAGTGTGACCCTTACCATGGAAAGGGCAGGATATACAAACTGGGAATTCTCCTAGGCTGCATCTGATTATCTGGGACATTCTGTGCAAAGTGGGAAAGGTAGTATTATGATTAGGACAGTGGGCCCTCTGCTGGTCTTGGGGCTCTGACGAAAGCCCAGCTTGGCCACCCTTCAGAGACAGATCTGGAAGGTAGCTACAGGTGGAAGCAAAGTCTTTGAAACCAGGTGATCTGATTTATTCTTGATGGCCCCTGCCATTGATTTTCGAGGACAGGTGATTTACTTAATGTAACTAATTATTGTAATATTAATAAATAGTATTAATAATAAAGAACTCTACAGCTTTTCTGCAGTTCTCACCTCAGTGTGGAGCAGGGTAGAGTGCAAGCTGGGAGTCAGCCTTTTGGATCATTGTTAAGGGCCAAATTAGACTGAGAGGGAAAAAGAGAGAAGGGCAGAAGGGCTGCCTTTTGATATTTAATTCCTTTGAACAACAACAACACCAACACCCATCCCATCTGGCTGGGTTGCCCTGGCCACCCCAACAATTAAAAAGTAGGGGTGAGAGCTCTTAGTCCCAAATGTCGTAAACTATTTTTCAATTTTTATTGGATGCATGGAATAAATTACAGTATTAAATTGAAAAAATGGTCAGTTGTTTAATATGGAAAAATGTACATCTGCAGAGCCAAAATTCAGTGCACAGAGAAGCAATCCATTGGAGAATCTACTAAGATATTTTACCAGCCTTTTTTCAAAAATAAAATAAGTTTTTAGTCCTCATGTGGTCAGTATATCAAAAGTTCAGAAGGCGTATGTCTGCACACTTCCTCATCCTTTCCAGGAGCCCCAAACCACCTCCTTCAGATATTACAAATACATTGCCCACTTAATATCTCACAAATCCTTTCCTATCCTCAATCCTTACTGAAAATTAAGCAATTTCACATATGCTTGGAATTCACTGTTGCTCTTAAGAGGAAAAGAATCCTAACAGGTGATTTCTGGTTTCAGAAGCCAAGCATTTCAATGCACAAACTTCAATCCTCCATTAATTTTTCTGTGAATATTTACTTGAGGGAAGGGGAAAGATGTTTTGCTGCATGCACTGGAAGTCAGGTGTTTGTCTCCACATATGCTCGTATGTCGGGGCCACTTTTTTGCATTACACTTTCAGGTCTGTGCCTGTTTTAAGTGCAGCTCTAAATACAAAATGTATGAATGTGACAAACACATTTCATCTAACCAGGGCTTTTTTTCCAGCCGGAACTCAGTTCTGGCACCTCTCAGGCGGGGACCATTGCCTTCATAAGAGAACAAGGGAGGCGTTCATGGTGAGGTCTGGCACCTCTTTTCCTAGAAAAATAGCACTGCATCTAACACATGTACAACACAAGGACACTGATCTGCGCATCTGCCTGCAGTTTCCTATTGATCCAGCTTTGCCCCTGTCTAATGTGAGAAATGGCTTTGGATAGCAGAGGATAAGTGTGCGAGAGACTACATCTGAGTAAGTTATGGGAAAGGGCACAGGCATTCTCTTTTTATTTTTTTATTAATTGACATCCAAGAATATCATACACAGTCTTAAATACACATACAAAGAAAAGGTAAAACTAATAATAATAATAACAACCTTTATACCGTTAAATATTGATTTAAATTTGTACTTATACGTGCTCTTTTCTTATACTTTCTAACTAGACAAAAATAAACCAAAGTAAAATCCAATAAACTAAATTATGTCAAAATATACTTCCCGTCATTTCCCGACGTAAGTTACATTTACAACATTGAATGTACTTATACTTCTTACCTTACTCTTACTATATTTTCTAATACTTTCTTATAACATATCGTACCATTTTTCCTTATTTAATAATATTTAATTTACACAAGGGTCATTCAAACGCTGCCACAGATGTTGTGTCATTATTGTATTTTTGTAGGTACAGTATTTCTTGAACATATCCCATTTTTGCGTGAATGACTTTTTTGTATTTCCCCTTAATCTATTTGTCAATTGAGCCATTTCTGCATAGTCAAATAACTTATTCTGCCATTCCCTTACTGTTGGTACTTTCCCCCCTTTCCAGTTCGATGCAATTAATAACCGGGCAGCGGCTGTCGCATATAAAAAGATTTCTCTTATATTTTTCTCATGCATGCACACTTGCTATCAAAGACCACAAATTTGCCATGAGATCACAGTGTCACACATGCAAACATGCAGAGACAGATCAAACCTTGCAGTCAATGCCTGGCATGTGCATGTCCAGACACGATACTCAGACACACCTGCTGGACAGTAGGTGTTTTGATTGGCGCACTGCACCCCTGGATCAGTTTTCCGTCATGTCGAAGCCACCAAAACTGTAACAGGCTTGAAGAGGTGAGAAAGAAGCCTCTGGTGTGAAGGATGGCTCCCCAGGCAGCTTGTAATTAGGACACTCGCTGGGTTGCAGCTCCACCTCCCCTTAACTCAAGTGCATCTGATACACTCTACATGGAATTCCAAAGTTTAATTTAGCTTAACTCTTGGCTAGAATCAACAGCTGATAAATTTAGTTGGAGGGATTAAGGATTAAGACTAAGACCTCCATAAAAGGAGCCCAAAGACAGGAGACAGCAAAATCCAACAACCGTCACAAAGCCCGCCATGAAAAACTGACGCAGAAATGCAGTTCCTGCTTCAGGCTAGGATTGGTGTCAAGGCTTGGCCTGGTTGGGCATCTGCTGAGGGCCACAATCTAAGAAGGAGCTCTCTGATAAGAGCCCTCAATGCAATTTCAGACATAAATAAAATTGCTGTTTGTGTGGATGGGAAGTATGTTACTAGAAGTAACATATCCATCATGTTTAGTACGCCCTGGTAGCCTTATCCTCCATGAGCTGATCTTACAAAAGGCTAGGGCTTCCCCCCCCCAGCCAGAACTCACCAGAACTAGGTTCTGGCACCTCTCAGGTGAGCACCATTGCCATTAAAAGAGAACAAGGGAGGCATTTGTGGTGAGTTCTGGCAATATCTCTTTGTCCACCAATTTCTACTAGGACCTAGCTGGTGAAGACTTGTCCAATAAAAAAGCCTTCCCTAGACTGCATTTCAGGTTTCACTCAGAAATTTATTGAAGGAAAGACTTTTGCTGATGAAGCTCTCATTTCAAATGGGTTTCTCAAGGGTGTTTTTTATTCTCTTAGCAGAAAGCATGCTGATAGAAATGTTTTCAGTACTTTCAATACAACCAAGGTGAACGTACAGACCACCTGGTATACCCATTGTGCTCTTGTCCAAAATAAAACTGACAATACGCATGATCAAATGTATACATTCACCAAGCCTCATGGAACATGTGCACATACTATTTCCATGAAGAGGGAATTGTACACATTAACTGGCCAGTATACATTGTGTTCATAAGGCAATGGGGAATGTGCACATCTAGACTGAATTTTGTATATTCTCAAGCCATTATACATGATACATTATACATGATCCCCAACAGGCCTTGTGGAATATGCATCTCCCCCCACCTCACCATCCCAGTATAGCTTAAAGCACCTATAAGCTGTCAGAATTTTGCAGGATTGATTTAAGTACATGCTGAGGAATTTGGGGTTGTCCATTTACAGTAGATTAAAGTGTTCTATCTTCCTAGTGCAACATACAGTTAAGAAAAGAAACAGAGTTTTGCAGTTAGGAAAGTAATGGGAAAATGCATTGACTGGTGTGAAATGAAATAACCCTTTGATGCTGGAGAGAGATATTTTTAAGACTTCCAGTCTAGTGGTGGTTGTAATTTGTTTTAAAGTGTTTTTAATATTGTACTTTACATTGCTGGATCTTTCAGAATGAATTCTCAGTAGACACCAGACATGGTGTAACCTCCACATAAGCTTTGTGCAAGCAAATCAGGAGAGATGCTCAGTAAATAAATGCTCAATAAATAAGTCATTTGGAGCAGCCCTTAGTCACAGACAGTGTCAAATAGCATTTCAGAAGGGGTATTGGCCCAAAGAGATTTCTGGTGCTAAACCCTTGCTGCTTATTTTACAAGAATCATTAAGGCAGGCCTGACTTTCCATGGGATTACCGGGTCAGTTCCTGCCCTGCATTCCAGAGCTTCCTGTCGTGCCTCACATGCCACTTGATTAAGAGGGAGCTGAAACCGGCAAGGCAGGGGCCAAAGCCAAGTCATTAGCTGCCTTCAGGAATTCCATTCTCCTTCTTTCAAGGCCAGAGATGGATGGACAGGGGAAGGAATGTGGGAGGTGGTGGATATGGAAGAAGGCTGTGCCTGCACAAGATTTTGCAGTGGGATGGATGCACTTCACTAGTCCATCTTTGAATTAAGCCTTGCCTGCATGGTCCTAGGTGTTAACACAATAGCATTTAGATCAAACTTTTAAACTGAGTGGACACATCCCAGCCAACTGTAATCCTAAACAACTGCTCTCTTTCAGACTCTGGCCTTTGTCCTGCTAACTAACTCAGACCTGGAGTCGGGGCATCTCCCAAGGGCCGTCTGGCAGGGCCCCCTCTCTCTGGCTTTCCTAATGGCCCATTAACTTCCCTTGGTCTTTGGTTAATGACTGATTTCATGAACATGGAAGTTTGGCTTGTATTTTACACTTTGCTAAATCTGGCAGCCAATTGTATTACTCCAAGCCTTGATTAAATTCTAACACCTATCAGACCCAGGAATCAAGGGGAATCTGGCGTTCACAAATGCTGGCACCCACAACTCAAAGCACTATCATGACGGTGGAATGTTTGCAGTATAGAAGATATGTTGTATGATTTTGTGCCTCTTGTGCAGTGAGTCTCCTAGTAGTTGGATATCACCTCAAGTATCTCTGTAAGTTTCTGAACCACGATCATGTGTGTGTAGCAGACACAAGAGGAGTAGTGGGCTGGAATCTTGTTCAAGTCATGCATCCCAACCCTCCTGTCTACATGGCTTAGCCAAGAGGAAAGATTTATGGCTAGCTGCTGACTAGTCCATCTTAGTGCTTCCCATAAATTAAAAAGCAGGACATATGTGGGTCAGGTTTTGGAGCTGTACTGTATGTCTTTGAAGACCGGGTTGGAGACTCCCACTCTCCCCACTTGTTTGCCCTTCTCGTTCTTATCTGCTGTGGTGTGGTGGTAAATTTTGAAGTGCAGGAACTCATCAAGACAAACTCCAAAAATGCAGACCCCCCTCTCCCTCCCTCCTATACATAGGGATGGAGAGGAAGTTTGATCCCCCCATTTTAATATGAAACTATACTTTTCAAAGCAATGTGCAAGCTATCATTTCAAATTCACATTTCTCTGAATTTTGTGATGCAGTTCTCCAACCAGACAATATTAGCATAATGTGTGTACATAGGAAGAATAACATAAAAATGCATTATAGAATGAGACATTACTATCTATCATCTATCTATCATCTATCATCTATCTATCTATCTATCTATATCTATCTATCTATCTCTATCTATCTATCTATCTATCTATCTATTTATCTATCATCTATCATCATCTATCTATCACCTATCATCTATCTATCTATCTATCTATCTATCTGAAAATTCAGCAGCATTTTAGTGCAAATTTATCCTAAAAACACATTTTTGTATGATTTTGACACACACAGTCAAAACCATACAAAATGTGTTTTTTAGGAGAAACATGCACTAAAATGCTGCTGGATTTTCATAAGGATTAAGGGAAAATATCACAGATTGGTACAGAAACATGAAGAACTGGAAAGAAGATGGGAAAAATGAGAAATGCAGAGAACCAAAATTGAGAGATTTGTCCATCCCTACTTATATGCATAGACATGTGTATTTGAATGTTTGTCTCATATATACTGAGGGAGGGCTGTATATAGCATAATTCCTAATTTACAGAGATCACCATGACTGCCACCCTGTGCATGGCTTCCTGGGCGTACAGCTCTATTAAATGCTATAGGGCTTACTTCTGACTGCAGAGGTTCAACTTGTCAAATAAATTGAGCTTAAACAAAAGGTCTCCAGCCTTTCAATCTGATGCGCAAACAATCTTGCAAATAAAAGTGTTAACTTCTAAACCAGTAGTATGAAACAGGAACTTCATCAAAAGCAAGAAAGGCATATTCAGTGCATGCTTGGCTATTCCCCTTATCCTCCGACTTCCTCTAATCTGTCACAAACAAACCTGAAACCTCATTAACACCTCACACACCTACCAGAACAGGGAGGGTTCATCAGAAAGAAAGAAGTCCCAGAGCTGTGCTCCTTAGCACCTTCCCCCCGCTACACCACTGTAAATAAGTATTTTATTTCTTATTCTTATATCATTTATTGAAAATATTTTACCCATCCTTCATCACAAAATTATATTAGGGTCGGGTGCAATAACATAAGTCACAATAAGAACTTTCAACTTCAAGAATGAAACTAACAGATAAAAGAGATAAGAAGCATAGCAAAGTCATCAGGGTTGGCCCTCCCATGAGACAAGGTGAAGTGACTGCCTCAGGCGGCAGGATCCACGGGGCAAAAGATCCAGCCTTCAGGGAATTCATTGCCTGCTGCTGCCGTAGTAGTAGTAGGAGCCAGTGTGGCATAGTGGTTAAGAGCAGTGGACTCGTAATCTGGTGAACTGGGTTCAATTCCCTGCTCCTCCACATGCAGCTGCCGGGTGACCTTGGGCCAGTCACACTTCTCTGAAGTCTCTCAGCCTCATTCACCTCACGGAGTGTTTGTTGTGGGGGAGGAAGGGAAAGGAGAATGTTAGCCGCTTTGAGACTCCTTAGGTAAGGTAAAGGGTAAAGGGACCCCTGACCATTAGGTCCAGTCATGGACGACTGTGGGGTTGCAGCGCTCATCTCGCTTTACTGGCTGAGGGAGCCGGAGTACAGTTTCCGGGTCATGTGGCCAGCATGACTAAGTCGCTTCTGGCAAACCAGAGCAGCGCACGGAAATGCCTTCCCGCCGGAGCGGTACCTATTTATCTACTTGCACTTGACGTGCTTTCGAACTGCTAGGTTGGCAGGAGCAGGGATTGAGCAACGGGAGCTCACCCCGCCACAGGGATTTGAACTGCAAACCTTCTGATCAGAAAGCCCTAGGCTTTGTGGTTTAGACCACAGCACTACCCACATCCCTTGAGACTCCTTAGGGTAGTGATAAAGCAGGATATCAAATCCAAACTCTTCTTCTTCTTCTAGTAGTGAAGGCTGCAGTTCACTCCTTGGAGGCAGGATCCGTACCTCCTTGGCAGTCCCCCAAATGGCACCTCTAAAGGGACCTCTGGGTGAATTGGAGGTGCTGCTGGTCTCCTCCCACCTGCAGGTTTCCTAAAAAAAGAAACTTGTGCCATAGTTGCAGTAGATATGTCAGGGAATTATGTTCCACAACCTTGTTAAATATAATTAAAGTCAACAATAAACTAAAAGCAGATTAAAACAGATGCAATGTCCACGTGTTTGGGAGGGGAATGGGGTATTCCTAACAACTCTCAACGCCCTTCACAAACTGCAGACCCCAGAAATCTTTGCAGGAAGCCATGGCAGTTTAAAGCGGTACTTAGTTGTACACTGTGAATGTGGCTAGGCCATCGGGAGGGTTGAGAAAGGGAGTGAGGGGGAAGAAGGAGGAAATCTGTGCGGATGCTGTTGCACAAGGCCAGGAGTTATCCAAACATCCTGAGGCCAGCTTAGACATTTGCCTGATATCTGCCCTCCCTCCCGTTGCTTCTCAGCAGCACAGGACGGGTGTGTGTGCCTGGGTTGGCAGGCTGCTGAGAAGAGTTTCAAATTACAGAGCATCAGAGCCCTGGGCATAAAATTAGCAGCAGAGCTTTTTGGAGTGAGGCGCCAGCAGAAAATGTCACATTCAGCAGAAGGAGAAAAGCGGGAGACCTGGAACCTGAAGAATGATTTCTCACCACAGCCACCTTGCTGTTCCCCCACCCTTCCTCTCTCTCCTTCTATAGTTCTGTGCATCCTGGGAGACCCCAAAGCCTAGTGGCTTCTTAATAACAGAGGTTGGAGGCAGAATAATTAGATGGTGTGGCCTCCAAGCATCATCATCAGGACTTTGGCTCACATTTCATTTCCCTCCTCTCTTCCTATGCAACCCCTTCCCTCAAATATGGCAAGAATTCACATTCTCCCTTCCAAGAATTTGCTCACAAAGAATGCCCCAAAAGACTAAGACGAGAGCGAGGCAGCCTGTGCTTTGATTCCTCCAGTGTTTCGGCCTAATTCCTGCTCAGCCGTTTCTTCCTTTGAAGGGAGGACAGCAGGTCACAAATTGTCCATAGATGGGAAGCATCAAAATCAATGCAAGTTTTGGAAGCAGAGGTGAGGAGCAGAGGTACCGAGGTCTGCAGCTTGCCAGCAATGTGTTCAGAATGACCTCTCTTCACACCTGAGTTGAGGGAGTGGGAGGACATATAACGGAAATCTCCTCTTGCTCTCTCTTCCCAGCCACCCCACTCCTCCTCTAGGGTGACCACTAGAGAGGGAGGAGAAATATTTAGTTCACATTTAAAAGCGAATCTAACAAATGTGCAATTTTTGAAAGGAGGCCACCCCCACCCCCTGAGTAAAGAATGATGGGAAACATAACACAATATGAAGAAGGGGGTAGGACCAGGTCCCTGGCTATTACAAGAAGCAGCACAGAAATGAAGGATCTTAAAAGAAACGTTGTACAGAGTTCCTTTGCTTTGGGACTGCTTAGCATAACCTGACCACATGTACTGTGGTAGGGAATCTTTCCCCCTTACCCCGAAAACACAGTATTTTCCCCCAAAATAAAAATAAAACCACAGTATGATTCTCATAATTATTTCCTCTTTCTGCCAGGGGTGAAGGAGAAATTCATTTTAATTCCTATTTAAAGGTGAATCTAACAAATTCACACTTTCTGAAATAATACGAAGCTTAGCCATCCTCTGAAATTTTCACTTCTCTCAATTTTGCAATGCATTCCTGTAACCTTGTAATCTGTACAAAAATGCATACACTAGTGTGAAGTGTGCAAAAAATGTACGTGTTAGAGAAGACAACGTACAAAAACACATTATATTAGGGAACATTGATTTGCACAAATTTGCATATCAGGGGGAAAAATGCAAGCAAGTGTGTATTTTAGGAGAAAATGGCCCTAAAATGCTGATTAATTTTCTTGAGGACTTTTTTTTTAAAAAAGCACACTGATGTGGAAATGCAAAGAGCTGAGGGAAGAAAAATACAAGAAACTGAAAGAAACTGAAACTGACAGATTTGCCCATCCTTACCTTCTGCAAGATAAACACCAGCAGGAATCTTGCTTATCTGAAAAGAGAAGGGTGTTTGGTATTCATGACAAGTAACTCTAACAGTCGCTGGCACACCTTGGTGCTGGCAGATACCAGGTCTCTTGTTCAATATCCATGCAGTACAATCCTATGCACATGTGTAAGTCCCACTGTGTCCAATGGGGTTTACTCCCATGGAAGTGTGCACAAGATTGCAGTCTGAGAAGCCTGGGGCTTAATGGTTCAGATGATTTCCTCTTCCTTCTCTCTGCACCCTTTGTACTTTTCATCATTGCTGACATGTGAGGTTCAGGGTTATTCTCCATCATCACTGCAACACTAAAAGAGGCCCTATGTGCTCCTAACAGGGCTCTTCCTTTTTCTTTACACATCTGTAAGGGCTGGATCTACCAGTTGGCAGAGTGAGGCAGCCAGCTGATTTGGGTGTCACAAAGAGGCAGTAAACTATTTATTATGAGTTAGTTATTTAATTAGGAACACATGAAGCTGCCTTATACATGCACCAGCATTTTCTGCACTGACTGGCAGCAGCTCTCCGGTGTTTAAGGCAGGGGGCTCTCTCAGCCCCACCTGGAGATATGAGGGATTGAACCTGTGACCTTCTGCATGCAAAACAGAAGCTCAGCCTCTGAGTTATGGCCATTCCCAAATTTATTCTTGTTATCTTTTTTTTTTTACAGCCAGGGAGGGGATGCTTGTAGAATCTGCTGTCTCAGCTGCCAAGATAACTTATCTGGCCTTGGGCACCATGCACCTTGACTTGGATGGATGGGTGAGTGTGGGGTACCATTTGCTGTTCTTCCTCAGTGTCAGGCGTCAGGGAATCTGATCCCCCTATGGTAGGCTTCCAGGAATAGATAGATAAGGAAGGTTCCTACTAATGTCTTTTATTCAATATTCACAGAGAGAGGCTTAGAAATGCAACCTTTTGGAGTAATGGTGTTGCTCTGAGTAATCCCCACCCCGCTTCCCTCCTCAATCATCAACAGCACCACCCACCTTACGGTGGCTGCTTAGGGCCATTTGTCTCTGAGCTCTTTGCTCTCCTACTTTCAATGCTTGCCGGGTTCTGGGAGAAGGGGGTCTGGAATGTTTTCTAGTGATAGTGAGTCAGGCAGCTGCTCCAGCTCTGCTTCCCCCTCCTCTTCTCCCATTATTTCCCAACTTTGCCCCTCATCTACCTCTGAGCTGTGACCTCCTGCAAACCACTGTGGTAAATCTATACTTTCTTGCTTTTCTCTGGAAGGTTCAGGCTGGGGGTGGGGTGGTCTCCACCATTCCTTCTATCTGTCCAGTCCCTGACACTCAGGCAGCAGAATGTTGCTGTTGTTGTTGTCTCCAGCAGGTCCAGTCTAGAGGCATTTTGCTACCTGAAACAAAAGAGAAGATGGTGGCTGAATCTTACTTGAGCCCTGGAAAACAGGACCACACCCTCTGGCTGCCCACTGTGAGATCAGGATTCTGGACTAGATGGGACATTGGCCTGATCCAGCAGGGGGCTTCTTCTGTTCTTATCAGTGGCTTTTTGAGTACAGGACAGGCATTTCACACACAGCTCAACACCTCACCACCACTCCATGTCCTGCAGCATCTGCTGCCTGAGGCTGCCACCTCCCTCTGACAAAATGGCAGGGCTAGCCCTGGCCTCCAAGTTCCTTTGAAAAGGAAGACATCTGTGTGACGATAGGTGCTCTAGCCTAGGCTTTTAGTGCTGCTCAGGAATATGCTGATGGTGTTTCGTGGCATCTCATTCTTCAACAATGTCTCTGAAGAGCAGCCAAGCAGCTCAAATGCAACATCCATTAATCTGTTCCTCCAGAGCAGCTCAATCTGGTGCTCAGAGAGGGGAAAACCTTGAAAGGAGATTTGTGGACTGTGTGCAGCATACCTTGTCCAGCTCCCTTGTCTTGTCCTGGTCCAATGCCAGAGGAAGTGTGGGGCTCGTCAAAAGCTGCAGCACCCCGGAGAGCTCCAAGTAAGCAATTTGCTCCAGTCAGAGGTTGAAAGCAGAAGGAGACCTTTAAAGTCCTAGTCCCCAGACTCCCTCCTCCAGCCTCTACCCCCTGGTGGAGAACATCAGAGGCCAACCCTCTGGCCTGAAGATGGGCACTCCTCTTCTTCCTCCTCCTCCTCTGTTCTGTAGCCTCCTTCCAAATGCTGTTGGTGCCAGTGGGAATCCATATTGTGGCCCTACAGGTCTGAGAGGTTCTTCTGGGGGCTCCTGTCCAGCAACCTCAGGTCCACTGGTGTCCTGGTCTCCACTGGTCGGCTGAGAGCCTTGAACTTGATCTGGCTCCTTAAGCTCTACAGCCTCTGGCTCTGTGTCTGGATTGCTGGTGGGTTCAGGGGCCATGTCACATCCAGACACCCCAAATGGTATGCAAAACAACAACAACACCTTAAACAGGGAACCTCCAGCTCACATTTTATTTTTAATCACTGTACTATAAAACATTAGTATATTGTATGGTCTGTATTGCAAAGAAAAGGCACGGCTAGTGTTGGGGTTGTGCATAAACCTCCAGGCTCCAGTCCTCTTTGGGCTGTGAATTTCAGTGCATTGTCACAGTCAAGCCGTCAGCACTCATCCTGATCTAACCTACACCACCCTGTTCTTGTGGGGATACAATGCTGCTCTGCCCTCATTGGAAGACGGCCGGGGTTCAGGTGTGCAAGAGAAATAAAATGTGCTTGCGATCTTAAGAGGCTGGGAAACCATAGCAAATCCCACAATGTAAAAGTCAGTGTGACAAAAGAACTTTGGAGTGTGTGGGAGATCCAGAGAAAGATGCTGTTTCTAAGGCTCAAAACAATTAATATCTGTATGTGCCCTTGTTAACCTGCGCAGAGGCAAAAGCGCAGAGCTGGTTCTTTAAATAGGCTTAAGCCCACAGCTCAAAAAGGCAAGCAATTAACCTGTGGAGAGGGCACAGTGAATACTGAAGAATTTATTTAGCGCCCCTTTTATAGCATTCCCTGGACAAAGAGAAAATACTTGAAAAGCTGGAGAAGGGTACCTCGAGGAGACATGACTTTGCATTACAAAAATCACCTGGTGTTTCATAATCCTTACCTTTCCCCCCTTTGAATAGATATGGTACCTTATCTGGGATTGCTATCCTGCACACCGGATTCAAGTGTCTCTGAATTCAATAGGATTTACTTTTGAGCAGATATGCACAGGGCTGCATGGTAACTTGGCTCTTGTGGATGTGAAACCTTGCACTGGTTTAAGGTGAAACCAGAACACACAGCAATTTCAAATAGATCTTAAGAACTGCTGATCTGATTCAGAAATAAATACTTTGTGACAAAACTATGTATAAAATCTGACAGTGGATATGCGTGATATTATTTCTGCTATATATCTGTGCTGTCTCAGGAACAATGCTCATGTCCTCTCCTGAATTCACCTCTGTTGGGAGATTTCTTTTTCTTTTTTTAACCAGAAAAATAAAGTGATGGAGAATCATATTGCTAAGCACTGCCAGATGCATTTAGAGCTGGAGATGTAATGCAACGTTGCCCCCACCAGAGATGTAAAATTTCAAGACAGTTGAAGTCATAGGGGTTGGTGGGAAGAAAATTGAACTGTAAGCAGTACATTTCATCAAATCTTAAACTTCTGTTAAACCACTTTTAAGAGTGTGAAATGTTTGAAGGGTAACATAGGAAACACACCAACACTGTTCTGTGGTTCAGCAAATTTTTGAAATGTTAGAAGTATAAATACCTTAATTTAATTAAAATTACTATTGCAAATACATCGATCTGCTGCATCCCAGGTCCTAGTCCTATACTCTAACCACTACACCAAACTGGCTCTGCATTTTTGAATTTCCTGCATCTCTAGATGAAACGTAAACCCTATCTTAGCTGAAATATGGACATGCAGTCTAACAGAATTTGTTTGTTTTGACCTCAGGGTTACACACACAGTAGATGTAGGGGTGCCTCTCTCTTTCTTTCATCTCTCCCTAATTAACAACATTCATGTATGCAGGCCCAGAGCATGTGGCTTCCTCAAACGCTTTACATGCCATGTGTAAAAATAATCTCTCTTCCCCTTTCCCTCATGAACCAACAGGCCGGATCTAGCTTTTGTGCATGGTGATCTGGCCTTTCATGTCCCTTGGGTTTTCTGAGGAGGAAGCACAAGGACTGTGGTTAGAAAGTTCTGTTAACAGACACCCCGGAGAAAGGAAAGGTGGTGCTGAGTCTGCCTTCTTGGGTTACATGAGGACTGGACACAGTCAGCACTGCTCGGGAAAGAAAGGCCTCATCTGTGCTACACATTTAAAGCAATACCATGCCACTTTTAACCAGCCCATGGCTCCCCTGCCCAAAGAATCCTGGGAGCTGTAACTTGTTAAGGTTGCTAAGACTCGTTAGGACACCCCCATTGCAAGGCTGCAGTTCCTAGAGTGGTTTAACAATCAATCCTTCTTCTCTGGAAACTCTGGGAAGGCAGACTGCTGTGGTTTCCTGCAGTGCAACAAAACCAGCACCTGGAATGTTTTTTTTTTTATTATCTGTTAACTTTCTTTCTACTCTTTAGGAATGGTGAATTTTATTCTATGATTGTGTTTTGTCCCACTTGGATTTATTGTTAATACTGATTTCTCTTCACCCCTTTGCCTTGTATCGTCATTAGGGTTGCCACCCATCCCTAGAAAAACAGGTTTGCCCTGTTTTTGCACAAAAGTGTCCCCTGTCCTGTTTGGACTTCCCCCCCGTATTCAAGCTTGGTGGGCCCAAAATGGCGGTTGCATCGCTGTTGGTGCGACTGACAAGAAAAATTTACATTTGCAGCTTTGTCCCCTTGGCATGTGAGCTCTGGAAGGCTCATTGAAAGGAATCTGACCCTCAGTGGAGAGAGCCAGTGTGGTGCAGTGGTTAAGAGCGGTAGTCTCGTAATCAGGGGAACCGGGTTCGCGTCTCCGCTCCTCCACATGCAGCTGCTGGGTGACCTTGGGCCAGTCACACTTCTTTGAAGTCTCTCAGCCCCACTCACCTCACAGAGTGTTTGTTGTGGGGGAGGAAGGGAAAGGAGAATGTTAGCCGCTTTGAGACTCCTTAAAGGGAGTGAAAGGCGGGATATCAAATCCAAGCTCCTCCTCTTCTTCTTCTTCTTCTTCTTCTTCTTCTTCTTCTTCTTCTTCTTCTTCTTCTCTGTCCCCTCTCTGAAAATATAAGTGTTCCCTCTTTGCAGATATGAGCTCCAAGGTTCCCCTCCCACCACTCTAGGTGGCAGCACCACACTTTAAGGCCACTTTACATGCAAGAAGGGCCTGCAGATGGGCAGGTGGCCTGTAGAAAGTGTGCTGCACCCTGGAGAAACTCAAAAGTCATCATTTATCTAAGCAGAGTTTCTACCTAGCAAATATGCTCTCATTTTCACTTTAAACATCTTTGCATTTAACATGAAGGTTTCAAAAACCAAAACAGCATCAGAGGGAAAGGAGGAGGGGGCTGATAATCAATAGGATCAGAATAGGCGTGGAGGGGAGGAATTAACCCTTTCCTGCCAATTTAACCCCTCTTAAATGCAAAAATGTGTTTAACATAATCTGTCCTCATTTCACCCTGAGTGTATTCTCTGCCTGGCACATCCTGACTGAGTCATTTTACATTTGTGCAAGTGAGTTCCTCAGAAAGGGGGTTGGGTGGGTTGCTGCCTTTTGAATGCTCCAGAGCCCAAATCTCACAGCTTTGTTCAGGTGTCAATATTTACTTGGGTGGGAAACTGGCTTCTATTGCAGTTTGGCCTTACTTGTGCATGTGTGTGTTTTAAAATAGGGTCAAGCATTTTTGACACAGGCGTATGCACAACTCTTCTCTCTGTTTCAAAAGCCCCGTTCTTTCAGTTGCACTTCCTCAAATTGGACGAGGGAGGGGAAGGCCGATAAAAGTCAGACGCTTCTGAAAACAGAGAAGTATTCGGAGGTCTCTGAAGCCTCGTAGAGAGTTTGCAGCGCACATTTTAGGCCAAGGCAGGGTGCTGAGTTTGCCTTGCCTGAGCTGTCTGAGGTGTGGAGAAGCTGAAGGACCATTAATCCCTTTGGCTCTCGTGCTGACAAGGAACTGTAGGAATGTCTCAACAGCTGCGAGGTGAGAGGTGAGTCCCTCAGACACTTTCTCCTGGATACTCTAGCTTTTGCTTGAAAGAAAATGTCAGGAGCAAAGGGGGACAGGGGGCTCTCACACCTTTAATAGTTGTGTAGAAGAGGGCAGTGATGGTGGGCACCCATTGGAACTGGTAGCACAGAAGGCAGGCAGCCCAGCAATAGGGGGAGCCAGAGCCAATGACACGCAGAGGCCATTAATCCTGGTTTTGCTTCTATCCTCCTCCCTGCTGAGTTCTGCAAAGAGGGGGAAGCTGCCAGGGCCACCCAGTGGACTGGATGTAAGTAAGAAGGCAGGCAGGTGGAGGGTGACTGAGGACAGACTGAGGTTGGTGGGGCACTGCCCCATTAGCTTCAGTGAGGCAGCCTCCACTGGAGGAAAAGATTGTCAAGCAATCCTCTTCTATAAGACCAGGGGTCAGCAAACTTTTTTAGCAGAGGGCCGGTCCACTGTCCCTCAGACCTTGTGGGGGGCCAGACTATATTTTTTTTTTGGTGGGGGGGAGAATGAACGAATTCTTATGCCCCACAAATAACCCAGAGATGCATTTTAAGTAAAAGCACACATTCTATTCATGTAAAAACACGTTGATTCCCAGACCGTCCGTGGGCCGGATTTAGAAGACGATTGAGCCGGATCTGGCACCCAGGCCTTAGTTTGCCTACCCAGGTACAAGACTGTTGGAAATGCAGGAGCCTACAGTCCTCTTCTCATTTGGTCACTCTCATTTGAACAGCTCTCTGGAAAGTTTGTCTACTTGATCCAATGTTTGGATCTGCCTCTAGAAAACATAACAATGTCAAATACTGGTGAGCTTCTTTTAATAATAATAATAATAATAATTTATTTATACCCCGCCCATCTGGCTGGGCTTCCCCAGCCACTCTGGGAGGCTTCAAAAAAAATATATTAAAATACTGTAATACATCAAACATTAAAAGCTTCCCTAAGCAGGGCTGCCTTCAGATGTCTTCTAAAAGTCTGGTAGTTGTTGTTCTCTTTGACATCTGGTGGCAGGGCGTTCCACAGGGAGGGCGCCACTACCAAGAAGGCCCTCTGCCTTTTGCGGGAGAGAGTCCTACAAGACCTGAGCAAATACTAAGGTGGCTCTGGTCTTAGATGCAAAAGAGGGCAGGACTCCATTTGCAAGGAATACCTGGTAAAATTCCTTCTTCTACACAACTATTTGAGGAGTGAGAGCCCTGTCCCCTTTTGCAGCTGGCCCCTCTAGTTTTAAATTATAAACTGTTTCAATTCTTCAACTCACTGGTAGGGAATCTTCAGCCTGCAGGCCTAACCAGGCCAGTCATTTGGTCATCCTCATTTGGTGCACGAGGCTGCTTTGGCCAAACCATCGTCACCTGCCCTTCACCTGATGTCATATAAGGTTAAGGTAAAGATATGCTTGGGCCAAACTGGAGGTTAAGCTAACCCCTTTCCAGCCCCGTGAGGAGCGCGGGGAGCATTCGCGCAACACACCTACACACTGCAGCTGACACACTAATGTGTCGCCACACACAGTTTGGAAAGCTCTGCCCTAAAGTAACCTACTGTCCTCAGGTGCAGTAGGGAGCACTGACCCATCACCGTGGGGATTCGAACCACCAACCTTCTGATAGGCAAGCCCAAGAGACCACAGTGTCATCCATGTCCTCTACTTTTACCTTTTTACTTTTTCCATCACCGCTGTTCAGTTGGCTATTTTAGGTGGAATGGAACAGGTTGCCATCTTGTCCTTTGCGTCAAGTAGCAAAATATTTTGCTTGTTTCATTCATTCATTCATCTGATTTCTTACCCATCCTTCACCATAAGGCCCAAGGGCAGGTTACAGCAATATACTGTAGTATGCAGTTTTAATTGTTTATAACAGTTACAATTATAAGAACAAGTGAAACCATTTCAACCAAAACAGAGCAGTCTAGATTCAACAAGAGAGATGGGCCCTGCAAAAACACAATGCTTTACCTGCCAAAGGGGAAAGCTATTCAGTTTATGGTGAATGTTCTACAACAGAGGTGCTAGGTGCACCTCTGTGGCGAGGGAGTTCCACAATTTAGGAGTGCCACTGAGAAAGCCCTCTTCCAGGTCACTACCCCCCACATTTCCGAGAGTGGTGGAACTACCAAACGAGCCTGTTTGCCTGCCCCGACACCCAATGTGGCCTGTAGAGATGGAGGTGGCCTTTCAGCTAGACACCAACTTGGATGGCTTTAAAAGAGGATTTTCATGGAGTTTAAGGCTATCAGTGGCAGCTAGCCATGATGGCTCTGCTCTGCTTCTATGGCTGGAGGCAGCATGCTTCTGAATACCAGTTGCCAGAAACTGCAGGAGGGGAGAGGGCTCTCTCTTATGCTTGGGTCTGCTCCTGAGTTTCCCACAGGTGGCTGCTAAGAGAACAGGATGCTAGATGGGTCATTGACCTGATCCAGCAGGCTCTTCTTGGGTCCTTATGTTCTTAGATTTTGGGGGACTAAGTTATTTAGGGCTTTGGGTACCAATGTGAATATTGTTTGTGCTTTTTCATTCTTTGTACAGTCATACCTCGGGTTACAGACACTTCAGGTTACGTTTTTTTGGGTTACGGACCACCGAAACCCGGAAGTACCAGAACAGATTACTTCTTGGTTTTGGCGGTCACGCATGTGCAGAAGCACTAAATTGTGCTTTGTGCATGCGCAGAAGCACCAAATTGCAACCTGTGCATGAGCAGACGCACCTCTGCGAGTTGCGAATGCTGCGGGTTGCGAATGTGCATCCTGCATGGATCATGTTCGCAACCTGAGCGTCCACTGTATTATTTGTATTTGTAATACACCCTGATGTTTAATTCATAGGTGGGTGGGGTAGATGTCTCTTGCATCATGACTGCCACCATAGTAACAGCTGTCATCATCTTCACTAATACCATATTGGCCCGAATATAAGCCACACCCCCCCCAATTCTGATCGTGAAAAGTTAAAGTGCGACTTATACCATGACCTTATGCTGCCAGCAAAGTGGCATGGGTCCCCCCCCCCCAAGAAGCAGCCCGGGAGCCCGGGGCAACGGCACCCATCCCGTCTGCGGCTCCCAAGCCTCCTCCAAGCTGCCAAATTTTAAAGGTGCAGCTTATTTGCGGGTGCGGCTTATATTCAGGCCAATACGGTAATCTTTTCACTTGTTTTCCAGTGATTTTGACCAGCTTCCCGATGATGTGCCTGTTTCTGCTAACATCGCAGACATTGAGGAGAAGAGAGGCTTCTCTAGTTACTACGTAAGAGAAGGACTTTTCTTATGAGTTTTGATCTGGGGATTGATGGGGAAACTGGAACTGCAGGAAATGTTTCCTTTTTGGGCAAACAGAATGCATCATTTCACAAGGGAAATTACTTGCTTCACAGCACTAAATTTCACAATACAGTACTGTGATGACTGATGGTTATTACACAGCCTTATCTGTTAGACTCTTTCAAACATAAGCAAAATTCCCTGATAATGTAATCCTGTACATTCTGATTGGGGAACCTGCCTCCTTCCAGATGTTGTTGTGCTACAACTCCTATCATTGGCCATGCTGGCTGGGGACTGATGAGGAGTTGTAGTCTAACAATATCTGGAGGGCCACAGGTTCTTCGCTCTGCCATAGATGTTTACTCAGAAGTACTTTGGCCACCTCATGAGAAGAGAAGACTCCCTGGAAAAGACCCTGATGTTGGGAAAGACTGAGGGCACAAGGAGAAGGGGATGACAGAGGACGAGATGGTGGGACAGTGTTCTCGAAGCTACAAACATGAGTTTGACCAAACTGCAGGAGGCAGTAGAAGACAGGAGTGCCTGGCGGGCTCTGGTCCATGGGGTCACGAAGAGTTGGACACGACTAAATGACTAAACAACAACAACAAAAGCCCCTGAGATACTCAGTGGGACTTAATCACAGGGAATTGTGCATAAGATTCTGCCTAAATATGCATTAGGACATAATGCTAAACCATAGTTTAGTGTTATGTGAATGAACTTGGGAGCAGAAGCTCTTCCCTCCCACCTCCTCTGGAGCAGCCAAGCAGAGGAAATAAGAAGTGTTCATTTCTGTTTTCAGCTAACCATGGTTTGAGATTATGTGCAGAGCAGACAAACTCTGATTTGTGTTAGCTATGGTATGAGGAAACAAGGCCACTTCAACCTGGGCCTAAACCACAGTTAACATTAATCCTGGTTCTGGGTTTGTACATAACAATAAACTACAGTTCTCTGAGAATTGAAGCCTAAATGGTTGTATCATGTTCTCAGTATTCAGTGCAAAACCCACTTATACTCCAGCGCCACTGAGAAAGTCAAGCACAGAAAGATGGTTTGCATATTTGTATGTTCCTGTCTTTCCCCTGCTTGTTTTAAGGGTATAAGAAGCTTAAGCTAAGTCAGGCTACAGGTCCAATTAATTCACACCCCATAGTTCTTTTCCAGGGATGTGGAATCTGCAGCGCTCCAGATGTTGTTGGACTCCAACTCCCATCAGCCGCAGCTCACATAGCCAGTGATGGGAGATGATAGGAATTGTAGTCCAACAACATCGAGGGTCCCAGGTTCTCCATCCCTGGTCTATTTTGACACTAGTTTTCCAGGCCTTTCCAAGTCACGCTGCCCAATATCCTTTAACTGGTGTCTTCTTCTCTTCCAGGTCTTTGTGATCGAGGTGAAAACAAGAGGTGGAGGCAGGTATATGATATTCCGCCGTTACAGCCAGTTCTATAACTTGCATGCCAAGCTAGAAGAAAGATATGGTTCAGAAAGCAGAAACAGTCGCTTTTGCTGTCTACTCCCTGTCCTGCCTGGTAAGACATAAAAACTTTCCTATACCTGTCTTTCATTCTTAGATAAATCTTTTAAAGAATCATTCAGAGTGGCTGAGTAACTGGATAACAGTAAATTCAGATGCTTCCCATGTGTTCCTCCTTTGGATTTTCCAGCACTTGTGTCTGGAGATGTTTGAGGAATTCATTATTTATGAATTCAGATACAAACTGGCCTGATCTATACCTACCAGGCTAATGTGTGGATCAGAATGTAATTATTCTTTGGATTTCACTCTTTTCTGAATCACTTAATTTTTTTTTTTCCAGGAAAAGTTTATGTTGGCGCAAAGAGGGAGATTGCTGACAGCCGAATCCCAGTACTCAATGCGTACATGAAGGTAACTCTGGAAAGAACTGTCCACACTGGTGCATGAGGTTGTCATTATATTGGATCATAAACTGAATGCAAAACCTATGCAGGATATGAATGAGCACTATTCCACTCCAACGGCATTCAAATATGGCTCAAAAAACCGGGGAAGCAACAAGGCAAAGAATTGCATTTGTTTCATATGAACTTTGCCGTCACGGCTTCCTCCAAAGAATTCTGGGAACTGTAGTTTGGTGAAGGAGCTCAGAATAGTTCCTTGGCGATCACTGCCCACCCTTCTAGAACTATAATTACCAGAGGTTGCTAAGGGAAGGGAATGACCACTAAGCCAGCTTGAATGTTATTATTTTCCTTGCTGCATTTGGTTTCAGTAAAGGACACTAACGAATGCAATCCATTTTGTAGGAATGAACCCATGCCAAATTCATAGATTTTAAAATCACTCCTCCACACATACAATGGGGCCACTATGAACACGTAGAAGAATTTTCATTTTCTATTTAACGAGATTTATATACCACATAATGATGATGATATAACTTACTTATGTCTAGATATAATAATAATAATAATAATAATAATAATAATAATTTATACCCAACAAAATATTAAAAATACAATAAAACTATATACATACATATATAGTTTTATTGCATTTTTAAAATAATAATAATAATAATAATAATAATAGATATAATAACATTTAAAAAAATGTAGATGAAGCCAACAGTTTTCTAAAATATAATGTGGGCAAATATGGGGTACAGCTAATTTTTCTCTTGCATCATCAGATCACATAATTTCAGGTCAGCCGTTATGTGCTAACCTGACAACTTTGGCTTAACTACAACATATCAGGAAAAGGCTAAGGAAACCTGCAAGAACGTACCTGCTCATCAAGGGGAAATAACTCGCAATGAATGGGTTATAGTACTGACCTCCCAATCAGACGCTTAGGCCCAAAGTGCAACTTGAAGCCTGTTGTTGCCCAACTCTGACCTAATAGTTGAGAGGATTCTGCACAGTAGTGGATATTCCTAGCACCCCCCTCACTCGTTCAGGGATTATGTGAGGGGGCTGCATTTGCAGTTCCCACCCCAGAGGTACAGCTTTATAGTCACACAGAACTCTTTCTCCTTAATGTTGTACATATATCAGTGTTTAAGAAGTGGTGCCAATACACAAAATCCTACTTCACTCCCACATATTCATTGTAAGGTAAAAGGTAAAAAAGGTAAAGGATCCCTGGATGGTTAAATCCAGTCAAAGGCGACTATGGGGTTGCGGCGCTCGTCTCACTTTCAGGCCGAGGGAGCCGGCGCTTGTCCACAGACAACTTTCTGGGTCATATGGCCAGCAGGACTAAACTGCTTCTGGCACAACGGAACACCATGACGGAAACCAGAGCGCACAGAAATGCTGTTTACCTTCCTGCAGCATTGGTACCTATTTATCTACTTGCACTGGGGTGCTTTCGACCTGTTGTTTGGCAGAAGCTGGGACAGAGCAATGGGAGCTCACCCGTCGTGGGGATTCAAACCACCAACCTTCTGATCAGCAAGCCCAAGAGGCTCAGTGGTTTAGACCACAGCGCCACCTGCGTTATATTCATTATAGATGGGTGGGGTGGGGGTAAACAGCCCCAGAGAGATCTCCTGTTGCTCTGGAGCAGACTCTTACCAGGGGTAATGTCCCATATTCATATACCCCCCTCTCGTTTTCCTTTGACCCAGAAATTGCTTAGCTTCCCAGCCTGGTTGCTGCTAGATGAAGATGTCCGATTGTTTTTCTACCAGTCGGAGTTTGACAGTCAGCAGGTACCTCAGGGGCTGCGAAGGCTTCGCCCACGTACCCGTCGCGTGTGAGTATCTCCTCCCCAGTCTTTCTGCCAAATAAATAAGACATTCCCCCCTTTTTTTACCTGCCTGGAATTTAATCTTGTAGCTTCATGGCCATGCATCCAAATGACACATTGCTCTCCCTCTTCTTGGTGACAGCAAGAGCGTTTCACCCCAGGAACCTGGCTTTGACCGACTGGCAGCCCCGCGGGCAGAGGTGGGTACCTTATACAGCAAGTCGCAGAGGTGCATAAGATTGAATTTCTTTGAAGATATGGAATGTAGGGGCTCATCAACACTTTCCTTGTCCTATGCCTGGAAAGCATGTGTCTGAGCAGTTTTCCATGTTTTCTAGGTCTGGGTTCAAGCAGTTTTGCCTTTGCCTGCTGCTTTCCCCCAGAAAACCCACTCTTCAGCACTAAATTGGGACAAACAGCAATTGTCATTTCTTCTTATTCAATATTAAATAACAGGTTTTCTTGGGGGAAAGTGGTGGGGCATACGGGGGTGTGGATAAGCCCTATGTTTCTAATACCAAAAAGTTTGTTAAAGTAACATAGCCTGAGTTACCCAGCTTGTGCAAATAAGTATTTTGGCTTAGGAGAGCATATTCTTTAGATACCATGGGTCACCCTAGTTTGGGATTCATAAACTAACCTTAAACTCTAGTTTACAATCCTGGCTTGATCCTAGCTTGTTTGGGAGCAAGAACCCAGAGTGCTGGGTTTTCACGTTGTGGGAAACCAAGCTTAATAGATAGGAGAAATATAGTTGAAGTCAGGGTGTGTGTGTGCAATAGAATAATAAACTCTGCAATCTCATTTATTGGACATCGCCTTCAATGACTGGAACTATGGGGATGTGATCTTTTTCTTCTGTGAGCCTAGACTCAATCCATCCCTCCAGTTCTGTTACTTTATTTATTTGTTTCTTTTGATAGGCACTGTTCGATTTTACTGGGTCCACTAAACTGGAACTGAGCTTCAAGAAGGGAGACTTGATTTATTTGCTCAGCAGGGTCAACAAGGACTGGTTTGAGGTAAATATCAAGGCCTTATCTGATCATATATTACTGGCTTGATTTCTAATGTCTACCCAGCTTGCAGTGTGCTTTTAATCAGGGGCTGGATTAGCTTTATTGGCATTGCTGGATAGATAAAGACATCACCAATTTTTGAGGATGGATTTGTGATTCCACTCCAGGTCAGAAGTGTGTGTATGTTTTAAATGGACAATCTAGACAGCTGTGTTGTTGTGCATAGTTTGCTGCTTTTTGGCCAGATTTTTGTCATTAATGGCACTTTTACTTACTGCCCTCGTCTTCTGCAGCTCATTTCCCAGCCCCCTCATTCCCTCTTACGAAGATCTCCTTTTCACTGCGCTCATCATAGGAGATCCTGTGCCACATCCATAGTCAACAAATTCTTGCCATGGTGCTCTCGCGCAACCATAGAGGCGTGCCACCCTTTTAAAGACACTGCTTGTCCCCACCATCTTGTCCCAGGGAACTGTCCGAGATGCCACTGGAATTTTCCCATGTGCTTTTGTGGATATCATCAAAGAACTCCCACAGGAAGAGGACACCATCAACTGGCTGCGCTGCTATTATCATGATGACAATGTCAGCAGCATCAGGTAATGCAGGGGTGGGGAAACTTCTTCAGACACGGGGCCACCTTCTGTTCTGGGTAACCAATAGTGGGTGGGGCCAGAGGCAAAAATGGGTGGAGCAAAGAAGGTAAATTCACTAGGATAGTTTCCACATGCACCTCTTCCTATCCTCCATCCAGGCAAACAAACAGCATTATCAGAGGTCAGTGACACATTTCAGCCAGGTGAACTATTCAAGGAGGGGCAATGTCTGGGGACAGGGGATGTGGCTGGGGAAGATGTGTGGTTTGGGGAGAGTGCCGAGGGCTGGATAGAAAGGCTTGGAATCGCTGCTTCTGGGGAGCTATTGCAGCAACCTGGATTGACCCTTTATTTTTATTAAATTTGTATACCCCCCTTCATCTCAGGGCAGTTCACAACATGAAAATACAAGCTAAAAACACAAAATACATAATAAAAACAAGAACAACACCCCCACAAACCAATAATCCTCCCCATTGCTTCCCACAAACATATTTAAAAAGGGTATCAGATGTTAATCAGCCCAAGGCCTAGTTGAAGAGGAGTCTCTTGCCTCTGCTGTAAATTCAGCAGATGGTTTTAGGAAACTGCTGCCTCTTGAATCCTCCCACCTAACAATGTGGGAATTAATAGTTCTGACATAGCTTGCAAGGTAGTTGTTAGAGATACTAGATAATGCACCTGATTCATTGCTCTGAATGTTGTTGTTGTTGTTGCAAAATGCTAATCTTTATGCTGAGTTGGAGAGAGAACTTGCATATTCAAGAACCCCTGAAGTCCTATATGCAGAGTTTCCACAAAAGCCAGCCATTTAAACACACACATGCCTTTCTTACTGGAACACGGCGTGTTTGTGTATTTGCCATTTAAGCGCTGATACAATGTCAGGTTGTTTCCAGATGACCTGTTTGTTGAGCATTTCTCCCAATTTGTTTGCACAAAGTTTGCCACAAGATTTTACAAAGTCTGCTATTTGTTGAGCATGCTTTCTGTTTGGGTTGCGGAGAGGTTATCATACCCTCCAACATTTCTCCAATGAAAATAAGGACATCCTAAGGAAAAGTGGGACATTCCGGGATCAAATCAGAAACTGGGACGGCTTTTCTAAATCAGGGACGTCCCTGGAAAATAGGGACACTTGGAGGGTCTGGGTTATAAGACGTTGTATTAAGCAATTGTTATCCCACACTTTCTTGTGCATTTCCCCATTACTTTCCCTACTGCAGAAAGGCGTGATTTCTTTTTGGAATTGGATTTGTCTTGCTAGAGCACCAACTCCACTTTAATGCACAACTTGATTTTTCTGGTCTGTGATCAAATCCCCTCTTCAAAACAGCTACAGTTTGGAAAGGGGCCACAGACTGAGTTCAAAAAGTGAAGTGCAAGCAAGGTCTTCCTGTTGGATTTCCTCTTTCGCACTTCCGCTGCAAGCTGACCTCGTGCCTCTCTCTTTTAGGGACATATCGGTGGAGGAGGACCTGAGCAGCACCCCACTATTCCAAGACCTCATGGAATTAATAAGGTAAAAAGCACAGGAAGAAAGAGCTCTCTCAGGCAAAATACACTGAAATCATTTGCTCTTATGTGCACTTTGCTGAAATTCTAAATGACCTCTGCAATTGTATCTGGAAAAGATTTGCTGTATTAGGAGTTGAATTGTTTCAATGGTCCCTTAAACCAAAATAACTGAAAGAATCCCTTCATTTATTTTGCTCTTAACAAGTGGAGGGAGCCTTCTGTTCCTTGAAACTGTTTGTGCTGCTCTTCTCTTTGAAACTTTGAATGGGGAAATTTGTGTCTTTAGTTTGCCATTCCAGTGCAAGTCTCTAGTGTAGGGTATGCTCACACTGCTATTAGCGCGTATAGTCCCCTTACCTAATACTACGTACTGTCCTGATTTGCACTCCGCTTCCTTTATTTAGTGCCAAATTTAGCAGCTCATTAAACAGATAAATTGGTAAGTGTGTCCATTAGTGCTAACTTTAGCATAGGATCTTTCTTCCTGCTCATTGTCTTGTCCTTCCTGCTTTGCTCTTATTGGGATGCTTGATATGGCTTTGCACATGTGCTTGTGAGTTAATCTGATTTTGGTCCTGTGCACCTACTCAACTACTTTCACAAAGGAAATCTTAACTTTTAATCTAAAGGGCATAGGTGCCACAACACTAAAGGCCTGGTCCCTATTTTGTGCAGAACGGACATCCCTATAAGATGCTGTCTGCGGGAGGCCCTTACTGAGGGAGTGCAGTTTTCAATACTGTAGGGTATATAAAGATTGATACGCTATTTCAGGTATCCTGGTCCCAACCTATATAAAGCTTTATACACCCAAACCAGCACCTTGAAATTAGCCCAGTAGCTAATTGGTGACTCATGGTATAAACACGGTGGTGATATCCTTCCCCAGTGACCAGTCTCAAGGGTAGCACCACATAGAGCACATTGCAGTAATCCAGCCTGGATGTTACCAGTGCACGGATGACAGTGTTATGAAAATAGAAGGAAGAATAAAATGTAACTATTTAGAGAGAGAGAGAGAGAGAGAGAGAGAGAGAGATAGAACCAATCAGGAGAGGATGAAATATGTATGTGCCACAAATCAGTTGCACAGCACATGCAACTTCAAAAATGTATATTGTCCAAGGACAGCCAGGACCAATGATCCAGGGACAAATATTGCTTGCAGCTGAAGTTTGCTGATGCAGATGGAGCCTGAGAGCTGAATCAATCATGTCACCATTTTTAATGAAGTTGAAATTTGCGTGGAGGACCACAGGAAACATTCACATGTATGGAAACAAAATTGGTTTGGCCTACTTGTCTGCATTAGTGTGGGGTTGGGGTGGGAATGGCTTTAAAAGATTTAGACAGATTCATGGAGGCAGTGCTTTCAATGACTGCTAACCATAATGGCTATGTTCTACCTCCACTGTCAGAGGCAGTATGTCCCTGATTTCCAGCTTCTTGGAATTGTATGTGGGCAGAGGGTTGTAGTGCTCACGTCTTGCTGGCAGGCTTCTCACAGGCTTTCGGCTGGCCACTGTGAAAACAGGATGCTGGACTATAGGGGCCATTGGCCGGATTCAGCAGGCTCTTCTTCCATTCCTAAAATCAGCCACACCCACAGGGCATTGTTTTTATACCCTGCCACCCTCAGGTCACACTACAAAGCCTTCACATCTCTCTCTCTCCCTCCCTCTCCCTCTCTCTCTCTCCCGCCCCCAGCTTGGTCTCCTCAGAAGGAGCTGCCAAGACTACACCCAGGAACGTTTGCTTTTGTGTATGGCTGCCCCATGTGGCGAATGATCAGAATTTCATTTTGGAACATTTGCTTTGCAAAAACATTTTTGCTAAGCTCAAAATTTATGCAAGGGTTCAGTTCCCAGGAACTGCACACAAACACCAAAAATGCGTATAGCCAGGAAGGCCCCTTATTTATTTATTTTTTAAATGATATTTATTGAAAATTTTTAAAATTACAGAAAAAGACAGAGCAGAAAAAGAAAAAAGAAAGAAACAAAAAAGAGAAAAAGAAAACAAACCACATCCAGCAATACAAATTCAAAAAACAAAAATACACCACAAACATAGAAAAATAAAACCAACATTCTCAAATCTTCAACTTTCATTACCTTCTTTCTTTGACCTCCTCCTCCTCCCTTTTTTTGTATCCCAGTTATTAATTATCGCAGCAAATCCTTTCCATATTTCATAATATTCTGTCATTACATTACCTTAATCTATTTTAAAACTTAAATCTTATTTTACCCACTTCTCATAACCATAATATTCTTGCCTAATTCTTTAAAACATTTTTGCTAGAGCCAAGTAATTTCGTTCCAACATTTTTCTAACAGTCATCAGTTTTATAAAACAATCCTAGTAATAATTAAAAAAAAAGGAATAGAAACAATCCAATCTTCATCCAGCGTCCCTTCCTCCTGGTCCCGGGTTTTGTCAGTCCTTTTTATCCCGTCGATCTAGCGCATTAACCTGGTAACCTTATATCCGAGGCCCTTAAGTCCCTTCCATGTCCCTTCCGCAGCTCTTCTTCATATTCCCCTTTCACTCGTGGGAACTCCAGCTTGGTGATGTTTTTGACCCTTTTCAACAAATCAGCCCCTTTTCCATAGTCCAGACTAAACTCCATGTAGTATTTAAAGACATGTTTCAGAATCCCTCCAAAATTGAGAGCCCCCACAGCTCCAAACATCTCACGGCCCATTGCCAGACTCAGAAAGTCCAAACATCCCTGCATAGGGGGGTCTATCCAACCCCCCATTTCCAAATCAGTCCAAACTTTATCTTTCCTAATCTGGCTTTTTCCAAGTTCATTCATCAAATCCAAAAGCTCATGTTCCTGCTGGGCTGCAGCTCCCTCCATCTCTGGCGCCCAAGATTCCGCAACGTCCTCTTCTCTCATCTGTTCTGTCAGGGCACACTCCTGAATTAATTCCTGGGTGGGCTCCATATAGTTTCCCACTGCCTGTTCAAAAATTCTGGCTGCATTAGTCATCAAATCCGTCTTCTCAGTTAACTGTTCCAGTAGAGCATTTATTTTGCAGAGAGCACACAACAGAGCTTCTGAATACATTGTCCTACAAGGTCACAAGCCTTTTCCCACGATTGTAATCTGTGACAGCTGCAAGCTCCCTGGAATTAGTTACAGTTTCCCAGTCTCCCTCTAGGGGGAAAACTTCTAATTGTTCTCTTTTTGAGATATTTTGTCAATATTTGTTCCTTTAAAATGCGAAAGGAAACAGTGGAATCACTATGTTTCTCTTCTTTTAGCTATCTGTCAAAAACGTTTGTCTCTGGTCAATGAGCTTCAAACGTCAGTCCTGACACCCCGCTCCAGGATCAGGATGGTGGAAAGTTACTTTACTTTAAACTCACTTCTGCAGGTTTATACAGTCCGAAAAGATCCCCCTTCTTCTCCTGCTGCCGAAGGGGGGTTCGAGGATTTTAAATGATGAAAGCCGATCCTTTAGAAGCGATTTTCTGAGCTCTAGTTTACGTTGTCTTTGCTTTATTCTGTCTACAAAGAAACGGAAGGCTGACTTCCTGTTTAGACCTTCCCGTTTCAGTGCCAAATTGAAGTAAATTTTTAAATCCAATTCCTTTCTGCTTGCAAATCCTTATTTAAAGTTCAATTTGTTCAAAGTTTAAGTACTCACGGGTGCTTATTTTAGAAGCCAAATTGTCCCAGGAAAAAGGCAGCGCTCTCCGGCAACGGCTATGCGGCTTCGCTCCACGGAAATAGCAGTTGACTCACAGCACCGCGCCGCTTCCCCCTCTTCGCTTCGGAGCCCGTTAGTGGGTTCCTTTGTGGGTTGGGGGGGCGCTAAGGGTGCCTGCTGAGTCCCATGGTCACAGGCTTCATCCGCCTGTGATTTTTAAAAGGGTCCCTGCTTCGCCGTAGCGGAAAAGAACCGTTTCGCGCGGAGCTAGTCCCTCCAGTTCAGAGGGAGTCCGCCATTGCCGATGGCGCCACCCCGGAAGTCCTAGCCAGGAAGGCCCCTTAATCCCATAAAAAAAATAAATCCAACAAAGAAAAAAACAGCACTTACCAACAAATGATGGCTGTGTTACTTAGTCTTCCTCTTCCTCTTCTGAGCCTGGCATTGCTTCAGGGAATGAAATCACAACAGGGGTGGGGTTTCACCGGTAGCCAGCTGAAGATGGTAAGCTTGGCCGTAGTCCAGCTTCAGAGCTGGGGTCGGCTTCCAGATCACGTCCCCTTGCTCTGAGACCACCTCTGCTTGTTCTCTGTGCTCTCGCTGGGCCCTATATCAGTCTCTGACTCTCTGACAACACCCAAACACTCTCCCAAGGTTAGTGCAGTTGCTGATGGGATTGCCAGCTTCTGACATTTTTCTACTGTGCATTTTGATTTTTCTGGTGTTTTTCCAATGTCTTTATTTTCCAATCACCTGTGTATTGTTGTGTTTATGTAAGAAAGGCGAGTGTAAGTTGTGGGCTTGCTGTATACTAGGCACAATTGCATAGAAGAGCATGTACATCAGCAGACATTTGCACTGAAATTCTTTTGAATTTTCATGAGGACTTTAGAAAAGAAAATCACAAACAGATCTGGAAATATGGGTAACTAAACTTTAGTAAAATGAGAAACCCAAAGAAACGAAAAATGGAAAATGAACACATCAGGATAAACACAGACTTCCCCATGCCATGTATGCTTTCCTTCTGGACTAGGATGACTTGCTCTGTTCAAACAAGCAGCCCCCTGACTTGCCTTCTGAGATTGTGTGGTTCAGGGGTGGAGAACTACATTCATTGGTAGCCTCTGAGAGGTCAGGGGTCAGGGTTGGTGGGGCCATAGGCAAAACTGGCCAGAGCAGTGGCTTTACCTTTGTGCAGTAGGATGTGGGTCATCAGAAGCAGCCATAGGATTAACGTCTATTTCTTTTTCCAGCCGAGCGTTTGCACGTGACGATATTGCCCTGAATTACCGTGATGCTGAGGGCGATCTGATCCGCCTGCTGTCTGATGAGGATGTTGTACTCATGGTGAAGCAGGGCAGGAGTTGGCCTTTTGAGAAGCACATCTTCCCGTGGAAACTGCATGTTACTCAGCAAGATGATTACAGTGTCTATGACCCAGCGGGAGCTGGAATCGCAGCACAAACAGCAACAGAACCATGATCCTTGTTGTTAGTGCTGCTCAACGGGGTGTGTGTGTGTGTGTGTGTGTGTGTGTAATACAACAACCTGGAACCATGTGGAACTGTCCTGCAGGACTTTCTCCATATTTTACTACACATTTTCTTTGGTTAACAATATGCATTGCATTATCACAGAGGGTTATTTTGGGTTTCTCCTAAATACAGGTCCTCGTGTTGAGTTAGACTGTACCCACGCACCTCTCTTCTTGTGGGCTTTTTGGCTACTATGTTCTTGATTTAGAAGATTATTATTATTTTATTATTATGTTAATGTAAGTTATATGATAACATTGTATTGTAGTAAAAAAGTTACTATAAGCATGCTCTGGGTTCTGTCAGTCACTTCTAGGTTCTAACAATCTCATGATAGTATTATATTATGGTTAGCAACTACAACAGTTTCCTTAAGCTCATTTAAACATGAGTTTAAAATTCATTTCTCCAGCTACCCTGTAAATAAATGTCTTTACTCGGGTATCCATCTACTCTATATACAAGCTTACATTTACCAAGGCATCTATTTACGTAGAAAGACTAATAAAAAATGGGTTTTTAGAGAACGCTCGTTTACAGCATTGTTGGTTTCACTGAACTATAGAGCATGCCAGAGCCTAATTCTTTTTTGAAACATCATTCCCTCTGCTTCTGATGCTTAGACTGTGAGTGACAATGCTTATGCTGTCAGAATGGTACCACCTGCACACAAGGGCGAGGTAGCAGTAGGACTGAATAGGTGGCCACTGACTACATTTCAGCACTCCTGGGTGGCTTTTGTTAGTTTGCTGCTTCAAAAATCACACTGATGTACTTGGGGAAAGTGGGTTAATTGCTGGGAATTAGTGTGTGTTCACTTTTTATTCTATTCTATGTGATTTCTAAAAGAAAAATAGTTTATGACCTTAGAATGTGTTGTATGTCACCTTGAGAACTGTGTGGTATTCAGCTAACAGAGAAATCTTTGTGACTTCTTGCGGGACAGATCCCCTGTTCTTCTGACTATCTTGATCCTTGAACCCCTGGACAGGACTCTGGCCTCTCTGGGGCAGCAGAATTTTGAGCCACGGGGCAGGCATGATAGGAAGGGGACGATGAGATACCAGGGATGTGCAGGGATAACATGCTTAGAGAATGGTGGTTGAATCTTGAAGACTGACAATGCTAGCAAATAAGACAAACAAGATTTCAACTAGACAAGGGGAAGGGATTTTCCAGGGAAAGGGACCTCAAAATATGGGGGCTGTCCCTGATACGTCAGGAGAGTTGAATTTATACCACCAGTGTAAAGCTAGGTGGGTATGGGTAGACAGATTTCATTTCTTCTGTTTTTCCCCCTCTTCATACCAAAATCCAAAAGTACTTTTATTCAGAAACAACACTCACCAATTTCAAGGGAACTTGGAGCTGATACAAACATGAGTGTCCTTCATGGCAGTGTGGGGGTGGGGGGATCCAAAACAATAGCATGTTGTGTTTGCAGCTGTGCTAAGCGGTCAGACTGAGAGAGTCGGCATGCATTCAAGGAAAAGGGAAGTTCTAGTCCAGAGGAAGTGGGATTGAGCAATTAATAACAGACCATGCAAACTGCCTCGGCATGGTTTAGGAGCCACCCACATTTTTGAAAAACCCCAAACACCTTTCTTTTGAAGTGTGTTTCACTGATACTACCACAATGCAGTTTGAGTGGTGGATTCTCTGCAACAGAAGTACAACCTGGAAGGAAGATGTCTGTAAATAGCTCCCTTTAGGTACTGCATTGGATCACTGTCCTACTACCCATAAGCCTGCTAAATATTTCCTGGATGGAGGATTGAGGGCACTTTCCCCAGGAGGATTTTATTTATTAATTCCACAGCGCCCTCAAGTGTGCTAAGCGCTCTAGAGAGAGAGAGAGAGCGCGCGCACAGGTATAAAGAGATATTTTCTACAGCAGTTTTTAATGTTATGGAAGAGAAGAGGATTTTTTCTTTTCTTTTTGGTGTTGCTGCTTGAATAACCTTTGGCAAGCACTCTTGCCAGCACGAGTGTGCTGAAAGCTTCCCTCTCCTAATTGCAAAAGCACTGGCACTTATAATCCATGCAAATTTAATTCCGCAACCAATTAGCATTCCTTTCTGGCTTGGACAGAGGCAATGCTTGCTGAAAACCCAAGAGATAAGAGAGAATGCATTCTTTTACAGCTAAATACAACCAAACTCACTTAAGATGTTAGAAAGAGGAAGCTGGCAGGGGCAAAGGACAGCTGGTTGTCATCAAGCCACACTTTGAAGTCGCAAATGCAGGGGGATAGTGGGGGGGGCAGGGGGTTGTGGCCCCGGTCGCAGAATTTTGAGGGGATGTGAGCCAGCACCAACTTCTGTGGGGATCCCCATCCTTCACAACTTGCTGCCAGGGGTCTCTGGGCACCAGAGCCCAGCCCAGCTTAGCCACCACATCCCCAGCCCCCTCCTCACTCGGGGCACTTCCTGGATGGTGAGTGAGGTGGGCAAAGGGTGAACCCAGCCCGGCCCAGCCCAGTTCTCCGCTCCACAGGCATCAGGTTAATTTGTCCACCAAGGGCTGCGATGGCCAGTTGGGCTTCTCCCTGCACAAGAGGGCAAGTGGAGCAATGCAGCCCTGCTTGGCCCCGGTCAGGGCAGGGGTTGGGTATGCCCCAGTGGGGTAGACATCCAGAGCCCAATTCAGCAGAATGAACAGGAGAGCCACAAAACACAGTAAAGCAAGCTTGCCCCATATTATACTAAGGGAAGCATAACACAGCACCGTCTAAAGACCCCCACTGATCATTCAGTCAACAAGAAAAACCTCTAGGTTTTAGCACATTGTGTTAAGAGCTTTTCAAGTTCATTTAAGCTTTAAAATGCCATGAAATTACAGCCCTTAAGGGCCACACCATTAATGGGTGTGCTATTCAAAAACATTTGTGCTGCTACAGTGTGGTATCCTATCCTATGGTCACTAACCGTTGGCAGGATGCAGCTGCTTCCCTGACCTCCCATCATTGACATTGCTGAGGCTCACCAAGAGAGGAAAGGGCAAAGCAGCAGCAAGGTCAGCACAGTGCAAATGCATTGGCAGAACCAGTCCAGGGCTCCTGCCAGTATGTTTGCACCGCACTGGCCTTGCTGCCACCTCCTTGCTCCTCCTAGTAATGCTGGTGATGCCATGTTGGGTTAGCACCACCATCATCCTGACCTGCCAACCGCTACTGCTTGTGGTTTGTTCTAGCTTCACCCCTACCTTGAATCTGGGTGGCTGTTGGCAGAGTGGTTTGTATGAGCCCCAGACCTGTCTGCTCAGTGGGATGGAGTCTATGGAACTGAAGCTAAATGACATCATCTGAGTGGTCCCAGGTTCCCCACTTGTAGTTACTATGCACACACAGTCTTTTATTTCCATGTTGTCTCCAAGCGGAATCTGATAGGAAGAGAAGAGTGGCAAGAAGTGCTCATTCGCCAGCCCCCAAAACATGTCACACTTTGTCAGAAGAAGCAGGAAAGTTGTGCAATCTGTATAACAATGGAAACAGAACAACTTCCTCTTCCATCCCAGAATCGATTTTGAAAGGAGGCAGTGTATGAGAAAAGGAAACCGAGACGAAATTCTCAAGAACAGTCTCGATTCACCCAGGCTATTTGAAGACCAAAGAATGGGAGATCTCCTTTATCTCTGAAGAAGACCAAGAGGCTTAAGCCTCCCTTGGCTCCAGAGGAATCCATTACATCTCTTGCTTCAGGTAAGGAAACTATCTTTCTAGAGACGTGGAGAATTAAATGACAAAATCATTGGATTTTGGGGTGGGAAAGAAAGGGCATTTCCCATGTGTTTGATGAACTGAACATTGACATAGGACAGCCTCCCCAAACCTGGTTCCTTCCAGATGTTTTGGATTACAACTCTCATCAGTGCCAATTGGGGCAGGCTAGGATAGCAGATCATTATACTCAGGAAAATGGAAGCTCCCTGCTTTGCTCTTTCAGGTACAGGAGACAGGGGAGGAAAAGCAGGAGAAAAACACTCTTTCCTGAGATAAAGCACAGTCTTTCTCTCTCTGAAATGGAAGCCGTAGCCTTTCATAGGAGCAACCAGCATACTTGGTCCCATTTGTTCCACCCTGAAGACTTTCCCTTGAGCTGATGATCAGAGGCACCTGCCTGGCAGTTCTTTGCCCTTGAGAAGTGCTCCTCAGTGGGCTGCTGGTGGGGTCAGGCACAATGCACACTTTTCCAACCTTTTGTTGTGCCCTAATCTGGCAGATAGGGACACGGGTGGCGCTGTGGGTTAAACCACAGAGCCTAGGGCTTGCTAATCAGAAGGGTGGGGGTTCGAATCCCAGCGATGGGGTGAGCTCCTGTTGCTTGGTCCCTGCTCCTGCCAACCTAGCAGTTTGAAAGCATGTCAAAGTGCAAGTAGATAAATAGGTACCGCTCCGGCAGGAAGGTAAACGGTGTTTCCATGCACTGCTCTGGTTCACCAGAAGCGGCTTAGTCATGCTGGCCATATGATCTGGAAGCTGTACGCCGGCTCCCTCAGCCAATAAAGCAAGATGAGCGCTGCAACCCCAGAGTCGGTCACGACTGGACCTAATGGTCAGGGGTCCCTTTACCTTTACCTTTTTCATCTGGCAGATAGGGACGTGGGTGGCGCTGTGGTCTAAACCACTGAGCCTAGGGCTTGCCGACTGGAAGGTCAGCGGTTCTAATCCCCGCGACGGAGTGAGCTCTCGTTGCTCGGTCCCAGCTCCTGCCAACCTAGCTGTTCGAATGCATGTCAAAGTGCAAGTAGATAAATAGGTACCACTCTGGTGGGAAGGTAAACGGCGTTTCCATGTGCTGCTCTGGTTCGTCAGAAGCGGCTTAGTCATGTTGGCCACATGACCCAGAAAAACTGTCTGCAGAAGCAGACAAATGCCGGCTTCCTCGGCCTGTAAAGCAAGATGAGCGCCGCAACCCCAGAGTCGTTTGCGACTGGACTTAACTGTCAGGGGTCCTTTACCTTTTTTTAATCTGGCAGATGGAAAAGGGTATCTTTCAAAAATTATTCTTAAACCCCCCCCCCCCCCAAAAAACACCCTTGGCTATTTTGTCTACCATGAAACATATTTGAAACATTGCCTCTGGTTTAAGCTTGCTCTTGCACAATTCCATAGATTTTTTTTTTTAAAAAAAGCATGTGCACAGGTGAAAAATACCTGCGTACATGCGCACAATGAACCTCAAGTTTCTGGAACTCACGAAGGGGTGGGGAAGTACTAACTGAAGGAGAGGGCAACAACACATAGTACAAATGCACCCCCTCAAGCACTGCCTGCTAATGTGAATGTGAAACATTGAGATTGGTTTTGGAGCCATGAAATTGAAAGCACTCATATGTGTACAATGGGGGGGAAATGACACACACACACATTCCTGTGGACACAGCTATAGTCAACGGCCAGGGAATTGGTACCCTGCCCTAAAAAGAAAGGGATGGAGAAGAGACATAAAACAGCAGGGAGATGAGGCAGATGGACCAGAAGGTAGGCAGGTGGTGGTGTGTAATGTTGTGAATCCATTCATGTCATGCAGATTGCTGCAACCTTTTCCTAATAAAAGTATCATTCGCCAAATAAGGCCCATTTTACACTCCTATGGAGCATATTAGAGAAGTGTCTCTTTCCTGGTCCCTCTTTCCTTGGAACGTAACTGTGTTTTCAGGGCAATAAGCATTCATCCTGATAAGCTCGCGGGTCATTTACATGTCTTCTCATTAGCCATTTGTTGATGCCACACCCTTAATGCACCTTCCAAGCAGCAAAAAGTCCAGTTTTCATTTGTTGTGCTAGGATGACAGAGAACTTTAGTTTAATCATGCAAACTAAAATTCCTGCATGCCTTTGAATCCCCACCCCCATGCAAAATGCTACAGGCTGGAAGCATCCAGAGTTTGGAAAAGAAGGAAATTGAAGTCAAGGATAACAAATCTCCATAAACTCACAGTTAAACTGTAGGTCTGAGACAGTAAGTCAAACAAGCCAATTGCTTGAGTTCTGAGAATGGTATAACAATCAATCCCTCTCCCTCTTCCCAGGGAACACTGGGAATTGTAGTTCCATGTGGGGAAATGGTTCCCCCCCAACAACTCTGAGCACCCTTAACCAGCTACAGTTCCCGTGATTCTTTGGGGGAAGCTGCTAAAGTGGCGTAAGTGTGCTTTAAATGTACGGTGCAGATACAGCTAGGCAAATAAAATGTCAGCAGGAGATGTGATCATGGGCCACCCACATCATGACTAATGTGATCTTGAGTGATCACAGGATTCTTTCCTCTCATCCCCACACATAGAAGTTTCTCCATGAGATGTGGCGAGAGTGAGAGTCCTTGTTTTAGCTCTGTAGACCAGTTTCGGTCTGACCTGAAAAGAAATCGGAGCAGTTCTTTCTGGAGGTCATAATGATGAATCAGAGCAGTGGGGGCCCAAGGCGTTTCAGCACCTGAGGCAAAATGCCCTGCTGCCTCTGTGATGGGGGTGCAAACGCCATAAGCAGTTCTCCCTGCCAGGCAGGCGGTACATGCTTCCTGATCTACACCCCCCCCCCGGTGGCAAAGCTGGGTGGCAGAACGCCCCCACCCTTTTGCTGACCTGGCAGGAGGGGAGATATTCCGCAGAGCTTTGCCACCAGTCCCTCTGCCCCTAGAGGCAGGGGAGACCAGAGGCAAAGCTGGGCAGCATTTGGGGCATGCCTCCTGAGGCAGCTGCCTCATGGGTGAGCCGGCTCTGAATCAGTCTTACATTAGAATGTAAGAATAGCATTGCTGGACCAGGCCAGTGGCTCATCTAATCCAGCAAGCTGTGCATACAGTAGCCAACCAGATGGCCATAGGGAGCCTGCAAGCAGGGCCTGCGGTTTCCAACAACTGATATTCAGAAGCATAATGCCTCTGATAGCAGAGGAAGAACATAGCCATCATGCTTAGTAGCCCTTGATGAACGTGGTTATCCTGCCCTTTATTTGTGCTGACTTTGCTAGATGCTTTTAAAAGTCGGCGGTGGTTTGGCACCAGGGGGTTTCAGAGTGTCTTCTGGGGAATTCTAGCATTCCTTGAAAGCTGATCATGGTTTCTTGATTGAGAAGAGCAGATGAGCTTCCCTGATAGGTAACTTTCCTACCGCTTTCAGGCGTACAATTCATACAATTACAGCAGAGGGTTCTCTGTTTGCTCAGAGAGGGCAAAACGGATGGCAAGTGCTCTACTTGGACTGGGCTGTTTGCTTATTCCAGCAGCCCTTCTCAACCTGGTGCCCTCTAAATATTTGTTAGACTACAACTCCCTTCTCTCCTGGTCATTGGCCATGCTGGCTGAGGTTGATGGGAGTTGTTGACCAAGACGCCTGGAGAGCAGCAGGTTGGTGAAGTCTGCCCCAAAACAAATAAGAGTTTGGGGCAGATATCAGACAAGGCAATGTAGGTGAGTGGGGGGGTTCATTGAACGTAACAGATTTGGAGTTAGGTGGGAAGAGAGAAGTACCCTTGATTTACACTTTTACTCCCACCTTCAGCAGGTGACCCAGGGAGAGCTGCAACGTGAACAGGTACCAAGAAGTTGGGCATCAGACAGCGCTCAGCCCAAGGAGCGGGACAATTATTCAAGGATAAACAGAGACAAGAGAAACATGAGATTCTGCAGGGTGGCCTTGGCTTTGAGTCTCTTGTCTTATGTTGTTGAAGCTCAGCGTGAGTTTTGTATTCATTGTCTAACTCTTCCCTCTCTCTTTTTTCTATTCTCCTTTAATTTATTTTCTTTTTCCATGCTCCTCTGATGCCGAGTGTTCTGTTACACCTTAGTGCAAAGGTCACAAACCTTTGGAGGCCTCTGAGAACATCTGGAATTTTGAGAGCGAAAGCTGTGAGCACCATCAACTCTGGCTGATTCTTTCCCCTTCCCATCCCCCACCAACAGATAGAAAAAGAGAAAGCACACACATACACACATAGAAAGAAAGAGAAAGAAAGAGAAAGAAAGAAAGAAAGAAAGAGAGAGAGAACAAGAGAAAGAGAAAGAGAGAAAGAGAGAAAGAGAGAGAGAGAGAGAGAGAGAGAGAGAGAGAGAGAGAGAGAGAGTCTTTACCTTTCCATGAGATCTAGGTAAAAGTTGAAGCCAGTAGAATTAAAATGGATCTTTGTGAATTTGCATGATTTTAAATAATATCCCACTGACCAACACATCAAATTTAAGCAGAGGTCACCAATTTTGGGGGCTCTTCTGGGAACATTTGCAAGCCAGAGAAACCATTGCGGTTACCACAAAACAAAGCACGTCCTCTGTAGGCACATGCACATCTTCAAGCACCATGTTGGCAGCCACTGTGTTACACCAGGAGATGGAAACAGGGTGGACGAGGCTATGAAGGGTTGGGGTTATTGAGAAAGTAGATGACTCGGTGGCTCCAATTGACTTCAGACATAGGTAGCTTCTATGTGGTAGAGAGAGGAGGGAGGAGGCAAAACCCAAATCATATCTAGAGACACGGCGGTCACCATGAGGAGATTTAGCTTGGACTCCTCATGTCATTCAAAGCATGCCCCTTTTCTTTCTCCCATACAAGGGAATGGATGGCATTTCCTACATAGTAGAAATATAAATCAATGAACTAAGAGAAAACTTTGCAATTAGGAAGGGAGCAGAAATTCAGTGTAGCCCACATTTAAAGTTGAACCTACCAAACCCACATTTTCTAAAACAACACGCAAATGGAAACACAGCCATTCTTCAAAATCTATACTTCTCCAAATTCTGCAATTGCAATTCTCCACAAAAAATGGTAAAATATGTTCAGAGACAGCTATGTGTAGGTTCTCTTCAAGAATTTCTCTGAATCAACATGCAACATGATATGAATCCATAGTCCTGAATCAAACCTAAGATGAAAGAAATGAATTTTCTAATAAAGTGAAATTAATGGTTTTATGTTGGAGTCTCCCTCCAGAGTTCTTGTTTTCAAAGAGGACCATCTTAAGGACAGTTACAGAGTGACCTGATACCAGGGAGATTTATAAAAACAATCCAGAAATCCAAGCTGATTACCTATGGTTTGAATTTTCATCACATGGCATGTGTTAAATAGCGTACCACTGTCCAGTTGTTTGTATTCTCAGCAGTAAAAGATCTGCTAGTCACCAATGAAACTATTTTGCTAGCCAGTTCTTCCTCCTGCTCCTCTCCATCTCTACAATCATTTAGGAATTTAGGATTATACTTCATACTTTACATGAAATTGACTCTAGTCCCTGAAAGCTCATGCCACAATAAATGTGTTGTTCTTTCAAAGTGCCACAACACCCTCCATTCTCAAGACTATGAGGCTAAGAAGAACATTTATGTTCCTTAAATCCATGAAAAACCACCAAGAGATTACAGAATGTATTATTCATTAACCGTTTGTTCCCTGCTTCTTTGGTTCTTCCCCAACACCAGTTTATATTCTTATGAATTTTCCCTTTCCTTTGCAGAGAAGTCACCTATGGAAACTCTTGACTGCTTCAGTGACTATGTGTCACACACAGCCTGCACCTGGAATGAAAGCCGGGATGCAAGGAACTTTGTCAAGATGAAGCTTCTTCATAGCGACATATATCAGTGAGTGCCTAACCTCTAATCCCTGAGGATAGGGAACCTGCGGCCCTCCAGTTATTGCTGTATTCCAACTCCCATTGGCCTCAGTCAGCATGGCCAATGGCCAGGGATGATGGGAGTTGGTCCAAAAGCACCTGGGGTGGGGAACAAGTACCCACCCTTGTCTTATCCATTGCAGAATAATGAAAAAATAATGCTGGAGGCTGCTGGGCCTAAGGGTGGAGATGCTTGAGGAATTGGATCTTTGCAAATCCCAATATGAACAGGCCTGATCTCTGCCTCCCAGACTCCCAGGTGTATGGATTCATCCACTTAGTTATCAACCAGTTGTTGTTTTTTGCACTTTCCAAGTGCTCCTGTGCAGTTCTCGGCTCAAAAACTCTTTTCAAAAATTCTATATTTTGAGAGAGAGGGAGAAAGAAAGACCGGGGAGAAGAGTCGGCGGAATAAGATGGGAAGAAATTAAAAGACTATCTACAGAAACATTGTAAAATTAATGAATGTTAGAATGATGTTGGATAGAAATTAAGTGGTTTCCAGCTGTAATGCTTTAAGGGAATATGAAAAATGGGTTGTTAAGAGGTGAAAATCTAACGTTACTATTGTAACCAAAGATTAGGATAAATAAAGAGGGTAAGGATTTGCTGAACCAACAAATTGAACTGGAATACAAAAAAGGGAGGTATGAGGAGGTCCGGGAAACAAGCTAAGGAAAAATAAGTAATGGAAAAATTGAGTGGTTTTTAATCATTTTTATTTTGTATTTTCTTTTTCATTTTCATTTTTATATTGTAACTTTGTATTTTATTTTTATTTTTCACTTTTATATTGTAATTTTCTGAAAATCTTAATAAATATCTTATAAAAAGAAAGAAAGAAAGAAAGAAAGAAAGAAAGAAAGAAAGAAAGAAAGGTTTCAAAATGCATATTTTAGATAAATCCAAACTAATGGGTTCAAATTGCAAGAAATGGGGTTGAATCTAAACACTGAGAAGGGATTTCCTTGTGGTGCCCACAGTGGAACAGGCTGACTTGGAAGGTAGTGTGTTCTCCTTCCTTAGGAGTTCTAAAGGAGTGGCTGGCTGGATGCTGTGTAGCAGCAAATTCTCTGCATCAGCTGGCAGTTGGACTTGACTCCTTGAGTCCTCTTCCAACTGCAGGCTTCCAAAATACATTTTAAAATGTGTAATTCAATACATATTCTTCAAGGAAGGAAGGAAGGAAGGTGTGGATGAATGCAGAATTGGGATGGAGCAGACCGATGGGTAAATACATCTGAAAATTGCATGGATCAGAAATAGACAGATTCACCCATCCCTCAGGTTGCTCTTAGAGAGAGTGCCTCCTTCTTGCCACAGTCTCCTGCCCTGCACCTCATTAAACAAATTGTCCGTTTAATGAGCATGTCTTTTAATGAACATGCTGAGGACGGGAGGAGAGGCAGCACATGCAATCATGCTCCCCTCTGCACATTCTTTGTAATGTGCGGAAAAGGGCTATGGTCCCTTTATGCGAGAGGAAAAAATAACAAGGGGACGGTTTTGTTAGGCGTGGGGGGCACTTCTCCAGAAGATGAAGTGGTGGTGTTTCTTTCCATTTTCCATCTTCCTCTTCTGTGTTCCTTTGAAAGAGGAACTGAACCTTAACTTAGCCTGACAAAGGGGAAAAAAGGAAGGAGTGGTTGTTAAGAATAAGAGGAGGTGGAGGCCAGCAGGATATAGAGGCATGAAAATGACAGTCAGTGTGGTGTGGTGGTTAGAGGAAAGGAGTGGGACCTGGGAGACCAGAGCTCAAATCTCCACTCACCCACAAAGCTCACTGAGTGGCATGGGCAGAGCAAGGATTTATTTGGGGGAGGGGGCAGGCTTTATGCTGTAGGGGCAGAACTGAGTTATCTGTGATGCAATTGGTCAGTTAGTTAAATGTTATTTTTTATTTACTTGATTTGGAGGGGCCAGCTGCTCTCCTGCCCCCCCTGGCTACATCCATGCTGAGTGCCCTTGGTTCCAATCATTGTTGCTCAGCCTAACCTACCTCTCAAGATGGTTGGGAGGATAAAACAGGGAGGTGATGAGAGCAATGCATGCCACCTTGAACTCCTTGGGCAGGCGCCTTCAGTGTACTCTCTTACCAACCTTTTCCAGCTAAACAATGTTTTTCTGGCCAGATCTCACAAGCAGAGAATTGTGCCCCATATTAATTAAGGACAGGAGCAGAGGTGTAGCAATCTGGAGTCACAGGGGTTTGAAGAACCATTACTATTTCTGCAGCAGGGGCCCTGAAAGCTCCTTGTCTTCAGGGTCCTAGAGCCACCCTATCAGCACGAAAGGGGAAGTTTTTAGTCACTGAGAAGATGTCCTCTTGTCCTTTGTCCTGATTGGAGCCGATAAGAGTGAAAGGAGGTGAGTCTGCCACTGAGGATTGGTTCCTAAGATCACTCTGGAGAAGGCAAGTAGTAGCTCTGTATGTTCGAAAGTCAAGCATTTAGAAACATGAAAAGCACACGAGCCCTTAGTTTCAAGAGAAAAGTGTGCAAGTTTTGTTACACACAACGGAACTTCAAGCAGAACAAAACTTAAGTCTCTCTGAAATAAGATACTGGAACACTCCAAATCATTTGTAGATCTAGCTGAAAGGCAGCACATGGAGATCTGCATTGATCATTATAATGCATCTGTAATTATTATTATTGTATAATTGTAAGGTTATATATCTTAGAAGCTTGTATTACTGTAGAATGGGGCATGGCTGTGACTATTATGAAGGAACCCTGCTTTGGGCAGCAGGAAGTGCCTTTTCTATGTTTGAAACATTGGGGCAGGATGTCTATAGTCCCAAGATCCCCCCTCAATCCTGTTAGCTTATATGGCCTGTCTTTTTTATAGAGCTGTAACAAGCATTGTGTATCATCAGACTCATTCTCTGGGACTCTGGGTTGTGAATGAATGCTTGTAGAATTAACAACTTTGCTGTTACCAGTAAATAAAATGAGGCTTTCTGGTGCTTATAGGAATAACCTCACACAGATGACATGTCATTCAAAAGAAGAAGATTCACAGATACATTGGAGCTGCCGCAAAAACCAGACAATTTTCAATGTCTGGTTGAATAATATCTTCATTTTCAAACCAGATCAGGAACTGAAAGTCCAGGTGAATGTCAGCCTCTTTGATAATGGTATGTACTCACGTCCTCCAGAAACATGAAAGGTGGACTCATGCAATTTGTCTAACAACAACAACAACAATTTATTTATACCCCACCCATCTGGTTGGGTTTCCTCAGCCACTCTGGGCAGCTCCCAACAGACTATTAAAAACATGATAAAACATCAAACAGCCTTAAATCCCATGGAAGAAAGGTGGGAGTGGGAAATAACGTTACAACAACATTTGTTGAACTTTTTTTTAGAATTGCTCCCCACAGAAATTGTTGGGTTTAACTTACATTTACACTTAGGTGTTGAGGACACAGAAAAGAACAGTGACTGTGGTCAAACGTCAAAGAAACAAGCTCTCCATTATTATTGGCATCTCCTTTCCTGGGCTGTCAACCTGTTGCCCCAGATGATGGAGACTACAACATGCAGCAGCAGCAGCAGATAGCATGAGAGCTGAAGCATGATTTGATGAAGTGAACATGCACAACACTCGACCATTTTGCCTGCCATTCTTTGAATCATTAAAATTAAATGCAAATTTTATGCAACAACTTTATGCAAAGTTTATTGCAAATAGCATACTTTTCATTTCGTCACATGGATGACAAATCTATACAGGTGTTAAATCACTCTGCCTTTCATATCTGAAGGGCAGATGAAAAATAAATCCAGAAAGCTGAAATATATGTCAGGAACATTGTAAAGCACATGACACAGTAATAAAGGTTGTCTGTCAACTTTTAAGTTCACAACATATGAACAGGAACATAACATCAGGTATACTTGTTGTGTCCAAATATATTTATACCTGATTTAGACCACCTGGGCAGCTCCCAACAGGCCTGGGCAGGCCAGGTCTTCCTGTTATATACCTGCTGGGATTGACAAGGCATCTGACCCTCACCTGAATCTCATAGCTCTCCTGATGAGTGCTTTGGTCTGCCCACCAGATACCAGGCACTCTGCTATTCAAATTGGGCCCCAGTGTTTTTGTTACAATCCCCTTCTCAATTAAGCAATCAATTTTGATCTAGAATTTAAATTCTCAAAACGTTCTTGTTTGTTAATTTGAGCAAGTAAACTACTGCTCTCACTTCATTACAAACAGTATTTCTACCTGTAACACACCTGAGCAAACCCGCTCCTCTTCCTTTCACAGATATTTTGTTGCCATTTGCAACTGTAGCTGCCTCTAATTAGTTATCATTTAACTCTTGGGGGAAATAATTAGCATCACACATCATGTGCATGGAAGTTGCCAAACCAATTAACCAACTAGAAGGATTACTGTTAATAGCACCAGTTTTCCTATAACTTGATATTGCTGGATAGTTTTGATGGAGCTTTTCTTTATTAATGCCACTTTGTTTTGTACAATTCCTTGCAAATGAAGGAAAACAACTTTTCTGCTTGTATATGTTGATAATATAATTTTGGTTACTGAGGACAAACAAGATTGTACAAAAACAAGATTGGGTGCAGGCCTGGCCAGGACATAGGCGTCCTGACTGTGACAAAGGTGACCTGTGTGCTTGCTTGCTTGCTTGCTTAACAGCTGTTGGGAACTTCAAGGTCCTTGTTCTCCCTTCTTATGGTCTTTGTCCTGGACATGAAGACTCCAATAGAGAGCATTCCATGTCAAGAAGGAGGGCGAGTGGGCATCCTATCAAATGACAGGGCAGGAGCTACACAGAGCAGGGCCTTTTCACTGGTGGTGCCCATTGTATGCCTCGCTCTTCCCAGACCTGCTCTCTTTTGGCCTGTATTTTGGAGCTTTATAATTTAGGAAGACTTTGGAAGAACTGGTTGATAAGCCTTATCAGTTGCTGATGTATGAGCAGATTTTATTTGCTGCTATTCTGGGCTTCTGGTGCACCAGGGTTTACACCAGCATAACAGAGATGGCCAGGATGCCAGAAGGGATACAATTTATGAGCTTTCTCCATTATCTGCACAGCAGGGGGTGTTTAGTCAACAGTGCAAAGGCTGAGCTGAAGCGTTCCCTGCTGGTTACCTGCTTTCAGCAATAGGGGTTGCTGTTTGGTAGTACCCAGTTGGTTAGATGTCAGATTCTAGAGCTCCCTACTGGTAGCTCTTAGGTAGTTCACAAAATACAGAGTCCATTCATTAAACATAGTGTTCATTCATAGAGCAGTAACATAAATCTCCATTGCTACATACTGGGTGTATATTTTAGCGGTTGAATGTACAGGTTAATGGCCATGCTGTAGTGTAGTGGTTATGCAACTGTGAATAAAAGGTGGCTGGGCTCATTGTCATGGGGTTGGCAGGGGAAGAGATGACAAAACTGATTTCCAATAAGTGCCCCCCACCACTTTATTTCCATAACAAGTCCTTGAGTCTGTACTCTGAATAGTGACACAGGGACCTAGAAGGTGCAGGCTTGTCAGTCCAACCCCTGCATAGTCTCATCAGGGGTGACCTTAAGGCAATTGGAGCAATTTGGCCCCTGCACCAGGGCAATCTAGATGGATTTTATTTATATCTATAATATTTTGCAGACTTTGGCTGTGAACTGGGGCCCTACCCCCCAAAAAAAATCAAGTTGCGCCCCACTGCTTCAAATTGGGCCCCACTGGCTAGCCCTGAGTCTCATAGTTGCTGGGCCTGAGTTGCCTTGCACTTGCATGAAGTCTTGGGTTTACAATTTTGGGAGAGGGGAGACTGCGGCACTGGGGAGAGGGTAGGCTGATGAAGCCCCCTAGACCTAGAGGCCCGAGTTGCCTTGCCCTCCCACATCACCATCAGGATGAAACAAAAATAGATTTTGGGGGGCTCATTTTAAATCTGAATGTGCTGAGCTCCCAAGTAGACATTTGATGAAGATATGGCATTCTGAGTCTGTGATGAACATTGAAATCAGGGATGGAGAACCTTTAGTGGCAAGGATGTTATTGGACTCCAACTCCCATCAGCCTCAGCCAGCAAGAAAGGGGAGCTTAAATATTTCCATCCTTCTGATTCTTCTCGCCCTGAATTATTTTCTCTCAGTTGTTAAGAATCCACTTCTTCCCTCTAAGTCATGCCCTCACACTGTTTTGGAGATGTTCAGTAGAGATCCATGCTACTAGAAGTTGATATCAGTCTTCCCCTAAATATCCTGTTCTGCAGCGTGCCAAATCTCATATGGAGGATGCGGCAGTGGGCTTAATTTAGTCCAATCTTGGTGGTCTAGGGCAGCCACTGAATGGTGATTGTGGAAAGGTTAGGGTGGGGTCTCGAGGGGTCAGAACAAGCAGTGTCCCATCTAGGCCACAGGTAGCCAATGTAGTGCCATCCAGATGTTAGACTCCAGCTCCCATCATCCCTAGCCATGCTGTGCTATGCTGGCTGAGGCCGATGAGACTTGGAGTCCAACAACATCTGGCAGGCACCACGTTGGCAACCTCTGAAGCAAGTGGAGTTACTTTCAGGAAATCATTTGGTTCAGGAAAGTGCAGCAGAGGGCATTCAGGTTCATGTACAGCATGTGCCCAGCCTCCCTCCCCAAACCAATAACAGGTCCACTTAGACACAAACTCAGTGGCTTGGAAAGAGCAGAATCCAGGCCAGGTGCTATTACAAGGAAAAGGATTAGCAACAATCAGTCCAGTCCAAGAGCAAGGACCAAAGTTCAAGAGTTTGAGATTAGCAGTAGGAATTCCAAGGTTGCACGGGAGTTGCAAAGTTGTTGATAACTGAGACAGCCTGACATTGGGAAACCAATTAATGCACATAATGTGCTAGAACGTCTATGTCTTCGTTCATTCCACAGGAGATAGCATTGAACCTCTCAATTTATTGTAATTTAGCAGTTTCACATTGTCATCTCTTTGCGATGTAAAAATATTTGAAATATGATTAAATTAGACTTCTAAAGCTGACACAATCAGTGTTTTGTTGGTGAAGACATCAGATCAATAGACCTTGGGCCTTGACTGAATGTCAACTAAACCATCTTTATTGCTTTCTTGAATTGATCCACAAGCTGCAATCTTAAGCACACCTCCCAGGTGGGAAATTCCACTGAAACCAATTGCCTCCTGTCCCAGTTAAGAGTGGATAGGTCCAAGGTGCAAGAAATGAAGATTTATTTGTTATACTTTGTTAGATGCTTTATAAAGCAACTTATCTAAGCATTGTACGGATCATTTAAAATACCTGTACAATGCTTGTAGGACAATTGCACAGTAAATCTTAAAACTCCTAGAGCCAAGCAGAAGACAGGGAATAAAATCAGGTGGTCTTAAAAGACTTGGGGAGAAGGAAAGGTTTGTAGCCTGACACTGAAAGAATAACAAGTGGCTTTCCCTATGGGGAGTGTTCCATAGCCAGAGGGCCACCACCAAAAAGGCCCCCTCTGAACTTCAGATTGAGAGAATGCATAGAGAAAGACATTCTTAGATACAGTTAGCAGTAGGTAGATACAAGAAGAGGCATTCTGTCAGGTACCAAGCAGGTACCATAGGCAGATCTGTACCTTTCCACCTGAGCAAAGATTAACCTGTGTTTTTCTTTATTCACTCTTCCAGTACGACCTCCTCCACCCCAGGTTCAAGATGTTGTTGTCACAGAGGATGGTGACTACCTATTGGCTTGGGAAGCAGGGGGTGGAACAAATAAAAGACATTGGCTGGATGGAGCCCTGGACTTTGAAGTGACCTACAAAAGGCGCTGGGAACTCTGGGAGGTATCTATGACCATTTTGAGAGTCACGTCAACATTTCTGTCTGCACTTAGTCATGCAGTGATTATTATTATTATTATTATTATTATTATTATTATCAGAAAAAACCACCACAAAATATTATTCTACACAAGAAGTGTATTCGATACCATTAGTAGAAGTGCTGACTGGTTTCCAAAAATTAAGAGTTTTAAATGGAGTACAGAAGGTAGCACTATAGAATTCACTACCCCAAGATATAATGACCACCACCTTGGATGGCCTTAAAATGGGTTTAAACAATTTCAAAGAGGATAAAGCTATTAGTAGCTGCTAGGCATGATGTCTCTGTACTCTCTCCAGTATCAGAGGTGATAGTCCTCTGAATACCAGTTGCTGGAGAGAACAAGTGTTGGGAGCGCTGCTGTGATCAGCTTCCACTTTTGGCTTCCTATAGGCCCCAAAGCAGGCCCCTGTGAGAACGGGTGGCTGGAGTATATAGAGTATGGAAATGTATTTCTATGGAAATATATTTATCTCCCCCCCCCAATGCAAATCTCTCTCTCTCCCTTGCTAGGATTCCACCTCTATCTTGATGCCAAACACCTCCAGATTCCTTCTCCTCCATGATGACCTTGTGCCTGGGAGCCCCTATGTTGCTCGCGTTCGAAGCAAACCAAGACAAGGCGGTGGTCTTGTTGGCCGTTACAGTAAATGGAGCCATGAAGTCTATTGGGAGACACAGAAAACATGGAAAGGTAATATTGCAAAGAGATGGTTCTTCCTTGTGGGCATGGGTGTAAGTTCTAAGCTGCTGGAAGAGCTGCATGCCTGTTGGATAAGATTTATGCTGGAAGATTAGCTCTGGATGAGTTGCACTCAGTTGCTCAAATACTCTGGATACTCTTGCACATGCATATCTCATTGCTGTTCTTCTGTAGACACCCATGGTGTCAGGCAGCCTTTCCCAACTTGGTGCCCACCATCAGCTTTCTGTTTGTGATGCCATTAAGCGGCTTGTGAAGAAGCTTCAAGTTTTGCACTGAGATGAAGCTAAGATTTGAGACACACCCAGACATTTTGATCACTCTTGGAAAGAACTCCATGATGCTGGTGGTTCACTTCAAAACACGATGGGACATCTGTTGGAGTTAACCTGTACCTGTCATGACCCCAGAGTCCAGCAGCAATCAAGACTCAAGGTCATGGGCTGCAAAGTCTACAACTAAGGAGTCTGACCAAGTGCAGAACTCTGAGTCTGCTGCTGGAGATCAGGAGACACCTGAGCCAGAAGATCATAAGTCTCCAGAAGATGCTTATAATGACTCGGTCTGCTCTCAACCTTTCTTGGAGCATGTCAGAAGCTGTAAACTCTGATCTGCCTTGTCCATGACATCCAGTATTGGACCAGGAGGTGATGGTACTTTCAGCTGTGCTCATTCTAAATAGACTTAGCCTATTGCATACAAGGCTTCCCTCACATTTACTAACCCACTTCCCATCTTATTGTTCCTTGCACCTTAATTCAACAAGTGGTGAGGACTCCAGGGATGCACTGTGTACTGTACATAGTTTCTGTTTCCTTTGGAATTAATTCATTGGACTCCCTGAGCTTTGGCCTTGATGTCTGGGTCTGGTCTAGCAATATTTGGAGGACCCAGGCTCCCCATTTCTGATCTACTCATTGGTGGCTTCCACAACACTAATGACAGTTAATTTGCACTGGTGTCTTCTCTGCAGGACAACCCATATTTCTGTTTTGATCAATGAATTGTTTTGTGTTATAGAGTTTGGGTTTGTCTTCTCTGAGAAGCCTGATATTTAATGGATCCTCTTTTTCATTTCTAGTTGCACTTCTTACCAAATACCTCCGCAATGTTACTTCCCTGTGTTAGCTTTTGCCAAGCTCTGCATGACCCTAGACAGGGCTTATTCTTTCCGGTTTCTCCCATTAGATGATGCAGAAGCTCAGCCCAAGAACCTCCGCTGTCTATTTAATGGCATTGATCAGCTAAATTGCAGCTGGGAGGTGCGTCAAGAGGTCACCAATTCAGTCTCATTCACACTCTTCTACAAAGCCAGCCCAGAAACAGGGTGAGATTTTCTGTATGAAGCAAAAATACATCCAAATATTCTTGCCTTTTTAAAAAAGCTTAACTTCCTCTTGTTGTATCTTCCTTGTTCCTAGAGAGAAGGAATGCTCTCCAGTCCTTCAAATGGAACTGCCTTCCACCCGATATGTCCTGCAAAGCTGTTTGATCAATGTCACCAACCCCGAGAGGATAAGCCAATATCTCGTGACTGTGCAGCCAAAAGAGGAAGAGAAAGTGATGGAGGCAGCAAAACACAGTAAGGCCCTTTTAGAGTCCACAAAGCTTAATTCTATGGGGCACATGCGGGCTCCTATGACTTTGCTTTGCTTTGTGACTTACCTGGGCAATGTCACCTGTATGCAATCATGAAGAAGCAAATGTGAGGATAAGACAGAATCACATGGCTGAACACAGTGCCAGTGCCACTTACAGGCAGACCAAGTTAGGGCCAAGACTCTGAAGGGAAAAGGTGCAACAACCTTGTGGGAACTGAGCAAGTCTGGATCTGGTCCATAGCTGAATGGAAGACCCTTGTCCTGTCATGGAGGGAACAAGGGTTATAAAGCCATAAAATGAATTAGCAGCCACTTGGGGCAGCACAATTCAAGAGACACTCCATAAGGAAAGAAGCACATCAATCTGAGACTCTGAGGATGCTTTTGGTGTTGCCACTTCTCCAAGGGAGCTGGCAATGCATCCTAGTCCCTCAGCGAAGTCCCAGGGGCTCCTGGGGGTAAACTCCTGCTTTGCTTGGGCTCACCCTGACCTTACCCTCGCAAATACTCTTTAACAGGTTAACAAGAGATAGGTTTCTGTTCTTGATGCATCCTTTGTTTTCCAGTCAAGGCAGGCCCACCTTTCAAGCTGTCTGTGTCAACCCAGGACAACCAGGAGTACAGCCTCAAATGGGAAGTTAGGAATTCGACTCTGCGAATTCCAGAGACATATCAAATTTCATACTGGAAAACCGGAAAGCCTTCAGAGGTGAGCTGTAAATAAACTGCGCTCCAATACAGTAGTTTGAGAAAAGCAAAGTGTTATCTCCTCCCTCGTTTTTCTCCTCTTTTCTCTTCTCAGGACCATTTGGGCAACAGTGACGACACATGGTTCACCTTCCCCTCAGAGTTGCTGGAACAGGACACAAGTTACACAGCAAAGGTGCGGGCAAAAGTCCGTGGTTACTCATATGATGGTCCATGGAGTGAATGGAGCAAGGAAATTGACTGGACAACACACAGGGGTAAGCCACAAATGGAGTTTCCAAACAAGGGCACTAGTCCACCTTTCTTCTCTAGGGGGAAAGGTTCTATTGCTGTCTTCAGAAGGCGATATGCTGAAGGGTTATATGGACAGGCACATGCTGAGCAGAGGCGTAAGAAGGGGGGTGCAGTGGGTGTGGTCCACCCCAGGTGTCATGACAAAATGGCAGGCGAGTGGGTGGCACGCCCGGCGGCAGCAGCTCTTCTGACCCGGCGGCAGAGAGCAGCCCTCCTCAGTCGTGGCGAGGCGCACCCGGCCGCAGCAGCTCCTGTGGAGAGCAGGAGAAAAGTGAGCAGCAGCTTCCCTGCCTCTCTCCTGTTAGAATTCCTGCTCCATGATTGCAGTCATGGGATTTTTGTCTATCACATGATTGTATACCGGTATGTTTTGACACCACAGAGTGGGAAGTGACGGAAACAGGATGTTTGTGTTACTGTGTTCCGTGAAGTGGGAATATTGTCCTTTGTTCTTTTTCTCTTTGCTGTCTGATGCTAGAGAGAGCGAGAGCCATGTTGCAGTGCTCCGTGTGTGTTTATATGTAAATAAGGTAGATTAGCCAAAATGCTGAGTTGCTGAGGTGTGTTACGCAAAACTGCACAAACTCTGTGGATCCCTAAGTGTGCCAGTGTTGGTTGGCATCGGTCGCTGTGGTGTTCGGGCAGAAGAAAGCTTTTGAAGCTCCCGAACGAATGACCAGGAGGGAGAGAACATGCCAGTCGGGCATGTGTCTCTGCCAGGGTCCTACTCAAGTGTATGCCGAGCTCCTGACATCTCCTACCCTGAACTGTGGCGTGTGGGAGGGCACCCTCCATGCCACGCCCCCCTTGGGAGTGCACCCCACCTAGGCAGTGCGGGCATATACTCTGTCGCTGATGCTGAGGGCACATTACAGTAGTCCAGCCCGGAGGTCTGCTTGACATGCATCTAATGTTTCCCCTGGGTGTGACTTCTTAAGAACGCTTGAAGCAAAGGCAACGCTGCTTTGATTTCAAAGTCAGTTTTCAAATTTGAAGTGCAATTGGCTTTAACTTTCCTTTCAATTGATCTCTCAGGATTCTGATGATGTTGCAATCTTCTGTTTGGTTTCAGTTGTGCCTCCTTGGAGCATTATACTGATTGCAGTAGTCTCTGTCATTGTGATGATGGCAGGCATGTGCTTTTGCCATAGTTATCTTCTCAGGTAAGCATGTGTTGCAAATGGGTTGGGCATCTGGATACACTGGCACACAATAGTGGAGTGGAGGGTGGGAACTGGCTGCAAGGGGTTGCACAGCTCTCAAATGGTGGCTGTTGCCATATAGTGAACATTCCATAGCATACAGCTGTTCATCATGTGGACTGGGTATTGTCTTTTTAACCACACCTCTATAAATATTCCAGAACATACATTTGCATTGGTGATGCATTGCACATGGACAGCTCACAGTTTGTTAACATCCACAAAGAGGAGTGTTCTCCACCCTTTCTGCATCTGAAATATGTATAACCACGCAGGCTATGCTGGGTGGCATAGTGTCATGGCAGTGTTATTATTATTTGTCATGTACAAAGTGCATAGAATTTATTCTGTGCTGTGTGCAGATTAAAAACATTGTGGTTCCTGCCCACAAGCATACAATCCAAAGGCACGACACAAAAGGGATAAGGGGTGAGGAGGGAAGAGGAAAACAAGGAAACTCGGGTGTCAGTTCCAAAAGTGATATACTTGTTTTCATAAGGGCTGTAGGGGGGTAAGGGTATTCCAAAAATCTCTACCCTCTTTGTGCATGGCAAAATGTGTGTGTGTTGGGGTGTTGTTGCTGCTGAACAGTCTCTGGCTAGGGTGGAATCCTCCAGCAGTTTTGGAGAAGGCTACAAAAGAAACTTTCAGAAATTTCTCTTCTGTTAATGCCACCGTTTGAAGGAAGCAGTGAGCTGAAAGACAAGAACTGGAAGGTGCGGAGGCCAAGCCCACTGTTTCTTTCGACAATATTAAAATAGCATGAAACAAAATTAAAAGTGGATCTGCAAATTGTGCCCAAAATTCTCTCTCCTATTCCCAGGATGCAAAATTGGGAGTGGGGAAGTTGGCTGACCTAAAGAAAATTTGGGTTTTCTGAGAATTTTCTTACCCCCCCCCCCATGAACGTAGTATTGTGGACAATTTCAGTCTCCTGTTGAAGAATGTTCAGCCAAATTTCAGTCCACATCTAATGTGCATAATGAGTAGCTTGAATGGAAACTGTTGTGGGGAGGGGGGGAGCAAAATTGACTTGGTCTCTAACCCAAGCTAATTGAGAGGTCCTGGCTGTCTCATCTCTCATTCTGCTGCTGCCAGGTGAAATGGAGGCTTTAAATGACTAAGAATCTGCTGACCACATGCTCTCAGCACTGCCAGATTTGCCTGGTTGCTTAGCTGGCAGCAACCAGATGTCATCTATTATTTTAGACATCCTCTCAACATCTGGAATAAAGTCCATGCATCACCATGGTTGAAACAACATGTGGAAAACACTTGAAAACACTTTGGGTGGCAACAGCAGCAGTGTGGAGATCCTTCTAACGTGGTGGTGCTGGTTCAAGCAGTGAACAATCCTATGGATGCCACATTGAGCAGCTTCCATTCAGAAGCTGTTTCATGCAGCATTTGTTGAAGTATAGATGGACTGATATTTGCCAACCACAGAGAGCAAATGTTTGCTGCTGAACAAGATTCCACCTTGGTTTGACTAACGTTGCTTTAATGTCTTCATTACAGGAAGAGCAAGAATTGGAAGGAAGCCATCCCACACCCTCCCAAGACGCTTCTTCTCCCAAACCTTTTCCCGGTGAGAGAGATTTCCTTTGGACTGGAATTAGCATCTCTGCTTCTGCCTTGCAAAAGTGTACTGGGCTTCTTTGTTTGAAGGCATTCCTTCTGATCCTTTTTTGTATCGAACCATCTTCCATGAGATACTTCAACACTGTGTGTTTGGCCTTGGTCAAGGTCCAAGGACATTAAGGCTCTCCCATGTGGGTGACCAATGTCAGGTCCATGTCACTTCTGACTGATTCACCCCAAGTCTGCTTCATTCCATTTCCACATTTGAAAAAAAATACCCACATGAACAACTGCATTTAAATCCATATTTTCAAAACTATGCATTTAAAACTCTCTTATACTACTTTAAAAATACCACATGGCTTACCTCAAAGAATCTTGGGAACTCTAGTTTGGTAAAGGTGCTTATAATTCTTAGGAGAAATCTCTCAGAGCTATAATTCCCAGCACCTTGAACTAAATACAGTTCCCAGGAGTCTTTGGGGAAAACCATGACTGTTAAAGTGATATATAAAAGTGCTTTCAATGTATGGTGTACATGTTGTTTTGAAAAAGCAAAGATATGTTGATACTTTTTTTAAGCCAAGATCTGCAGTGGAACAGTCTGGAAATGTGAAACATAGGAAATTCTCTTCTATTAGAGTCAAACCATTGATCCACCTAACTGATACACAAGGTAGGATCTGAATGAAGATGAGACCAGCTGCGTATGGGCACTAAGCCAGCACACAGGTGCCCATGAGAAAGCAGGAATTTGCAGATGCCCTGTATCACTAAAGCACTTGGGACATGGTCTCACCCGCAAACACCCTGTGTTTAACTTGTACCATGCACAGTGGCACTTTCGTTCCAGCTCTTTCCTCAACACTGCCCTTGTGTCCTTTCAGAGACTTGAGTTGCTAAATGGCTCAGAGGACAGTAGTAGCCAGAGCTCTAGGGAGCAAGTGAACAGCTGTATGTTGGAAAGGTAAGTACATCTAAAGGAAGGACACACTGCTTGTCCAAGGCATTCTCAGAAAACTAGCTGGTATGTATACACTAAAGCAGCAATCCTGTACACATTTATCTGGGAGTAAGCTCTGTTTAACTCAGTGGGGTTTCCTCTGAGCAGATAGGCAAAGAATTATACTGGTTTCTGTCGCTCTAATTAGCTGCTTCCTGTTCACTAGCAAGCCAACAATGGCTGGAAAAGTGGGCGCATAGAAAGAAGCCACAGACCATTGGTCTATCTAGTTCAGTATTGTCTACACTAATTGTCAAGCAGTCCCCACCCACTTCGTTTCAGGCAGGGGACAATCTCAGCCCTACCTGGAGATGTTGGGGGCAGGGGTGGCTGATGAGCCAAGGGGGCAAAATCTCAAAGCCTAGTAAGCATGTAAGCAAGGCTGTGGGAAGGAGGTGTTGGGCTCTGACAGGGTCTTAGAGTCCTCCCAGCTCCCTCTGAAAGCCTAGTTAGTGCTTTCCCAGCTTTGGGTAGGAGGGCTCTAGGACCATGCCAGAGCCCTTACGCCTCCTTCCAGAGCCACGCACTGCCTTACCCACTTTTGGGAAGGCAATACGAGGACTGGTTGTTTGTACACCAAATTTTGGCCTCGCAACGGGTGCCATAGTACCCAAGTCAGCCACTAGCTGAGGGTTGAACTTGAGACCTTCTGCATGCAAAACAGATGCTCTGGCTCTGAGCTATGGCCTGATAAGACAGGTTTCCTGATCCCAGCATCTTCAGATGAATTCCTCCTCAGACTTCCCTCTCAACAGAGTTGGTGCATGGGAGGACGCTGAGGTGGGACTTGCATGTATGCCCCTGCCCACTCCCCACATTTAGCCTACACACACTCAGGCAAATGCTTGAGTAGGGGTATTGTCTTGGAGTAACCTGTTTTGGTGGGAAGATCTCTCTTTACTGACTAACATTCTCCACTTATTTCCTCTGCTGCAGCCAGAGGCTGGTTAGTCATCCAGAGCATCTTGAAGCCTCCAGTTCAGGGAAAACAACACCACATTCCACTGCCTTCCAGCATGTGAAAGGAACAGAACTTCCTGTGGCCAATGCTGGACAATTTTTGGATCAGCCTGACAAGCCACTCTGTAGCCACAAGGCTCGGAAGTTTGATTTTGATGGCCCATACTTACTCTTCCCACCAGAGTCCTCTTCTCCTGAGAACCAGAAGGACTCGGAAGTTGCCTCTTTGGAAAAGAAGGAGATGCCTGTGGCTCCGCAATTTGTGGGACAGCCTCATTGCTCTATTTTCCAGCAGCTTCCACCTGTGGGGAAAGAGGAAGAGCCGCCAGCGTCTCCTGTCCTTGTCCGAGAGCAGGAGAAGCATCAACTTCTTCAAAGGCAAGAAAGCCGAGTGGCAAGTGACAGGTTGGAGAAGGAGGCAAATGAAGGTTTGAGGTCACAGAGGCTTACTAATATGAAGAACCACGGTCAAAATGAGTCCTTAGACTACATTGCCACAGCAGATCTATCACTAAGTAAAGAGAGGGACTTCTTGCTCCCCTCACCTCTGTTGACCTCAAAGGATGGAAGCCTTCTCTGTTCTGCGATGGCCACAGCTGCCTCACAATTGACCCCAACCAGGGATGATATCTCAAGCTCACAGCTGGTTCAGAAGAAGGAAGCAGATCCTGGGCAGCCAGCTAATGTTCCAGTCGTGTCCCAGGACTCATTTAGTGACTACGTCACCAGCATGCCCCAAACCCCAAGATCTGTGTCAAAGGAAGGGCTTCCTTTCTCCCCAGATGAGCCTAAACACAAGGGCTTCCTTTTATTCCAACCTGGTGGCAACAGTAGCCCAGTTTTATTAAGCCAGGTAGGTGAATACTGTTTCTTCCCTGGCTCCAAGACCATGGCAGAAGCCTCTAAGAGTCAAGCAGGATCTGTACAGGAGCAACTATCAGAGGTTATTCAGAAAGGTACCAAGCCTCTCTGTGAGGACAAGCATCTTGGGAACAAGCTGCAGACCACCCTTGCCCTCTGCCAAGACTTGAGAGTGGGCATGCCTCACGGACATACATGAACATCATTCTGTTGTCTTTCCTTTTGTCACTAGTATTGAGCTTTCTTCCCGTTGTGAAAAGCAGAGGGGGGGTGCTTGTGTGTGGTCCCTTCCAACTCTACAATTCTTTGATTCTGTAGGAATGGCAGCAGGGACAAGAGCCCCCACCTCTCACAACACAGATTTGTTTGCCCTAAAAAGGGATAAATCTGTTTCAGTGTCTCCCCAGTTCTCATTTTCCCCAGTCTTCAGTTCTCCACAGCTTCATATCAACATGTGATTTATTTAAGTATTTTTTAAATGTCCTCAGGAAAATTCACCAGCATTTTAGTACAAATTCTCCCCCCACCAATACAGTATACACATTTTTATGCCATTTTCCCTAATACACACATTTTTGCAGAGCATTCTGTTTGTTATTTTCAGATAGATAGATAGATAGACAGACAGACAGACAGACAGACAGACAGACAGAAGGATAGCTGTATTTCAGTTTCCGTATTGTTCTGGAAAGTGTGGATTAAGTATGTTTGCCTTTAAAGGTGAATTGAATTGAATTTCTCTCTTCCTCCTTCTCCCTTCACTTCCCCGTCTCCCTCTCCTTTCATGTCAGCTATTTATGTATTTATTTTTAAAAAGCAAGCCTGTCAAGGCTAAATATTAATAGTTCCGTATCTAGTTTGGCGAAATATTATTATGTGTCAGAAAATGTATAGCAAAACAAATAGCGAAGATAAACATTCAGGGACTCATCCTGCCCACTGAATTCCCAAACATACAAACCCTGTAGGATAGAAAAGATAAAAAGTTTCTCTCTCTCTCTTCCTGAAGGCCATTGCTCCCCTACCACAAACTGGAGCCTCTCTAGGGAAATTGTTTTTCTTTAATTCTGGCCGCTCAGCTTTATATTGTTGCATGCCACTTCAACTTCTGAGTGGTGAGAGATTCCAGGGGTTCCAGGCTCTATATACCAAGGGCTCAGTCTCTTTGGAATGAGGAACAGTGGAGACTGCAGTGTCTTTAGGATATATGGTTTATTTATAAATATATGCAGTGCTCTCTTTTTTCAGAAAATAAGGTGCCAGTCCTCATCTGTAGGAGCATTGCTGGTTGTTCCCCAAGATGGCAAGTTAGAGCTGGCATTGCAGGGCATTGGACCAGATGGGGTCTCTTCCAACTTTACAATTCTATGATCCTATGAGGCTCATTTGCCAAAAGCAAGAAACTAAGCCTGTAGTGTCTTCAGCTCAGTATTGTGGCATATCTGCCCATAGAGATTCCAAAGGTGTCTACTGTTTCAACTTTTAAACACCTCCTGAAAACTTTTCTATTTCCTCTGGATTATGCAGGCAGTTAAGAGTACATCTTTCCATAATAGGGATCTGATTTCTGATTTTAATATTTTTCTGTCATTTTTATTGTATGGTTTTATGTATAATTGTTGTAAACCACTCAGGGTTTTTTTAATGAATAGTTGTATATAAATATTTTTATGAATAAATAATAAATGCTGGACTAATTCTCTGTCATCTGCCAGAGCTAACCCTCAGTGTTACCAAACAGAACAATTAAAAGGTCCTTTGGTAAGATTGATCATGTTATTATTTCTGCTTCTTTTATAATTTCTGCCCCAAACTTCTTAATTTGGGGAAAACACCCATAAAATGTGTTGCATCCCAATACTTTCTCTCAACTTTTCTGGGAAAAATGTTGATGTCTTTCACTCGAGGGCTTCAATTTTCTTTAAAGTATTTACAAATCTAAATATGTTTAGATGTACATTGCCCATCACTATAATGCTTTTTGTAATATTATTTTTAATTTGGAAGATGTAAATCATCTCCAAAGTAAAGCTTTGGAGAGATTATATCTATATCTATATCATCTCTATTTATATCTCTATAGCAGAAATTAAATGATGTCATATTAACCATGGAATGCTTAGATAAACATTAAACCAAACATTTACTTACCCAGCTGTATCAGCTATTAAATGCTGCAATATGTGATTAAGCTATTAAGTGATTGAATGATCACTAATTAATCACATTTAAGTGAACATTTGGAGAAAGCAAAAAAATAATAATAATCTATATTTGCTTGTAATATTTTTCAAAACAGATTACACTTTGAAAAGAAGGTCATGAGCCCGCCATAGTTAAGCACTTTAAACACATATTGAATAGACTTAAATGTGCTTCACTTTGGCTAGGTCATTTTCTGAAGCCAAGGAATATTAAGGATTATAACAGAGGATTCTGACGGAAGCAATGTGTTGTCTTTATTGAATCCTACAATGAATGCTGGCCATCACTTTAGGTCTGGGACAGTTTTTCATACACAAGCCAAGTGTTATAGCCCCGATGAAGAGTAGAGGAAAGAGATTCCAGTATGACTCCATAAAGATGTTACACAGGGCTTTTTTCAGCCGGAACTCAATGGAACTCAGTTCTGGCACCTCAGACAAAGACAGGGCCTATAAGACAGAGTTGTTCCGCCTGGCTTTTGGCCTGGAATTAACTTGACCCCCCCCCTTTTTCCCTTTTTCCTTCTGTGACGGAACTCCTACTTGGGGACTTCCCTGGCTTTTTTCTGGCCCACGTAGGACCAGTTTGGATAGTTAGCCTTGGTGAAGACTTGACGTTTTTATCCCCAAAAAAGTTTTTGAGTTTCTGCTGAAATGAGGCTGCATTTTAATGTTTTGATGTTGTATTTTAATCTTGTTTTTAAGTTGTTTTTCTATCAATTTGTTTTATATTTGCTGTTAGCCGCCCCGAGCCTGGTCTTGGCTGGGGAGGGCGGGGTATAAATAAAATTTATTATTATTATGTATAAGAGAACAAGGGAGGCATTCATGGTGAGCTCCGGCACCTTTCCCCTCTTAGAAAAATAGCACTGATGTTAAACATTTAAAAAATCTCATATGGTAGATCAAACAGAAAATCTAGAATTGCCTTTCAACAGTTGTCAGCATTACCTCAAAACACTGTGCATTTATTCTTCGAATTTTGAAACTCCTGTTTAAAAGCAGAAAAGCTTTAAGTTCCATTCAGCAGAGCTTTCCCTTTCTATGAGGATCACATAATGGTAAACATCTGTACCTACTGATGAATGGAAATTATTTATTGACCAGTTTCATCTACTGGCAAAAGTCATCTTGGTGCTGTGAATGCAGACATGGCTGCTCATTTATTTGCTCATCTGGATATTCTGTAGATATGGTAACAACAACAACAACACTATTCTGTATAGTGCGTAGGTCAGCGAGAGCCAGTGTGGTGTAGTGGTTAAGAGCGGCGGACTCGTAATCTGGTGAACCGGGTTCACTTCCCCGCGCCTCCACATGCAGCTGCTGGGTGATCTTGGGCTAGTCACACTTCTCTGAAGTCTCTCAGCCTCACTCACCTCATAGAGTGTTTGTTGTGGGGGAGGAAGGGAAAGGAGATTGTTAGCTGCTTTCAGACTCCTTAAGGGGAGTGAAAGGTGGGATATCAAGTCCAAACTCCTCCTCCTCCTCTTCTTCTTCGGCCAGATCTGGCCTGGCAAGCCACAGGAAGTAGCCCACCAGTTCCCACAGCTATTTCCTGATGTCAGCACTGAGCTTGCTCTCCTAATACCATAGCCTCCTAAAGCTTTAGTTTGCATGCTGCACTCAGCCTCATGGGATCAAATGACTTGGCTGAGCCATAACTGGCAAGCTCTATCTAAATTAGGAATTGTAAACCTGCCTCCCCCCCCCCCAGATGCTGTTGGATTACAAGTCCCACCACCCTGATCATTGGCCATGCTGGCTGGGGTTGATGGGCCCTGGAGTCCAGCACTGTGAAAATATGCAAATAGCCAACCCGGCTAAGCACCACTGGACACTATTCAAATCACATATGTGCCTCATTCCATGACATCCATACACCCAACATAACTTCACCATTACAACTCGGGTCCATCAACTGCAATCTAACATATTTGACTGCACAGCCTGCAACCTGACATATTTTACTGTTTGGGACAGTTATTCAGAAGAGGGAGGTGGCACAGCTGGTTTATTATCTAGAAGGTATTACTTGACCTAGAATCAGCAACCTTGGTCAGTGGCTGCCATTGCAGACAACTCATGCTGGTGGCCAAGTGACTCCTTAATGTTCGCCATGTAATGTTGCAACTGGCATGATAGGGTGGTCCTAAATTCCCTTTTCTATACACCTATTAAAGGTGCAGGAGCTCTGTGTTCTTTTTTCCAACTGGAAAAGCTTGACCTGGGCTACTTCCACCACAATGCTGTAAGCAATCACCCTGAGAATCTAGAGATACTTGAAATACCAACATTTTACATGTGAATGAGGTTGCCTTCAACAAAGCACATACTTATGCCAAGATTATCCATTGATGTTAATCATTGCTAGAGAGGTTTGTTTAAACAAACAAGGTGCAAGGATTATCTCAGGTTTATTGTCCTAGAACAGCAGCCACAATCTACACCAACTAGGAAGTCCAGCCTGGGTTCTTCAAGTTTAAAGGGGATCCAGGGCCGGGGAGTCAGACTCTTTGAATCTGAGCAAAAAGTCCAGGTGTGGCAAAGTTTGCTGGCAGTCCTGATTCTTTCATGAAGCAGCTGATGCTCTGCTCTGTGTTCCCGTGTGTGTGTGTGTGTGTGTTTACTCTGTAAGAGTACTAGGAAGCAAGATATCTGCAAGGAAATGGAAGCCTTACAAGCTTGCTTCCAGTATTCAGAAGTCCTCCTTCTGAAGTATAATTCTTGAGCTGACTAGTCCAAGAAAGACAGCTTAGTCATTGGCTTAATGGCATGTTTGTTGAATTGGATTCTGTAGCGCCCAGATTCATCAGGAGTTATGCATGGTTGCCCATAAAACTTCCCCTGCATCCTGCTAGCCCAGAGAAGCACCGGTAATGTCCTTAGGGCACTCTTTATTCATTCAAGGTGATGGATGAGGGACCCAAAGACCTCCGCAATGCCCCACAGCACGATAGCATTGCTCACAAATTTTAGGGTAGAGAGACACAAGTGTTTCACAGCTGATAGATGGATGCGGTAAAAGTTATATGACTATAGGAATGCAATTGGCTTAGTACATTTTATCTGCAGAACAGGGGAAGGAGACATTTTCATACCTATTCTGTCTCCTTGCATCAATACTTCTCTGGTAGCCCTCCCCACTATACACAGCAAAGGTAAAGGGACCCCTGACCACTAGGTCCATTGGTGGACGACTCTGGGGTTGCAGCGCTCATCTAGCTTTATTGGCTGAGGGAGCCGGCATACAGCTTCCGGATCATGTGGTCAGCATGACAAAGCCACTTCTGGAGAACCAGAGCAGCGCACAGAAATGCTGTTAACCCTCTCACCAGAGCGGTACCTATTTATCTACTTGCACTTTGACGTGCTTTCGAACTGCTAGGTTGGCAGGAGCAGAGACTGAACAACGGGAGCTCACCCCATCACGGGGATTCGAACCGCCGACCTTCTGATCAGCAAGCCCTAGGCTCTTTGGTTTAACCCACAGCACCACCCACGTCCCAATACACAGTAAAGTATTCCATATCCCTCCTTACTGTATTTCTGCAAAACTCTATTCACTTTCCTAATTTATGTTTGCCACTGTTTGAAATGGACCCATAGGAAGCTGCCTCATACCTAGCTGGACAATTGGTTCATTTAGCTTAGCACTGTTTGCAGCGTAGACTCAACACTAATCGGTGGTGGCAGCACTCCAGAGTTTCAGGTCTTTTCCCAGCACCCTGTGGAGATGTTGGGGGATTGTGCTTTGTTCCATTCTTTGAAAAGCTGCACCTGCTCATTTCAAGTGACTATTAAAGATACACAATCAGGCCAGGCTGACTATTCCCAGGCCAGTCAGATAACCCAACGTTCTGCTTTATCCATATGCAGAGCACATCATAAATAGAGGCTAGATGGAGGTTTATTCCACTGCTAGGGAGAGCCAGATATTTTTCCAGAAGGTCTTCATCCCTCTTCTATGCCTTCTTAGGATTTGCCGCCTTTGTTCTTGTCCCCGTATTTTTGTTCCAAAGCTTTTTGAAGGTTAAGGTTTAGCGCATTTTTCTGGAACCACCTCCCTGTTGAGAAACAAACAAATACACACAGTTTGCATGTACATATCTTGTACCTTTTAGCAGGCACCAGGATTAAAGGGCTATCTTTGGGAGGGGCTGGAAAAGGGCCAGTAAAGGCAAGAGCTCATGAGAGCATGGAAAGGCTGAGGTGTCTGTGTGCAGCTGATGTACAGTATGAGCAAGCTTTCTCTGCTTCTCTCCCCTCCCCTCTGTGTGTAATGTGGGTATGGACACTATGATGCTAACTAGCCACAGACATGCCCAAAGTGGCAGAACCTTTATCACCGACAGTAATGAGAACAAGATGTCAAAAGATTCCTAGAATATGTGCTCAGTCTTGCAATGTGTGATTTGCAAGCTGTCAGCTGGGGGGAATCCAAATATTTAGATTATAATAATACTTTAGGTATTTATATATAGCTCTTTTTCTAAGTGCTCCACTAGCATAATCTCTGTAATCCTCACAAGAACCCTGTGAAACAGGCTCGCACTATTATTCCCCATATTGCAGATCTGATGGACGATGCCTGAGGCAAGTCCTTTGTTTCTCAGCCATCTTTTCCTTATAATCCTAGGGTTTCTTACCTAGATCATCAGTTTTTCTTCCATGCCAATGTTTGGGGTCCCGAACTGCCCTCTTTATTACATCTGGGGTATAGGAATCCTTCATCAGGCTTCTGCTTTCCAATGGTCCTCCTGCAAAAAAGGAGATTCACAGAACTCTTACACCACTTGCACCAGAGTCATCTAGGAGCTGGATCATAGGCCAAGGGGAGCTGGCCCCTACAGGAGACAACAAAGCAGTTTTATGACTTGGGTACCTCAAATTGTGAGAGCTGTCCTGAATCAACAGTCCCATGTTTATACAGGAAGAGGTTCCCAAGGGATTTTAGCCACACATGCCTTGCCCGAGTAGGATGGATTTGGTAGCCTGAACTGTCCAGAAAGCAGAGTGTGGGGAAAGCCTGACTCGAACCCTTCTTGTGCCTTTAGCAGTTTTTCCCATTCTGGTGATAATACAATCACCTGCAATTTGCTGCAGATCAAAGGTAGTAGGTAATGGAGACAATAGGAACATGGGCAATCTTACATAAAAACAAAAACCTCAAAGTGATGGAAGTTACTGACTGGATCTGTCCAAAGAATGTGAGAAACAGTCTGGAGTTTTCCTCTGTCAAAGGTAGGTTGGGTTGGGTTGTAGTTGTGTGATGGTGTTGTGAGAACTTTGGAATAGGCCCCTTTAGCTGTGCCTTAATAGCCCTTAATCTGCAGTGATTAGTGAGTGATAATATTTATCTACCATACCATAAAGCTTTGCCCGCTGGTCTCTGCATATCAGAGTTCTGTTAAAGGCACAAGAGAGACATTACTAGGTAGGTTGGGTTTCTCTCCCTGCCTGCTTCCAAGTGTTCCTCCCTCCAAGTCTTCTGTGTTCTTGCTGTGCCTTCTCCTAATATCTTTCCTATTTCACGCACATGCACACAAAGACTTTTCTAAAGAAACTGACCCCGCAAAAGATCTGTTCTATTTTCGCTGCTCATAAGTAGCATGTAAAAGTGGTGTCAATTGCGGGAGATCTGTGAACTCAGCAATCCAAAATCAGTAAATGCCATAACTGGAGTCAGAACAGGCAGTGTGCAGGTAGACCTGGGATGCTCCTTTACCTTGGAAAATGTTGGACCTCAAGTTGTATCCTAGTTCATAATAATCAGCATAAGGTGACGATGCCATAGGATTCTCTAGTGTCTTATATGGCCAGTCACTGAGGCGCTTCTGCCCCTGGATCAGCCCAGCCTCACAGAGAGCACGACGTGCCTGGAAAATACAAGACGATGGAGTCAAATCCCACTTAAGGTTCTGAGGTACTGGCTCCACCAGCTACTGGTAGAACTTTCCCCACTCAGAGTGAGTCCTCTAATCAAGTATAAACTTGGCTAGAACTAAGGTTACCACCCATACATATTTTTTACGAATTGCCCATATCCTGAACCCCTTTCCATATTAAGTAGAAGATTAATCAGGGTCAGCTATTGTCTTATCACCTTCATGTCATGATTTTTTCCCTTCATAAAAATGAAATCTCAATAAAGCACAGTCATTTTTTCCTAAATGATGAGTCACAGGTGATGCATTTGTCACTTTGACAGATTACTCTGTGGATTAATCAATATGTCCCCTGATCTATGGCATCAACCCTTGTATCTTTTAAGAAGTAGGGACAGAGGTTTTCCAAAGCTATAATTGTCACTGCGTAACCATCTTCTGTTTTCTAATTTATTGGCTAATGACTGAAATAATATGCATTATACTATCATTAGAATAATTCCTTTACAGCACAACCGTATTCATGTCAATTCAAGAAGTAAGCCCTATGGTCAGTGGTTCTTACTCCTGGATAATTGTTTACTGAATGGCAGCTTTATATATTTTGCATTGCTGCTTATAGCTACCATCCTACTAGTAGCATTCTGATTTATAACCATGTTACTAATAGTGCTTCTCAGGGCTTTTTTTTCAGCTGGAACTCAGTTCTGGCACCTCTCAGGTGGGTGCCATTGCTATTATAAGAGAACAAGGGACATGGTGAGTTCTGACACCTCTTTTTCTAGAAAAATAGCATTGCTGCTACTTCTCTACTGCTGAACTTACTATAGCTGCTGATATGAGAGTTACAAGTATAATGAGTAGCATTGCTGCTGCTACTACTACTACTGCTGCTAATACAACGTATTACTCAACCTGTGGGACCCCAGATGTTGTTGGACTACAACTCCCATCATTCCTGAGCTCTGGCCTTGCTAGCTAGGGGTGATGGGAGTTGTAGTTCAACAAGATCTGGAGACCCACAGGTTGAGAAAGGCTGACAGATATTTCCAGTTTAAAAAAGTGTTAGGCATTCCTAGTTAACCTCTTCAAAGACAAGACCATTGCATTCTTTACCTGCTCCTCGGAGACCAGCTTTTCCACCATAGAGGTGCCAAACTTGGCCTTGATATTAGGAGGTATTATTAGGCTGTTTTTCTTCTCCTGGATGGCCTTTCCCTCTGCTTTGACATCTTGCCCACTTGATGCTAATGACTCTTTGGCACTCATGACATCCTGGGCTTCTTTCATGTCTTCACAGCTGCCCTTTACGTTCTTTCGGGGAGATGCGTGCAGTCGGGTCACTATAGGCCGGTATTGCCTACCTGTTAGTTCATCTGAATTACCATGGCCATCTTCCATTTCTTCTTGGCTAGACTTAGCTGACAGCCTGGAACCTCCAGGTTTCCCCTTTGGGTGATGATGATTCCCTATTCCCTTGGAAGTGGTACCGTCCAGGCTGTCTTTCCTCCCTGCAGCCGTGTGAATGCAGAGGGCAGAGGGAGTTTTAGACCTGAGGGTCTGTTTGTTGTGGTTTCTGGTTTGGATATGCTGTGTGGATGGTGATGCCTCAGGCAGGACTGGGGGTTCGCCCATAGCTGTTCTGTTCTCGGGGTTCTTGGAGTTCATTGAGGAGGTCCTGCTGGAGCACCTTGAGGGGGGTCTTTTGTTGTTGGACTGTTCCCCAGTCAAGTTGTAGGTGGCCTGTTCCTTGTTTCCATATCCAGGCACTTCTAGAAGATAGCAAGAAAAGTATAACCCACAGCAAAATGTTGCAGCATAGCCTCAGCTTCTCACAGAAGTATTTCTGTTCAGATTGCCAGGCAACCAGCTATGTTTCCCCCACCCCCATTTTTATGGTTTTCCTTCCCAGCTGACACTCCACTTTCTGTGACTATTCAGCATGCTCAGGTCTCATAGGGCTCAGCAGGGGTGGGCTTTTAGGGTTGACCCTTTATGTACTTCTACAAACTTCAGGATAACCTTAAGCTAAGCAGGGTCTGGTATGGTTTCCAATTGGATGGGGGACCATGTGTTGAGATTCCTGCATTGCAGAGGGTTGGATTAGATCAGTGTTTCCTAACCGTTTTTTGGCCATGCCTCACCTAAGCATCTCTAAAACCCTGACCCCCCCCAATGATATATAATTCTTATTATTCAAAAAGGGAACTCCTATTCATGTGGAGGAAGCCTAAAAGGCCATTAACTTGCTCTAAACAAGCTTCCAAAGAACATGAAAGAGAAAAATAAAAGAACAAAAAGGACAGTTGAAGTACTGAGGAAGAGCGCTACTCCCCCTGAATGCGCCCAGTGTATTTTATGTTTAGATAACCTTTTCTGTTTAGATAACCTCTCCCATTGTTACCTGCTGACCACCATGTACATTCTGATATTAATTTTTAAAATGCCTATGTCACAATATATATTTATATACTGTATATGAGGCCCCTAGAACCATAAGAAATGCAAAAAGAATAATATAATATAATAATAACTCATTCTTGAATCCCCCCCCCGTAAAAATCAAATTGCCCCCCTGTAGGGCGTGTGCCCCACTTTCGGAACTACGGGATTAGATGCTCTGACTGGCAGTAGCTCTCCAAGGTTTCAGGTAGGGAACATTGTCACACATACCTGGAGTTGCTATGGATCTAACCTGGAATTTTCTGCATACAAAGCAGATGTCCTTCCACAAATGCCGTTAAAAAAAAATTAAAATCCCCTTAATTTACTTTTTATTTACACATATTTATTTATGACATAACAACCGGATGCCTTCATCTACCACGGCTGCAACAAACATGTCTCTCCAGGATAGCTCAGTTGGCAGAACGTGAGATTCTTAATCTTGGGTTTGTGTGTTCAAACCCCACGTTGGGTGAAAGACTCCTGAATTGCAGGGGGTTGGACTACATGACCCTTGTGGTCCTTTCCAGCTCTACAATTCTATAATTCGTATTGGTCTCTACAGCCACAGCAGGCGCTGAAACCTTCCAACAGTTTGACTTCACCTCCAAAGGTGCACTCCTCCATTGTTTCCCGAGACAGATGGATGCCAACAATGAAGTATAACATGATAATAATAATAATAATAATAATAATAATAATAATAATAATTTTATTTATACCCTGCCCATCTGGTTGGGCTTCCCCAGCCACTCTGGGTGGCTTCAAACAAAATATTAAAATACAGTAATAACAGATATAAAATATAAGTAAAAAAAGAGAGATCTGTTGGAACTAAACATAAAGAGGAGTGATTTCCATACCACAGTTGAAGATAATAAATAAATAATTATCCTGTACTTTATTACTCTAGTACATTATTAAAAGACTCCATTTCTCAATAAACACACTATCTTCTTGTCTGCCCTCTCCGGTTCTTACACCATATATGTCAGCTTCACCATGTAGACTATGTTCCAGATTTTAGTTATCCATGCTCTCAAGGATGGCATTGTCACCCCCCCCCCCGCATTCTGACAAATAATAATTCTGGCAGCAGTTAAGGAAAACATGAGAGCAGTGCAGAATAAAAAATACCTAGAGCAAGGACAGATAAGTTTTGGCCCTCCAGATGTTGTGGGACTCCAATTCCCATTGGCGCTGGAACTTGTAGTCTAGCAACATTTCTAAGGCCAAAGGTTCCCCATACCTGACCTAGAATCTTGCATCAGCAAACCATCTTTCTCTAAAGGCCTGAAAACATAGGTAAGTTTTAACTTGGAAATGAAATCCCAGACCCGTGGCTGCCATATTTAGGTCCAGGAGAGAATTCCATAGGCAGGGTGTCACGATGCAGGAGGGTGTGAGCCAAGCCCATATAACCTGTGTATCTATCTTAGCCTGCATAAGGCATTAGAGAAGATTTCAAAGTATCTTCTACCTGTTGGACCACCGGCCATTCTGGTTTCATGGTATGCGGCGGCAGGAATTGGGAAGGCCGTCGTGTCCATGGGCACCTGTTCCAAAGAGAAGTAAAGAGTGGATTATCTCAGCAGTCTTTGCAGCAGCCTGTAACATATAATCTGTCCAGCACAAAGGGGAAATGGAGAGGGAAAGTGGATTTGGTGAAATCATGGCTAAATTGACACTAGAACAAAAACATCCAACTCAATTCATTCTCTTGATCGCTACACTTTATCTGCGGTCCTGTAGATGTCTCCAGATGTACATATTGGATGTACAAATTGGATGTAACTCTAATATAATTATATCTTATGAAAATAATAGACTGTGTATAACCTCTTCATTGCATTGGCATTGTGTCTTGTTATTACATGAAATAATAATACACTGTACAAAGCTTCTGGTTTGAAAGTGGATAGAATTTGGGGTTGAGAGTTTCCTAGCCAGTCTCTGTAGCTCTGCCTTTAAGGGCAGCTTGAGCTAGGGATCGGTGAATTTGAATTCCCCTCTGCTTTTTTGTTTTTACAGGCTTATTTTCAGTTCTCCACATTTCCAAATCAGTTTTCATTTTTTAAAAAAAGTCCTTACAAAAATTCATCAGCATTCTACTGCAAATTTCTCCCAATATTCACATGTTTATATGTAGCTTTGCCATATACATGCACACATACAGTATATGCAAATAATTTCCCCAATATAATGCATTTTTGTCTATCTAGTGTATGCATTTTTTTGCGCATTACTTGGCCAGAGAACTGCACTACAAAATTCAGACAAGTGCAACTTTCAAAGGATGGCTGTGTTTTGGCTCATATAGTGTTCCGGGAAATGTAAATATGGTAGGTTTGTCTTTAAATGCAAATTGAGCCAAGTTTGTTTTTCATTCCTTGATCTGGTATTAATTTTATAGTTTAGTATTTGTTGCTCATTTCCATGCTATTTGCTTCCAGTAATAATCCATTTGCAAATAACATTGAGATGTGCTCTAACCTTGTGTTATATTCTGCTATATTTTGGGAATTGGCTTTTACATCTGAAAGCTTAAATATAATGCGGAAACTCCTTTTTTCTTCTTTTCCTTTTTAAGGAAACTCACAGTTAACGGGAACACTAGGGAAATGGAATAAACTGCCATGTGAATGCAGCCATGGTTGCTTTGACAATTTTTAAATTTGAAAAAAGAGAGAGAGGAAAGATTGGAATTTAGAAATTCTCAAGAATCTGTCAGGTATTCTTTAGCTGTAATTCAAGCACTGTAGGGGAGATTGGACTAGATGACCCTCTGGGTCCCTTCCAACTCCACAGTTCTGATGGAAGGCACTTCGCACCACTGAGGTCACCTGATACTCAAGCGACAGCAGAGTGTAACCCTATCAAGAGCAGGCAACCTCCCATCCATCTGCTCTAGGGAACCACCCACTAACAGTGCCTCAGTCGTATCTGGCTTGAGCTTCAGTTTTTTGGCTCTCATCCAGTCCATTACAAAGGCAAGACAACTTCTACACAACTTCTTCACACTTCTCTAGGTGTGTTTATATATATGCTAGTTGCTGGTCAAAATCAGAATGTACTTATGACCTTGTCCACAGCATCACAATCTAAAATACAATAATGTCACAAAAAGACAGGGAAACTGAAAGGGAAGAAGAAAGTGTTTGAGCAGATTTGGAAAGGAAAAATAAATAAATTACAGAATAGAATTATTAACCTAGGAATAGAAAGAAATAGAAATTACATAGTACAGCAGTACTGGAACACACTGGATAAAAGGCTTGCTTTTAAAAATTTCTTAAGCATGAGGCAACAAGGAGGGCAGCAAAATATTTAAAGGGAGTGATTTCCCCACACATAAGTCATGAGAGGGAAAGCACAAAGATGAAATATTATTCACAGAAATAGGGGTTTAATAATACCTGTTGATTTGTGATTATGAGTTTCACATATATTTGTTGCACATATATGAAGGTATTTAGTCACCTTAGTTGGCCACAAGACAACTCTCCACAGTTCTTAACACCTTTATTGTTACCTTCATAATAATGACAATAAGATATGAAAATTAGCTGTGGCCCTCCAGCTCCTGCTTTTCCTCTGAGACTGGCAGATTCCTTGTCCCTGTGCTTAATAGATGCATCCCATTTTAAATGGTTGCATAAACCAGACTTTTTCTCTCTCCATTTTTGTTGACCTTTGGCTTCCACAACTGAACCTATCGCAGATTCTGGACACCTAATTTTGCTGTCTGCTTTACTAGAGCAATAAACACCAAGAGTAGCAAGGCCCACAGTTCTGCTTTCTGGGCCTGGAGCGAAACCCTTCTATTCCCAGTCAGTCCTGAGGCTGTCTGATTCCTCCTCTGCTCAGGTATGTACTTGCCACATTCCAATTATTACAGGAATCTGATGGCATCGGAAGGTGGCAAGAGACAGCTGTGGTCCTTGAACATCCCAACCCTCCTTTCCCTCTCTCCAAATCCACCACCTAGGCTTCCAGAGTCATTCTTGGTTCCCAATAAAGATCCTGAGAAAGTTGTGCTAGATGAGCCTGACCAGCCCCCGCGTTATTTTTCACCTGAGTCACATCCTCCATTTTGCTGGCATTTCTTGGGCAGGAAGACATGAGGCTGCTGTCCCGTTGGAGCAGGTTAGTACCAATCTCCTCCAGCTGTTGTAGATACTGGAGTACAGGGCTAACTTCTTTCGACTGGTGGACTGAGGGATCAACCTTTTCCTCAAGCTGCGGAAGTTGGTGGTGCAAGGCAGCAAACTCTTCAGGATGCTGTAGGTATCGTAGCACAGGGCTAACCTCCTCAGGCTCGTGTATGTAATGGAGCAAGGGACTAGCCATCTTTGGCTCCGGTTGGCGCTGGAGCAAGGGGCTAACCTCCTCGAGCTCCTTCTGGCACTGTAGCAAGCCACTAGGCTCCTGAGGCTGGAGATATTGCCTGGCCAGTTTCACGAAACCTCTGGCTGGGAACAGCACAACTATTAGAATAAATGAGCTATATATGTGCCAGGCATGTCCCAATGTGGCCAACCAGATATGGCTCCAAATCAGTTGCCAGAAGTGGCCAAGGACAGCCTCACATGCCTGCCACATGTGGCCTGGACTGGTATCAAGAAAACAGCAAGGCTCACTGCATTGACTGGTGCTTAAATACCCAAGACTCTTTGTGTAGGTCATAGGGCATCTGAACAGTGTGTGCCTCCCTGCCTGCCTGCCTGGGAGGGGTTATTGTTGTCTCTGAGGGTGCCCAGAAGTTAAGTCCTCCTCATAAACGTGTGCCTCACCTCTTCCATGATCTCAACTGAGGTGCCAAAGTAGTTCTGGTGAATCAAGCAGATCCTTGCCAAGTCTAGAAGTGTCGACAAAGAGGTGGAACTATGAGAAGTCGCCAAGGACAGTTGCTAAGAAACCATCCCCATCTGTGAGCTGTAGTTGTCATGGGAACCAAGTAAACACAGGGACCAGCTGAGAGTTATCTTCAATGCCTTAACTTACTAAGTGGGTTTGGGCCACGGTTTCTTAGCCCTTGTCATAAAATGATAACTTTTAGGAGATAATTTTGGCCTGTCTTTCCAAGGGTTGCAAGTTATTTCATGTACCTCAGTTAGCTCCTCAGGACACATCCAGATGCAATACAGACAATTGGTGAATGGCTCTCATGACTTGTGTGTGTGTGTGTGTGTGTGTGTGTGTGTGTGTGTGTAAAGCAGCCATGCTGGATTGCATTAGAGCAGTGGTGTTTGGGAGAGGCTTAACCTTCTCCCCACTTGAAATTGTCCCCTGCTTCTGAAGCTACCATGAGATTCCCTAAGGACAAAACATGTACAGCTATTGAGCCTGCCTTTATTCTGCAATGAGGCTTACACCAGTTTTTAGGGGAGGGGTGCTTTTCATCTGGGTTATATCCCCTGGCCCTGCCTCCCTGATCCAATTCATCTATCTCTGATGAATGCTTGAAAAGGAAAGCGTTAGAAGATTCAGTCACATGGGGTTTGCCCCCAATCTCAAACACACTATATCAAAGTCAAATACAGCTCCAAATCTGGTCTTCACTGGGCTGTTTTGAAGAATTCCTTCAAGCATTCTGGTACCTCTTGAGTGTGCATGCATGGTGTCAGAATTGCGCCATTCCAGCTATATAAGCTACAGTACTCACACAGCTGAATATCAGAAATAGCCTGATAGTTGATAAATCTTGAATAGATCAGACTATGGGCAACTTTATATAACTGAGATGTGTGTGTCAGATGGCTGTTGCGGTTGCTTGAGAGTCTCCAACCTGTCTTTTACTGGCTTTATTTTGGTGCAAACTATTTACAGTGAAGAGCCCCAAAGCTCATGTCTGGCTCAATCGCTAGCAGAATCCGGGAGTGGTCGTCTTTTGGACCTCCCCCAACATAAGAGTTTCATTACCCCCAACCTTCTTCTTCCCTCTTTGCGCCTTAGACTACTGCACAGGATGGGCGATGGCAAGGGCATGTTTCCCTCCTGTCCGGCTTGCCCAGGAGCGGTGTTAAGGCTCCCACCAGCATCCTCTGGTCCTTGCACCTCTTCCCCACTGGAGGTGGGGTTTTCCTCCTCCCCGGAAGAGGAACTGCTTCGCAAGATTTTTGGAGGCTCCCTGTAACACAACTGCCCTTCTATTTCTCACCTCTGAGCCAATGGCAATTCCCTGACAGCGTGTTTTCGTATCTGAAGGGGTTAGCACATATTCATTGCACTGCATGTACACATGATGAAAAACTTCACCCGATTACAGCTCTTTGCCTCAAATATATGACAAAAGTCTATTGTAGCTCTTGAAATGAGCCAGTGCACATATGCAATCCTACGCATCATGCTTGGCGGCAAGTCCCACTGTTGAATTCAATAGGAATAACATGTGCGTGGGTTAAGAAATCCCCATTTCTTTGGCTTTTTTAAAAAACAACAACAACGAAGTCTTATGTAGGATTATCAGTGCAATCTTCACTGAGGGAAAAAAAGTCCTGTTTAATTAGTCCATCTTGCCTGATGCAAGATTGCATCAAGGTCTGTGTAGAAATCCACTGAGTAGCTGCGTTTTCTTCCAGCACGTACACTCTCTAGTGCTGGCGAAATATGTACCTAGGCCCTGATTGGCTGAAGCAAAATCACCTCTTCTGTACAAAACCTACTCTTCTTATAGTATAAAAACTGGTCTTTGACCTGGGTCTAACTGCCCCCATTCAGATGAAGGATTGTGAACTGCAACAGCCACATATGTGTGCCTGGATGAAGCTTGTTGGTGGGGGTCTGTGACTCTTAATAGTGTGTTTTAGGGTGAGGCAAGCTAGCTTTGCTATCTTATATTCTGCACTCGAATTCCCCAAAGGTGTTTTCATTTCGTTAGCCTTCCTTGACTGTCTTTATTGGTAAATGGTTCTAATGTTTAGCATTTCCTTCACTTCAGTGTGGCTTATTGAAGTAAGCTTGGCTCCTCAATTGCACACTACAGTGGTACCTCGGGTTAAGAACGTAATTCAGTCTGGAGGTCCGTTCTTAACCTGAAACTGTTCTTAACCTGAGGTACCACTTTAGCTAATGGGGCCTCCCGCTGCTGCCGCCGCACAATCTCTGTTCTCATCCTGAAGCAAAGTTCTTAACCCAAGGTGCTATTTCTGGGTTAGCAGAGTCTGTAACCTGAAGCGTCTGTAACCTGAAGCATCTGTAACCCGAGGTACCACTGTACTGAGAAATAACAAAAATTCACATAGGTAAAAGGCCACTTGACCTGAGATTCTGCTTTATTCCATTACCAATTACAAAAAAGAAATAGGAAAAAAACATAGCGTTCAATTAGAAAACTAAAAAATTTATAAAAGACCACGAACTTCACATTTCCCCAGCCCTTGATCTTTGTCAGGAATAATTAAGAACCCAAACCTCGGTGCATGAATAACCGCAGCAGACTGATACTGCTTTGCTTATGCCTTATGGCGTTTCCACTCTGAAATTTTAAGCTCTGGCGGGGCACGCCGAAACCACTCTGACCAAGATCCATCGTAGATGGCCACATCTGGTGTGCCACACAGGTACGCCGCCAGGGCAATGTGGCAGGCTGTGACCCCCTTGCGGCATGTGGCAATCAGAGGCTTTGAGAGATCCACTTTCTTCTCCTGGAACATGCTCCGGATCTCTTCCGTGCTCTTCTCAAATCCTTCTTCAGTCAAGAAATTGAAAAAAGGCATGTTCAGAGTTTGGGGGATGTGGCCTGGTTCAAGCCCTAGAATAGAAGGAAGAGAGAAAAGAGCCTCCATTTAGATATGGTGGCAAAATAAACCAATGCAGACATCTTAAAGTTGATGCTTCAAAAAACTATGGAGGCAAAGTATCTCAAGAAAAGGTTAGAGAATATGCTGACAGAAAGGGTTTAAAAAGGCAATTCTGGAAGGAAGGAAGGAAGGAAGGAAGGAAGGAAGGAAGGAAGGAAGAAAGGAAGGAAGGAAGGAAGGAAGGAAGGAAGGAAGGAAGGAAGGAAGCTACCTGCAATTATGTAAAATAAATTCAGTTTAAAGATCAAATGATGATGATGACGTAAATTAAATTAAATTATGTAAAATGAATTCAGTTTAAAGATCAAATAACAACAACAAACAACAACAAACAACAATTTATTATTTATATCCCGCCCATCTGGCTGGTATAAACTACTTCTGATACAAAACAGTTATAATCTGGGACACATCTACAAAACTTGCATTAAGTGATGAATCAAGGTATTTAGCCTGAAATATTCACAAACAACACTGACTCAGTAAAATTGAACTGGGAGATCAAGAAAGGATCTTAAATTATTTTGTTTGGTCTAAGTGAATCAGCCTGATCTGCACTTCCTAGACTAATATGCGAATTGGAACGTTGTTACCCTTTGGTTTTTGCACTTCTCTGAATTTTGCAATGTAATTCTCAAGCAACATTGCAAAATTGTACTTTTCTTTAATCAGTACTTGAATCAACATAAGCTACTTTGGGTTGCTTTAGGTTGCCCTGGGCAAAATAAATGGACTAAAAAATTCAATAAATAGTAATAATAGTAATAATAGTAATGATAATATCATGGACAGGACAAATTGATAACACTAGACATTCTGAGTATGAGAAAAGTGTTTTTCTCATATCTATATTTAGAATGGAAACCACAGGTATGCAAATTTTGATAGTATGGAAATAATTTAAAAGAAAGGATATTCAGAGTTCAGAGTTTGGGTTTGCAACACTCCAGCTGTACTGGAAGTGCTCACTGTCTCACAAACTCCAGAAATGTCATGGCTGGTTTTGATTACCTGATGGTAAGGAACAGGCACTCCGCACATGATCAAATGCAATGTCTTAATTGTTGTGTGAAATATCCAGTAACATAAATGTTTGTAGGCTAAGCTTCACTAAACTCTGGCTGGGATGACTGCCCAATTGCCACAGATTTAGGATGAGTTCATATGAAAAATCTGAAGAAACCACTAGGGCGGTCTGCTGATTTTGTGTATTTTTATATGTATGATGGATAATTTATTTGAAATATTCTAGGCAACCTAATTACCAACTAGCTCACAGGCCATTTACAGGTGCTTCCACTGAGGTGATAAGCCACAATCTTGCTGTTTGGGTAGAATTATACTTCTCAAATTTGCCTTAAATAACATGCATATACTGAGCACATGTGAGGATGGTGGTTGATAGAGAAAGCAAATTCCCTTGATTGAATCATATTGAAAAGGAGGGATTCCTCTGTAGCACATTAAAAGTCTCTGCAGGTAGAGGACACATTTGGAAACCATGTATCATGTCCCACCAAATGAAGCAAACCCCATCAGCCAAGAATGTCAACCACCATTGATCAAGCTTATTGGCTTTGCTGCCTGTCTGGGCCTACCAGAGCCATGAGACAAGTCACACAAAATAAACAGCTTGGGGTGAACTGTGTTTGGCAGGTCAGCTCAGGACATTTAACCAAGTAATCAAAACATTCAGCCCAATCCAGGCTTCCTTGCCACAGCTGTTCATCTGAATCTCCTCCCCCCCCCCTTTTGAGAAAGTTTAAATCTCATGGGTCAGGGCTTTGTGTTGTCAGTGTTGGTCAAGTGTCTTGCAATGGGACAGCATTTTAGCATCTGCTTACACTCAGGTAGCACCATAATGTGAAGTTGCAATAAACTATGGCGCTGTGGGTTAAACCAGAGAGCCTAGGAATTGCCGATCAGAAGGTCGACAGTTCGAATCCCTGCGACGGGGTGAGCTCCTGTTGCTCGGTCCTTGCTCCTGCCAACCTAGCAGTTCAAAAGCACCTCAAAATACAAGTAGATAAATAGGTACCGCTCCAGCGGGAAGGTAAATGGTGTTTCCGTGTGCTGCTCTGGTTCACCAGAAGCGGCTTAGTCATGCTGGCCACATGACCCGGAAGCTGTACGCCGGCTCCCTCGGCCAATAAAGCGAGATGAGCGCCGCAACCCCAGAGTCAGCCACGACTGGACCTAATGGTCAGGGATCCCTTTACCTTTACCTATGGCATGCTTGGCTCCCCTCCACCCAGTAAAACACACACACAAAGTGGAGTAGTTTAGTAATTAGCCCCACTTTTGACTCTGATTGTAATGGTCTTGTGGGGATCCTACTCTTTAGATCAGGCTTCCTCAACCTCGGCCCTCCAGATGTTTTTGGCCTACAACTCCCATGATCCCTAGCTAGCAGGACCAGTGGTCAGGGATGATGGGAATTGTAGTCTCAAAACATCTGGAGGGCTGAGGTTGAGGAAGCTTGCTTTACATTGTAATGTGGTAGGCCAGATCTACTGTATTTGGGGGCCCTCCTGCCGAGCTGGTCCCTGGATTTCTGCCCTTCCCCCCACCTGCCCCTGATAGCACCACTGCATTTCTGTCCATGTGCACACTCATAAGCACAAACACACATAGCTCGTGCACACACACTGTACACAAAGAGGAGCGAATGGAATGCTGAACCTGCAGCAATTCTTTTGGAAACGTGCCACAGTTGGTCTCTCTCCACAATTCCAGATGGACATTTTTCGTCTCATTTGATTCTTGATTTGTCTCTTCTGTGCTCCACAGGAATTGGCTCTGGAGCTCATGGCTTCCCCTGGACATTATCTCAACATTAAAGAGCTAAAAAAAAATATAGAACTGACTTTTTAATAACCCCCCCATCCTTCCCTTTTGACTACTGTGTTTTGATATCATAGCACATCCAATAGCTTCCCGCTACTCCATCTGCCCAAGCTTTGAAGAAAACCAGAAAAGCTACAGAATATAATAGTAAACAGATCCTCAATGTTTACTTTCTCAGTAGTATCACATAAAAGTTAGGTCCCTGGGGCTCTCCACTGGCCATGCCCCCTGCCCAGACCATAACCCTGGCTAGCTCTGCTCCATGCCCTTCTCAAGTGCTTTTGCTTGACTGAAAGGTGTCAGGTGGCCAAAATGTAGCTTACTGTACAAACGGAAGAGTTACATCCATCGCCCTGCGCACCTTGTCTCTGGCCCACCACCAACATGTGGCCCCTGGAAGGTTGCTCCCATTTGACCTGGTGTAAGTGAAAAGTATGCAGAAAGAATCTGGGGCTCCTATCTTTACTAAATGTCCTTCATACAAGTTGCAAGAAACCTGTGTGGGATAAGAACTTCCTACAGTGAAGGACTGGGACTCAGAAAGCTAAAAAAAATGTGCACTTGTCTCCCACAGAGGCTACTCCTATCCAAAATGTTGCTTTTTTCAGGTCATGCAGCTGCAGTTAGTATATAAAAGGGCTTTAGCAAGCAGATAGTGAGCTGCCAGAGTAAAACTTGCAAACTGACCCTTAATTGTTTTGAAGAAAGATAATAGCTGTGTGAACATAGCCATGTGACGTTTTATAGGTATTTATGTACACACGGCTCTCTGAAGCATGCTCTCTGAAGCATGAACCTCCAACCCCACATGCAACTTGTCACACATCCATGCCTATGTAGTTTACCACATGTTGCTGGCATCCGTCTGTCTTGAAAGACAATGGAGTGTGCCTCTGGGGGTGAAGTCAAACTGCTGCAATTGCAGCACCAAAGTGACCTCCCTGGGGCACAAGCCTGGACAGTGTATATGGAGGTCCTGGGCTGCCTTCATCGATGTGGTCCAAAAGAAAGCAGAACAATACATTTGACACCAACTTGGCTGCAGGAGTTGCCGGAAGGAGGTGTACAAGGCCCCATCCAACCATCTTAGGGACTCCGCTCTGGATTTGTGTAGGGTTTGCTCCTTAGCCTTTTCTTCTCCTGCAGATGTCCCACAAGGCAGCAGAGGTCTAGGATGAGAGTTTTCCTTCTCCTTGAGAAGCTACCTTCCCCAGGTTGATGAGCCCCATCTGCCCCTCACTTCCCTCTACAGAACATGCAAAAACCAACTTCTTGACCGTTGGACCCACTACTGGTCTCGTCCGTTCAATCTGCTGGAGCCTGTCTTCGCATGCAGGGGAAGTCCCGAACTCACCGAGGGATTGGGATCCATTGGCTACTCTCACTTGGTTTAGCCGGCCAGTGGAAGCCATTTCTCAGGGTGTGGCTGCTGTCGCATGCTGACAGCTTCTAGGAGCCACAGGTGATTGCTGACTTCAGGGTGGCGACCAAAGCTTTGACAAACTGCCCCATAAGGAGCACAAAACACATGCACCTACAGCTAAATCGCCACATGCATATTCATCTGAATTCAAAGCCAACCACAATGCTGAAGATTATTTGAGAAAAACCATCTAGCATGAAACTAATATAAGCCTTGTGAACTAGGTATATTGTGTGTAATCACAGGCTGGGCAGAAGGACTTAGTTATCACTCAACAAAACAAACCAGGGCTAGGGTCACCACCTGAAATTCCTGGACAGCCACCAAGGCCCCAGAATCTAGGAGGGCCCACAAGTACTGATCCTCTTACTCAGTTAGCCCCCCCCCCCCAGTCATTCCCACATCTTGGTTTTACTTAAGGATGGGCTGCTGTGTGCTACATGCCCACACTTTTAAATGAAAATGTCCTGGGGCACTGTAGACGATTCAAAATGGTAGGCAGATCTGAGCAGCGCCAGTACAAATGCAAGATATTACACAGTGCATAAATAAAAGGGAGGAAAAATCTAAAGAAACTGGCCATCACTGAGTAGATTAGAGGAATGAATGCAAATTCTCTTATCTATATCACCAACCTACAATTTAAATACTCTCTTATCTTTTTTGTTGGTGCTTTTGAAATATATTTTTTCTTACACGGAAGTGTTTCCTCCGTAGGAAAACGTGTTAAGAGCGGAGAGAGCAGTCCTATATTTTTTCTGCTGGGGATACAATGCTGGAGTGGCTGGGCATGGCGACCCTGGTTAACTTGGTGTTTATCTCAGGATTCTGTACCATGAGGCTGCCATTCCTCTCTGACATATGCACAGATGCACACAACTTTCTGCCACTCCCACCCTTTTGGCTTTTGCCCTTTGTCCAGGCTGATCAAAAGTAACAGCTCAGCAGTCTCCCATGCATTGCCAGGGAGGGGGAAGAGTATACAAGAATGTGAGGCAGTCATTTCAGACTTTTTGTTTGAACAGGCTGGTTTTTGGACAATTAAGAGGCAAATACTAGTCAAGCCGGTTCTCTGAAATATATAAGGAAGAGCCGCATTTCAAGAAAGAGCTGCAGAATCATCAAGTTACCGGAGAACCTGTTTTAACTTAACATGCTTCTTATTACATTCATGCCTCACTTTCCTCCAAGGAGATTGTGGTGCTCCCCCTCCCCATTCTATACTCACAAAATTCTTGGAAACTGTCGGTGGCAAACATAAATGTCAAGAGTACAGCTGTTACCAATACAGATTGTTGGAAATAGACCCAGAGCACAAAAGATAAGTTCATCTGCTGCTTTTCTGGCTATCCATAGTCAATATAACTAACTGCTTTTGCCATATATAGGGGGAGGAGAGGGAATCAGAACTAAAGATCTGTCAATGGGCTATTTTCCGGTCATTCCACTCTTCTAATAGATGGTTGGTGGGGAATCCTAAGTCTAATTGTGTCCAGACTTTGAAGGATATAAGGTTCTGCCAATATGGACTCCCTATTAGACACCCACCTTGGCCCTGTGCAGGTTTACTCATAAATATCCCACTTTGTTTTTGCTTTTATGAATGCATGCATGCACAGGATTGTAGCCCAAGGGGGCTAAAGGAATGGATCTACATTAGTGGGAAATGAGTGTGGAGAGAGGGTCACATCAGAATGAATGCCAGAAAACACTCCTTTGCAGCTGAAGGTGGTTCCAGATACCGTTCCTACCTTGTGTCCCTGGCTCAGGTTCTGTTCCCCGATATCTCCCTTCAGATCTGGAATCCACCACTTGGAACCGCTTGGATTCCAGGTTCTCCAGCATATCCTCATAGGTCTTCAGGAGCGATCTGTTCAGGCTGGCTTTAAAAACGGCCGGCTCTGGTCTGGTGCTCTCTGATGTCACAGGGTGCCCTTCTTTCACCCAGTTCTTGAACCCCCCATTCAGCACGGAGACAGTTCGGTGCCCAAAGACACGGAACATCCACCAGGCCCGCGGTGCGTAGAAAGTGCCCAGGTTGTCTCCATCGTACACCACGACGTGGGTCTGGTTGCTGATGCCCAGGCGGCCGACGTAGTCCGCAAAGTGCTTCTCGCTGGGAAGCATGACCTCGTAAGGGGATGACTTGTCTTTGCATTCCTCGATGTCGAAAAAGGAGGCTCCAGGGATGTGCCGCTCCCTGAATTCTTTCTGGGCATCTCTCTTGCCACCGGGTTCATACCAGGAGGCGTCCAGCACCCGCAGCTCAGGCCCAATCTTATTGGCCCGCACAGCTTCTGCTAGCCATTTGGTGGAGACCAGAGCTCTATACAGCACTTGTTGCACCATGTCAGCTAAGGTGCTTTTGGATGGATGAAGACAGAACTCGCAAGCAGAAAGGAATATGCAGGAGAAAGGGGAGGGTCTACAAACTCACAAGCTCTGGTGTCTGGTTCCCCACCAATAAAGGAGCAAGGGGCGGAGAAACCAGGACGAACTATGTCCATTTGTATGCAGACCCGTCCTTTGAGTGAACACAGGCCCTCCCCCACAACAGCTGCCAATCCCAAAAGACCTTTTCTCCCTAAACGTTTAGTCTGTTTCCAAGTACCTCGATCAAGTCCTAGCAGAGAACAAAAAATCTCTCCCAGTTCCTTTCCACACCAGCTGTTACGGGGCGTGCTGCAACCAGAAAAAAATATGTTTGAAGTGCTACAGTAAGTGAGGGTGCAAGAGTGTGGTGTGATTGGCTGAACTGGCATTGGGGCAAAGGGCTAACCTGAAAGGGGAAACTTACCAGTTAGCTTCCCAAGAAGGCTGAGAATGTGGGGTCGCAAAGGGCAAAGAGGAAAAGTTGAGAGAGAACTCAGGCTATGGATCTGAAACACCCTCCAGCTGTTCAGAACTCTACCCAGATCTGTTACAGGTTCACAGGCAGGCAGCCCACTGGAAACTTTTGCTGCCTATGCAGGACAGGCCTTTGGTGCGTATATAGTTGTTCCCAACGAATTTGAGAATTAACCCAGAAGTGAGAGGCAGAGCAAAAAATTAAAAATAGCAGACGCTGTTGAGTGTCTCTTGGCTCTAATCCAGAGGAAATATCGGGAGGTCTGAAATAATAATAACGCGGCAGCCCTAAAGCCCACTTACTAGGGAGTCAGCCCTATGAAACGCAAGGGGGGACTTTACTTCCAGGAAAGCATATATAAGACAGCCGGATTCCATGCAGTTCAGAGCTTGTGAGAACCCCGATTCCTTTTAAGAACAGGGTGTTGTTTACAGCAGCACACAGTAACGCTGCAAAACTCGCCCAAGTTTACAAAGGAAGCATGTGAACGAAATCCACGCGCCCGGGACCTTTAACAAGCAGAAGTGACTAATAACTATCTTTGTTCCTTCGCACGGCCTATCCCTCCGCCTTCCAAGTGTTCCTCCTTCCTCCTGTCCTTGCCAATGAGAGCGAGGTAGCAGGGATTACTCCCCGTTATTGGGTCAGCTGCAATTTCCACAAACGCCGCTTTGTCTGCTTTCAGGAAAAGGGGTTCGATGGGGAGACAGGAGACTTTCATCCCTGTGGTGTAAAACTAGCTGGAAGATCCCAGGCCAATGCACGGCTGGGAACACTCCCTGCTTGCTGCTTACCCCCCTTGGCCGCGCTTTAAGAAACTTGGGGCACCCCCAAAAAACATATACACGCCTCTTTCTTTTAGGTTCAGCGGCCTGTTGCTGCAGGGAGCCGGCGGGGGGAGCGCGGAGCCTGCTCTAGAGCCGAAAGAGGCTGCCGAGGGCTTCGCACTTCGCCCAGTCTCCCTCCTCTCTTTGCCAGGGAAGGAAAGCAAGGCCGCCTCCGCGGTTCGGTCCCGAAGGGGACCCGGTCTGCTCATTGGGGCCGGAGACGTCGCGCCGGTTTCCCCTCCTTCCGTGCCCCGACTTGGTTTGCCCCGGCAAACTCCTTTCTGCTACTGGTTGGCAAAGTGGGACGTGGCCCTTGTCTCCACCCAAAATGCACGTAACGGCCTAATGGACGGGGAAGGAGGCAGCCCCGGCGGGCGGTAGCGGTGTGGGGGCCCTCGGAGCGAGCGCGATCGCCCTCGGCGGGATCTGGCGGAAGGACGAAGAGGTACCTTGGTCGGGGGGAGGCGGATCCTGTCGGGGGTGGGTGGCTGAATGGGGCGTGAAGCCGTAAAGTCTTTGCAGAGAGGGGAGGCCCGCACCATGTGCTCGGGAGACCGTCGGATTCTGCAAGCATTTGGCCTGCTCAGGAAGAGACGGGAAACGTGGGCGCTCGATCCGAGGAGATCGTAGATTTGTAGCGTTGGAATGGGACCACGACGGTCATCTAGTCCAACCCCTTGCAATGCAGGACTCATTTTCCCAACGTGGGACTCGAACCCACAACCCTGAGCTTAAGAGTCTCATGCTTTCCCTACCAGAGATGCCAATTTGAATAAAATATTGGGGGGGGCACACACCAGGTAAGCCCCGCCCCACATCAACAATCACATGACACGAGGCACATGATGCACACTATTTGAATGGCACTGCCCATCAACCCTAGGAGTTGGCTTCTATGCTACCTACTGAGGTATCCCAGCTGACATCACCAGCACTATTTTGCAGCTCTTTAAGGGTGACCTTGGGCCAGGCGCATGACTTTCAGCCTACCCAGCCTCATAGGATTGTTGTCCAGTGTCAAATAGAAGAACTGTTTCTGCTGCATAAAGAGCTCTGCTGGATCAGGCCAAATCAAGGCCCACAGCCCGGCAGCCTGTTCTCGGATGCTTCTGTGGAAAGCCTGAAAGCAGAACCTCAGTGCAAGCAGTGCTTTCCCTATGTGGATTTCCAACAACTGGTCCTCAGAGGCCTGTTGCCCTTGGCTGTCTATGTAGAAAACAGCCTGTGTGAGCTTCTCTTCCATTGACTTTTAAAGCTGGACCCAAGTAGGTAGTCATCCTGCGGGTGGAATATGTTTGTGTAAAGAAGTGCTTTATTTTGCCTGTCCTGAGTCTTCCAACATTCAGCTTCCCCAAGAGATGGGGAAAACTCACATTTACACTTCCTCTCACCTGTTGTGCCTGGGCACACACACACTCATCTCATTTGCCGTCTTTTCTAAGCTGCTTGAAAGAAAGGTGGGGCAGAAATAAAAGCAAACTGTTAAAGTCAGAGGGCAGTTACTGTCTTATCACTTCCTTGTCTCCTGGAAGTCAGAAGTTTTCATGTCTGCAAAAAGAGGAGCTGGGGCTATTTCGGAAGTCATACCTGCCCCCGCCCCTGCCCACATACTCTTACCTCTAATTCTGCAAAATCTCATGCAGCTCATTCTCTTATACAACTGTCAGTGGTCAGCCACAGAGCATGCGGCTCTGAGCAAGTGCAGAGTGCATTTGTGCTGACAGCTATAATTAGTCAGTTTCCACAGAGCTAGGAATTATGGGAGATGGGATTGCTAGTCTGATTAGAGTTGAGCTCAGGGCTGCAAAAATATAATCAATTAGATGAATCCATTAAAAAAAACCATGCCCTCTCAATTTAGGCAGTAGTTATAAAAAAAGACATACACAAATTTGATTTCACAAATTGATATATAGATATATATATATATATATAAAACCACATACATAAGAATTTCTAAAACTTGCAGGTGTTAGCAGCAGACTATAGACATACTATAGCAGCGGACTATAGACATCTTTCCACCTATGTGTGTGATGCCGCTCAAAAAACTGCACAGCAGCTTAACACAAACATCTTTAAATCAATAGTGCCTTCATAAAAAATATATATTAATTTATACTGGGACCAAATGTGGCTTTTCTGCAATGACGGAAGGCACTGCAATCACTGTTTTTTAAAAAAATCGATTCACATGTGCCAGATGTGAGCCCTGGTATTTGAAGTTGGTTCAATGACTAAACCCTTCTGAGCTGTGTCTCAAGTTATGCATTGGTTATTAGCAAGTTGTGCCGTGGGAAAACCTGGCTGTCCTGAGTCAGAAAATTGGCTTTTAATGGGGAAGATTGTACGGAGATTTGTTTCCGAGCATCAGGAAGGTGTGCATATGTGTGCGGTCACATGGCCACTTAAACTTCTGTTTAAAGCTTACAGCTTGCTGTGTTGACTCAACATGGTTTGTTCTCTGATAGCAACATGGAGTGTGAGACCATTCATGGTTCCTAAAAACTTAATAAACAAATAGGAAGTAGGTCAGTGAGTGTCTACTGCTGTGAACATTACCACAAGTGACAATGTTTACAGCACCAATGTAAGTTGCACACACTAAGAGTAGAAGTGTGAAACACACATACTCATTCACCTCTGACAAATAGTCTTTCTGTCTTCTGTATAAAAAACTTCCGGAGGAGAAGATGGATATGTTTTCCCTGGGCTGCGTGCTCTTTTATATCAAAGACGGTGTTCAGCTTTCCCTTACCAGCCAACCTAAATCTGCTCCCTTTCTCCTTGAACTTAATTCTTATTGACTTCCCTCTCCCAGCATATCTTGCAGACAGCAGTTCACCTAATTCTTTGAGACAACATTTTAGACTGAGCAGGTAACTGAAGACTGTTGTAGTGGTCCTGAATCTTTATTTGCTCCCTGCAGCTAAACAGGGAAATGTTCTCATGATTTGAGAGAGAGTCCTTTCAGGTGTCCAATCTAGCATAAGCTTCTAACCATATTTAATTTACGAAAGAAACAATAGCTCTCTGATTCTGGTAAACACGCAAGACAGTATGCACACAAACTCATTCACCCCCTTGCCATTTTTGTTGCTTTCTACAAGTTGGCAAGTTTGTTGGATCAAGAACACGGCATCTAACTCAACCACATAATAGGCTAAATTTGTCTTTCTATTTGTCTACATTGAGATTGGGGAACTTTTAGGCCCAATGGGCCAGTTCCTCTATCTCCACCCACCCCACGGACCCAACTTTCATAGGTGGGTGGGCCGTGCACCTGTCAATCATCTGGTGTCATGATAACATCAGGTGACTGATAGGTGGGCAGTCCCACCCACCTGTCAAAGTTGACCCATGGAAGTGTGGCAGACATCTGTTTTGCCAACATGTTCTCCACAGAAGCAGCACCCAGCAGGATTGAAATCAAGTGTTGGGTTCAGTTCTGCCCTCTGCAGGGATCTGCTTCCCCTGTTGGGAACATGCTGGCAAAGCAGCACCCAGAAGCATTGACACCCTACCGATCAGCTGACATCACCCAGAACTGATGGACAGGTGGGCAAGATTTGGAGGAAAATGGCTTTGTGGGCCAAATTGGAACTTCACTTGGGCCAAGATTGGCTCATGAACTGGAGCTTCCCCACCCCTTCTCTGCATCACGGCAGGTGAACTCCTTCCTATTCTTGTGGGGATGACGTTTGTTGCATCATCTTCTTTCACCATAGTGTGGACAGTCCAGCAGAGTCCCAGATACCTCCTGAACCCAAACAGGACTTGAGCACCATGTCTCAGCTTCTCTACCGGGCTCTGGTGTCGGCCAAATGGGTCTCGGAAGCCATCAAGACCCCTCAAGCTGGGCTGGCTGTGCGGCTCCTGGACGCCTCCTGGTACCTCCCCAAAATGAAGCGCAACCCCCGGAGCGAGTTTGAGGAGCGCCACATCCCCGGAGCGTCTTTCTTCGACATCGACCAGTGCAGCGACCGCACTTCGCCGTACGACCACATGCTCCCCGGCCCGGCTGCTTTTGCAGAGTACGTGAGCAAACTGGGGGTTGGCAGCGACTCCCATGTCGTGGTCTACGATGCAAGTGACCAGGGCTCTTTCTCTGCCCCTCGCGTCTGGTGGATGTTCCGGGCCTTTGGGCATGATGCCGTTTCCGTCCTAGATGGCGGGCTGAAGAACTGGCTGCGCGAGGGGCACCCTGTCAGCTCTGGGAAGAGTCGCCCTGTCCCTGCGGAATTCCATGCCTCCCTGGACAGATCACTAGTCAAAGCCCACGAGGATGTTAAGGAGAACATTGAGGCCCAATGCTTCCAGGTGGTGGATGCTCGGTCAGCCGGGAGGTTCACTGGGACGGAGGCAGAACCCCGGGAAGGTAACACGTCTCTTTAGGCCTTGAGGGTAGAAGAGTTGGCTTTCTTTAGCTCAGCGACTGAGAAGGAAAAAAGCAAGGGAGAGGCACCAGTGCAGGATATGAAGCCTCTAGATCAGGGATAATAATAATAATAATAATAATAATAAATTTTATTTACTGTATTTTTCGCTCTATAAGACACACTTTTCCCCCTCCAAAAATTAAGGGGAAATGTGTGTGCGTCTTATGGAGCGAATGCAGGCTCCATGGCTTCAGCGATAGCATCGTGAAGCCTCCAAAGCGCAGTGGGAGCGCTCCCGCTGCGCTCCAGAGGATTTGTGTTGCTTTTGCTGAAGCCTGGAGAGCGAGAGGGGTCGGTGCACACCGATCCCTCGTGCTCTCCTGGTTTTGCTTCGCTGAAGAGGCGCTGCGCAGAGAGGGAGAGAATTTTTTTTCTTGTTCTCCCCCTCTAAAACAAGGTGCGTCCTATGGTCGGGTGCGTCCTATAGAGCGAAAAATACGGTCTACTCTGCCCTCCCCAGCCAAGACCGGGCTCAGTGCGGCTAACACCAAATATAAAAACAATTGATTAGAATACAGCTTAAAAAACAAAACTAAAATACAACATTAAAACATTAAAATGCAGCCTCATTTCAGTGGAACTCAAGCAAAACCTTTTTGGGGGATAAAAACGTCAAGTCTTCACCAAGGCTAACTATCCAGACTAGTCCTACATGGGCCAGAAAAAAGCCGGGGAAGTCCCCAAATAGGAGTTCCAACACAGAAGGAGAAAGGAAAAAAAGAAAGAGGGGGAAGGAATCAAATTGATTCCAAGCCAAAGGCCAGGCAGAACAACTCTGTCTTACAGGCTCTACTACAAAATCCCATCATCCCTGACCACTGGCAATGCTGGCTGGAACCATTCTTATTATTTATTACATTTATATACCACCACCACCCCCTTCATCAAAACACCATGGGGTGCTTTGCAACAGACAACACAAATGTCAGGGCGTTAAGATAGTATCTGTGCAATATAAAAATTGGAACAGTTATGTAAATACAGTTGATATGAAATCCATCACAGAATACGGTTTCTCATGAAATACAGATTCTCGCAACAGCACGGGAGGAGAAAATCAGCCACAGGGTATCTAAGATAACAAAAATGTTGCACAAATTCAGAATCTTCTCTCTAGTCAAAGTAGTTCTCCATCCTGGCAGCCCACAGAAAATGGCGGACCCTCCCAGCTCTCACCTGGGAGTGCCTCCCTACCTCTCACTTCAAGGTCCTTCTGTCATCTATCAGCCACTGTTCTGTGGGTGTGGTCCTTGGCCCCCAATGACATCCCAGAAGAGGAGACATCCAAGGGGTAATTCCCTGTGGAGTCTCCCCCTGGAATTTGCCCATCACTGGGCAACCTGCTGTGTGCAGCATCCCTGACTTCTCTCCCCATCCTGAAACACAGCCATAAGGAGCTTAAGTCCAGCAGCATCTGAAGGGACACCTTTCCCATCCCTAAGAACCTTTCATACAAGGCCTGGTCAACTGCTTGATAGACATGAGTGCAATGTCTTGGTTCTGGAGTTCTAGGGGCTTTTTTTCTACCTCAAGTCACATGTATTCAATGGATGAGGTCTGTAGGGTTGTACTGGAGAACTTGGTGCCTTCCAGATATCATTGGGTTAAAATCCCCACCATCCCTGACTATTGGCCATGCTGACCAGGGCTGAAGGGAGTTGGAATCCAACAACATCTGGAGGACTGCAGACTCTCAGTGCAGAAAGATTTACCTTACTGTGCCCGATGCACAGTTAAGATCTTTGCTGGGGATACTGTAAAAAAACAAAATTGTTTTCTCAAGTGCACAATGATTCCTGGAACACACTTTAGGCTTAAAGGGTTTCCTCCCCACTTGCTAGCTCAGTGATCAAGCAGGTGCAAGTTTGCAGCTGTGTCTCACTGTCATAGGTGAGATCCTGCTTATATATAGGCCAAGTTCCACAGAGGATGCTCACACACGGTTGCTCACATGGATTGATTTAAATCAGGCACCCCCAAACTCGGCCCTCCGAATGTTTTGGGACTACAACTCCCATCATCCCTAGCTAACAGGACCAGTGGTCAGGGATGATGGGAGTTGTAGTCCCAAAACATCTGGAGGGCCGAGTTTGGGGGTGTCTGATTTAAATGAAGGCGATTTGAATTGCAAGGAAGAAGAAAATGAACATTGTAAATCTGCTTCTTGAGCGTGTGTGTGTTCTAAGCAGTTGGTATAACAGTTTTTTATACTTTTTATTTTGTTTTAACTTTCTCCAGGAATTGAACCTGGTCACATCCCTGGCTCGGTGAACATCCCTTTCACTGACTTCCTGACCGAGTCTGGCCTGGAGAAGAGTCCAGAGGACATCCGCCGCTTGTTTCAGGAGAAGAAAGTGGATCTCTCCAAGCCCCTGGTGGCCACTTGTGGTTCTGGGGTCACAGCCTGCCACGTGGCTCTGGGGGCTTATCTGTGTGGCAAGGCTGACGTGGCCATTTATGATGGCGCTTGGGTGGAATGGTTCATGCGGGCACGGCCTGAGCACATCATCTCAGAAGGGAAGGGGAAGAGCCTGTGAGTTTTTGGGCCTCTCGCCTCAACAAGGGGCAGAAACTTTGCCTTGTACAAGGGAAGGGCCTGGCCTTCAAAAATTCTGTCTTAAGATGTTCTCGCCAATGCGTGAAGCATTTCAACAGCAAATATGGGGTTCTGCTGTCCCTTTGTTGGGCATGAATGATGTCCTTTGTTCACTGCTGCTTGTCTGGGTGGAAGAATGCACTGATCATGGTATGGCAAAATAAGGGTTTCAGGTTGCACAAAGGAGTTGTGGAAGTCCAGTCACATGGGCCAAACCACAGGAAAGGGTTATGTACGGAATCAAGTTAGCACTTTGACCGTGGCAAATTATCTCATCTGACTACACAGTACCAATTGTTTCCCCCTTGTGAGTTGAAATCTGGTTTACTTTTTAAAAAAAAGTGAATTCTGATTTTTTTTTTTTTAATTAAAAGCATCTTAAGGTACTTTAATTGTTCAGTGTGTTTGTTTGTCCTGATGTAGTGGCTTCTAAAGCATTTTGTTCAGTACACCATATGTTGTAGATCACAACTTGAGTTAACACAGTTCTGCACTTGACCACAGCAGCATAAATATCGGAAGGGCATCGCCACCCATTGAATGAAGCTGTACCCGGGGAAATGCACAAGCTTCCTGGCTACACAGAGCTCTTAAATCAGGCATAGGCAAACTCGGCCCTCCAGATGTTTTGGAACTACAATTCCCATCACCCCTGACCACTGGTCCTGTTAGCTAGGGATCATGGGAGTTGTAGTCCCAAAACATCGGGGGGGCGAGTTTGCCTATGCCTGTCTTAGATCTTTCTGTGGCCAAGGTGGGAAGGTGGTTCTTAATCGTCCATGGAAGGTGTTATAGAAGGGCAGGAGCATCTTATGGTGAGGGAAAACCCTGTATGTTTCAGGTAGCTTGCTGTTATTTATCTGGAGATGATCATTAAAAGTCAAGTTCCTAGTTTTTGATGAATAATTACAGGTAAGCATGCCAAAGCCACAAATTCCTTCACTTTAAAAAGTGGTGTACGTTTGTTCTGCCCAAGGCAACAGTCTCAGTTGGGGAGTGGGGTTCTGGCTCAAACGCGGAGTTAGGTTGGACACAAAGTTCAGGGATGCTGGTGTCGGCATGGAGAGGGCCAGGAGGCCAGCTGGCTAGCCCCAGCTGGGCCGTCTCCTTCCAGCCGTCCCGCTGCAAAGACCATCACCTCTGCTCCGACATAAATCAGTGACCTGGGCTTCACAGCCAGGGCACACTATCAGCAGACTGAACTGCGCACACAGAATAGGTGTGAGGCTTGTGGAAGCATACTACAACTACAGATTTATTAATCATAAATCAGGGCAAAGAAACATGTCGTCTCTCTCTCGTCTCGGAGAGAACAGAGAAAAACAAAAACTATACACAACGGAAGTTCCCAGCAAGCTGTGCTGGAATGTAAACAGACATGTGACACGCAACAATTCCATACGTCTGCTCCTTAAGGTGGAATGGAAATGTCAACAGCTAGGACTGCTACCACCAGTCCTAGATCCAGGAAGCAAAGTTGGTCAAGTGTAGGTCAAGTCCAAGCAAGGCAAGCTCAGCCAAAGCAGAGGGTCAGTCCAGAAAAACAAGGTCAGGCAAAGCAGAGATCAAAGTCCAAAAAGCAAACAAGCAAGGTGGGTAGCACCCTTGATATCTCCAGGTGAAGTTAGTCTGGACTCAGACAAGGCAGGGGTGAATATTTCATATAGTTATATTGCATTAAACAGGACTGCTGCTTTCTTTAAGCAGCTGGCTCTAGCCTCCAATGAGGGTCAAGCCTATTCTCTAAAAGGGACCCAGCCTGTTTTAAGAGCTGTGGATTCTGGTGATGTGGAGGAGACTCCAACATCACAGACAGTAATGTGACAGCTTTAGGCGGGAGATGTGCAGGCATCACGGGCCCTTCTGGTCCTGGAACTTCTTATGAGGTAGGGATGTCACAGGCCAGCTCAGAGGGCAAATCTTCTTCCCTGTCAAATATGTCCTCTGAATCCAAGAGGTTTTCCCCTGAAGATGAGCAGTCGGAGCCCTTGGTCATTACACTGTTTGACTCCCCTTGATAACAGTGCTATAGCTATTATGACATATAAAAAGTAACAATTGCAAATGCGCTTTAAAAGTCATTGCTCTTTTTTGCAGTTTAATCTTTGATATATTCAAACACAGGCATTTATTAACTGAAGAGTCCCTCCCCTCCACCCCCAAAAAACTGGCAAAAGAATAGATATGAATTATACATCAGCAGCAGAAGCATATATGAGAAAATGGATTGTGCTCCTGTTAAGCTGGCAGAGTGTTGATATGATGTGCTTTTAAAATGCGAAAGCCCTTTTGGCTGATAGAAGTAGCTCAGATGTATATATATCTGAGAGCCACTCTTATCAGCATATCTCCCCTTCCAGCTCTGTTCTGTTCAGCTGCATTGGAGGGGTTTTTTTTGATAAAGGCTTATTCGCTGAAAAGCAACAAGCCTGGAAGAAATATATAAAATGATATTTGAATTTCGCTAATTCGCTGTTCTGCTGTTCAGATATGGAACTTGGATAGGAAGGTTTGAAGTGCAATATACAGGGATATTTCACAGGTAGTAATTTATGTGGTTATCCCCTCCCCGCCACCCAGCTTTCATTCTAAAACCATTGCAAAGGGTGGATGAAAGCCCATTTAACTCCCAAAGCTCTGTGCCACTTGATATAAAAGGTAAAGGGACCCCTGACCGTTCAGTCGTGGACGACTCTGGGGTTGCAGCGCTCATCTCGCTTGAGCCGGCATTTGTCCGCAGATAACTTCTGGGTCATGTGGCCAGCATGACTAAGCCGCTTCTGGCGAACCAGAGCAGTGCACGGAAACGCCGTTTACCTTCCCGCCGGAGTGGTACCTATTTAGCTACTTGCACTTGACATGCTTTTGAACTGCTAGGTTGGCAGGAGCTGGGACCGAACAACGGAAGCTCACCCCATCGTGGGGATTCGAACTGCCGACCTTCCGATCAGCAAGCCCTAGGCTCAGTGGTTTAGACCACAGCACCACCCATGCCACCTGATATACATGGAGCTAAAAGCTGGAGTTAGTGTCTTGACCCTCTAACACAAGTACTTCCATCTGCAAACACTGATCACATGAACACTTTATATGCACACCTAAACAAACTTAAGGCTGTACACCTTTGGATCTGGAAACAGATCCACTGAATATAGAGCAATGCAAGGGGTGCCTGTGGCAAGTGTGTTCATTTACAATGAAGTCATTGAGCATGCAAATAAGTAGCGATCAGGATCCCAGAGGATCTACTTTGTGGGGAGCAGTGTAAGAGATGTCGATCTGACTGAGTGCTTGTTGAGCTAGGAACAATGATAACCATGTTCTGTATGCATTCCTCATTCAAAGGAGCTGTTAGCACAGGTGGGTGGAGGCAGGCTAGCACCTTCTGGGATCTATGATGCTTTTTTAATAGAATCCTGATTCAATTAATCAGCTGGAGCCAGGTGCAAAAATAGTGACTGGGGTGGGTGGACATTTAATGATGCTTGAAGACATGCTCGCCTACAAATTTGTTTTCAGCACCAGAACTGGGCCGCCTTCACACCGTATATTTAAAGCACTGTGATGCCACTTTAAACAGTCGTGGCTTCCCCCAAAGAATTCTGGGAGTTGTAGTTTAAGGGCACTTACTTCTCTCACAGAGGTACAGTTCAGTTTCCTGTGAAGAGGAAGACTGATTGTTAAACTACTCTGGCTGTGAATGTGTCCCGTGGATGAGCCACTCTGGCCTCATTATCCTTTCTTAGGAAAACTGAGCCCTGGTTCCCTGCCCAGCCTTTGTCTCAGCAGCCTAATTTTCATTCTGGGGGTGAGCAATGGTGGTGATGGGGAAGGCTTTCATCATTCTCAGCCAGTGGTAAAGAGTGACTGGGGTTGGAATCCTAGAACATCTGGGAACCCAAGGTTGAAGAACACTGTGTTTGGCAATTGCCGAGAGTCCAGAACCTTGCTGTAAATCACCCAGAGCCTCTCCAGTGGATCTAGACCAGTGGTTTCCTGCAGCCAATCAGAAGCTGTGTTTTGGTTTTCAAACGTTTTGGAAGTCAAACGGACTTCCGGAATGGTTCTGTTCGACTTCCAAGGTACGACTCTAATTCAAGTTTGCATAAATGTGCAATTAACTGTTATTGTTTTGATTTTTTTGTGTTACTATCTTCCTTAGTGGGTCACACAAATGGCTATTCTGAATAATGCACTGGGGATAAGAGTTATAGAACCAAGGGGGCAGCGAACTGAAAAAGATTAGGAACCACTGATCTAAATTGACCTTCTGCTAACTCTTGTCCTAGTTTCTGATAACCTGTTAACAACGAAAGGCACGCACACAGCTCCTCCTTCAAACTGAGGCTACATACATACCATACATTTAAAGCATATCACCCCACACCAAGAATCTTGTGAGCTGTGGCTTGTTAAGGGTGCAGGGAATTGCAGCTCTGTTGGGGGGAGTTCCCAGGAATATTCCAGCGGGAAATGTGTGGGATAACCAGCCTCATAAAACCAACATGTATAAATCTAATTAATGCATGAAGGGGTTAATATCATGGAGTTAGCTGTCCTACTAGGCTTAGCTATGTCCACTTCCTTTACCTTAGGAGGAACTAGTCTATCAGGCCTATCATTCTCTCCCAGTCCACCAGAGCTCAGCATGTAAAGAGCGTTGAGCTGGTTGCTCCAGCTCAGACCACATGGCTCTCATCAGCCACTCTTGAATTCCTATACAGTACCAATAATCTAGGAACCTTCACCACTTTGTAGCTAAGCCAAGTTTTATGCTTATTGGGTAACTTTTCAGAATGCTGTATGGAAAAGCACATGAATCTGACCTTGGGCGTGTTTGTAAGTAAACCATTTCTAATGTACTAAATGTGTGGTCTTTTCCTGTGCTGGAGGAAGAGGAAAACTTTGGAAGGAACTTAGAAGTGCACATTTTTAAAGGTCTAATAGCCTCTATTTCCATGCTTGACTGGCTTGATAGTTTGTGATTTTGAATCTCTCACCCAGTACTTGCCCCAAACCTGGATCTTGGCATCCAGGGAATCTCCTTTTTCAAGCATACCTATTGTTTTTCCTTTAACCCATGAAACGCGCTTCGAATGCGCTCTAACTGTGCGTTGCGCTCCTCCAGCCCACTGGGAAAGCCTCCTTTGTGGTGGCGCTGCACCCGAGGAGAACTACAAGCCCCAGAATCCTCCAGGCGCCCCCACCTGCCTCCGGAGCCCCGCCTCCCCGTGGAAGTAGGAGGGACCGGCGGCGAGGAAGGGAGATGAGGATGGACCGAGGGGAGGCAACGCGAGGCGTGCGGAGGGCTCCTTGCGCGTGGGAGAGCTCCCAGCAGCCTCTGCCCCCCAGCAGCCGAGGCAAGTGGGTGAGGCTCAACGTCGGCGGCACCATCTTCCTCACCACCCGGCAAACGCTGTGCCGCGAGCAGAAATCCTTCCTCTGCCGCCTGTGCCAGGGAGAGGAGCTGCAGTCGGATCGGGTAAGCGAGCGAGCCCGGTGTGCCAGCGCAAAGGATCGCGGTGTTTTCGCGGGACACGTGCGCGCCCTGCTCCTGCCGCGGGGATCGGTTGCGCCTTCGGCTCGGGAGAACAAAGGAGACGCCGGAGGAAGCGCCCTCCGCCGCTCCCGTGTCCCTCGCTCAGCCGTGCACTTTGCAAGGCGCGCTCGCTGGAAGGAGTCGGGCTTGGCTTATTTTTTAATTTTTTAATTTTTGCAAAGTCATAAGGCTTGCATTGCAAATGTTGCTGGGCCGCTGGATTTCCATGCATGCACCCACCCCCGGTCAGTTATATACAAGCCTCTCTCGCCTCCTTTCTGGCATCTGGGAGATTTGGAAGAGGCGTGCCGACGAAACGCAGCCGCTGAAGGAATCAAGTCGTGGAGGAGGAGCCTGATTCGGGAAGGAGCCTCGTACTGAGCATACAGTATTCGCAGAATTAAAATAAAATGAAACGACGCCTGTTTACTCAGTAGCGTTTTCCCTCCGCGCGCCCGGGCAATTGCAGCACCGCCTCCTTCTTAGTTTACTTGTGTGATCATCAGTTTCCCCGGGGAGGCAATTGGGGTGTTTGGGCGCGCGCTCTGGATTTCAGATGCGCCTGATTTACAGACCGCACTGATGGGCGCACCCTCAGAAATACGAGCGCCCAAAGCGATGTAAGCGCCGCGTTTGCCTCTCCTCTCCCGCGTTGCTGGTTTGCCCCGCCAAGCCCTCACTGGACGCTGGTCGTCAGGACAGGGTGGCGCGCCATGAAGGCTCTTTTGGCCAGCCTTCCGGGCGGCGAATCCAAGGAGGTGTCCCAGAGCCCAAGGTGGGGCGTTCGGGCTGCAGTCTGGACTCGCTTAGCTGGGAGTCGGTTCCGTTGAATCCAGTGGGGAGTATTTGAGTAGAGATGAGTAGGATGTATCAGTGTTGAAGACCAAGAGTTGATCTTGGCTCTTGATTGCTCTTGCAGTGATATAAATACTTAAAGTATGTTTTATCAGAGAGAGTAAGCGAATTTTTGAAGTACTGTATGCAATTTCAAAGTTTCAGCTTCCCAGTTTTAAAAGTCATAGCTGCCGAGAGCAGATGGAAGAAAGAAGTAACGCCAAACCTGCAAATTTGGCTTACAATAGCCAACATTTTCTGTCTTCCCAATCTCTCCCGATTCCTTTCTCTCAATAGCATCATCCTGTTCTGAGGCTTCCTGCCGCCTTGGCTCCTGTTCTTGGCCTCCTGCCTTCCAGCCCAGCACTTTCTGGCCACTGCATTCTGTTGCATTCAATTTCCCCTATCCTTAAGCAGCTTGCGAGAAGCTTCTTTCCCATTCAAGCCAATGTTTCACTTCCTTCACAGTAGTAATGCTGACTTAAGAGTCCAGGACACCCTCTTCCTCAGTAGTTAGATTTATGAGCATTCTGTGACATCACAGCAACAGAGGGGACATACCATGGACTATTGACAGCTAGCCATCAGTCAGATGACTGTTGACAAATTGGATGCTGTGTTTGGACACAAGCATCTTTGGACACTTACTACTTTTGAGATTTGGTGACCAGAGCTGTACAATATATTCCAAGGTTTGTCCAAAGTAGGGGTGACGAAACTCTGGCACATGGGCCTAATAAGGCCCACTAGGCACCTTCATTTTACCCACAAATCCATTTTGGTCAAGCCATGCCCACCTGCCCTATACCTAATACAGTGGTACCTCGGGTTAAGTACTTAATTTGTTCCAGAGGTCCGTCTTAAGCTGAAATTGTTCTTAACCTGAAGCACCACTTTAGCTAATGGGGCCTCCCACTGCTGCCGTGCCACCGGAGCACAATTTCTGTTCTCATCCTGAAGCAAAGTTCTTAACCCGAGGTACTATTTCTGGGTTAGCGGAGTCTGTAACCTGAAGTGTATGTAACCCGAAGTGTAAGTAACCCGAGGTACCACTGTGCAAGCTATGTGGCAGGTCATCATTATCTGGCTCAGCCAAAACTGGCCCTGCAAGATGGTGTTTTGCAAGCGTCCTCTGAAGTCCCTTGCAAAGTGCTCTGCAAGACCTACACATGCCTAAAACGACTCACTTGACATTGCAGTGCAGTCAGGTGACTATCAGGTGGGCAGACGTGCCCACCTATAAAACTTGGGAGAAGACAATGATCAAGCCCACCAGCCACTTCCAGTTCCCCACCTCTAAGCTAAAGGCATTATGCTGCTAGCAGTTTTATTTCCATCTGGTTGGTTGGATGGCCGTCAGTCTTGGTTGCTTTTGTTGAGATTCCTGCATTGGTGGGGGGCTTGGGTTAGACTAGGTGACTCTTGTGGTGGCTTCCAACTGTACGATTCTATGGTGACTGGAGCTGTACTCATTATAATACACACCATAGGTTTGTTTAAAGGCATTTTGGTATTGACAGTTTTGTTTTAGAGCACAAACAATCCCTAGCAGGTAATTTCTGTTTCCACAACTTCTGCACACTGGATCAACATTTTCTTTAAGCTCTTCACCATGACTTCCAAGATCCAATTCTTGGTTGGTTACTCCCAGTTTGCCTTCCACCTGTATAAATGTGGTTAGGATTTTGGTTCAGTGGCTCACTTTGCACTTGCTTACATTGAACTGCATTTGTCATTGTACGGCCCATTCTCCCAGTTTTGAACTGCTTTACAATCACTTCTTGTTTGTACATCCTGAATAATTTGGTTTGTCGTCAGCAAATTTCGCCACCTTGCTTCACACCCTGACTCTTGGTCATATGCAAAACAATTAGAAAGCACCAGTCTCTATACAGATCACTGGAGGAGCCCATCTCTTGTATTGTGAGATTTGCCCATTTATTCCTCCTCTCCTTTAGTCAAGTTCTGACCCATAAGATGATTTCCCCCCTCTTATTTCATGAATGCTAAGTCTACACAACAATGTATATTGGATCACCCCTATCCAGATGCTTATTAACACTCTCAAGGGTGGTTCATGAGACAAGATTTACACTTGTTTGTTGTCTGCTTCTTTTGTTTAGGATGAGACGGGTGCATACCTCATTGATCGGGATCCCACTTATTTTGGACCCATTCTGAATTTCCTCCGGCATGGGAAGCTAGTACTGGATAAAGATATGGCAGAGGAAGGTAAGTTTTCAGACTTGTGCAACTATCGCACCCAAGTACAGGACTGCCTGATGTTGCTTGGCGTGGCCAATGGAACAAACTGAGTGCATCAAGGCATGAGTGAAGCTGACTGTAAGAAGTGGATGAACTAGCCTATAAACCAGTGGTAGGGAGCTTCTGATCCACAGGCCTCCCCATTTGGCCCATGAGATGCTTCGGGGGAAAAGGCTTAAACTGCAAAGTAACAGTCTTCAAGGAAATGCTTTGTTTACAATGCTGCTAACATCCACTGTAAATAGAGTGCTTGTGCCATGGCTCTTGTGCTATGACAGATCCTCTTTCACTTTTTGTCCCTGCATCCATGACGTGTGTGCGAAAGGAATGTCAACATTTACCGTAGTTCCATTTACAGAGTACAGGGAATGGAGCTAATATATTGTCCTGTGATGATGATGTTTTGATCCTTGAGAATACTCTTGTGCTTTCGTGTCCTCAGTGTTTCAGATTTTGTCCTCTTGGTACAAAGAGAGAATTCAAAGCAAAACACTTTGTTCCAGGGCCATGAAGAATAAGGTGCCAGCTCCAGGTTTAATGGGGAGGGGAGCTTGGGCAGGATGCCCTCATGGGGGAGGGGGGGCTCCATCCCGCAGTGAGTCTACACCCTCATTGCTTTTGTTTTTACAGGTTTTTGCTCCTCTGCCGCTTCATTGTTACCACTTGCATGCTTGCCAGACATAGTCAATAAACAAGCAGGCACTGGGAACTTCACCATCACTTGCTTGCCCTCCCTTCTGAGCCAGAGGCAAGCAGAACAGATTGTCTAAGGGATCACATAGCTCCATATATACCTGCCAGGCAACTGTGCTCCTTAGACGGTGCACTGCTAAGAGCACTATGTGCTCCAGAGGTGCACTTAGTATGCACTAGAAACCAGGCATTTAAGTTCTGCATCTCCATTCCTTTGGAATCATTTGGCAGCTGAAGTGAGACTTCTTATTCCAATTGCATCTCTTACTTCAATTGCATCTGTGCTATGTAGATCTTTGCGTTCCTTGCCTTGTTTTTGATTCTGGACTTGGCTTATCCACACGCTTCCATTCTTACTATATTAATTTATGTTGTCTTCTGTGTATGTATCTAGGCAATTTACAAACATCATAGAAACAGCGAAAATAGTTTTAAAAACTGTACCAAACATAACTGAAGAGAGGTTTAAAAACAATACAAAAAGAAAATCTAAGGCAGAGAACTTTTCATCCGGCTGGAAAAGCCTGTTTGAACAAAAATATCTTCCACTGTTTCTGGAAAGTTCAGATAGTGGGTGCCTATCCTATCTTGACACGAATGATGTTCCACAGAACAGCGACAACCACATTGAAAGCCCTGCTCCAAGTTACTGTGGAGTGGGCTTCTGATATTTTAGTCACTTGAAGAGGTAACTTTCCTGTAGAATTCTGAGGCCTACTGGGTACATAAGGAACAAGGAGGCCTCTCACGTAACCTGCTCCGCATTGAACTTGGCAGAGTAGCAGATTGGCAGGTAGTGCACATCCCACAAACAAAGGTGTTGTATGCTGATGGCACTTGGCTCCTACAGAAAAACAATCTAGCCGCTGACCTGCACCTCCAAACCAGCTTATATCGAGCACATTGCAGTAAATCCAACTTGGAGGTTACCAGTGTGTGGGCAATTACAGCCAAGCTGTCTTGACTAGGGCTGGGCAATGTCAGGTTTTCAACATTGTGATGTATTACCAGCCAAACATTGCGATCTGGCAGCACATTGTGATGTTGAAAGGGAGGAACAAGCTGCATTGGCCCTGGCCCTGCAAGGTGTTGGGGTGAAACCGCTGCCCCCCCCCCCATGCTGAGGAAGTTTGCGGTGGTTTCACTCTGGTCACTTGTGGGGTGGGGAAGAGGCAGCTGGCGCCAGGAGGAAGAGGCTGCCTGCCCGTGCGAAGGCGGCGAAGATAGCTCTGCGGATGGAGCCTGTCAGGATTTGTCTGCAGGGGTCCCTCGCCACCTTCACATAGGTGGGCGGCTTCTTTAAACTGCTCTACTGAGGGGTGCACAGCTGTCAGAGCCTCAGCAGAGAGGTTTAACGAAGCCCCCATCCTGTGCGATGGCAGAGGGACTTGGGAGCAGTGGTGATTTCAGCCGTGATACATCTTCCAGGCTTAATCTCGAACCCGGAGCAGGTGTAGCTATCTTACCAGCTTAAGCTATATCCTAATAAATCACCTCTTTCTCGGGGGAATGGGGGTAGACAAGTCAAGATCAAGAGTTGTCTCTGAGCTGCTCCACTTTTCATTCATTTTCTGCATCGCAAGCCAGGAGTAAACACAGTGGAAGAAATGCTTGCTCTGACAAGCAGTTATGGATGACCCTGACTGGTGGCGTGGTTGCAATTTTGGTATTCTACTTTTATCCTCACCCCGTTTCTGGGAGCTGGAGCATTGGGCATGGGCAGGAAACGGAAAGCTCATCAAGGTCCTCTTAAACGTTGATGACTAGAACGTCTGTGGTCATGTCAAAAAAGGAAGGTCCTCTCCCTCATCTCCCGCTGCCCCCTGGGATTGAAGCTTTCAGTGGCCATAGTTGTTTATTCACCTGCTTCTGCAGAAGGAAACAGATATTGCAGGGTCAAGGTTCGAAATAAGATGGTGTGTCTGAGCGGGTTCTGGGTAATAACAGAATGCTGGTTCCTAAGCATCGTTCTGTTTCCACTGTGGATTCATTAAGTGTCTATTGCTACTGCTAACTAGGCAGCGGAGGAGGTTGTGCATGCCTCTGGGGAGGCGATGGATGCAAATAACCAGAGATTAACATAGCAGATGACAAATGCTTATTTGCCTATGTTGCAAGACGCAGCATCTCATGTTAACGATCGAAAGGCAATATATATCCCTATATCTCTTACTGAGGTCACTAATTTGTCTTTCTGGATAGGGTAGCCTTCTTCATGGGTCCAAAACTTGTTGATTAGTTGATTCTCCTTGGTTGACTAAAAGGGGTTCATTGGACGGAGACTTTATTTTCTTGAAGCTGACCTCATTTGCACCTCCCATCATTCTATGTCCCATTTCTCTTCTGTGATAGAACATAATTTAGGAGGGGGAATAGTCTTCTTTGCTCCAGCAGGGCATCAGAGAGCTCAATCATTATTTTCCATTTTTCATGATGCACAGCTTGCCCTTCTGTTTAGAACTATTCACGAGAGGCTGTTCCAGAACCCTGCTCAGGGGCGTAGAAACCATTTCACCCGCATTAATCCCACACTGAATAATGGGACAGTTGCTTTCACCCCCCTCCCCCACTTAACCTAAATGGGTCGCCTTCATTTGAGTACCAACCCCATGTATTCATGGATTATTGTCTCCTCTATCTTTGGCACTCTGTGCTTGTATTCATTTAAAGTCTTCTCCATACTTACTGATTTATTCATATATCTCTTCATCACCCTTAAGAGTGTGCAATAGGTGCAGAATTCCATGCTTATGTGAAACTGCTATCCACACACGAGGACACAGGGCTGCCAACAGGATTGCTGGGCCCTGGTAAAGGTGTGGATTGGGCCTTCAGCTCCATTCGCAAAAGAGGAGACAAATCTGTACCACATTTTGCATATGCTCTGTGTCACATGCAAACTTGTACTATCTTTTGTGGGTAGGGTGGAGGGCTAAAAAAACAAATCTCTCTGTGTGTGCACACCCATGTAGGAAGATATCTACCGTATTTTTCGCCCTATAGGAATGAAGGGGAAATGTGTGTGTGTCCTATGGGGCGAATGCAGGCTTTCGCTGAAGCCTGGAGAGCGAGAGGGGTCGGTGCTCACCAACCGCTCTCGCTCTCCAGGCTTCAGGAAGCTATCCGCAAGTCTTGCAAGCCTGGCGGGAGGTCCCGCGGGCTCGCAAGGCTTGCGGGCAGCAGCCTGCAGCCCAAAAGCTCGGGGGACAGCGGGGAGGCGCAGCGCCGCCACCCCGCTATTCCTTGACCTGGTCTGGAGGCTGGGGGGGGGGGGAGAAGCAAGCTTGCTTCTCCCCCCTGCCAGCCCCACAAGCTCGGGGGATAGCGGGGAGGCCTCCCTGCTGTCCCCCGAGCTTTTGGGCTGCAGGCTGCTGCCCGCAAGCCTTGCGAGCCCGCGGGACCTGGTCCGCTCCGTCTCCCTCTTCTAGCTTGGGGATGGCTGCGCAAAGCCTCTGCAGGGCAGCGGAGTGCGCTGCCCCACAGAGGCTAGGGAGGCTGTCCCTGAAGGCAGAAGAGGGAGACGGAGCGCTCCATCTCCCTCTTCTAGCTTGGGGATGGCTGCGCAAACCTGGGGCATTTCCCTAAAGCACCCTGGATAGCATCACTGCTGGATTGTCGTTCACAACTCTCTCTCTCTGAGCCCCTCTCCAAAGTGTTAGTATAGCAATATGTGAGCTATGCTTTTTCAGGCACAATGTCCCCCCCCCCCCAATATGGCTAGACTAATCATAGCATTTTTTTCAGTGTTTACATAGGAGGAAAATACATTATTGCACAAAATTAAATTTGTTATAGTTTTCACCCCCAAAGGCCTTTGAAATCCAGCTTTCGCATTATTAAAGGTAAATGTGCTCTAAAGGTGTTCCAGGACCTAGACTAGTATTGTCCTGAATATATGTGGACATGCTGTTTGCTTTCCAAGTGCTAGGTTCTGCTTCCAATTTAATTCTTCCGATTTACAACTTCTGTCGTATGTGCCTCCCAGCTTCTCACTCTCTGTGGGTGTGTGCATGTGTACACTTCCCACATTTGTATACGTGTGTGTGTGTATAGTGGCCATTTGCTGTTTCAGTTTTGAGCACTGTTAAAAGAGTGCTGGGTTGTATTTTCAACATTAGCTGCAGCATTTTCCTTCCTTTGCTCTCATTTACATGAAGTGCCCCTCTGGGGTTGCCATCCTTAAGGTCAACTGGGACATCTTTATAATTGTGGCATCTCTGCGAAGTCTTTTTACTTTGCAAAGGGCATAAATACCAATGGTAGAAATAAATACTGTAATAAAATGATGGGCCTTTTCTGCAGTGGTTCCCCATTTGTGGGATGCTTTCCCCAAGGAGCCGCACCTGGCGCCTTTATAACATATCTGTAGGCACCAGGCAAAAACATTCCTCTTCTCCCAGGCCAGGCATCCCCAAACTCGGCCCTCCAGCTGTTTTGGGACTACAGTTCCTATCATCCTTGACCACTGGTCCTGTTAGGGATGATGGGAGTTGTGGTCCCAAAACAGCTGGAGGGCCGAGTTTGGGGATGACTGTCCCAGGCCTTTGGCTAATGAAATAATCTGACCTTTTAAACTGGGGGGGGGGGGCATAGTTTTTGTTCGTTACTACCTTATGAATTTTTGTGTTTTTATATTGTAAGCTGCTCTGTGATCCACAAATGAAGGGTATATAATAGTAATAATTTTTAGCATTTATTTAAACATTAGCAATAATAACATTCCCTTCCCCCCGCCCCTGTAGCTTTCTTTTCTTTCCGTATTTTCTTGTTAGCTTTGAATTTCCTTTCTGGGGTCCATTGTATAGCTAGAATCAACTCTGTCCGGCATTCATTAAGCCGATAGCTGTTCCTCACTACACACCCTTTGAAAAACCCCTACTTTGAACATAGTTATCAACTTATTTAGATTTGGAATCTTTTTCTCTTGCAAGTTGTATCTTGGTGCTTGGTATGCAGACTGCAGTTACTGGTATTCGCCCTGCCTCTAGGAAATTTAGACTCATTTGACTCCACAGTGCTGTGGAAGTCTTGGCTTCAGGCAGCGTGCACAGAAACAAGCTCTAAAACTAAAAGTGTTTTCTTCATCTTCTCTTAAGAGTTCTGCCCAGCCACAATTGAACCACTATCATTTTCGAAAGAAGAGCCAACAATCCTTTGCTTATGTTATGAAACCCAGGTTTCTTTTCATTGCCCATTACTTTTAGCTATCAGTTTAGTTCCTCTTCACCAACCCAGTGCCTTCTGGATATTGCTGTACTACAACTCCCATCTGCCCCACCAAGCACGCTGGGTGGCCTTGAGATTAATTGCTCTGAAGCCTAACGACCTGCCTCACGGGTGTGAGGATTAAAAAACAGAAGGGGTGGAGGAGAGCTTTGTGTGCTGCAATGAACTTGCAGGAAACATGGGATGGCCATGTACGTAACAGGGTGCTTCACCCACAAAGGAAGAATGGGAAATGAAACTGATGAGGTATGCAGAATTAGCAAATCTAACAAGTAACATTAGAGAACAAGAAGAGACTAGATTTAAAGAAGACTGGAAAGCATTTGTAGATTATTAGAAAAACTATTGTAAAAATGTTAAGGCACTAGTCGGTTTGGAGTAAGCTCAGCTGTTTAAAATTATATGGAGGGAAATATTATAAGTTTATTTATTTGGTTTGTCAAAGTAACATTTTACAGAGATATATCAAACAAAATTAATAAAAACAGGATTCCAAGGAATCTCCTGGACTTCCATTCTCCCCTTTGTGGGTCCTATTATTAATCATTTCCTCCCGCATCTTTTATGATAATCCAAATCCTTTACATTTCCATTGTGTCCAGAATTCAGCCTTAAACTACAAGTAATATTCCAATCCTACTCACTATATGGAAGGAAATATAGAGGTAAAATGGCTTTGCTTAAAATAGAATATGCAGCAGTAACCATTAATTTAAAGAAACCATGGAAGATGGGTGGGAAGTCTTATTTTTTATGTCCTTCCTGTTTTTATTTCTTTATTTGTCATGCTTGTATTTTGAAAAAAAAAGGTATATATATTTTTTTAATGTATGAAAGTAAATAAGAGGATGGCCTTGCTAGTTGGTTCTTATGTGTTTGGAGTACACATGTGATTCAGCCTACCCATGGGATCAAAGCATCCCTATGGAGCCAGCAACAAAGGAGCACATAAGAAAATAAGAGCCTGCTAGATCAGAGTCCATCTAGTGGAGCATCCTGTTCTCAAAGTGGCCAAGCAGATGCCCATGAGAAGCCCCAAAGTAAGACCTGGCTGCAATAACACTCTCCCTTCCTGTGGTTTTGAGCAACTGGTATTCAAAATTATGTTGCCTCAAATCATGGAGGCAGACCATATCCATCATGGCTAGTAGCCATTGAAAGCCTTTAGCTCCATGATCAAGGTGTCTCTGATGTTGGAGAGAGGCTGAGTTGAGAAAAAAGACCAAGGGTACATATTGATGTAGGAATGTATTAGATAAAATGTAAAGAAATATTCAATAATAAGAGTACATTCATTTGAAAAAAAGGAATATACAACGGGATAGACAGGAAGTCCAAAGTGTTGGTATATATATATGATTTTGGAATAGTTTTTTTCCCTTGTTTTTTCCCCTTTTCTTTTAATATATAAACTTTGTATACACGTTGAAAATTATATTACAATAAGCCTTGTCATGTAATATACCGGTAATAGTTTACCAATGTAACATAAGAGCTTTAATAAATAAATAAAATTCAAAAATAATAATAATGAAAGCCTTTAGCTCCACAAGGTGTGTATGGCACGATAAATCTGCTTGTCTTTCAAGTGCCCGGTTAGCTCAAGCGCCCAGTGAATTCACCCTTCCTCGCTGTACGTGGACTTAGGGTATGAGCCCTGCTTCCCAGAGTCGCTGCTAATAGCAGGCTGCTTTTCAAAATTTCATCTGTGTAATCTTTAAACTTCTGCAGCAATATAACTCTGACTCAGGATCCAGAATTAACCAGCTGTCTGGTTATAGAATGACTAGATGATGGTAACAAAGGATGAGTATTTTTATCGAGAGCTGCTTGACAGTGAGTCAGCTCAGTGGCTCGGTGCTCATTATTTTATCTCTTGCGCTCTCTGCCTTTATTTCTAGGGGTTCTGGAAGAAGCCGAATTCTACAACATCGGGTCTCTAATCAGGCTAATCAAGGACAGACTGGAAGAAAAGGACTACACTATAACACAGGTGTGAATGGAATGGCCCCAGAAGGCCTTTGGCAATAAAATAAAAATACTAACAATAACAGGGAGCCTTCATGTATGAGGTGAAAACCAGGGGCTTTGCACCTCCCCAGAATGGCAGAATATCTTAAATTCCACCTTCTGAGGATGCGCAAGCAGGAAATCTTGCAGAACTGGTATAAGAAAGAAGGCCAATCTTTCATCCCCCCAGAGGAGGAAGTGAATGAATCTGGTTGTTTTAATTTCTGAGCACTCCCTAGCCTGGATCTCAGATTACAGTTTTAATTGCAAAGTAGAAAAGGGTGGTGAATCATTGCTGGGAGGGATACTCCTGAGATTCTGCTTCTCTGCATGGTTTGGAGATACGGGGAGGCAGGAACAGAGAGAAAATTGGAGAAAATAAATTGTTTGAGAAGCAGAGGGAGATCTGTGGACACTCAATGGAATGGGGGCATTCCAGACTTCTGGGCTCTTGTCCCTCATGGTAGCAGTATGACAAGAAGCCAGCACACCTTTCAAGCAGCGTAAGAAACTCAGATATATAAGGTAATTGCCAAATGGCACCTAGAACCTAAGTTACGGTCGCCACAGCAGGACAGCTAGGCTCCATTCCCTCCACCCAATGAAATATATTATTATTTCATTTCGTTTCCATACCACTTTACATTTTAAAGGGGGGGGGGGAGAATCTCAAAAGCGGTTTACAACACATTAAAACATTCAATAGAACAAATTCAGGCTTCAAGGGAAATCTCTCTGATCCCTCTCTAAGTGACATTTTGCTTCCCCCATATTTTTTTAGCTGCTTAATTTATATAGCTGCTGCATAGCAGGAGCCAGTGTAGTGTAGTTGTTGGAGTGGAGGACTAGGACCTGTCTGGATTTTCACTTTTTGAAATATGACAACCCCATCTTAACCTACTTCACAGGGTTGTTTTTGTAATTAACTGAGGAGAGGGATAAACCATGTATTCCTTGGAGGAAAAGGTGGGATATAAATAAGTGCTTCTGCTTACCTACTTAAGAAAGCTGGAGAGGAGAGGCCAGCCAGGTGGAGATGTCTGTCACCAACTTGGCATGCAGAGGTCTCCATGTGGTTGCCATTGGACCTGTGCCAGTTGCAAAATGTGCCTGGGGAATTTCTAGCATGGCTTTCAAAGAAAGGCTCTAGTAACCTGCCTTAAGGCAGGGCAGGCACTCTGCTCATCTTGCTCAGTGTTGTCTGTTTTGATTGGCAGTGGCTGGAAGGCTGAAGTCTTTCACGGCATGGGCTGCTGAATCCTTTTAACTGGAGATGCCCAGGCTTGAAACCTGGGACCTTCTGTTTGCGAACTGTGGTCTGTCTCATCCCTGTTCTGAACGCATCCGGTCTACTGACTGTTTCCCTGCCACATGAGAGGTGCAGAGGACGCCTTTGAGTCAGGAGCTGGCAGCCAACTGAATTGATGAGGAAAGCCTCAAAGAATTATTTGCATAGGTGCATCGGAAGGGGCCTTATACCAAGACAGGCTATTATTGGTCCAGCCATCTCAGTTTTGTCTCTGCTGACCAGCAGTGGATCTCCACAGTTTCAAGCAGTTTTTCCCTGCCATACCTGGAGATACCAGGGCTTGAACCTGGGCCAATTTGCAGGTAGATCATTTGATCTACTACTGAGCTTACAGCTGCTTCCCAAAAACAGATGTAAATTCTCACAGCCACCAATTGCTTCTCGCTTTGATTTTCTGCAACAAGTAGATAGTGCAGGCAGAACTATCTGAGGCCCAGTGTTGTTGATAGCCCCATCTGGCTTGGTGTCCTAATGAGAATCTGCATGGATGAAGCGGTCTGCTTTTTCATCTCATACCGGTGTTTCCTGCTTTTTTTCCTAGGTGCCTCCGAAACACGTGTACAGGGTTCTGCAGTGTCAGGAGGAAGAACTCACGCAAATGGTTTCTACTATGTCAGATGGATGGCGTTTTGAACAGGTATGCAGGAAGAGGTGGGGTTATATAAAAAGGAAATGGATTTCGCCAGGGTTTAGCTTCTGCAGAATCTCAGACACCCAGACAAGCGCCACTTGGCTGCAACAGAGGGGAATATAGGAAGCAGATCTTACCCACTGAGAGACCAGCTATGTTGGGCTTCTCTCCCTCAACTGTTTCCATTCATGCTGGTCCTTAGCAAAACCTTGTAACTTAAGAATTGGTGTCTATTACCCCCAACTCTCCCCATTACTTGTTTGTTTGTGTTGTGTCCTTTCTCTGTATTTCAGGGATGGTAAACCTGTGGCCATGCAGGGAGTGTTGGACCACATCTCCCACCACCACCCTCTGGCCATTAGCTCTGCTGTCTGGGACTGTTGGGAGTTAGACTTCAACAACTTCCCCATCCCTGCTCTTTTTGCTCATGCATGCTTTTAAAGTGGCCGCATGCCCAAATCTTTACCAACCAACAAAGACAGGAAGTGTACACATTTACTGCTTCATTTTTAGCATTCCTTCACTACTTTCAAAAGCAGTTTGCTCAAAGGTGGCCTACAGAGCCTTGGAGCTTCCCATTTTTACTGAATTTGGTTCAGAGAAGTACTGAATGTTCCTCACTTGGCTTACTTTGCAGTAAAAGGCATTCTCTCCTTTTCCACTTCTCAGCTGGTGAATATTGGGTCGTCCTATAATTATGGGAATGAGGACCAGTCGGAGTTCCTGTGCGTGGTCTCCAAAGAGCTCCTCAGCTCGCCCAGCGGCCTGTGCACTGAGCCCAGCCGGAAAGCCAAGGTGAGAGCAAATCACTAGCATCTCGAATTTTTACCAGTTCCATGTTTTCAGATACAGAATTATAGAATTGTAGAGTTGTGAAAGGGACCCTGAGGATCATCTAATCCAACCCCCTGCAATGCAGGAATATGCAGCTGTCCCATACGGGGATCAAACCTGCAACCGTGATCAGCCCCACACTCTAACCAGCTGAGCTGCGAAGAATCTAAATGACAAGCTGGTTAAGACTACACTACTTTGCTTTGGGCCATGAGGCACCCTTTCACATCAAATGGAAGGCACAGGGGCATCTTTCACAATGGCCAACTAGATCCCATGGGAAACCTGCAAGTAGGACATGAGTTCAGTCATCTTCTCCCATTCAAGATCCTCAGCATCTGGTACTGGGAGACATGCATCCTCTGATACTGCGGTAACACCTAGCCATTGTGGCTAGTGGCTGTTGATGGCTGCATTGTCCATGAATTTGCCTGATTCCCCTTTAAAGCTCTCTAAGTTGATGGCCATCACCACATCCCATGGCCGCAAGTTCCATAGTTTTAACTATGTGCTTTGTGAAGTAATATGTCCTTTGGTCTGTCCTGAATCTTGGACTGTTTAGCTTCATTGGGTGATGACCTTCAAGTTCTTGGATTATGAGAAGGGGAGGGGAAATCAAACCACACATAATTTCATACCCACTTTCTTTGCTAAACATGGAAATGTGGCAGAACCCCACCAGAGAGCAAGCATCTCATACCTGCCTACCTGGTCCTTTGCTTGCTATTCTAGAACAAGTTGAATTTCCCAGGAGGCCTGACTTGACGAATATAAGAATCCCTAATGTTTGTGTAGTGCTGTCAAGTGTCCAGAGCTTTTTGCAGGCATTATCTAGTTGCAATCTTTATAGTACTCTTGTCAGGAAAATCAGTATTATCCCCAGTATTGCCATTGCGAGGTTTGAAGCTGAGAGACGGTGGTTTGCTTAGGTCCATCTCATGCAGTGGTGGGGAAGCCCAGGACTGGGGGGCAAATACAGCTCTCCAAAGCCCTCTTACCTGGCCCTTGATTCTCAGGCTGCAGCCCATCTCCCAAGTCACACCATTCCCATATCTGTTCCAGCTTTACCTCAAAAGCCTTTGCCATTCTGGTTCTGTGAAAATGCCTCTTGCTTGCCTGTGTGCACGAGGGAGAGATGGCACGTTTGTGCCTAATGAATACAGGCAGGAACTGGGTCTGTTGCTCAGCACACACTCTGCTGTCCAAGGTTCCCCACCCCTAACCTAGTGAGTTCGCAGCAGAGGTGGGATTTGAACTGGAGGCTTTGATTCATCACTGAGCCTCTTAGCTGCCATACTATACCAGTTCTTTGAACCAGGAACTGCAATTATTTCATAAGATCGTAAGAAGAGCTTTGCTGGATCAGGCTAATAGCCCATCAAGTCCAGCATCCTGTTCACACAGTGGCCAGCCAGATGACAGTGGGACCCCCACAAGCAGAATCTGAGCCCATGAGCCCTCCTCCGTTATTTCCAGCAGCTGATATTCAGAAGCACTGTTGCCTCTGTCCGTGGAGAAAGAGCGTAACCATCTCCCGCTTGGACTACTGCAATGTGCTCTACGTGGGGCTACCTTTGAAGGTGACCCAGAAACTACAACTAATCCAGAATGCGGCAGCTAGACTGGTGACTGGGAGTGGCTGCCGAAACCATATAACACCAGTCCTGAAAGCCCTACATTGGCTCCCAGTACATTTCCGAGCACAATTCAAAGTGTTGATGCTGACCTTTAAAACCCTAAACGGCCTCGGCCCAGTATACCCGAAGGAGCATCTCCACCCCAATCGTTCAGCCCGAACACTGAGGTCCATCTCCAAGGGCCTTCTGGCAGTTCCCTCACTGCGAGAAGTGAGATTACAGGGAACCAGGCAGAGGGCCTTCTTGGTAGTAGTGCCCACCCTGTGGAACGCCTTCTCATCAGATGTCAAGGAAATAAACAAATATCTGACTTTTAGAAGACATCTGAAGGCAGCCCTGTTTAGGGAAGTTTTTAATGTTTGATGTTTTATCGTGTTTTTAATATTCTGTTGGAAGCTGCCCAGAGTGGCTGGGGAAAATCCAGCCAGATGGGCAGGGTATAAATAATGAATTATTATTATTAATTTTATTATCCTGGTTAGTAGCCATTGGTCCCTTCATCCTCCAGTCCTCTCTTACAGCTATCAGTGTTGGTGGTCATCACGGCCTCTTGTGGGAGTGAGTTCCATAGTTTAACTAGTTTCTTTTATCTGTCCCGAATCTTCCAACATTTGGCTTCATTGGATGTCCATGAGGGTTAGGAAAGAGTGAGAAAAACTATTCTGTATCCGCTTTCTCCATGCCATGCTTTTTTTATATATAAACTTCTATCATGCCCCCTCTTACTTGCCTGTTCACTAAACTGAAAAGTCCCAAAGACTTCAGTCATTCCCCATAGGAGAGTCTCTCCACCCCCTTGATAATTTTGGCCGCCCTTTCGTGAACCTCTCAAGAACCCAAATCCTTGCCTACAGAGCACCTGCCTTGTGTGCAGAAAGTCACAGGTTCAATCTAGTAGCTAGACTTGTAAGTATTTGTGCTCCACCTTCCTTTTTTGTACTGCATGCTGGGATACAGAGCACAGAGGAGGACCTAGAGGAGGAAGAGCAGAAGGAAGCGGAGCTGCAGGAGGAGGAGGAAGAGGAGAAGGTGGTGGAGCAGGAGCGAGAGGAAGCCGGAGTGGAAGAGGAGGAGAAAGGTGCAGCCAACCTCTGAAGACAGCCAGGAACAAAACTAATATCGAACCTTAAAGCCACATGCTCCCTTTTCTGGCGGGAGCAGGTGGGGGGAAGCACGAAAGGGGTGCTTCTGCAGGTGATGCTTATGCAGGGAGGAAGCAATACCTGGTGGCTAAAGGCTCAGGGAGGGTGGGGGGAGATCAGTTCATTTCGGAAGCCACTGCATTTAGGTCTAAACCACGTGTGTGTAGTGGTGTTTTTCTTTTTCTTACTTCTGAATTTGTTGCAGATTGGAATTGTGTCTACCCCAGGGTTCCTCCAATTCCCTCCCTGCCCTCTTCCCTTTTGGGTTCCTCTTCACTTTAGCTTTTTCAACTCGTGCACATTTCTCCCTGCCTTGCCAATCCTTCTTTCCTCACCTTCTTTCTTCTCTCCCTGAGCCAGCAAAGATCTTTTATTCTTTCCCAGCCTAGATCTCTTCCTCCTCCTCCTCCTCTGCCAGCCCAGTCCTGGTCTGCACTCCCAGACTTGGACGAGTGACTCCCACTCCCTTCCCTTTGCTCGGACATTTGGGTGGGCTTAGTGCACCCTTGTCCTGAATTTGTCTTCCAGGGTAGCCCTTGCAGCCCCGGAGTGGGATGAAGAAACTTGGGGCAGAAGAGAAATGCAATTCGGCCAGGGAGCAGGGGAGAGATAGCTGCCTGCAGTGAACCTCTGAAGCTGCCTTTATAGCAAGAATGTGAAACCTGTTGCCCTCCTAGCTGTTGTTAGACTCCATCATCCTGGATGATTGGCTATGCCAGCTGGGGCTGATGGGAGATGGAGTCCAATAACAGTGGGAGATTCACAGGTTCCCCACACTGCTCTATGGCAGAGTAGGCCAATAGCCCACCCAGTCTACTGCTGTCTATTTTTTGATGGACAACAGTTCTCCAAGGTCTCTGTCTGGAGTCCAAGCGCTATTCCTTGACCCTCATAGCTGGAGAAGCCCGAGATTGAGCCGGAGCCTTCTGTGTGCAAAACATGCTTCTCTCCATTCAGCAGCAGGGCAGGCACTTGGTGCTAAACCAGAGAAACCCACATCCTGTACTGCAGGAGTCCATGTATCTGTGCTCAGAATAAATCAATGCAGATTTGCATTGCATGTAATATGCTTATTTCTCGTTATGGTGCTTAAGCACTATTGCGGAGGGCAAGCGGCGTGGTCTGGGAAAACTAGCAGGAGGAGAAATCGGGGCCTAGGTGCAGGATGGGGAGGGGCAGGAATCGATGCAACACATAGCAGATCTGCTCCATGTCCACCTCCCTTCCCCTAATAGTCTTGGTTACTCGTTTTCCGCAGGGGCTGCTCCTCTCTCCTAGCGCATCCGCCTCCCTTCAACAAGCTCACAACCTTTAAGCCTAGAAACTGAAAATTTGGATTCGCAAGAAGCCAGATTCTGTGGCCAGGCATTGTCCACAATCCAATACAGAGTTAAGTGCTCTTAAGGATACTGATTTCAACTGAAGGTGGAAACAGAAGAGTGTAGCAATCATTTTCAGTATCTTCGTACAAGCTCTATTCATAGAAGCAGCTATCTAATCCTTTGGAGGGGAGGTGTGGATCTTGCTGGTACTTTGCTTGCAAGTTCCCACATCTGCCTTCCTTCCGATAATTGTAAAAACTTACGTTTTCTTGGCAGGAACAGATATTGCACTGTAGCTCCTGGTCCATGAGAAGCGTTCCCTCTTCCTCAGAATTAGAACTCAGGATATAGCAGAAGGGCTGTCTTTTCCATTACGAAGAAGCCCTCATTGTCCTCTGCAATGAGAGCTGGAGAATTTGGTTCTAGGAGTGCAGGCTTCTCCTTTCTCCTTCTGTGCAGGAACCTCTTCAATCCACTGTGGCTTGATAATATCACATCGCCCTTCAGGCTACTAGTGCTTTTATGTGCATGACCCCTGCCCTCCCTCCCTCCGTCTCTCTCTCTCTCTCTCTCTCTCTCTCTCTCTCTCTCTCTCTCCCCCCTTCCCTCCTTCCACTTGCCCCTCTTCTGCTGCCTCCTTCCTCGGTCTTAATCCAGCTTTCTCCCTTTCAGTTGGCTTCTCTGGCTTTGCTTGTTCTTGTCACTTTAAGCTGTTACAAACCAGATGTCTCAGGATATGATGCTGATCAATGTTTTTTTTTTAAATGTTAATTTTAAAGTCTTTATTTTTGTACTGTACTTTTTTCAAAATAAAAAAAAAACACAGCCGGGGGGGTGCGGGTGGAGTTAGAATAATATTGCATTGTGGACCTTTTTACACAGCATTTTACGTTTGTCACAAATTATGAGCCACTCTTACACGGATGGAAGAGGTGTGTGTTTTGCCTTCAGCAGATCTCTCCGCTCCCCTGCCCCACAAGCCCTAGGGTTGGCATGTCATGCTGACCTGGTTCACAGCCCCCACCCCCAGCCAAACCATGGCTTAGTGCAGATGGGCGAGCACCTGGCCTACAGGAGAGGATGCTGCTGCTGCTTCCGCTGCTTTACATTCTCCCTTTTTGTTCTGAGCTGTGCCAAGCCTAGATTTAAAGTACAGTCGTACCTTGGATCCCAAACGCCGCAAAACCGGAAGTGAGCGTTCCGGTTTGCAAACGTTCTTTGGAACCCAAACGTCTGACGGGGCTTCCACAGCTTCCAATTGGCTGCAAATCAGAAGACACGCTTTGGTTTCCAGACGTTTTGGAAGTCAAACGGATTCCGTTCGAGGCTCATGGTTTAACTTTTGCAGAGACACCATGAGCCATAAGCCACAAATCTTGGTTAGAGTTCATGGTTATTCTGGCGAGAAGTAAATCACAAGTGTAGGTTTGGATGATAGGCTAGGCAAAGTCATGGCTTGTATCAGTGGAGCAACTGGTGAGCAAAGCAGTCACAATCCCCTCTCCTGGAGTCTGGACCCTCAGGGCTTCACTCTCAGCCATGGTTTGACTTAGTGTGGCATGTGAACTGGACCACAGTCACAGCGACCCCTATGGGGAACAGCAGAGCACAGCCTTACAGCTTTTTTGTCTCCCATTCCAAATTCCCATGTTTGCTCTGTAGGGAGGCAGTTTCTTGATAGGCTTGAACTCACAAATACACTCACCCCTGAATAGAACACTATATCAGAGACAGGGGATCTGTGGTCCTCCAAGGTGGTGTTGGACTCTTAACTCCCATCAATCCAGGCCACTGACCCTGCGGGCTGGGATTGATGCGAGTTGGGAGTCCCAACAACAACTGTAGGGCCACTGGTTCTGCTTTATTTCAATAAATGGGAATGACAGGAGGATACTTCCTGGAGTGTTAGGTCAGGAAGAGAACACCTCTAACAGAAAGCCAGTCCCATTTTACTACAGCAGGCTCTGCCGCTAATTCCGTTAAGATTGGATGGTAGCCACAAAACTGTGCCTGAGATTGCTGTGTAATAACTCCTGAATAAATTCTCGCGTCATCTCACCGTATGTGAGCTGGGTGCTCTTTTATGTATAGAACCGTTTTCTCCATAAAGGCATTTGAACTCTGCCAGCTGTCTTACATTTTTTTCACTGCAGGAGGCAAAACTCCACACTCGGTTTGTGTGTTTTGGAATAGGAGTGGCTGCAGTCCTTCAGCCCAAACATGTTGATATCTTCAGGAGCATGTCACCAGTTTCTGCTTGTCATAGTATTTGAAAATGGTCATAGGATAGATAATTTCCATCAGGCTTAGACAAAGGGATAGAACCTAGAGATGAAATCTAGGGCAATAAAACTTTTGTTATGAAACTTGGGACTTGACCTTCTCTGATGGGTTAAGGCAGGTATGGGTCCCCAACTCCCATCAGCCCCAGCCAGTATGGCCAACAGTCAAGGATGATGAGAGTTGTCCTCCAATGGCATATGGAGGGCTACAGGTTCTTTCATCCCTGATGTGCTGCCGTTGAGAGAGAAGCATACAGGGTCTTCATTGCTTGTGAATTGCTGCTTGCTGTCTTCTGGCAACCTTTGGAGATACCAGAAGCAAACACCCTGCTGCTTCTGTTGTTTTCAGCTGGTCCTACCTTCTGGTTGACCTTTCTATCTCCAGCCTCGGATAACACACTGCTGCAAACTAGGAAACAAGGCACATGCCATCTTGCCTTACTGGAGAATCAAAAGGTTTGGATGGGAACAGAATCCTGACAAAGACCCAGAAAACGAAATAGGCCACAATTGGCTACATTTGCAATATTGCTTGTACAAAGCTAAGGCATTGATCATTTCAAATTTCATAAATATGTCAAATGCTACAATTTTATATTTAAGTTATAAGACGATGTATGCTGGTAAAGCAGTAAAAATGGGTTTGATAAGAAGCTTAGTATTGCATATATTTGGTTTCTTTTTCTCTCCCTCCACCCCCCGCCCTGCCCCAGTCCTCAAGATTTCTAGAAAGTGTACATCTCTTGTTACGGATGGTGGCAGACTGAGTCCAGCAGCAACTGGGGGCCCTCAGATTATCCCCCCCACTGCATTTATGTGTTTCCACAAACTCTTCGGTCACCCCCACTGATTTTTCTTTGTGGGGGGTTGCGTCCCACTCTCAGCAGAGTTCCACAGAGTTCTAGTCTTGTGAGCAGCTCCAATATGCTTTCTGCTGTTCGCTTGCTTTACTCTGGCCAAATTTAATGTTTGAAATGTAGCTAGTTAGTAATTGAGCATGTGTTGGATCAGTGCCCAAGTTTTTGGGGTGCTTAAGGTGAAGGCTTAAGCATTTCTCCAGTTCCCATCAGCTGCAGCCAACAGGAAGGATGGGAGTTGGAATCTAGCAACAGCCGAAGAGCCAAAGGTTCCCCATTCTTGTTCTTAGATTACCCATCTCTGGTTATCGTAGAAAACAAACCAATGACAGACACTACCTTTGGTAGCACCAAAGACGCAACTGACCAAATGGCAGGGGAGCATAACTTGCAGTTCCTCATAAGTCAGGGACACCTCACATTTTGGATTTCATATCAGTCCCACCTCACTTGTGGTCCTTGCAGATGCTTTCTGCTACCCAGCACTGTATCTTTGACTAGCAACAGTTGAATATTAAGTGGGACATGAGCTGATGTGGGATGTCCCAACAAATATAGGACATGGGAGAGAGAGGGGTGAGGCCTGCAGGTGGCTCCTCCACGCAGCCTGCATTGCCTCGAAAGAGAAAACGGGTTGGGCATTTGCTCAGCTCTTCGTGGCTTGCTTAATCCATTCCATTACACTGGTGATCCTGGTGTAGACCCCGTAGTAATTCGGACGTGCACATCCCATTCCCCAGCTCACCAGGCCAGCTAGAAACCACCTGCCGCTCGGCTCCTGACAGGCAAGGGGTCCCCCAGAGTCGCCCTAGGAAGAAAGGAGAAGGAAAAAACACCAGTCAGGTCAGGGGGAAAAAGTGGAAGAGAAGGAGACAAATCGGAGAAATGTGCTTTGAAACTGGCCATGCAATGAGTTGCATGGAAACAAGAAAGTTTGTTGACAAGGGCCTGAGAAGACCTTTCTGTGCCGTGGGATGTGGTGCACCCAGTTACCTGGCAAGAGTCCTTCTTTCCATCGTGGTAGCCAGCGCAGAGCATCTTGGACGTAACCTGGTAGTGATAGGCTTCATTGCACATGTCCTGCTGCACTAGCGGCACACTCACCCTTTGCAAAATCTTACTGCTGGGACCTGCATGTCGGGTACAAAGGTCAGCAAGATTGACTGAAGGAAAAAGAAATCCTACCTCCTCATGAAATTCTCCACAACACATATTTTATTCCACATTTGCATTTCCTACCCATTCAGTAGGTCTTAGGCAGGAGAAGCAGTGAAAACCTCCCCATATATCCACCTCCCCAAACAAGCTTATTGGCAAACCCGATACTTTGAAATACCATCCATACGCTTGCATGATTTTCTGGAAAGATTCGCTAGGGGGAGCTTGGGAGCATCTTGCTGCAAAGCAGGTTGCAGCGATGACATTCTGCCTTAGCTTGTCATACTACTTTATGATGGTGAGTTGGGTTTTTGACAGGACAGGACACACCTAAGCATTGTACATGCACCGTTTCTGCAAAACACAAGAGGTGTTCTCGCAAGGTTGCTGCCAATTGCATGGCTTCGGTTAGATTCTTATTTTAAAAAGCTGCAGAAAGGGGACTCTTGGAAAGGATGCGATATATATATACTGCGGATTACCTCCTTCCTTAGTTGCACCCCATCCTGTGATCCAGCACAGGAGGCCTGCCTCAAAGAGATGGGAGCTGGCAGGCAGACATATAGGCTGGATGAAGGCTGAATAGATGACTGGGTGGTCGAGCTGCAGCAGCGCCACATCGTAGTCATGGCTGTCCTCTTCGTAGTACGGGTGCTGCAGGATACGAATCACCTTGAAGGAGACCTCGTTTGGACTGCTGACATTCAGAAGCTGCTTGCCAAGGTAGACTGTCCAGACAGTGGGGGAAGCCTGCCTGGAAAGGAAAAGGGTAGGGAAGGGTTTTGGCAAGATCTTTGCACGCACGCCACTCCTGTTCTCCAGCACCCAAAAGACTGCTCACGGGGACAGGGTCAAGGATCTTGCCTCACACCAGGTCACACTATTATCCACCTAGCTCAGCATTTTTACTGAGAACATAAGATGAGCCTGTTGGATCACACCAATGGCCCATCTAGTCTGGCATCCAGTTCTCACAGTGTGGGCGACCAGTTCTGACTGGCAGCAGTGATTCAAGACCATTCCCCTTACTTGCTACCTGTGCCTTTCACCTGGAGATGCCCTGGATCGAACCTGTGAACTTTGGGTCCCTTTTGGCTGTGGCCTCCCTTTTCCATTAACAGTGTGCCCCCAATCTGCAGAGGTCTGCAATTACAATTCCTTAGCTGGAGAATTCTGTTGCATTCTGAACTGACTGGTTCACCCTGGGGGACGTTGGAGTCAAATAAAGGAGGCCCGGAATAACATAGTAGACGTGGACCCAAACATCATCAGGTAGAGATGGGAGGCTTATCTGAGTGGTGGCTAATGGACTACTTGAATTGTATCATTTCTAGAGATTCCAGCTGTCCTTCCCCATCACCCCAAATCACCTGTCATCCAGGAAGCAGTGAGCGGCGGTGATCACCCAGCGATCTGCAATCAGTGTCCCACCACAAACATGATGACCCCGCACCTGGAGACTAGCTTGCCATGGCCACTCCCCTTCCACAGAATGGGCACCACCCACAATGCGGTTCAGTGCAGGTTGCAATCCACAGTCTGAGGAAAGAGGGAAACAACTTAAAATCAAGTCCTTAAAAAACAAGGACTGGAGCTCTCTGTGTTGAGCCATCCCCATCTTTTTTGGCACCTCCTGTAAATCATCACCTCAGAAGACAGACAAACATGTTCGCCTTGTGCTTATTATAAACAAATACTATTGATTCAGAAAGCCAAGGATGGTTCCTCAGCATAATGTGAACCAAGCATTTTGGATCATCTCCAAGCTGAGCATTTAACTGCAGTGCTTCTGCCGCATCCCAGAAGGCCCACCCTGACAGCGCTATTAGCAAGACATCATTATTACCATCTGAGATGCTAACAGGGATGGGAAAGCTGTGTTGCTGGACTCCAGCTCTCATCAGGCCCAGTCAGCATGGCCACTGGTCAGAGATCGCGAGAGTCCTGGCACATCAACATCTGGAGGGACACAGGCTCGTCATACTTGCTTTAACAGCATAGTCCTAAGCATGTCTATTCAAATGTAAGTCCTGTTACAGGGGTGGGGGAACCTCTAGAGATAATTGGACTACAACTCCTATCAACCCCAGCCACCATGGTCAGTTGTCAGGAATGATGAGAGCTGTAGTCCAACAGTACCTGGAGAACCACAGGTTCCCCATAGGACTTAAGTTCAATAGGACTTATTTGCAGGTTAGTGTGTATGGGCAGAGGCCCCATAGACTCAGCTCATGACAGAATCATCTTCTTTAGAGCCCCTCTGCCAATGCCACTATAAATAGAAGGGTCTCCTCTGATTTGGCTGCCCACACTAAACTAGAGCAGATCTTCCCCTATTAACATCTCACCACAGTGCATCTCATCAGAGCGATCCTTGCAGTCAGGGACTGAGTCACACTGAGGGTTGGGTTTCTTCACGCAGCTCCCATCGGCACACAGGTAAGTGAAAAGTCCACAGGGAACTCCTGGAAGGAGAGATTTGTGGAAGTAGAAAGGAATGGGAAGTGTTATTTCTACTGGGTTGTATTCAACTAAGTTTAAAATAGAGTAGACCCATTAAAATTAATGGATCTAAGTTGTGTATATAAATGCCATGGGTCTACTCTGAGTAGGCCTAGCACTGAATACCACCCACTGCTAAAACTACTTTCTCTATGCCCAAAATGCTTGCCTGGTACCAGCAGTGTGCTATACAGACTGTTGTGGTTAGCATGCAGCACCGGTTGCCTGACCTCCCATCACTGCCATCATTGGGAAGGATGAAATGGTGAGGTTATATTGGTGGAGCCTATATGGTGCTCCTGCTGCTCTGCTTACGCCTTGCTGACCTCATGCTACCTTACCCCTCCTCTTCACAACACACCATGGTAACAGCAGTGACATGAGGTCAGATAAACAGCATTGCCCCAGGCCCCTGACTGATGCTGGAAATTACATGGTCAATTGGCCCATAATATTAAATAGTGAAGTAGCCTATATTTTAGGGGGGGGATGGGGTACAGCCCTCCTTGACCTCAGGCACATGCTAACATGCCTAACTTCTCCCCCTCCCCAATTTGCCCAATAAAAAATTCTCTGGCAGAATGGGTAGCTGTAGGGGGGGGGAGCAAAATGATGGGTGGTGTAAATACTGGAGTTGATGGGGTTGGACAAGCGATATGATGGAGACACTACAGAGACATTATGGACAATGTATGATCAAACTATATGTTATGTTATAAACTTTTTTTTAAAAAAGCAAAACACTAAAATGCTTAGAAGTGGCTAAGCAGCTGGGAGGATCCCCCAATCCAGGAGGGAAGGGGTTAACTTGTTATCCTCATGTCATCTTCCCACTGAAACTGCTATTTATCCCAGAAGAAGCTATTTGCTGCAGGAGGATCACTATTGGCAATGCAGTGACATTGACATAACATTCAGAAGGATAAATAAAGTATCCTGTGTTAACCAGAAAGCAGTACACTCTGCCCTGTTGATGCCAAAGTTCTGGAATGATATTTTAATGTAAGTGCCTGACTCCATTACCTTCATCGCACTGTTGCTCATCACTCCCATTGATGCAGTCCAGGTGTTTATCACAGACCTTGGAGAACTCGATACACGTGCTGTCTTCCTGACACTGGAATTTTGCAGGGCATACTGGCAAATTTCAAAACACAAGAAGAGAAGAGGGACTGAGATGGGTGTTGGGAGCCTTCAAGCTGAAGAAGGGCAGAGGTGGGGTGGACTATTATTTTATTTTGGGGCCCTCCCATTGTGCTTTTTGTTGTGCGTTCATGATGATTTGTGCTCATGATGGCAGCTATACACGATCCCATTTTGAATACTATTTGTGTCTGCAAAAATTCCAGCTTGGACATACGGCTACATTTACAATCAGTGCATGTCTCATAACTTCCTGCCAAAATTCTGTAACTTTTTTATATCACAAATGTTCTGGTTTATTTTTTGTCCTGCTTTTGTTGCTCTATGGTGAAATAATGCAGTAAGTTTGGGGAAGCCTTGCAGAACAACTAATAAAGCAGAATGATGCATTGGCGGTCCAGTATAAACCCACCACTATGCCACTTTGATTGCATCAATACCACATTGCAGAAACCCCAGTCTGGAGGGGCCTTTTATTAGTGTTACAATGGTTACTTGCTGTTTTTAATAATGTTCCTGCTGCTGCTCTATGCTTCAGCTTGTATATTTTTGTGTGTGTGTTTTTTTATTATCAGTTTTTGAAATCACTTTGCACTAGTGCTCATAGCCCCACTGAGAAGCTGAAAGTCAGGGTATCAATACTTTAACAATAAATAAATATTCCTCTCAAACAATAGAATGTTACAGAATGTTACAGAATGAAGATTCAAGGGAATATCTCTAATGCTGATCAAACCTATGGATGAGAACAAATGGCAAACAGAGGCTTTCTGATCAGAGCAGATTAACTCCTTAGAACAAATTCCTTGTGCTGACTGGGGCAGATGGAAGTTTGAGTGCAAAAGAACTGGTGAATACCAGGTTCAGGAAGGCTGCCTTGGAAACTTTCTTCCCTCCTCCAGTGTTCCATCTTGGGTTTAGCTGACCAAGCATGGATTGGAGGGGCTTTTGCTAAGGAAGGGCAGTTAACAGTGTGAATGGAGGAGAATGAAAAAAGTAAATAGCCACGCACCACAGTTTCTCTCATCTAATCCATTGGGGCAATCGTTGATCCCGTCACAAGCTGGCACACAAAGCCCATTCACAGAACAAAGGAACTCTCTGGGGCATGCTTTTTAAAACAAAATAAATGAATAAAATAAAATAATGTTAGTTCATTCAGTCTACAATACCCTACACACTTACCTGGGGAGTAAGTCAGCCCCACTGAACTGAATGGGACTACCTTCTGAGTAGAGACGCATAGGACTGTGCTGTCCGCATGCTAAGTTAGAGGTCAGTTCAAATATTGCATGCATTATTTTTCTATTTTACTGCTCCTAACTCACCTCAAGTTCCATTTGGAGGCAGGCAGAGTATAGGTTTTCAAAATCAATGTTATAAAGTTCTGGGACATGAGAAGGAAAGGTAGGATTGCAGCCTTTCTGAATTCTATCTGCATTGCATGTTTATAGAAACAGGGTGCTCGCCAAATCCTCAAAGCTGAATTATTTGTGTACCCAGCCTGGTACACAGATTGCAACACTCATTGAGTGTAAGGCATGCACACCCCTCAAGACAGCAAAGATCCAACAGCAGGGTATGATGGGATTTCTCCCTAATACTTTGATCAGCTGCTAAACTGCATGTTTTGAACTCACGGTCTGACTGATTGTATAGGCTGTAAGCCGCTTGCACTCCAGGCCCCGTTAGGGAGTTTTGAGAAGTGAAGTTGATGGTGACCCCAGCACTGGACACGACAGGGATCCTTTCAGCATAGGCCTGCAAAGTCCGCAAGCCACACAACCTAGTTAAAATGAAAAGAAGAAGAGCAGGCAGGAGAATATCCTAAAGTCCATGGTGCTGCCTTATGACATTGGCAAAGTGGTCATTCAAGGCTGAATCCATGTTTGAGGCTTCCACCCCAGATAAGTTTGCTGGTCAGCAGTGGACACTGCAATGGGATGGCAGTGCTCAGCTGCAGTGCTGCTTCTTACTGGGAGGTAGAGGGGAAGGGACAAGGGAGCAGCTAGGTGTCAGGGACTGTGCTGAGGAGGGCTGCACTGAGGAAAAATGGCAGGAGCCCCCCCCCCCAATCCTGAATCTTCCCAGGAGCAGGAGGACAATATAGATTTCGAACAGTGGTTTGCAGAGGGGCATAGTTCAGAAGGCAGAAGCTGGGACATACTGGATGGGGAACAGCTAGCAGAAGAAACACTAGAAGAGAGAGTTAACAGATTCAGTCTCTGGGTAGTATCCACCCCCCTTCTCCAAAATCACAGAGAGCTCAGAAAGTGTCAGAACAGAAAGCACAGAGGCTACAAGCTCAGATTACAGGACATAGGAGTGGACGTAGATTAATAGGGACAGAGAGGGGGGTGACACTTAATTGGGAGCACTGCCATTCCTGGAGATGTGTCCTTTGTTCTCTCACTGTGATTATTAAAGATTCTAACTGGTAAGACATTTCTTTCATTTAATCTTCTTATCTAAGGCCACAGGGGAGGAAGCTGATTCCCCAAGCCTGACACTAAGTCAGCATGGTGCAAGCACCAGCAGGAATCCTGGATTGCACTGCATCGACCACATCACTGCTACTGCCTCCCTCTTGTTCTCCCCCTCTACCTTCCAGTAAGCAGCAATGACATCATTGGCCAGAGGTCAGGTGAGGACCTCTGCCCCTCCATGCCATCTGCTACTGGCTCCAGTAGAACCACCAACCTAGTAGGGCAGGCATAGTTTTAGCCAATGGCAGACACAGTGGGCAGCAGCAGGCGACTGAACTGCTTGCTGTTTTGATTCCCTATGAAGAATTCTTCTAGGGTGGCAGCTCAGCAGGAGAGCATCTGCTTTGCATGCAGAAGGTCGCCGGTTCAATCTCCAGGTCGGGCTGGGGAAAACTCCCTGTGTGAAACTTTGGGGAGCCACTGCTGGGCAATGCAACACTGAACTAGATAGACCAATGGTCTGATTCAGTATAAGGTAGATCCTTAGGTTCCAGGGCATTGTGGGAAATAAAATAGTGTGTATCTTTAAGACCCAGCCACCCAGCAGGAGGGCAGGATGAGGTAAGGCATTAGCAGTATTCTCTGCCAGGGCACTTGAACCCTGAGTACTAGCCAAGGATGCCAGATACTGGTTGTGGCCAGTTTAACAAAAACAGGAGGTGGGTTTGAAACAAGCCCTGGAAAAAGGAGTGCCCTATGGATATTCATTGTGATGATACCTCTGAAAATATAGAAGGAAGGAATTATAAGCTGGGGAGTCTAAACTCAAGTTTGGATAAAATCTCAAGTCTGGATAACTTTTAGGACTGATCCACATGGAAGGAGTCCTCAAGTTACTTTATGCGCCTACCAAAGCAAGGGAACCAGAAATGCTTGGGCTCAGTGCATCTCCTTTTTCCAGCTATGATTGCAAGTAAATTAGGAATGCCACCTTTTCTTCTGACACTTCCAGGCTCTCACACTTTTGCACAGAGTAGTTGCTAGTATGTGCTCTTTGCACAATAAGAGTGTGCCTTTATAACCCACCACAAAGAAAGCAAATACACTGCAATAGATAGGAACTGCTAAACAACGTTCTCTTGCACAGCAAATCCTCTCCCACTCACTCCTTAAAAATAACTTTTTACTGTAAGAAAAGTGACCGGAAACTACAGTGGAAAATTCAAGATAACAACCCCTTGATGGTGATTGCATATGACCGCCATGCAAACTTTGTGAAAACAAATCAGGACGGTTGTTCCATATGCACTTCATATAGAAGTAACCAGAGGACCAGGGCTCTTAAAAGCCACACTATGGCAGAAATGCAACAAGTGATATGGAGATATAGTGGGGGAAACGGGGGGGGGAGCTGCACCTCTTGAATTTCTGCCTGTCAGGTGGGTGTTCAAAGTGCTGAGCTAGAAGAAGTGAAAGCACAGAGGATATGATGTCGCAGGAGCAGGTGGAGAGAACCTTTCCCAGCAGATTCCTCTTTGAATGATGGGCAGCAGAAAGAACAAAAGCAGAAGTCGGGGAGATAATGCCAACCCAATAAAAAGTGAGCTGGAGCGTCCATGAAGAAAGGGACATAAACAGCCATACCAAAGTGTCATGATCTCCTTACTTTCTGTTCTGGATGGTCCATTGCCCTTGGGTACATGGGAGGTCATGCTTCTGTCTCCTCAGAGTGTAAGCATCAAACCAAAGGACGACTCCATATTCCAGAGATGGGACCTGCAAAGATGGAGATGTTGTCCATGTTAACCAGGGATGGGGAACTTGTTGGACTACAACTCCCATCATCCCCCACCATTTGCAATGCTGGGAGTTCGGGTCCAGCAGCATCTGTAGGGCCACAGCTTCCCCGTCTCTGATGTTAACTATCGTATTTGCATAATGATATGTAAAGGGGCTTTGAATACAGAAACGAGAGCAGCAAAGCATGAGGGAAAGAAGGGGAGAGAGATGAGCACATGCAGACATAGTATCCTCAACAAGAGGCTCAGTAATGGGGTTTTTTAACAAAGTGTGCAAAATAAGAGAACACATTAGGGCTGCAACCAGGGAGATCTGGGTTCAGATCTACATTTACCTGGTGACCTTTGGCCAGCCACACTAGTTCTCAGCCTAAACAACCTCACAGGGTTGTTGTGAGAATTAAATCTGAGGCTGCAGGAAGAGAGCTATGCACACTCCACTGAGTGCGATCCTTCAAGATAGGGACCCGGGTGTAAATGTAACAACAATAACAATAATAAGTGCATAATGCAATTCTTTTGGTACAGAATTTAATTGATTGCTTTGTTGCAGAAGGACACACACAGCCCATCTTCATCTAGCAAAGGACAAGGAGACCTCACCATCATGTGCCAAGTGCACTGCGTATTGGGCGCATAGTAACTAGGGTAATACGGAGTCCTGATGTTCCCTTGTATCTCCTGGCTTCCCCGTAGCGTTAGATTCATCTGGCAGGCTGAAAAGACAGAAATATTCTGAACACCAGCTGAACCACTCAAAAAAATGTTGTTTGTGTTTATACTTCTGACTCAGAGGAAGGGGCTGCTCACAGAAACACTGTAAAACTAGACAGTCCTTTGTCTCAGGGAGAAATGAGTTATAGTTCTTCTGTTGATGCAATGATTTAACCGTTGCTAGCAAATCTGCAGTTGTGCATGGCAGACTGATAACAGATCTCAGAGATGTAAAGGAGCTTTCTCATGTTTACACTGAATATATACCAAGGAAATATATGCTTGATTGTGTTTTTGGACTGCCAAAAGGCACCTTGTTAATTTCCAGACCCTGATGTCCAATCCAATGAACAAGAGGAAGTGGTGAAGATTCAGACCCTGGCATCTCCTGGTAGCCCTGGGGGAAGACTCTTGTCTGATACTCTTGAGAGCCACTGCCAGTTAGTGAAGACAATATTGAGGTACTTGGATCAATGGTTTGGACGTGGTATAAGGGAATTCTTTGGCTAACACAGTCCTTTCTGTATAGCCAGTGTGTGCGCACATGTGTGTGTGTGTGGGGGGGGAGCATGTGCATTTGACTGAGGCATTTTCACTTCCTTGCAAATCAGAAGCTATGGACCTTCAAGTCCATTTACTTTCTTTTTAGCTAATAGAGAACCACTCAGAGCAGTTTTACTTAGAACAGCAATGGACAACACCTGGCCCTCATGCTGGTTGGGGCTGGTGGGAATTGGAGTCCAACAACATCTGGAGAGCCACAAGTTCCCCGCTCCATAATTTAAGAGGTTGCTGTTTGGATATCCTAATGCTAACTTTGACAGAGAATCCCTGCGGTGATGGCGTAAACACCCAAAGCTGCCTTATATAGAGTCAGATCACTGGGTCTATGATGACTGGCTCCTCACGCAGAGACCTTCCCCAGCCCTAAAGTGAAATCACTTTAACTGGAAATGCCAGGAGATGAACCTGGAATATTTTTGCATGCGAAGGAGATATGCTTTTCTGTGGCTCATCTGTGTTAGAACTATGTAGATGTGGTGCTAAGTATTAAGCTTTCTCCTGTCCAGAGGCCAGCATGGATAATTACTGCACAATCTTCTGTCCCAGATTCTGGCTTTAGTATAAGGTGGAAATTTGTCTTACATCTTCTTATATAAAGGTTGCTCTTATCTTAGTGTCTTGGGCCAAATTATTGTGCAAAGCTTCCATTCCATAATAGATAGCAATTACTCTACAGCTCAGATACGGTGTTGGCTGCTGAAATTGTAATAAATATCTATATCTATGATGAGTGGTGTTTGGCAAAGGAAGTGAAGGGTTTGCATCTTCTTTCTCTCTCTCCAGACCTCTCGGGATCCTTGCTCACCTTCAAAGGGCACAGCCTGTGCAGAGAGTATGAAAGGATCGTAGTAGCTGTACATCCCCTTCTTCCACACCACAGACATGACGGGGCCTGAAGACAGGACCTCCACCACAGGCTCCTGGCGGCTGCAGCCGTACAGCCTGGGGCAGAGGGTGAAAACAGAGGAGATGAGTGTATTGACAAGGTGGGAAAGTGCAGAGAGAAAACAAAGGGACTTCGAAGGGGGGAGATGAGGACTCATCTACATTTCCACTTGTGCTGTGGCTAGAAAGCACAGGTCTGAGCAGTTTCTCCCTTGCCTAGCTCCTTTCCAAGGGAAAACCCACTCTGGGGAAAACCCGAATTGCCATTTGCTCTGATTGAGCACTAAAGAGCAGATTTCTGTGGGGGAAAGCAGTGGTACATGAGGAAGTATGGATAAGCCCTTAATCACCGAGACAGCTAGAAATGTTCTTTAAACATGCCTGTGTATTTTTGTTTCTTTAAAGTGGGTTTTGTACTCACAGAATCATAGAGATTGAAGGGACCCAAGGGGCATCTAGTCCAACCCCCTGCAATTCAGGACTCTCAGCTAAAGCATCCATGACAGATGGCCATCCAACTTCTGCTTAAAAACCTCCAGGGAAGGAGAGTCCACCACCTCTTGCGGAAGTCTGTTTCACTGCTGAACAGCTCTTGCTGTCAGAAAGTTTTCTCGAATGTTTTCCAAATGTTCTGGTCAGATTACCCTAGTGCTAATGTGGAAACCAGGCCATGACCCTTGGCTTACTGTTATGTCTAATGCAGAAATTGTGATTCCTTTTGCTCCAAACAAGCCATTGTTTTGGGCTTCCCAGCTGTGGCATGTTTCAGTGAAACGAACCACCATTTCCGACTCATTACACCAGCCAAGGGCTCATGCACACTTCTGCTTGTCCCACTCTCAGTTCACTGCTGAATTGGAATGCATTCCAATCAGTTTCTCTGCAGATTGGTGATTGTTCCGATTCAGCAGTAAATAGTGAGTTTTCCTGAGGAAAGCAGTGGGACAAAAAACAAAACAAAACCCCGCTTGGGCCCATGGCTAGAAAGCATGGGGCAACTGGAAAATCTCTTGGACCCATGTTTTGCAGAAGTGTGGACGAGCCCCAAGCCGAGAGGGTTGTGCCACATTGCTATGTGCTCATTCACTATAAGCCATTAAACACGGCTTTACTGTGATGCGCAAAGCAGCCCCGTGGCTCCATCTTTTGCCATTCACGCGTCTATGACATCAAAGCTACCTACGAAGTGATGAGCCGCTTTTCCAGAGGTCCTGAGGCGTCATACATGGCCAATCGGTCTCTGCATTCGGAGAGGGTCCATTCCAGGTGCAGCTTGATCATGTGGCCTTTGGGGCCATGGAGATGCCAGAGGCAGCTAGAGGCAAGGTAGTCTGGGCCCCTCAGCTTGAGCACAGCATCTTCCCTGATGTAGCTGTACCTGTAGCAACCTACAAAGAGAAGCAAAATTGCAGAGCGTCCCACTAGATTGGGGCGGCGGGGGGGAGTTGTCTTGCAGAAAAGGGGTCTTACAGCACCACCATCGATATGCCTCCTCAGAATTAAACCCCATTGAGTTCAATGGTGCTCACTCTGAGGAAAGTGAGTGTTCTGTAGGACTGCAGCCTGTGAAGTAACATAGGAGGGGTTTGCATTCTGCATTCCTCCAGGTTCTTTTGATACAATCAAAATTTAGTAACCAGTCTGATTCTTCAGTGGCACTACTCTCTCTCCTTAAAGCGTTGCTAGCCATCTCAGTCCTTGTCACCCCCAAAACTGTGCTCAAGTCCTTTTGTCCCAATGGAAAAAGGTGAAAGATGGACTTAAATCTCTGATTGAAAGCAATAGAATTGTTATTAAAAAAATGCTTTGCTTTGACCCTATGGTGCTCTTCATTTCTGCTCATTTCCGAAATGTTTCATTACAAAATGACATTTTAAAAGTGCACTGTGAAAAGTCTTTTTTAAACATCTTTTACATTTTACATTTTTTAAGTTTAAAGCACTAATAAAACAGTCATAGGAACAGGGACAATAAAATTACAAGATAGTAAAAGTAATAAGTAGCTATTTCAAAGCATATGTATTATACTTTATGTCATTATGATCAGGTGAGTGACAGGTGGATGCTCCCACCCACCAGGCTGGGGGATTTAGGAATCTTGCCCGGCAGCTAGATCCAGTTCCCCACTCTGGAATATAAGCACAAATGTTAAAAACCCCCAAAGACATATACATATACATGGGCAAAGACAGCATGTGGATGTCAGCTAAACCATGGTTTAGCATGATGTTAACAAGCCTAGCCTCCTCCCAGGTTTGCATGCTCCCTCCTCCTTTGGGGAGATTTTCCTTTTAATTAACCATGGTTCTGTTGTGTTATCTGGAGTGAAACTGTGGTTAGCATAAACAATTGTTAGTTTAAAACAAGACCACTTTGAAGAGCATTTTCTGAAGCAGGCTTGATTAAACTAGCTATATTTATTATTAACCATGGTTCCCAGCTTGGACAACATGGTAAGTTGTGGTTCAGCAAAAGTGGAAATGAAAGTTTCTGAGCACCTTCTCTCAGTCCTGCAAGAGATGGGAAGGGGAGTGAGGAGCTCACAAGCCTGGAAGAAGGCTATATCAATTTACACTACGCTAAACCATGGTTTAGTGTGACATCCAACATCCACATGCATACACACAAATGGCAAGTGCTCATAAAAATATTCTTTAAGACAATTAGACATTCCTCATTTGCTTTTAAAAAAGGCATGTGTATTTCACACATTGCATACCCACAGCAAACTCCAAGTCTATGCTGATGTTAGAGGTATTAAAAACAGAATCAATGCATGAGGACAAGGACCAACCACAATGATACCTTTCCCTACTGAAGGTAAACCCAAAGATGCTCAGAAGAATCGGATTAAACATTCACCCACAAAACAAAGGACAATAACAATATATAAGAATGCAACCTATGAAAATGAGGCCGAGTGCTATTAGTTCCTGCTGTTTTCAAAATATTTTTATTGTTTCATCACTTGTTTGCCACCCTGAGCTCCTTTGAGAAGAAGGGTGGGATATAAATTCAAGAGATAAAATGTCACATTGGTTTATGGATTTTTAAAAATAAACTCCTCTCACACACTTCAATGCAAGAAACATAAAATAAGGGAGAAATAAACAGCCTACCCAATGTGGATTTCAGGACTTTTATGTCTTTCACACTGGATTCTGTTAGAAAAAACACACACAAAGAAAAAAACAAAACCACATGAGATCCTGCAAGACCAAAAACTAAAAACTTAAAAAGGCTAGAAAGATCCACTCCATTCATGCCCAGCTTCCTTTTTCATGTTGCTTGCACCATACATACCATAAATCGTTCCCCCCTTCCCATTATCAATAAATGGTTGGATAGAATGCCAAACCATAGTTCAGCACAGGGATTGATTTAGGTTTGATGAGGCCCTAAGCTACTGAAGGTCATGGGGCCCTTTATATGTCCAGCTGTCCCTTGTCAACAACAAACTATTGCTTTTTTTGTGTTGAATATATGCTATATGGTAATTTATGGACCTTATAGGTATCTAAAGCCATTTGCACATAAAAAAATATGTATTTTATCAAAGTAATTGTTGAACTGAAATACAATTAAGAAGTATATTTTTGGTCATGAGTCTGACCAAACTGCGGGAGGCAGTGGAAGACAGGAGTGCCTGGCGTGCTCTGGTCCATGGGGTCACGAAGAGTCGGACATGACTAAACGACTAAACAACAAATATTTTTGGAGGACCCCCAAGGGAGTGGGGCCCTAAGCTATAGCTTGTTTAGCTTATACGTAAATCTGGCACTGGTTCAGCACTATATGTATGAGCCTGCCTGCTCAAGCACCCCCTTTCTCTCTCCTCCTGCATGCACCAGAAAAGGAGATTTAAGGCTTCTGGTTCCAACCCAATGGCATGGGACAGGCAGGGAGGCAAGGAGCAAAATGTCCTCCCTTCCCCCAAATGCGCCCGGGGCCACTGTCCCCCCTGGCAACACTACTGATTGTTTATACTGACTAGCATCAGCTTTCCCCGGCTTCAGGCAAAGGTCTATCCCAGTCCTACATGGAGACACCAGGGATTGAACCTGGGACCTTGTGCATGCAAAGCTCTGCCACTGAGCTATAGACATTTCCTGAATCAGGGCTAAATGGTATCAAAATTAGGGTGGGGATGCTGTCATTCAAAGGGATTGGTCATCAAGAGGACGCTTTAAGCTATCAAATGCCTTTTTCAGAAATCTCTACTACAAGTATTCCCACTGAACTGAATAAGCATAAGGTATTGAAACAAGAGGCGGGGAGGATGTGGGAAGAAAAACAAGCTGGGGTGAGTGATGTACAATGGAAGAGACACTGAGCTGTTCTTTAATGTCAGATGGCTTTGACAAGGGAAAGCAAAGCAAAAGACAATTAAGTTGTTGGGTTTTGTTTTCCCCCTTTACAGCTTTGTAAGAAAAGAGATGAGTCAAAAGAAGTGGAATGGTGGGTGGGAATACACCCAGATACTAGTCTTTAGAGGGGAGGAAACGGAGAGGAAATATTCTTGCACTTTGTAGGTGCTTCCAGACTAGAACACTTTAGCAATGCTGAATTATTCCACTTGTGCAAAGAAGTGGTAGTGGAACAGCCATTGTGATCCCGCAATGCACCCAACACAGTGCTTTATCCTAACTGCAGTCTCACAACGCTCCATTTCCATATGAAAGGCAAAGGGATTACAGAGCTGGGATTGGCAGTCCTAAATATATTAGTTATTCTATTCAATCAAACCTACACCCACAAAAGTGTACTTTAAACTGGTAGCCTTCAATTTAGGGCTAGATGGAGCCAACTAATCTTAGTCCAAGTCACTTTCACATGTGTTCCATCCCATTTGCACATTAAACTGATTAATTTTTTTTTTTAAACTGGGATAAATCAGATTCATGTAACCAACATGCTTAACTCTAATAAACACACTGAGGGCTTAAGAACATAGAGTAAGCTGTCTGCCAGGCTAACTAGGTCACAACCCCTCACCTGAGGAGCTAGGGTTGCCAAACACTTTGTTCTTTTTTCTTCCACCATGATGTGAACCCTGCCAGTAAAGGAGTTCTAAGCTGGGTGCTCCAGCCATCTTTGTGTTTTTATACAAATAATTTACTATTTTGAAACTAAGTTAAACTGTCTGTCTTTTCTTGCTGCTGTATGGGAAAGCACATGAATCTGACCTTTGAAGAGTTTGTAAGTAAACCATTTTTAACTTATCAAGCGTGAGGTCTCTTTCTATGATAAGGGAAGTGGGGAACTTGGGAAGCAACTTAAAAGGGGATATTTTAAAAGTCTAAGCCTACATTTCCACTTTTGCTGCATGTTTCATGATTTTAAATCTCTGCTGGGGCTCTCTCAGCAAAGAGTACTTGCCTCAAACATGGATCTGGGCATCCAGAGAATTCATTTATCTTATCTAAAGTAATTCTCTCCTTAAACCAAACACAAAATAAATAGCAACAAAAGGTCTACAAAACTTTGCACTTAAATATATATTTCTGAATCTATTTCCTTTTAATAGGTGCATTCCTAAACCTATTTTGTCTCAAAGAATTTTTTTTGAACCAACATTTATATGGTTAGAATTTATTTCAGAACCTAGTTAGTATTTTTTTAAAAAGATAATCTGTTCTTGATTTTTAACAACTCAAACAAAATAAGGAGAGTTAATGCAGGACAAATCCCTCCAGTTAAGAAGCTCTTAAAGCTTTAAAAGAATTTGTCACCATACCATGTAATACGACAATTATCATAGCGAGGCTTCCTTCTGAGGTACAAAAGTCTTTACAGTTACCCATTAAATAATGAATCACGCCTCTCTGCATTTAGCATGGAAGGAAAGCAATGATTATCTCCAATTAGAGGGAAGTATTATTGTTGTTATTTATACAGTACCCCCAGTGTGCACGGCACCAAGCAAACTGATGACCTTAATACAGGTAGCAAAGCAGAAAAAGACTGTGTATACACCATGTATTTAAAGTACACACCCCAAGAATCCTGGAAATTGTAGTTTATTAAGGGTTATGGGAATCACAGCTCTGTGAGGGATAAACCACAGCTCCCATGATTCTTTAGGGGTGGGGAATGTGCTTTATAAGTACATATTGGTCTGAATATAAGCCACGTTTTTTTCTTCTTCTTCAAATTCCAACCGTGAAAAGTTAAAGCACGGCTTAAATTCGTGACCTTACCAAAATTGGCTTGTATGATATTGCTGCTGAAACAGACATGGTAAAATGAAACGGGTGTGAGTGCCTGCCGAATTTTAAGGGAGCGGCTTATATTCGGGTATCGTCTCCCCCCCCCCCGAATTTTAAAGGTGCAGCTTATATTCAGGTGCGACTTATATTTGGACCAATACGGTAAGTTGTATACTCTGAAAGTGTGGGTTTCCAGCACCCAGGGCAGGGCAAGTGTTAAACCCCCCTGGTGGACTGGGAAGCTGAGGTGGAGGCATGGCAGTGGAGGAGCCTGTGTGGAGGGAAGGGCTAGCTGGTCTAACCTCATTGGCCAGCCCAGGAGGAGGGCGCACGTGAGTCCCTTGACTGGCCATGTGGAGAAGGAGGCACCGCCCCAGTCCTGAAGGCCCAGGCCAGGTGTGGCTTGCCTTCCCATGGCTCTGGAAGGTGGTAGGAGCTCAGCCACATTGAGGGAGCCTGGTTGTATGCCTCTCAGAATTTTGTACCCAGGGCCACTGCCCCTCTGCCCCCTCCCCACGCTACACCGATGTGAGTATCAGTTGCTGGAAACCCACTGGAAGGGAGAGCATGCTTGGACCCTGCTTGTGGACTTCCCATAGGGATCCAGTTTGCCACTGTGAGAACAGGAAACTTGACTAGATGGGCGACTGGCCTGAAACGGCAGGCATCTTCATGTGTTCTTACGATATAAAGAACAGAGGGAAGCAGCTTAGGTGGAAGGCTGAGATGAACATATCAAGGCCTTGAACATATCAAATTCTCATCAGCACTGAAACATCCAAGTGGATTGCATGGGATTCTTATGTAAAAGCCACAGACCTACAGAACAAAGGAAAAGACATCTATTTCTTACTCACTTAGACATCTGCTTTTATAACAAGCTGGATTGAAGCACTTGAACAGACAGGTATAAACAACGAGTATAACGAATGCAGAAACATACTGTCAGGCTAAAGATGCAGGGTAATTTGGCTTTAAAGGCTTTATTTACAAGGTTCATCCTAAGAGTGTTGGGGGGGGCAGGGTGGCGGCATTACAGCCTTATGCATTTTCTGTTGCCCATGCATAATTATTTTGCCTCACTTTTTAATATAAAACATTTTGCGTTCAGTGTATTGTGCAAAATGGATGCACCAGTAAGTCTGAGCCCAATATGGCTACCTATGTGATGGAAACTGAAGACTATTCAGAAGATCCAGATAACATAATCTATTGTAATCCCACTGAGATTTGACAGTGGGTTTGAGACTTGATGATGCCAGGGCATAGCCTTTGTCACTTAGATAGGTTGAAATGTGTCCTTCCGCTCTTTGCTAAGTGTGATTTGCAAAATTATAATACACAAATTACTTAGAGCTGAGCAGCGTCACGCAGAATGCCTCAGAAATGGAAAAAACTGTAAATAAAAGGTAATGATGAATGATGGCAATTTCTTAGCAGGGAGATTTTCGGAGGCATATAGAGTTGGTCTCATTTAACATTTTTGCCAGCGGTGAGGTAGAGAAATTAGAAACCAAAATCCATTCATTGACATGTTCGATGGCAAAAGGGGCAAGCATCTAATATACAAAGAGCTAATAATAAGGCCAGTTTTATGGGCAGGCACAATGCACTGAAATAGGAATGATTGTAAAAACAGGCAAATATTAGAGTTGTAGTGCAAATGCACCAGCTTTATTTCATTTAACTGTTTGTCATGGGGTTTTGTTTTGTTTTTGCAAACAAACCAGGTTTTAATTCAAGATGATTCCGAGAATATTTTGTTCAAATCCCAACTCTTCCCACCGCTAGCTACTAAAACTCCCTGAAATTTTCTGCATTCTCTGAAAAGAGGGAATGAGTGTAGTGTAAGAGTGAAGGAACACACATTGGCAAAACACAGCCAACTTTTCCACAGAGGAACATCGCAAGGTACCGTATACTGTAACAAGAGGAAGGCAAAACTGTTGAAAGAGACTTTGAGATGTAAGTTTGCTGTCAGGGAACAGGTTTCCATTGTGGGTGGTACTTGTTCTTTTTAATGGCTACATCTAGCAAGCTGATCTGCACCCGCCATTATCCATGATAGATTAGGTCCTGTGCATATCCTCTAAATAACACAACTTGTGGCTTTCCAGATGTTGTTGAGCTACAGCTCCCACCATCCCGGTGGACTGTCCCTGTTGCCTGGGACTGATGGGATTTGGAACCTGACTGCATCTGGAGGGCTATAGGTTTCCTACCCACGCCTCTAAAAGATGGCTGATCAGATGTGACAGCCAGTTGATCACTGAAAAGCAGACAATGCTGACCATCTGTTTGGAGGGTGAGTGAGCATGTTAAGATTTTCACATGCAAAGATCTGGGAATGGTGATACTATCTCCAGCAAAGAGGGGATACTTCTGCTGGGTAAGGTATGAAATATATAGTATATCTTCATTTTTCCAAGTGGCCCAGGATGCAGCCAGATAATCAGCTGTTCAGATAAACAAGGAAAACTTAAGTAACTTTGCCACTTGGGTCAATGGAACTTTGAAGAGTCATTTTTGGCTGCAATGTATACTATTAGTGTCAGGGGTTCAGGGGTTAAGCATTGTGACACCATTTGTTGTTGTTATAAAAATTAGGACTTCTATCACATGCTTTCTTTGAGGAAGATTTAAAGAGGGGAGTCATTGGGTTGGATGTAGACTCAGTTATGCTTAGATGAGAAATTGAAGAATTTGTCAAATCTGCTTTCTCATATTTCCGGTTTTAAGTTCAGTTTTGCCACATTTCCACATCCGTTTGAAAATTTGTTAAAAAGAAGAATCCTCACAGAAGTCCACCAGCATTTTAGTGTGCATATCTCCTGTGATACAAATTTGCAAGCATTTCCCCTTCATATAATGCTTCTTTGGGTACATTTTAATTCACACTCCCCCCCCCCCCCCCGGCAACATACACATTTTTGCTCACAGTTATTTGGTTGGAGAAGTACAAAGCCAAATTTGGAAAAGTGGAAACTTTGAAGGAGAGTTGTGTTTCAGTTCATGCATTGTTTTGGGAAGTGCACATGGGATAGGACTACATTAAAATACAAACTGAATTTCTCCCTCATCCCTAGAGTAGACCCACTGAAATAAATGGGATTTAAGTGGGTGTGGGGCATTCCCTGGTCTTGAATGGGGCAACTGTGCCCCTGAAGGACCAGGTGCGCAGCCTGGGAGTCATTTTGGACTCACAGCTGTCCATGGAGGCGCAGGTTAACTCTGTGTCCAGGGCAGCTGTCTACCAGCTTCACCTGGTACGCAGGCTAAGACCCTACCTGCCCGCAAACTGTCTCCCCAGAGTGGTGCATGCTCTAGTTATCTCACGCTTGGACTACTGCAATGCGCTCTACGTCGGGCTACCTTTGAAGGTGACCCGGAAACTGCAATTAATCCAGAATGCGGCAGCTAGACTGGTGACTGGGAGTGGCCGCCGGGACCACATAACACTGATTCTGAGAGATCTGCATTGGCTCCCAGTATGTTTCCGAGCACGATTCAAAGTGTTGGTGCTGACCTTTAAAGCCCTAAACGGCCTCAGTCCTGTATACCTGAAGGAGTGTCTCCACCCCCATCGTTCAGCCCGGACACTGAGATCCAGCGCCGAGGGCCTTCTGGCGGTTCCCTCATTGCGAGAAGTGAGGCTACAGGGAACCAGACAGAGGGCCTTCTCGGTAGTGGCGCCCGCCCTGTGGAATGCCCTCCCATCAGATGTCAAAGAGATAAACAATTACCTGACATTCAGAAGACATCTTAAGGCAGCCCTGTTCAGGGAAGTTTTTAATATGTAACGCTGTACTGTTTTTAACACTTGATTGGGAGCCGCCCAGGGTGGGTGGGGAAACTCAGCCAGATGGGCGGGGTGTAAATAAATTATTATTATTATTATTAGTTAGTCATGAATTCATTTGCTCTAATCCAAGCATGACTAAGTCTGGATCCATCTCACTGCATCTTTCCTTTCTTGGTCTTATATTGTCAGCATCCTATCCTGTTTACAGACACACTCACTCCACCCTGTGTTTCCTCTCATCTTTTTCTTCTGCTGAGTCAGGCAATCTGTTTTTCAGACTATATAGGTATCATAGGCAGCTCTTCCTTCTTGGAAGTACAAACTGCACATATGCAATCAGTACTCACCTAGCAAAACCAAGGATTCTGGGTCAACCTTGTATTCCGTCTGGTATGAGAGGTGTCCTGTTCCATCGGTGCTGCCAAGAAGCTCTTTGTAGAGTGTGGCATTCACTTTCTCTGCAGTCATCTCCTTGTGCTGCCCTTTGGGGACTTGAAGGGCGAACCAGAAGAAGCATGTCAGAGATCCCTCCCTAGCAAATGGAGAAAACAGATGGATTTTTAATTTATTTTAATTCATTTAACAAAATTTGTATAAGGCTTGAGTACAATAAAGGGGACGCGGATGGCGCTGTGGTCTAAACCACAGAGCCTAGGGCTTGCCAATTGGAAGGTCGGCAGTTTGAATCCCCGTGACGGGGTGAGCTCCCATTGCTCTGTCCCAGCGCCTGCCAACCTAGCAGTTTGAAAGCACGTCAAAGTGCAAGTACCACTCCGGCAGGAAGGTAAACAGTGTTTCTGTGTGCTGCTCTGGTTTGCCAGAAGCAGCTTATTCATGCTGGCCACATGACCTGGAAGCTGCGTGCCGGCTCCCTCGGCCAATAAAGCGAAATGAGCACCACAACCCCAGAGGCGTCCGCGACTGGACCGGAAGCTGTCTGCAGACGAATGCCAGCTCCCTCGGCCTATAGAGCGAGATGAGTGCGCAACCCAGAGTCGTCCGCAACTGGACCTAATGGTCAGGGGTCCCTTTACCTGAGTGCAATAAAGCCTCTGTGTGGTTTACAGGAAGTATTAAAAGCATTGATAATCTCCCCCCCCCACAAAAAAGCATGAAAAAATAATTAAAATTAGCAATAGAAGAAATTAAAATGTAGAAACATCTACATGCCTGGATAGGCTTGCTAAACAAAAAGATAATTTAAGCAGGTGCTGAAAAATGTTCAGTGAAGGGCCTGCCTGCTTGTAATTGGCACGAGTTCCAAGTGCAGGTGCTTCCACACTAAAAGATCAGTTTCTTACAACTGCAGAACGAGTCTCATGCGGCACGTGCAACAGTGCCAGTTCTGTAGATCAAATGGGCACATGTAGGGTGAGGTGTTCCTGCAAGTAAACTGTTCCCAATTAAAGGCTTTACATAGCGATGGTAACATCCTGAATTTGACACAGTCAGTAGTGGAGAAAGGTGAGGGTGGTGGGGGGCAGTGGGGGTAGTCCACCCTGGGTGCCATGAGGGGGGTGACATCACTGTGGGCAGCACACCCCCGGGATGCGCACTGCCACTGGCGCACCCCCCTGGGACGCTCCTCGCTCCCCGCTCCCCGCACAACCCCTGGGACTCGTGCCGCCGCAGATGCACCCCCGCGGGTGGCTAGCCCTGCCCCCGTGGGCCACTCTGGGTGCTGGAGCAGCTAGCACCACCTCTGAACCCAGTAGCATATGAGCAGCCAGTGCAGATCTCTGAATAGAGGTGTTACATGCTGATAAGGCCTCCCTTCTGTCAGCAATCGTGCTGAAGCATTTTGCACTAACTGCTGTTTCTGGGTCAAGCTCAAGGGAAGCCCACATAAAGTGCACTGCAGTCATCCTGTCTTGATGTCACCAATGCCTGGACTATTGTGGCCAGCCTCTCCTGCGTTAAGAACAGTCAAAGTTCAGGCTCAGCTGGAAAAGACACTTCTAGCAACTATGGCTACCTTGCCCAAACAGCTCCTTCACAGAAAGCGCAACCCCATCCAGGGCAGGCAGTGGACCAGTTAGGATTCAAGCCCCATTTATTTCCCCTCATCCATCCCACTGCTCTGTCCAGACACAGGTCTGGGGCCTACACAGCATTTCTTGATTCAGATGTTATGGAGAAATGGAGCTGAATGTTACCAGCATATTGAGGGCACCTTGCGCCAGAACTCCCAATGAGCGCCCTCCGCAGCTTCAAATAAATATTAAATAGCAATGAGAATAAAGCTTTTCCTTTTCCATTTGCGCATCTTAAATTCATAGAGTTAGATGGGACCACAAGAGTCATCTAGTCCAATGCAATGCAGGTATCCTTTTGACCAACATAGGGCTCAAACCCACGACCCTGAGGTTAAGAGTCTCATGCTTTACCAGCTGAGCTATCCCAGCTTCAATAGTGGCGATCATGCCACTGCTACTGCAGCTAGCTAAACATTTCCAGCTTTAAGGTGTATTAACCCAAAGTCACGACCGATAATCATTTGGAGGCAAGTATGGCAGATTCTTCATCTCTGTAAAATAAACAGACTGCAGCTTCTAAGGGTAGCTTTCAAACAGGCTAATAATGCTTCACTCACCCAAAGGCATAGACAGTGCTGGAGTTGTAGTAAGGAGCCAAATCGGTGGCATGAATGAGGTCTTTCAGCTGTAAAAGAATGCTCTCTAGTCATTACCAGACAATGGTGTCATCAGAAAATAATACCCAGTCTCTCTCACAATATAATTCACCTATCATTCAGCATTCAGGCATGAACCAGTATTGCCATATTTATTTTTACCATCTCTGCTCTAGGGTGCCGCTTCTGAATTGTCCCAAACATGGAAATGCATTATGAAAAAGAAACAATTGCTATAATGTAAGCAGCAATGCAATGCATTTTGCCATAGCGGGGAAGATTGTGACCAGGTGAGCTGTGTGCCTGGCCTGCTCAGTCTGCCGTTTAGGTGCTAACCGTGTCAATAGGCCATGTCTGCTGCTTTCCCTTCTTACGGGTCTTTATCTGTAAAATGGACTTGGGCGTTTCAAATAGAGGACACCTTAAAACAGAGGACTGTCCTCTGTAAAGTAGGGCGCTTGGCTACCTATGGCTGCTTATGTGCCTTTTGTTGCAGACTGAAATGTAGAAATTTAGCAGACGAGGCTTTTCCTGCTGGGGAAACCCAATAATGACTCAGGGGAAGTCACAACTTAAACTGCTTTGAAAGATACTGGAGGAGGACCCATAGAGAAGCTGGCAATTCTGCACACTAATAACCTCTGTACTAATGCCTCACACTAACACCGTCTGTAGCTCATGAAGTCATGCCCCTACCATCTTCTGAGTCTTTGTTGTCTCTGTCCAGAAGCCTCTGGATTCCATCCGCCCATGATCCAGGGAAAACTGTCGATTAAGGATCCTTAGGCTGCCTGAGTAGAAGTGTAGGGATGCTGTGTGGCGTGGTCTGTAGTCTGCCAGGAAGACGAGACACATGGATGAGTTCCATACAGTGGAACCAAGATACCACAGGGGCTCTCACTGCACCACACTTAAAATGGGTAGACTTCACTCAGACAACTCCGTCAAAGGAGCCAGGCTGGTGGGGAAGGGTGAGATCCAAGTAAAATAAATAAATGGCAGGCCCTCATCTGCAAAGCAGGATGTATGGCCACCCTAATGAAACCTGCAGAATGAAGTAGTATTAGAATGGACAGTACCACTTCAGACTGTAGGTGGGGGAGTGGCATATCCGGTCCCCTGCCACATTCTAAGCTGGGCTGGCTTGCCCTGGCCAGGGTGCTAAATTGAGCAGGTGGGGGGGGGGGAGAAAGCCAATCCTTCCTTCCTTCCTTCCTTCCTTCCTTCCTTCCTTCCTTCCTTCCTGTTACACCTCCTGCCTGGTGAATAGCTAAGGGGCTGTGGGGCTTTTGAACCAGTGGATGCAAAGAATCTGGTGCCCAGCCCATTCTTGTTGCAGGGCTTCCTGCACACTATGGTGCAACAGGATCCTCTTCTGGGAAGGAGAAACGAGAGGAAATATGAACGCCAAGGAGAATGAAAAACAGATGAAGAGAAAGCCAAAGAAGGAAGGAAGGAAGGAAGGAAGGAAGGAAGGAAGACACATATTTTTTTAAATCCCTATGCATTTCAAGAACATCAGTCATTTTTCAAGGTTTTGTTTTTTTAAAATCAAAAATACAAAATTATATATTCAATAAATGCCGGATTACGGAATTGTATAGCGAGCATAGGAACACAGGTAGCTGCCTCATATTGCCTAACTCCTTGCCTAACTCTGTATTGTCTACAGCAATAATGGTGAACCATTGTCCTGTAGCAACCTTAGGCCCATGTTGGCTCTTGGAGTCGCCCTGTACCTGACATCAGGCGAAGGGCAGGTAAGGACATGGCTGGGCCAAAAGGGAATTTGCAGGCACTGCTCATCAGCTGATTGTTGGGGCTTGCAATCCTACCTGGAGATGCTGGGGATTAAGAATGGGACCTTCTGCATGCAAGGCAGATACTCTAGCACCAAGTCTTGTCCCTCCCCCACTCTAAAAAGTCAGCCCCCATCATTACTGTGCTATATTGAACAAATTCTGCAGTAGTTAGCTATAATAGAAATAAGACTTCAGCATACTGTATTTAATTAAACCACATGTAACTGTTTAATTCCTGAAATCTTTAAACTCATTGTCATAATATGTCAAGTGTAACTTACTTAGAATCTTCCTTCTTTCATGTATAATAAAATTCAAAACTTGTATCTTTCAGTGCTTCTTGGGGAAAATGCTTGGGGCAACTTCTCTTGATGCTTACCTAAGCAAATTAAAATGTAGCCATCCCAACAGGATATATATCAGATTCTTCCTCTAGCCAGCTATCTATAATTAAGTTAAATTAGCATATTTTGTGATAATGCTGGACCTAGATGCTTCCATGATGGTGCGGTGAACTGATTGTGTGACTGTTTCAACCTTCCCATGAAACTGACCTGCATCTCAGCTGCAGATTCTCCCTCAAACCATTTTTAAGGGACATACAATCACTTCACCATTCAGCCACATGAAAGAGGAGTTGACTTCACCATGTCAAAAGTGAGCGGCAAACGGGAGGTCAGGTACAGATGGAAGTGTCTTTGAGACACTTCAACTGGCCTCATTCCCCCACCATGCTGCGTCAGTAACAGGGATGTGGTTTTTCTCTCTCAGTTTCCCATTTTCCCATTCATATGTTCAGTTCTCCACATTAGTGGAGTTCAGTTCTCCACATTTGTGTGTGTGTGTTATTGTTGTTGTTATTTACAGTCCTCAGAAAAATTTGTTAAGTGTTTTGTGTGAAGTGCTACTATACACAATCTTGCATGTTATTTGCACTAAGACATGCATTTAGATGCACACCTCAATATATGTGTGTTTTTATACATTGCTTGGCTGGAGAGATGCAAAATTGGGATAAGTGTGAATTTCGAAGAATCATTGTGTTTCACTTCCTGAATTGTTTTGGAAAGTGCGAATCAGGCAAGTTCACATTTAAATGTGAACCAAATGGGATTTCCCCCCCCATCCCAGATCACCAACCATCCCGGAGAAGAACAATGAAAGACTCAAACAGTTACCTATGAAATACCAAGTTAGCGCTCCAGCACAGCCCAGCAGCACCAAGACTATCCAGAGTGGGATGCACTGCTGGCAGTTACAGAGTCCACGCTTGTGTCTTTGGTGAGGCTGCACCTCTGACTGGTCCTCCTGCTCCTCTCCCTCCATTGTGGACAACCTACCAAACAAGCAAAGCAAGGATCAGCCTCCTCTCCATTCTCCATAGCTGAGGTTCTATGTCAGAATCATCACAATAAAACCATGATAACTTAGTGGAAAGGTGGGTTCAAAGCTTCCTCTATTTTATGACATTTCCATAAGTTCACAGCTGTATATCCCACACATTCCCATCCCAATCTGCAGCCACCACTGGACTGAGTTCATTTTTAAATAATAGTCGTACATCTTACCACAGTGGGGAAGACTGTGATCAGGGGACCTGTGCTCCTGCCCAGTCTGCTGCCCAGGTCTAACCACTGATGGGTGACTTCAGGCCCCTGCTGTCCCCTTCCTAGGCCATTTATCTTTAAATTGGACTTGGACCCAACAGCCATTCAAATAGGTAAAGGTAAAGGTAAAGGTAAAGGTAAAGGTAAAGGGACCCCTTACCATTAGGTCCAGTCACGGATGACTCTGGGGTTGCAGTGCTCTTCTCGCTTTATTGTCCGAGGGAGCCAGCGTACAGCTTCTGGGTCATGTGGCCAGCATGACTAAGCCGCTTCTGGTGAACCAGAGCAGCACACGGAAACGCCATTTACCTTCCCGCCAGAGCGGTACCTATTTATCTACTTGCACTTTGACATGCTTTCGAACTGCTAGGTTGGCAGGAGCAGGGACCGAGCAACGGGAGCTTACCCCATCACGGGGATTCGAACCGCGACCTTCTGATTGGCAAGTCCTAGGCTCCGTGGTTTAACCCACAGCGCCACGCGAGAACCCTTTAAAACAGCCTCTGCGAAACAGGATACGTGGCCTTTTGTTGGACTAAAATCCTGCTCCGATCCAATCAGGAGGTTACTGTCACAAGTGTCACTAATAAGCAAGTAAGATGTCAGTGGGGCAAAACAGCAACATCTGACCTCCATTTAAGGCTTCTCAGGGATGGCCCAATACATTTTGTTGCCTGTACAGAAAACGTCCTCCATGCCACCAGAGGGCAGCTGGCTAGATTAGGGGATGCATATGGCATGCACAATTCTTCTGTCTGGCTCCCTGCCCCCTAGTATCTGCCGCCTGAGCTGTCTGTCTCATTCTGCCCAATAATAGAACCAGCCTTGAGTTTTGAGTTAAATGTGGCAGACTGAAGGTGAAAAGAAGCAACAGAACACAAATATATTTGCATACCAGCCCCTCCACAACCCGGTGACCTCCATATGGCTTTGATTATGACTCCCATCAGCCCTAGCTGGCACAAACATTGATTGGCAGATAATGGGAGCTGTGGTCTAAAACATCTGGAAAGCACCAGATCAGGGAAGTCCAGTGTGGTGCCTTTCAGATGTTGTGGACCACAACTCCCATCACAGTATAGCCAATGATAATGTTGTAGCCCACATTGCCTACCCCTGCCAAAGGGCATAGAACAAGGCTATAAACCTATTTCTGAGACAATAATGCAGTTGTTCCTGATAAATCGCAGCACTAATCACTCCTCACATTCATGGCCAGCAAAGTCAGAATGAAAAGAATGGATATCCATGGGGGCAATTGCTCCCCAATAATGAACCATAGCCTCCAAATTCCCAGCTTTCATTTTAAAAGAGTGAGTTTCTAGCAATTGTAGGACCTGAGACAAAATGTACAGACTCTATTCTTATCACTTTTTGATAGAAACTAGCCTCTTTCCTCCTTTCAGTGCTTTTACTTTGCCGATTGCCACATTCCCCCAGAAAAAATCCTGTGAACGCCCATGATGTGAAGCCTCATGTTTCGCCTCTGTAGTTTTTTCCTACAGGCCCTGCACCAACACATCCATAAGGAGAAGGCTTGGGCTGCACTCTATAGCCACCTGCAACCCAGCATCACAACTCCAAGCCTCTTCTTCCTCACTGGGAAGAGAAATTCTAAATACCAGTGTGACCCCAAAGTGACAGGCCTACCTTTGCAGCTTCCCGTTGTGGTTGTGGCCTGGTGCGGTCTCATCTGAAATCACACACACACACACACACACACACACACACACACGCACAAATGTAAATACTGAGCAGGATTGAATATTTACTTAAGCCCAAGGTCTTCCTTGTGACCGGTCTGTCGTCCAATGCTTTTTGTCCTCTGTTTTCGGCCTTTGCCCTATTCCAGCTCAGCACTGAAAGCTGTGCTTAAATGTTCTCATGCCACATCATTCTTCCTCACAAAGTGTTCTGTGTCGCTCAATAGCTTATGTGAGGCTAGTGCCCTAAAAACCCTCTTGGGTGTTAAGAATGGCAGTGGGGAGACCTTCTCGGTAGTTTCACCACCCTGGGAAATTCAGCAGTGTGGCGTCTCAGCAGAAAACATTCTCTGTGGCAGCCCCTAAATCTGGCATCTTGGCTGGATAGCTTTCATTACATGCTGAAGACACACCTCTTTACCTGGGCTTTTGACACCTGTGCAAGATGCTTTGGGACCTACTCTAGACTTTTGATTGTAAATTGTGTTTGTGTGTGTGTGAGTGTGCGCAAATATGACTTTGTGGTGGAGGACAGTTAAAAAGTCTTAATAATAATAATAATAACAATAACAACAACAATGTTTTTCCCAATGAAAAGCCATCCCCTTACCTATTTGATATCTTTCATTCTATGAGAATCTTGTAGCAATTCTTCTTACAAAAAGCGGAAGACATTGTAGCTTTTCAAATGGGGGAGTGCCGGAGGAGAGCACTTGGGGAGAGTGGGGAAGGGCAGTTTGGAGGACAACAGCTTGCAAGATGTGGAATGAATGATGCTCTGAAGAGCCAAGGTAACGCACTGCTTGCTCCCAACCATCTCCTCCTCCTCCCTCTGGTGCCCCCCTCTAGAGGGCTGCTGAATAGTTGCCTGGCAACTTTTCCCTGCCTTAGTTACACTCATTTGCTCCAAGGGGATAAAGTCAAAATATGGCTGAATGGGTGGGTGGGGGAAGCCTTCTGCTGGGAACTAATGCCTATATGTCCATCTTAGAGCTGCTATGTTTCTCCCCCGTTGGAAGAGCTTTTGCACTTTCAATAGCTGTGCAACAGACACAAATCAAACAGGTGCAGCCTCCCCCTCAAGAAGATGCTGGAGTGTGCTTTTTGTTCCTTAAATATATGCACCTTGCACAGCTGGTAAAAGGCACAGTCAGGGGTGAGTAGGGGCAGTCAAATCTCTGCTGCCTTGCTAGAGGGCTGTCAGCAGAGGGGATAAAGGAGGGGAAGTGAGCAGCAGAGAGAGTGATGAAATGGGCTCAGCAGCGATAGGCTGGCAGAGTCCTAGCCAAACAGACAGCGCTGATAAGCTCAAGCAAAAGTCTGTCTCAGACAACCAGCCCTGACATTCTGAACCCCTTTGAGTCTCTGCTTCCCTCATCCTCACTTTCTGTTTTGAAGACAAAATCGCATTTACTCATGATAGCCCTGTATGAGGCTGGTGTTTGTTTCTCGTTCCTTATTTGCAGTTCCTGGTGCATTACTCATTCAAAAGGTACTGACTGAAAAAGGAACTGGGCTATAAGCAAAAGTTCATCCAAAAACAACCTTTGGATCACCCCAAATAATTTCTCTAGCAAACTGGATGTCTGCCCCCTGTGGGCCACTATGGCTATATACTGATGTCTGGTCCATAGGTCCACTAACCAACTTAGATACAGTCAGAGTGCCTACTGGGTGCAATTATTTTGGAGCCCTGTGAAAATTCCCCAAGGTTCATAACTAGAGTTGCCAACATTTATTTTTCCCTGACAGAAATCCAACAAGTGAATCTTTTCCCCTTTGTGCATCTGCAGGCCATGCCAATTGCATTTCTACTTGCCACACAGCTGATAAATTTCTCTTTCGATCATTCTTTCTTTAATGCATTTTTAAAATTGTGTATACCTTTACCCCAGCTTTCAGGATAACATCTATGCAAAGTGGCTTGCAAAAATAATTTAAAACAATAAAAGAACCATTGAAACACAATGACAGGTAAAAACAGCAGGAAGTCAGTGTAGAAACAGTCACTGGCGACCTATATAGAAGAAATAGGCTTTCAGGACCTGTTTAAACACAGGCAAAGAGGGAGGGTGGCCATGTGTCCTACTTTGCAAATGACATTCATCTATCTGCATGTGTCCTTTATTTGAAGGGCTATCCAGTAAGTGTGGCTTAAAGATGAAGAACTCTCAGGAGAGCTGCAGATGACTTGAAGTTGCCCGTCAGCAGTTAGCACCTGGAGAGAAGACTGAGCAGGCACACAGATCATACACTGCAGTGACACATACTGTATTTCTAATTAAGGTGTAATCATAGTTTTAAAATGTGTGTCTATTCATATACATTGGAGCCTGCAAATCTGGGGCTATTTTCAGCTGTTCAAGGGAGACCCATTGTTATTAACGGACCTAAGTGAATCACATCCATTAACTTCAGCAGGTAGGACTAGCATTGAGTGCCATCTTTTCTACACATCTGTGTCCTGTTTTTCTTTGGTGGGGTGTGATGCATTTCTTCCTTTTGTGGAATGCATAAGTTGCCATCCCCTTTGGCTGACTGAAGACTGGCCCATAAGGGCAAATGTGGCACTGCCCCATCAACCTCAATTTGCCCTCGGGAGAACAAAACCAGAATGAATGGGCCCTGTGTCCTGGCTCCCTCTGGACAAAGGACTTGGACTACATGCCAAAAACTTTAATACTCAAATAAACATGGTACTTAAGCAAAGTACAGTGGTACCTCGGGTTACAGATGCTTCATATTACAGATGCTTCAGGTTACAGACTCCGCTAACCCAGAAATAGTACCTCGGGTTAAGAACTTTGCTTCAGGATGAGAACAGAAATCGTGCAGCAGCGGCAGCGGGAGGCCCCATTAGCTAAAGTGGTACCTCAGGTTAAGAACAGTTTCAGGTTAAGAACGGACCTCCAGAACGAATTAAGTTCTTAACCCGAGGTACCACTGTACCAGGAGTGCAGCAGGTGTAAGGCATGACCACACAAGCTAATACATTGATCCAATGGTCAACATTCCCCCTAGGTTCTCCTTATGTAGGAGTGGGCATGGCTTTAGTATGGCAAGTGTGATGTCCAGGGTCGTAAACTGATAACTCCTCCAGTTCCTTTGATCCCTCATCTTGATCTGACCAGCCCCTCCAAGAGGTCTCATTGGGACTCATGACACACACTCTGTAATTGGCTTTTGTGGTTTCTCTCTTGATCTCATTTGTAGGTGGCATGCAGATGATAATCTCACGGTCTGGATAGGTTCATGTGGAGAGAAGTGGTCCTTTACAGGGAGAAGCACTGCCCAGAGCAATTTGGATGACTAGTGAAACAAAAAATGCCATTGATAATATTTTGTGGGCTGGGGGAAGCCTAACCCTAACTGCAGCAACCAGTTGGAACGATTGAGGAAATGACATTAAGTTTTAAATAAGCTTAGGTGCTTTGTGGATAGAATAAGATGGATGATGATAATGATGCACGTCAAGCAATAGCTAGGGTAAAATTTTAAGAATATTCTGTTGCTGAAAATGATTCATAGTCCAGAGGATGACGTTTGCCATCCCTGGCGTAACTACCAAAATGAGATTTAAAAAAACTTATCCTGGGGAGTAGAAAAAGATCTAGATTCCCTTGACACCAGGCTTGCATGCCAGCCACTGCAGAACTTCATGATCTTATGGAATGCATTTTTCTTGGGCCTTTGATCATCAAAGAAAAATGAAGCAAATATGAATCTATGCAGACGTCCATAGCTTGCTCATCGCCATGGTATCCAAATGTCTGAATAAGACAAGGACACAGCAGGCCAAAATTAGACCCGGTTGCAAAGGAATTGTGCCCACCCACCGGAGCTGCATTTGCTTCTCGACAGCCATGTTTCCATGGGAATGTTGTGCGTCACTGGGTACACCACAAGCGAAGGGCATGCTGGCAAGGATGTCAAGGTGTTGCTGAATGGGAATGCCAAACCGCCCCTGCCCATGCTGCACCTGCTCCACAAGATAAACAATAAGATGAGCACATCAGAAGAGCCTTGCTGGATTAGTGCAGAAGCCCCTCTAGTCTAGCATCCTGTTCTCACAGTGGCCAACCAGACACCGATGGGAAGCTTGAAAGCAGGACCTGAAGGCAACAGCACTCTCCCATACTTGTGATCCTTGTAAACTGGGCCTACTGCCTTCAACCATGGAAACAGAACATAGACTTTGTGGCTAGTAGCCATTAAAATGCCTCCTCCCTGCTATGGCTGGTGAGGCGCTGTGCTCTGTCAACTCCTCTTTGCAGCTTTGCTTATGTTACTTGCACGGCGAGGCCCCATGACCACCCTATTCCCTAAGGTGCAAATAACTAGACAACACACAGCGTATTGGGCTTTGGGGATCAAATAAGGCCACAACTTTATCAGTTACAGATGTGAAATGTTTGATCATAGTCATCAAGGTAAGCAACTGGGAGTGTTTCTAAGGGTGAAGCCAGCCGGGGGAGAGGGAATGCCCTATGACCTACATCAAATCAGGGCATCCCCCAAGTGGTCCACGTTGGAGGAGTGGTATGGCCCTAGCCCCCACCTGAGCATTGGACAGGAGCCACTCCTCCTGGATCCTTTTAACAGGATACCCTTACCTGTGGAGGGGCAGGCAGAGGCTACAACCTCCCCTCCAACCAAGACTTGGCTTACCCAATGCCTATCCACCAATCGAGGCATTATTGGCTCGCCACCAAAGCACTGACACCTGCAACCAACACTCAGTGCCCTCCACTATATTGCATAGCCAGATATTATTGCCAGCATCCGAGAGGTGGACCCCAACTTGGTGGAAAAGCACCTCCTGATTAACATTGATGTCTGGGTGATGAATCACCCAGCCATTGGAACACTCCATCCTGTGACCGATGGCGCAATTGGCCTGCTTCCATGCCTGATTCATGCTAGCAGGGTTGGGGCTGTTGCTCTAACAATGTCTCCAAAGGCCCTGCCAACCAGGTATTTATCCTTCCTCTGGACGCGATGCCGAGCGCTGCTACAGATCAGTTGGCACCGCGCCTAGGTGAACGCCCCCTAGATTCCTGCTGCCATTGGCCAATTTGGCGGCAGGAGTATGATTGGGCCAGCAATAGGCCAGTTCACAGAGGAGACTCAGTGCCCGCCCGCAAAGGCACCCACCTGAGGAGGGCAAATGGACATTCTGCAAGCACTCCTTTCCTTGGAGACTGTGTGTATGGCAATGCTGAAACACCACAGTCCCAAGATCTTCTATGCCAGACCTTTTGGCTTCCTGGAAAGGAAGGCCAGCTATAGATCATTCCTTTTTCAAGCAGAAGTTTCAGGGTCTGGCATGTTTAGCTGACAAAGCTGGCATTAAGAGTAGATAACATCAGGCACTTGACTCTGCTTCTGTGGGATCCGTATAGTGTTGCCTTTTAGCCCATCTCCCTGATGCATTGGATACTATTAACCAAGCAGAAGCATAGCATTTACTTGCAGCAGAAGTTTATGCCTTAAGGGGAATGTAAGCTGAGCAGTTAATGTGCATAAAAACTGGACATTGTCCACATTCATGCATCATCCTCCCATGAAGAGGGAATTCTGCACATTTCCCGGTCAATATATACAACCTACAATACTCCTTGGGGAATGAGCATGTCTCAGCTGAACTTTGTACATATGCACTTTGTGCATAATCCCTAACCGGCCTTAGGGAATGTGCATATATGTACTGAATTTAATGCATTATTCAGCCATTAGGCGTAATCTTCAAAGGTCCCCTGGCTCACCACCTACCTTGGTCCCAGGGCCTGAAGTTCCCCTCCCCTGAAGCAAAGTGATGACAAATCTCCCAAACTGTGACTGCTGACACAGCCACTTTTAATTCAGTACTAAGTATGGATGGGGGACAAATTTGATTCAGTCTGCAATTAAATACAAATTTACCAAACTCACATTTTCTGAAACAATATGCAAATCAGAACCCAGGCTTCCGTTGAAGTTCACACGTATCTGAATTTTGCAATGAGTTCTTCAGCTAAGTAATGCATACAAAAACACCCATCCCAGGGGAGAGTGTGGATGAAAATGGAACATATTAGTGAAAATACCACAGAAATGCTTTATGTTAGGGGAAATTGCTTTTCAAAAATGTGTACATTAGGAGAGATGATGAATTTTTATGAGGGTGCATTTTTTTTAGAAAATTGCAAACTGATGTAGAAATATGGAGAGATGAGAAAAATGAGAAGCCAAGTGAATCTCTTCACTTAACCCTAGTGCCAAGTCCGTTTTACTTCCATGGCTCCCAAGCAAAGGATCCTGAAAGGAATTGTTTTGTGAAGGGGGGTAGTAGCTCCCCTTTGAGGTTTTCTGAGGAGAGCCAAGAGAGTCAAAATGGATTTCCTGCCAGTATGGAAATGCAGACGTATCGCAAGCATCGTAAGATACAGTGTGACATGGGAGAGCTGCCCTCTAACCAACCGTTCTGAAATTAGCACAATAAATGCAATCTTGTTTGAATACAGGAATTTTATTATTTGCTACATTTGCATCCCATTGTTCCTCTGAGGAGCTTAGGGTAGCACACATTGATCCCCGCTGCCTCATTTTATCCATGCAACATCTCTGAGAGACTGAATGGCCCAAGATCACAGTCAACCTTACAGCTGAGAGAGAGGTAAGCCCCCTACAGGGTTATTAAAGAACTCCACTAAGATATGATCAATGGTTCTTTTAATCATCTCTAGTGTGCAAATGAACGCCCACTGCCGGATTTACGTATAAGCTAAACAAGCTATAGGTATACGGCCTCGGTCCAGTATACCTGAAGGTGCGTCTCCACCCCCATTGTTCTGCCCGGACACTGAGGTCCAGTGCCGAGGGCCTTCTGGCGGTTCCCTCACTGCAAGAAGCCAAGTGACTGGGAACCAGGCAGAGGGCCTTCTTTGTAGTGGCACCCACCCTGTGGAACGCCCTCCCACCAGATGTCAAAGACAACAACAACTACCAGACTTTTAGAAGACATCTGAAGGCAGCCCTGTTTAGGGAAGCTTTTAATGTTTAATAGACTATTATATTTTAATATTTTGTTGGAAGCTGCCCAGAGTGGTTGGGGAAACCCAGCCAGATGGGCGGAGTATAAATAATAAATTACTACTACTACTACTACTTCTTAGGGCCCCACTCTCTTGCCCCCCCCCCAATTTCACTATTAATATACTTTTTCTTAATTGTATTTCAGTTCAATAATTACTTTGATAAAATACATATTTTGTTATGCGCAAATGGCTTTAGATACCTATTAGGTCCATAAATTACCATATAGCATATATTCAACACAAAAAACAGTGACAATTTGTTGTTGACAAAGGACAGCTGGATATATAAAGGGCCCCATTACCTTCAGTAGCTTAGGGCCTCATCAAACCTAAATCCGGCCCTGTGAATGCCCATACATGCAAGCAAGCAAGCAAGCAAACAAACAAACAAACAAACCTGTCTGTACACAGTGTGTGCTTGTTATTAGATCAGTACCATCAAAAATTAAATGTGTTGACACACACTTCCTGTTTTTAGAACAAAGAGCATAGGAAACAACTGAGGTTAGCCTCACATTGTGGCAAGCACAATATTAACAGGCGAACCACCCACCAATGCACGGCTGCAGAGGTGGCAGCACAGAAATGCATTGGTATTTTGTGGTTTCCTGTTCTATAACCAGGACAAACTCTTTAGTGCAATATTTTCCCCATCATAAGATTCACACCCAATAAATTCTCCCTTGCCTGACAAAATTTTACGTAACAGGCATCTAATATAACTATGTAGATGTTTAGGCTTTCCTATATGATCAATAGAATTAAAAGATATGAGAGGGAGAGAGAAAGTGCCATTGGCATGCATACTGCATTACATAGGACAAGTTTTTCCCCAAGGAGCTTACGATCTAAAATCCTAACTTCAGCACATTTATATAAGCACATTTCTTTCTGTTTTTAAATGAAAAAAAAGACATTATAGAATACTGGAGAGGTTCCTTAAATCCTCATTCCATCCTTAGATATTTCTGAAAAAAATTAAGTGGAAGGAATTCATTTTCTGATATTTCTTGATTCTTGTCACAAGTGAAGAAAGAGACAATGAAGAAGAAAAAAGAATACATTGCGATCACTGAAAATGGCCATCACAGCAGCCACGCAATCAGTCTTTTGCCATCTACCCTTCCACTGCATCATGGTAAAAGTAGTATCTCTGTGCTGCATCATGGTGATGGTAGTATGTGTTCCTCAAAGCAGGGAGAAAGCATGTCAAATGTTAATTGAATATTTAATGCTTTGAAGTAAATAATTTGGTTTTGGTTTCAGGCACAGGTGCAGATCTGTATCTATTTATGTGAGATGATTCACCCATCATCTCTGTTAATTATGTGATTATTTCCTCAAGCAAGGGAAACAATGGAATGGGCTATATAAATTAAGATGATTTTTCACTGGCACAGGCTATGAGCTGTGCTGCTCTGTAATAATCTTATCATAATCAAATGAAAGAGGGATATTTTGTCCTGCAAGGCAGAGCGACATCACTAGAATATTCCAGTTGAAATGGGAAATTAGATTGGCTTTTGCTGTGAAAATGTTTCCTGTATTCAAACATGGAAGAACATGCACGCATGGTCCCGTTGTAAGTGCATTTAGAATATTCTTAGTCTGCTTTTCTTCTGCAAAAGGGACTCAAAGTAACTAAGAGCGTAACCATCAAAATAATCAACACAGTACATCAAAAACACTATAATGAAGAGAGAGAAAAGCAGAAGTAAGATTTATAGGCTGTTAAGAAACTACACTTCATCGGCAGTAAAAATAAAAGTGACTAAATGCCTTTGTTTCAATTACAGTGTCATGTTCTTAATTTGAATCATCAACCTTTGAATCACTTTAACTGTAGTTTGACTCATTCAGCTTTGTGTCTGGACCCAAAGGTCAAGAGGAAGAGACTGAAACTGGGCGGTAGAGCCTTGCATGCAAAACAGAGCAAAGTAAAGACCCTCTATAGCAAATACTGGGAAGCCACTGCCAATCATGGTAAGCAATGTGGGGCTAGACGGATTAAGGGTCTGATCTGATATGGCAGCTTCCTCTGTGGGGGGAAAGTGCCATTTGAAGTCAAATGGGACTTATCTCAGAGCAAGCAAGTGTAGGATTAGCTTGCCCATGATTAGGGCCAGGTCTGCTCCGCAGTGCAGTCCTGTGCATATTTACTCAAAAGTAAATCCTACTGTATCCAACGGAGCTTACTCCTTAGTAAGTGCATTTAGAAATGCAGCCTCAGCCAGGTAACTCTCTGGTGTTTCAACCAACCAACAACAACAACAACAATTTATTATTTGTACCCCACCCATCTGGCTGGGTTTCCCCAGCCACTCTGGGTGGCTTCCAACAAAGATTAAAAATACAACAAACTGAAACTGACACGGGGACAAATAGAAGAAGACGCCTTCACCCTGGTATGGTTACCCTTTATCACATATACCAGGGGTCGGCAAAGTTTTTGTGGCTTGTGTTCACAGTCCTGCAGACGCCATGGTGAGCTGGAGTGTGTGTGTGCTTACGCACGCATGCGCAAATGCTATTTCTGACGCTCCTTCCAGCACGGAGGAGGCGTGCGCAGCTTCCCATTGGCTGCAGGAGTTTCCCTGCAGCTAATGGGAAGCTGGCCAGCGTTGCAGAAGGCAGTCCCCACTCTGCTCTGCACCGGGTTAGTGCGGCGCACGGGATCCGACCGAGTGGGCCAGTTAAGCGACCCTGTGGGAAGCTGTGAGAGGGTGTTGGGACTTTGCCTACATGCAGCTTCCCACAGAAGCAATTAAGGAGTAGGCCGAAGGCCAGGAAGACTGAGCAGGGGGAGTTATTCTGCCTGGTGATATGGGACCTTGGATACAACTCTGCTATTGGATAAGGTCACCCATATAGGCATGATGACTCATGACTTTCCTGTGTTGGTTGGTTGGTTGGTTGGTTGGTCAGTGGTTGTTTGAGAGTTATTTGGAGTTTGTTCAGAGAGAGAGTTAAGATCCGTGTCTGTATCTTGTATATAGTAACTTGTGAGTCTGCTGTAAGTAATAAACCTCTAAGTAACCAAGTTACTAGTAGCAGCGTCTTGTTCCTGCTTCATCCTGCCAGCTTGCAACCGAATGCTTCTGGACAGTCTGCGTATGCTTTGCAATATTCAACAAGCATCTGCGTAGGCTTAACAAAACTTTTAATCTATGGAATTTCTGCCTCACATTTGTAGCCCATAGTGCTGTCTTGTAGCAGCCTCCAAGTATAAAGCTATACAACTAAAAGTACACACACACACACACACACACAAAAAACCAACAACACCAAACTAGATTCTGAGCAAGAAGCTACCGGATCCACATTCTGTAGATGATCAAGAAGATTCTGGACCTTCATTTGCCTCTAAACCCTAAAGGGATTTTTTTTTTAAAAAAAGGAAGCAGTGCCTAGAGACAAAGGAACATTACTCTTTCACACGGTCCTGGTAGCACAACTGCGATATGCTGACTGCTGCAAAAGATGCCCTACATCTAAGAAAATGGCTCATTAAATTTTGGGATCTTGTTATAATGAACATCAATGGCGTATGCACATCCAGCAAAGGAAAATTTAAAATCAACAATTGGGGTGAAAGTGGGATTATTTCAAAGTTGTCGTATTCAAAAGCTAAACAAGTTATTACTAGAAGTAAGCCCTTTCCCTTTGCTGTAACGAAGCTTAAATTGCAAAAAGAAAGGTAACCCCAATTAATCAAACATTGAAAGCAATTTAAAACAACTAGCCAAGATACAAATAATGGGTTGTATCCCATGCTAGTCCTACTCAGAGAAGACCCACTTAATACACACGACGAACTTAGGTTCATTCGTTTCAGTGGGTCTACTCAAATACAACTCAATACTCTTAGCTAAAATGCTGCAATGACTTCAGTAAACTATGTTCATCTGTTTTTAACGTATGGAATTACAGAAGATTTTATAGACCAGCAGAAGGTAATGCACCTCACATCTTCAGTGCATCAGATTATTTCGTAGTAGCAATAAGGTATAAACCCATATAATAAAAAGCACCAGAAAATTTTCAGTTACATCCCTGAGCAACAATTTACTGGGCACGTGCTGTTCCACTGGAGCTTCATAGACTTATAGGATTCTTTTAGACCTGTAGACAACAATTCACTACCTTGTACCTTGGTTCCCAAACTGCTTGGTTTCCAAACAAATCGGCTCCTGAATGCTGCAAACCCAGAAGTAAGCGTTCCGGTTTGTGAACATTTTTTGGAAGCTGAATGTCCGTTTTGGTTGTCAGCATTGTTTCTGGGGCCCATCAGCCAATCAGAAGCCATGCCTTGGTTTGCGAATGTTTTGGAAATCGAACGGACTTCCAGAACGGATTGAGTTCAAGAACCAAGGCACCACTGTACCGAGGTAGGATCTTTGCTTCCTAATGGGCACAAGAATGCCATTGTTCATGTTATCCGTAGTAGGGTGTACCACGTGAAGAAGGCAGAGGTTTCTGTGGGAAAGACATGCCTCAGTGGCATATCACATGCTCCCAAAATTCAAGAATTTATTCAAGAAAATGGATTAACAGATGACAATGGGCTCCATTTATAAGCTTCTGGGTAACCACTTTCAAGATAAAATGCAGCCATATGCTTCCCACCCCATGTCATAAATCTGGTTCCTATCACCATTTTCATTAGTTACTAGGGGGTATACCCCTGCCATCTTTGCTCACCGCCCCCTTATAACTCACAACCCACTCCCCCTTACAGCTAGCCCCCCCTAAACCCACCCCTTACAGCACCTCAAAACCTCCTTATACTGCAGTAGCATCCAGTGAAGCGGTAAGGGCGGGGCTTTGTTGCTCTCCTGGCTTCCCAACACTACAGGGTGGGGGTCACTATTGCATATTGAGAGGGGGAGAGGCGAGTTAAAATGTAAGTCCCATTGCCTGTTAAAAGCCTTTCATTTTCTTTGATGACGTTTAACTGATGGTGTTGATGCTTTCTTGCTTTCAGGGACGGTTCAGAATTTAGACTGAGTGATGGCCATAATGGCCCTGAAGATCTCTCAGGGTCAAGTAGGCCTCTGAAGAACTCAGCACCTGGCTGGAAGATGCAGCTCTGCAGAGATCATTGGCTTGGCCTGAGTTCTGAATCATAGGCTGGGGAAATGCAGGCCCATTGTCTTCCACAGAGCCTGTAGAAGGGTCTACCCTTCCAACTACTTCTGTTCCATCAGTATTGCTGCCAGACGGCTCCCAGACACATGAAAAGTCCATGGAATACTTTTCTGGAGACTTGTTGGGGTGAGCAATGGCCTCACTCCCTTCTTTGTTCTCATCCTCTTTCACTTCTGATGTCACGGGGAAGCTCTCTGATGATGGAAGAGTCCTTGGACAACCTCCAACCTTCTGGTTTGGGACCTTTGCTTCTTGCAGAAAAGACTCACTCTCCTGGTCTGCCATTATGCTGTAGGCAGGTGGCGGCGACCGGTTGTCCCAAGTTTCATGGAGCACTTTGTAGGAGTCAGGGTCGCTGTCCTCACTGCCACTGATCTCTTGAGTAAGCGGGTCGTAGGTGAAATACACCTTGCAGGGCTCAATCTCGAGAGAATCATCGGTGTGGAAGAAAAAATAGCCCCGGTTGGTAACGCAGCTGGATGAAGAATGTCCACTAGTCTCTGGTGCATCCGTATGAGTAGGATGTTCCTTGGGAAGGAGGAGGCAAGGCTCTTGATTGCCTTTCTGCATCACCTCAAGCACAGAAACATCTGGAACTGCTGCAGCCAGGTAGAAGGAAGACATGGGCGCTGGCGAGGAGAGCCACTTCTGTTGGTTTTAGTGGGGAAGTACAAAAAGAAAATAAAGGGTAATGTTCAAACAGGTGCAATGCCACCATCAAAGAAACAAGCAGAAGTTGGCGAGTGTTCCATTCATGTATTCAATTCATGTATTCAATAAATTGAACTCATACAGAATAGCTTCCCCTGATCTATAATCCAGGGCTGGGGAATTGGATCCAGTTGGCAGGACCCATTTTGACAGGTGAGCTGTCTCTTTTTGTATAACACCCTGAGTTCTAACTGATGCAGAGTGGTTTAAAAATATGTCAACAAATAAATAATAGCAACGACTGTGGTCATGCTACTTACAATAAGGGCTAAAACTGGAGGGGAAGAAATGTGTTTCAGTTTGCATTTTCACATGACTCTACCAAATTTGCACTTCCTTGAAACAACATGTGGGCTGAAAAGCAGCTCCCTCCTTCAACATTCACACTTCTCTGAATTTTGAGATGCAGTTCTCCAGGCAAATAATGTGTACAAAAATGCATTTTGTTAAGGGAAATTGTACATAAACGTCAGTATATCAGGAGAAATGCACACTATTATTATTTTTTGCAATGACTATTTTTTTCAATAGCGCCAATGTGGGAATGTGGCAAACTCAACATAAGACTGGAAAAATATGAAACTGAGGGAAAAAATGAAATTGATGGATTAATCCCTACCACAGATATGCAATATTTGTGTGGATTATGACTTGTCTAAATTTACCAATAGCAACCTTCAGACAGACAAAAATCAGATTGAATACAAATACCATAATAGGAGGGACTGAGAGTCTTTGCTGCGCCTCACAAAAAAACATGCAAAGTGAAATGTTGCAAGCTGCACTTAAGGTTGGATAAATGAGAAGCTTAAGATAAGCAAAAACTATCCATCCCAAATTATAGGCAGCAGTCTTGTCCTCCATCTCCTTACCCCCTCAACCTCCAAGTCCACCTTACCTGGATATCTCCTCCATGGACAGCAGTGAGAGACGGGAAGAACTCAGCAGGGTCTGGCAAATGGATCTTCAGCACCTTCCTTAAGCTAAAGCAAACAGAGCTTAGGGTGAGAAGGGTGCAAAGGGAATATGGGTTTGGACAACAGTACAACTAAGCATAGCCAGGAATGCAGGAGGGTGGTGGACTAGTCGTGTGAATGTTTGGCAGCTCTTTAACCAGGGCTTTGGTTGATGGACATCTGATGCCCTTTTAAACATATTGTGGAAGGGGGGGGGATTATTAGGTTGTCTTTGTTCTTATTTTTATTAGTGGGCATTTTATATTGTAATTTTATGTTGAGAACTGCCCTGAGATCTACAGGTATAGGGCGGTATACAAATTTAACAATTAAATAATAAAAAAATGTAATTTGTTCAACTGAAAAAAGGCAAAAAGGGTATTAACAGCAACATAAAGCCATTGCCTAGTAGGTAAAAGACCCCTGGACAGTTAAGTCCAGTCAAAGGCGACTATGGGGTTGCAATGCTCATCCTGCTCTCAGGCCAAGGGAGCCGGCGTTTTTCCACAGACAGCTTTCCGTGTCATGGTGCCAGCATGACTAAACTGCTTCTGGCACAACAGGACACCGTGACGGAAACCAGAGTGCATGGAAATGCAGTTTATTTTCCTGCCACAGCGGTACTTATTTATCTACTTGCACTGGTGTGCTTTCAAACTGCTAGGTTGGCAGGAGCTCAGACAGAGCAATGGGAGCTCACCCATTGTGCGGATTCAAACCACAGACCTTCTGATCAGCAAGCCCAAGAGGCTCAGTGGTTTAGACCACAGCGTCATCTGTGTCCTTATTATGAATGAAATCTAAGGACATTCTCCCTCCTCCTCAGCAACAACAACAGAAACAGAGGATTTGGATGACTGGGAACCATGTGAGATTTCTGACTTAGGTCTCAAAAATTCAGAGAAACCTTGATGCCATTTTTCAGGCTGGTTCTGCCCATTCAGCAGAGTGCAGCGGTAGAAACATGAGGCAGTGGAGAAGACAGACTGTACTCCTTCAGACTGCAGGGGTGTGTGTGGGTATCATGTCTGAAGATTCCCCTTCAGAAGAAAACTCCTTGCACGAAGAAAACTAAAACCTAGGGGAGAAAGGTTCAAGATGAGTCCTTTCCTTGCTCAGCTAATTTTCTGCTTAGGAAGTGCTTACATCAAGGATCATTAAAAGTGGAATCTTCCAGCTGCAGTCAGAAGCTACAGCCCATTCTACCACCTCATTCCCATCACATGCAGAAGTGATCATTATCACAGTATAGCTGTTGGCTAAGGAAACAGTTAGTGTCAGAGTATGGAAGCAAGATCTCTGTTCCCTGTTACCGTTTTGATGCCGGTGATTTGCCCCTCAGGAAAATGGCAATGAAGAAGGGGAAGATGAAGATGAGACTCCCCAAAAGGGTGAGAAGAACTGTCAGGAGCAGACTTGGAGACGATGCATCCCCTACAAAGAGGAGGAATTAGCCATTCATGGAAGACAGTTGATTCCCATCTGAACCAAAGGAACAGGTGTATACAAATCGCCTCTTAAAATTATCCACCCTATTGGTGTGCAGAGACACAGAATTTCTCCAGGTGTGGGAGAAATTCACCAACACAGGGTTGGTTCTTAGCAGTGTTTGTTTCCTAAGATTCTTTTTGCATGTGGTGCTGCAACTGTGTTGTTAGGCTAGCCCCTTTCCTACAACCTCCACAGTGTCCCAGACTATTGTCATTCCAGGGAATTGTGAGGGAAGAAGGGAGGAGGAATGGTTGGCATTACTAACACCCTCCCACCCACCCACCCCTACAGTGGAGAATATTCAGAAAAAGTTCTGCAAAGTGGCGTTACTTTCTCTAAGGGGTTAGAAAAGAGAGAGCGCAATCTCAGAATTTTTCTCTGAAAAAAATGTTTTCTGGGAAATTTTGGCTCAGCCTTCATCCTCAGATTTAAGGGTGCATGGATTTAAGGGTGTGCAACTCAATGCATCCCTGCAAGTGTTGGTCTCCATTCAACAAAAAAGTGGAAGGGAATATTTATATATGGGTGGCTGAAGCACTTTTTGTAGTGCTGCCTTGAATAATTAATAGCAAATAATATTTGCACTTCTATTTTGTTGCTCTCCCCTTGCAAACACACACCTTGATAACCTCTGAAGTGTCCCATGATGGCTTCCAGATTAAAAGCAGATATGTACAACAAGGGGGAAAAAATGAGAAGGGCCTAAAAACGGTACCTATAGAATAGGATTGGGGGACCTGTGGCCCGCCAATGTTGCTGGACTACAACTCTCATCACCCCTGACTGCTGCATCCTATTTTATGGGCAACCACAGAAGGGTTGGTTTTTTTTAAAAAATACTTAATTTCAGCAAGGGGAGACTCAGGGGCCCCATGTAAACAAACTTGCTGTAGTAAGTATGCTCAGGCCTGCAGCCTACGAGGATCAAAAAGGGTTTGGAAATCCATACTTTGAAGGGGGAAAATGTATAAAATTACACTTTTAAGTGTGAATCTTCATGCAGTTTTTTTTTTTAATGCAGTATCTCAAATTAATGTCTGAATGAGACTGAACAGACTTATGGGTGATCTCATGTGAAATTGACATCGGCTAAAAATAGCCCAATTTGCTCATTCCTAGAGTGGCAGGCTGTATGGGCAAAGGCCTCTGATAATGCAATATGTTTTTACACTGACAGCTACATTAGGCAAATTAAGTTATAAATGTGTTATAGCACAGTGACACCAGATGGCGCTGCAGAACTGAAATCTCAACTCAATATTTTCCATTATGTGAAGTTTAAAAAGTTTTTTTTTCAGAGTGTTTTCATAGCGTTTTTTGAACAGCTGTGTAGATCTAGCCAGGCTGGAAAGCACAGTGGTACCTCGGGTTAAGTACTTAATTCGTTCTGGAGGTCTGTTCTTAACCTGAAACTGTTCTTAACCTGAAGCACCACTTTAGCTAATGGGGCCTCCTGCTGCTGCCGTGCCACTGGAGCACGATTTCTGTTCTCATCCTGAAGCAAAGTTCTTAACCTGAAGCACTATTTCTGGGTTAGCGGAGTCTGTAACCTGAAGTGTATGTAACCTGAGGTACCACTGTATATGCGTTTCTCAGAGATTCCCCCCCCCCCATGCTCCAGTACATAGATACACCCCTGATTACATAATGCAGAGCCTGTTTGACACTAAGTCCACCCCACCCCCCAATTTATAAAGGCTTTGGGGTCCTTATCTGTCCCATTTTTCAAGTATCCTACAGGTTTTGTTCTGTGAGCCTTACCTTTATGGGTTGTCCATGTTACAGGCACACTCCATTTGCTCCATGTGCTATTGTAAAGAGCCGTGCTCTTTTTTACCTTCACACGAACAGCGGCCTCATACATTGTGTTGGGAGAAAGAGTCTCAAATTTCATCCACCTCTGATCCTGAATATTGGAGCCGATTATGTAAGCCTGCAAGATGGGGAATGATTTCAGACTGTGTGCACTCCTTGATTATACACAACATGTTTGTGCATTGCTGCCCTCTAGAAGAACATAAGAAGAACGTAAGAAGAACCCATCTAGTCCAGCATTCTGTTCTCATCTGGCAGTGGATGTAGTTCATGGGTAGTAGCCACTGATATCTTTATCCTCCATGAATTTATCTAAGCCTCCCTTAAAGTAATCTAAGTTGGTGACCATCACTACTACTTCTTGGGACTGAATTCCATAGTATAATTATGCACTCTGTAAATAAGTATTTTCTTGAGTAATTATGAATCTTCTAACAATTAGCTTCATTGGATGTTCCCAAATTCTAATGTTTTGGGAGGGCAGGAAAATTTTTCACAATCCACTTTTTTTTTTGCACCAAGCAGAGTTTTTATACACCTCTACCGTATCTCCTCTAGCTCACCTTTTCTCTAAATGAAGAAGTCCCAAATGCTGTATCCATTACTACTACTATTACATTAAATCTGTATAGCATCCGTCGATTTCAGGGTGCTTCACAACATAAAACTACACTATAAAAACTGCAAAATACATGATAAATATAAAAACAGCAACAAACCAATAATCCCCTCCTTCCATGACACATTTAGGGCACCGGATGTCAATCAGCCCAAAGCCTGATTGAAGGGGACAGTTTTTGCCTGGCACCTAAAAGTGTATAATGAAGGTGCAAAGCAAGCCTCCCTGGGGAGAGCATTCCACAAATGGGGAGCCACTGCAGAAAACTCCCGTTCTTGTGTTGCCACCCTCCAGACCCCTCAAAGAGGAGGTACTTGTAGAAGGGCCTCAGATGATGATCTCAGGGTCCAGGTGGGTTCATATGGAGAGAGGTGTTCCTTGAGGTATTGTACTGGGATCTGCCCAATAATTCCTTAATCTCTATATGGACACACACTCAGTGATTATCCTGATCTGTTCCGTTAGAGTTGATCAACTGATTGAGGCATGAGAGCCTGACTTCTTTGACCTTCTACTTAACTTCTAATACAAAAGGTATGGGCAGCTAACCAATAAATACTTCACTTTCTCACAGGGGCTCAGCCATGTGACGTGTCACATGATGTCACCCAGCATGTGCTGGGTGGGGGCAGGACACATGGAGGGCGATCTTTGCCTTTGCTCGTTCCAGCCCCCACCCGGCTCCTGGGCTCCCAGGTAGAGGCTGGAGAACGCAGAGGGCACCCGGCTGTGGCGGGAGATGTCAGCCCCCTCAAAATTGGGGGTGGGGGCTCAGTGCCCTGCCCACCAATATTGAGGGAGCTGAAGTACCTTACACCCCCTATAGTTGGCACCCCTGCTTTCTCAAGAGGAGGTTGCATTTCTGCTGCACCTCTAAAATGTATCACTTTATTGTTTTGGATCTTGTATTAGAATGGCTTTCTGGGTCCAAGGAAAGGAAAGGAAAGTGGACTACAAAAGAATAAACCAGATCAAATCTTTACCATTCATATAGATGTCTCTTCACACTCACCTTACTAGGATCTTTTTTAATATATCGTATTTGGTACTCCACCTCATTTTCTAAATAATGTGAGAGAGCACAGAGCTTCCAAGTTAAATTGTAGGAAAGCTTGTCGTCATTTTCCATTTGGACGTTGCAAGGAGACCGCAGTCGAACTAAAGAGAACAAGAGAGGACCAGCAGGTAACATTAACAACAAAACTGCTGAGCTGGGAACACATTAACTTTTGCTGTGGTTCCAGTGCTTTCCACTGCTGACTTTTGAATCTGTCTACACATGAAGTTACCCGCAACACAGAGCTATCCTGTTGCTTCTCGAGAAATGATGTTGTTTGGTGCCTTTTCTCTGAAACCAGCTTCAATCTGAAAGGAAAACTGGAGCCGCACCCGCTTGGCAGTTAAGCTGACGTGTGTGCATTTGAGACAGGCATTGCACATGTGCAGATGACACCTTCATGATTGACAGTTCAGGGGGGCTGCAGGGGCAGGGAAATCCAACAGGTAATGTGCACCAGGTGAAGACTCTCTAGTGTATAGAACAGCATGCAAATCACAACTTGTAACGCAGCATTTTAAGCCTCTACTGTGTGCCTTAGCCAAAGATAGCAATGGATGAATCTTTCAATTTCAGTTCTTCTCAGTTTCTCCTTTTTCTAATCTTCAGCTCAGCTCAAAACAGTTCCACGTCAATTTGCATTAGAAAAAAATCCTCCTCACGAAAATCTGCTAGCAATTAAGTGTGCATTTCCCCTACGATACAGTATGCATTGCCACATACAATTTTCCCTAATACATACGTTTTTGCAGTTTCCCCTAATGCAATGCATTTTGTGTTATTTTCATACATGCATGCAATTTAAGAAAAAAATGTATATCACTTAACTGTAAATAAAACCTTAAAGCAGTTTGCTAAGACTATAAAATATTCTCTTTTTAATGTGTTTTTATGCACCTTTCCTACTAATATACACAGTTTAATGCATTTCTAGGGGGTTGAGAACTGCATCTCAAAATGTGGAGAAGTACAAATTTCTAAGGTTTGTTACACAGAATCATAGAAACATAGAATTGTAGAGTTGGAAGGGACCTCTGGGTCAACTAGTCCAATCTCCTACAATGCATGACTCTCAACTAGATCATACATGACAGATGACCATTCAACCTTTGCTTAAAGACCTCCAAGGAAGGAGAGTCCACCTCCTCCTGAAGGAGTCCATTCTATTGTCCAACAGCTCATACCATCAGAAAGTTCTTCCTATGTTTAGTCGGAATCACCTTTCTTGTAACTTGAAGCCACTGATTCAAGTCCTAGCTCCTGAAGAAATGAGAAAACAAGCTTGCTCCATCCTCCATGTGACACCCTGTAGATATTTTAAAATGGCTCCCCTCTCAGTCTCCTCTTTCCCAGGCTAAACATACTCAGCTCCCTCAAAGACTTCCGGAGGTGGCGCCAACGGTAATGGCGGATTCCCTCTGATCCGGAGGGAACCTGCTCCACAGAAATCGGGTCTGACACCACTTCGGCACAGCGGGGACCCCTTAAATCACAGGCGGGTGAAGCCTGTGACCCTGGGACTCGGTGGGCACTGTCTGCACCCCCCCAATCTGCAAAGGAACCCGGCAACGGGCTCCGGAACAGAGCGGGGAAGTGGCGCTGTGCTGTGAGTCGTCTGCTTCTTCTGTGGAGTGAAGCCGCGCAGCTGTTGCCGGAGAGCGCTGCCTTTTTTCCTTGACAATTTGGCTTCGAAAACAACGATCCGTGAGTAGGATAACTTCGTAATTAAAGGAACTGTACAAAATTTGAAATAATTGGCTACCGAAGCGGAGAGGTATAAAAAGGAAGTCTGCCTCCCACTCTTGTAAATAGAACAAAGCACTGAACTTGAAAGTGGAAGCTTTAAAAGATGCGCAAAAGGATTACAATCCGATCATCTAACTGTGTTTTCCCCCCCTCAATTTGGGGGAGGAGGGGGAGAAGCTTTGAACGTTATTTCCCTAAGAAAAAGAGAGGAAGAGGAGACAAAAACCACCGTTGAAAACCCCCGGAACGGGTTCCCAGTGTCAGTAAGAAGCCTAAGAGAACGCACTGTCTTTGAACGTATTTTGACAGCTAGCTCTGCATCTGAAATACAACTTGGTTACAATATTGCTGATAGGTATCTCCTGGTCTTAAAGTAACAGCCTGAGATAGATTGTTATCTTTCTGGTGAATTGGGGGACTAAAGGGAGAAGTAAATTACTTTAAGAACTTTATGACTGTTACAGTGTCCCCCTAGTGGAATTTGGAACTAGTTACAACTGCAGCTGGCCTGAGGAAATCTCCCACAACAATTTCCTGGGAACTTTCCATTTCAAAACAACTTTGACTCTGACTGTGTGACTGACCTTGAGTTTTATCTTGAGGGTTATGGCAGATGGGAAAGAGAAGATAGATTTGTTACAAGCAACAAGGTCTGGCAGAGTATTTCGCACAGACGGTGGATTGCAAAGGAGGGCTTCGACATCTGGCCCCCCCGGAGTTCCAACAGCAACCTCATTGGCACAACCTAAAACTAAAGGTATGGAAAGTGACGATGCCCTGGCTCAGGCACTAGCTAAAATTAATGAATCTTTGGATAGAATAAGTAAACAAGTAGCCGAGGCATCGGATAAGATTGATCAAAATACGACAAGTATTAACCAAAATACGGCAAGTATCAATAATCTGGGACAGAAAGTAAATACTAACACAGAAACAATTCAGAAATTATTACAGGAAGCTGCTTCGACATGTAAGACTGCCGAAGAGGCTAAAGAAATCGCTACAGCTACTGCTACAGTGGTTCAAGAAAAGATACCACCGCTACATAAACAACTTGAAGACCATAAGTCAATTCTGTCTATGATCGAGTTGAAGGAGAAACAAGTGAACTTAAGGGTCAGGGCTGTACCTGAAGTGGAGAAAGACAATTTAGTTGAATTTCTTACACAGGAATTCCTAGATTTTTGGAACCCAGATTTGGGGAAAGATAGTTTTAAAATAGTGAGTGCTTTTAGACTTGGAAAAGGAGGGAGAAAGAACAGGGTGAGAGACTGTTTGATCACCCTCCGAACAAAAGAAGAGAGAGACAAGATTTTGAGTTTGCATTTCCAGAAGACTTTGGAAATACAACAGTCAAAAGTGGAGATATTCAAGGATATTCCGAAACATCTTCTGGACCTCAGGTTTAACTACAAAGACCTGGTTACCCTGTTGAGAAGCAACAGAATCATCTTTAGGTGGGAATTTCCTCAAGGTCTATCCTTTAGTTACAAAGGAAAGAAGATAAAAATAAGATCAGAAGACGACAAAGACAAATTTTGGAGAGACCACGGAGAAGACCTACAGAAGAGACAAATTGAAATTGCAGAGCTTTGAAAAATTAAAAAACAAAGTGCGAGACTGGCTTCATTATTATCAGATAATGGAGGCATACAATTTGGATAAGAAAATTGGCTTCCAGGTGGAAAAATCAAAATTAGAAACAGAACTGTTAGAACCCAAAACTAAGAATTTGTCAAGAATGTATAACTTGCTGCTGAAATGGAATACTCAGGATGAAACGGTGAAATCTGCTATGATTAAATGGGCACAAGATGTAGGACATAACATTATGTTTGCTGACTGGGAACAGTTGTGGACCACAGGTATGAAGTTTACGGCATGTAATGCCCTAAGAGAGAATATTATGAAAATGATATACAGGTGGTACATAACCCCAGTCAAGCTTGCAAAAATCTACCATTTGCCTGATAATAAATGTTGAAATGTAAAGAAACTGAAGGTACATTTTTCCACCTTTGGTGGACGTGCCCAAAGATTAAGGCTTTCTGGGAGATGATATATAATGAATTAAAAAAGGTATTTAAATAGACCTTCTTGAAGAAACCAGAGGCCTTTCTCCTGGGCATAGTCGGCCAATCGGTGTTAAAGAAGGACAGAACTTTCTTTATGTATGCTACAACAGCAGCAAGAATACTCATCGCAAAGTATTGGAAGACACAAGAGCTACCCACACTGGAGGAATGGCAGATGAAAATGATGGACTACATGGAATTGGCGGAAATGACTGGCAGAATCCGTGACCAGGGAGAAGAGTCGGTGGAAGAAGATTGGAAGAAATTCAAAGATTATTTACAGAAACATTGCAAAATTAATGACTGTTAGAGTGATGTTGGATTGAAGTTAAGTGGCTTCTAGCTGTACAGGCTTTAAAGCTATAAATATATTAAGATTAAGGATTAGGATTAAAAAGGTTAAAAGAAATGGAAAATTGGTTTTAAATAGGTAAAAATCTAATGTCATAATATATTAAGATTTAGGATTGGAATTAAAAAGGAGGGAAAGAAATTCCTGGACTTACAAACTGAATTGAAATACAAAAGAGGGAGGTATGAGGAAGTCTGGGAAACAAGTAAATGTAAAAGAAGTTATGAAAAGACGGAATTGTTTTTAACTGGTTTTTTTCTTTCTTCTTTTTTTATCTTTTTGTATTTTGTATTTTGTATTGTGTATTTTTCTCTGTTTTTTTTAAAAAATTCTCTTGTTTATTAATGTGATTTTATTCTTTCTGAAACTTTAATAAATATTAATTAAAAAAAATAAAATAAAATAAACATACTCAGCTCCCTCAACCTCCCTCACAAGTCTTGGTTTCTAGACCCTTTATAATCTTGGTTGCCCTCCTCTGTAGATGTTCAAGCATGTCAATATCCCTCATAAATGGTGGAGCCCAAAACTAGACACAGTACTCCAGGTGTGGTCTAAGGCAGAATAGAACGGTACTATTACTTCCCTTGTTTTGGGTAGGCTTGCGTTAAAATGCAAGCTGAACTGAATGAACCTACGACACTCCATATTTTGTTAAGTTACAATATCCATAATACTCAGTCATTGGCTATCTTGGCTTGGGATGATGGAGGTTGGAGTCCACAGTTTCCCAATCCTTGTAGAAGGGTCTGTTGTGACAGTAAGCCTCAATCTCTCAGTGAAAATGGGCCTTGCTCCACTCTTTTCTGCATGACTGTCTCACAGATAGAAAATCACAGCCAGTGGTGGAGCAAGCCCAGGTGGGGCCAACTGCCCCCGGGGAGGAGCAAGCCAGGGCTGGGCGCTCCACAGGGCCTCCAAGGAGTCTGCCTGCCTCCTCCCACTCAGCCGCCCTATAGTTTGGGCAGTGGACAGTTTGGGCAGCGGGGAGCCTGCGCTCGCCCAAGCCACCACGTCTCTCCCCGGAGAGAAGCATGGCTCAGGCGCGCTACAGGCCCCACGGTGAGTGCCGCCCGGCATTTTGCAACCCCTCAGTGGTGACACCCGGGAGCACCGCCCCTACTGCACCCCCCTTCCTCTGCCCCTGATCACAGCTACAATGCCTGCAGTGAGACAAACCACATTGTCCTCCCATCTTACTTACACCAGTCACTCACTACTGGAGGAACAATAAATGGAACATCTTTGCAGGTAGGGGAACTGAAAGAACCAAGTGTTTGTTGCTGTACAGTCAGGAACCAATGCCACACTCCCACTGTTTCTGTTGGGGGTGGGTCCCTTTGCAGCAGTCACAGCTGTAACAGCTATAGGGGAAGGGGAGAGACGGAGAGACGTTTACCATTTACATTGCTCTCCCTTTTGACTTAATGCTTATTTATGAAAATAATTTATAGACCACATTTTTATTTTTTAAAAACCTAGAAAGGAGGTGGACAGCATATAGAATTACAACGAGATAAATAAAAACACCAATAAAATGTGTCGAGAGAAACATAAGAAAAGACCTGCTGATTCAGGCCAGTGGTCCATCTAGTCCTGCATCCTATTTTTACAGTGGCCAACCAGATGCCTGTGGGAAGCCCAAAAGCAGAACCTGAGCGGAAGAGCACTCTCCCTCCTGTGGCTTCCAGCAGCTGGTATTCAGAGGCATTACGTCCACTGACAGTGGGCATAGAACTTAGCCACCAGGGCAAATAAGTACATATTCTTTGGCAAAAGAGCCCTGCCCACCTAGGAAATGAAAGAGCTGAACACTAGTTGTTGCATGTTTAGGGGCCAGTGGGGCCCATCTTAAAGGAGTCACAGCCATAACAGGAGTAAGCTTATTGGGTTTGTTGTGGCAATCAGAAGTTCCTCCACCCTGGCCATAGTATCTTGTCTGTCTCATTTACTGTCAGTTTGACGCCCAAGAACAGGAGATCTGATGGCAGGATAAGATACCACGTGAAATGACAAGATGGAAGATGTGGTTGGGCTCAGCCCTACTCTTATCTTTGGCCCATTCTAAGTTATATGGACTTGGTACACACACACACATTGTCCTGACCTTGATGACTGCTAATGTCAAGTTAGTTACAAATAAAGCACCTCTTCTTTGCAACCTTGTTTTGGTGCTACTTGGAAGGTGGTGTTCTCTTGTTCATTGGAGGCTTTTAAACAGAGGAGGGGTGGCCATCTGCCATGGGTTCTTCAGTGTTATTCCTGCATAGCAGGAGGTTGGATGAGATGGTCCTCTGGGTCCTTTCCAACTCTAAAATTCTATGATGCTAATGAGGGTTTAGGTGCATGGGGCTGTTGCTTTCCACGTGTCTTTCTCCTTGTGAAGGTACACAAATGGCAACTGCATTCACACAATCAAATCCTGGTTTGATAATATAGGAACACAAAGAGCAGCCTTATACTGAGACAGACCATTGGTCCACTTAGCTCAGTATTTTCCACACTGATTGGCAGTGGTTTGGCTTTCAGGCAAGTGTCTCTCCCAGTTCTATTTGGAGATGTGACCTTCTGCATCCAAGGTCTATGCTATACCAATGAGTTACAGCCCTTCCCCAGGGATCTGCACAACTAACTTGCACCCACACATAGTCCAGTTGCTGCCACTTTACTCCTTCCACTGCCCAAGTAATGAAACAAACCCAGAAACTTGACATGAGCCAACAGTGTGACGCGGCAGCTAAAAAAGCCAATGCAATTCTGGGCTGCATCAATAGGAGTATAGCATCTAGATCAAGGGAAGTAATAGTGCCACTGTATTCTGCTCTGGTCAGACCTCACCTGGAGTACTGTGTCCAGTTCTGGGCACCACAGTTCAAGAAGGACACTGACAAACTGGAACGTGTCCAGAGGAGGGCAACCAAAATGGTCAAAGGCCTGGAAACGATGCCTTATGAGGAACGGCTAAGGGAGCTGGGCATGTTTAGCCTGGAGAAGAGGAGGTTAAGGGGTGATATGATAGCCATGTTCAAATATATAAAAGGATGTCACATAGAGGAGGGAGAAAGGTTGTTTTCTGCTGCTCCAGAGAAGCGGACACGGAGCAATGGATCCAAACTACAAGAAAGAAGATTCCACCTAAACATTAGGAAGAACTTCCTGACAGTAAGAGCTGTTCGACAGTGGAATTTGCTGCCAAGGAGTGTGGTGGAGTCTCCTTCTTTGGAGGTCTTTAAGCAGAGGCTTGACAACCATATGTCAGGAGTGCTCTGATGGTGTTTCCTGCTTGGCAGGGGGTTGGACTCGATGGCCCTTGTGGTCTCTTCCAACTCTATGATTCTATGATTCTAACCTGCAGTAAAACCATGGCTTCTTGTTATGTGCTAATCAGAGAACTGGCTTCTAAACAAGCCAGAATTTGGAAACCAACTTTTATACCCTGGTACAAAGCTGGCTTCTGGATCTGGAATGTTTGGAAGCCATTAACCATAGTTCCCTGTTTTCATGTAACCATGGTTTCCGGTCTGTGCAAAGGAGGAACAAAGCTAGAGCAAAGGGGCTGGGAGTAGATGCATAGAGCTCAATCCCCAGATTTGATCATGGGAACCAAGGCAGGGCACAGCCTTGGTTGTGTGTGTGAATATATATTTCGGGTTGGGTTTCTAGGACAGTTTGGGATTATAGCTGCCCAGTGGGTGCCTGTGCGTTACATTGGATTGTGAAGCATCACAATGACTTCCATCCAGGCAAGATTATTTGCCCTGAGATGAACTTATCTCCTATTATCCACAGCTGAACACCAAACGGGCTGTGTAGAAGCTGTCAAATGGGAGCTCAGGTGCAGTGAATAGGTAAAGGCATGATATCAGAATAGTCAACATGGTACCCTCTAGATGTTGATGGACTCAAACTCCTGTCCATCTGAGCTAGCATGGGATGAGGGGAGCTGTAGTCCTGCAACATCTGGAAGGAACCTTGTTGTATGATCCGAAAAGATAGCACAGTGTATCAAGAAATGTAGGTACTTTAAACTCACGGTTCTGAAAAGGACACATCCTTTGATTCTGCATCCACGTCCGGTTCTGCCCAGTACGGCAATACACTTCCACAAGAATAGCGTGTGTAATAGTCATGTCAAATTTCTGAAGACAAATAAAAGCATTATTGTGATCATGATCAGTTATACTATCATTAGGGATGTTGGAAATAATAGTTGGAAAGGCTGCTATCTATAATTTGAACCCATCAGCTGGTGAGTCAAAAATACCTGATAGCTGTGCCACACCTGCTCACCCCACCACCCAGCTTCACAAGTTATAACTGGAAGTGGCAGTGGGTGAACGTGTCAGTTTTGGTTTCTCTCTCTCTCTGTTTCTCACTTTCCTAGTTCAGTTCTCCACATTTCTATATCACTTTCCTCCCCACCCCCAAAAAGCCTTCATGAAAATTAATCAGCACTTTAGTGTGAATTTATCCTAATACACACATTTTTATACATAATTTTGCTGAACATGCACATTTTTACAAAGCAGTTTCCTGTAATATACAGGTAATGCTATTTTCATGAATACATGTATAGAATCAAAGAATTTTAGAGCTGGAAGGGACCCTTAGGATCATCTAGTCCAACCCCCTGCAATGCAGAAATATGCATCTGTCCTATATGGGGATCGAACCTGCAACTGTGGTATTACCAGCACCAGGTGAGCTATCCCATTTCAGTTTGTGCAGTTTGTGCATTATTTTGGAAAGTGCAAATTAGGTTCATCTTTAAAAGTGAAGTTAATCATCATCATCATTCAATGGTGAGTTGCTTTAAACACTTTGTACTCTTTAGTAATTTTATGGGTTGTGATTGTAAGGCCCCTTAAGGACCACTCTCATTGCAGAAAGGCAGCATATGAATGTAACAGATAAATAAAAAATAAGACACATATCCCAGGGCTATTAGATTAGTTTTCAGGCTGCAGTATAGATCTATCCATAGAAGAATGGTGTGAGGCAGCTGTGGGGAATCTTTGGCACTCCTGATGTTGCTAAACTGCAACTCCCATCAGCCTCACCAAGCATGGCTAATGGCCAGGGATGATGGGTTTTGCAGTTTGGAAACATCTGGAGAGCCAGAGGTTCCCTGCACCTGATGTGGGAGGAATATCAGAGGAATGCTGCCCCTTTTTCCTCCCCCTTCCAATGAAGAAGGAGATAACCAAAACAACATGGAGAGAGGAGTAATGGTGGTATAACCTCTGGTTCCCTACATCCCAACAGTAAATAATTTTGAGTTATTCTCTGCTGCTGGGGCAGAAATGTCAACTTTATGGCACAGATGCTCACAAAGGGAAAACAGACTAAAATTGTAGCAGAATCTAGGGCAGGCATAGGCAAACCCGGCCCTCCAGATGTTTTGGGACTACAACTCCCATCATCCCTGAACACTGGTCCTGTTAGCTAGGGATAATGGGAGTTGTAGTCTCGGTGGGACTTCCGGGGTGGCGCCATCGGCAATGGCGGACTCCCTCTGAACTGGAGGGACCAGCTCCACGGGAATCGGGTCTTTTCCGCTACGGCGAAGCGGGGACCCATTCAAAAATCACAGGCGGATGAAGCCTGTGACCATGGGACTCGGCGGGTACCCTTAGCGCCCCTCCAACCCGCAAAGGAACCCAATAATGGGCTCCGAAGCGAAGAGGGGGAAGTGGCGCGGTGCTGAGAGTCAACTGCTTCTTCCGTGGAGCGAAGCCGCACAGCCGTTGCCGGAGAGCGCTGCCTTTTTCCTGGGACAATCTGGCTTCTAAAATAATCACCCGTGAGTACCTAAACTCGGATAATTGGACTCTAAATAAGGACTTGTGAGCAGAAAGGAAAATTGGACTTAAAAGTTCACCTTAATTTGGTGCTGAAACGGGAAGGTCTAAACAGGAAGTCAGCCTTCCGTTTCTCTGTAGATAGATTAAAGCAAACACATGGCAAACTAGAGCTCAGAAAATCGCCTGTAAAAGATTAACTTTCATCATTTAAAATTGTTGAACCCCCTTCAGAAGCAGGAGAAGAGGGGGGATTTTTCCGGACTGTTTAAACCTGCAGAAGTGAGGGTAAAGTAAAGTAACTTTCCACCGTCCTGATCCTGGAGCGGGGTGTTAGGACTGACGTTTTTTGAAGCTCATTGACCAGAGACAACGTTTTTGACAGATAGCTATAAGAAGAGAAACTTTGACTCCATTGTTCCCCTTCGCTTCTTAAAGGAACAAATATTGACAAAATATATGAAAAAGGAAACTTTTGTTGCTAGACTTGTCTTTAAAAGAAAGAACAAATAGAAGTTTTCCCCCTAGAGGGAGACTGTGAAACTGTAACTAACTCCGGGGAGCTGACAGCTGTTACAGATTACAATCGTGGGAACAGACATCTGACCTTGCAGGACAATGTATTCAGAAGCTCTGTTGTGTGCTTTCTATAAAACAAATGCCCTACTGGAACAGCTACATGAGAAGACGAATTTAATGGCTGATTCGATTAGAAATTTTGAACAGGCAGTGGGAAATTTTGAACAGGCAGTGGGAAAATATGTGGAGCCCACCCAGGAATTAAATCAGGAGTGTGCCTTGACAGAACAGGCCCAACAGGAACATGAGCTTCGGATTTGACAAATGAACTTGGAAAAAGCCAGATTTGGAAAGAAAAAGTTTGGTTTGGTTTGGAAATGGGGGGTTGGATAGACCCCCCTATGCAGGGATGTTTGGACTTTTCAAGTCTGGCAATGGGCCGTGAGATGTCTGGGATTGTGGGGCTCCTAATTTTGGAGGGATTTTGAAACATGTTCTTAAATACCACATGGAATTTAGTGTGGATTATGGAAAAGGGGCTGATCTGTCGAGAAGGGTCAAAAATATTGTTAAGCTGGAGTTCCCACGAGTGAAACGAGCAGGAGACAAGGGAAAATACAGATACAAATATGAAGAAGAGCTGCGGAAGGGACATGGAAGAGACTTAAGGGCCTCGGATATAAGGTTACCAGGTTAATGCGCTAGATCGATGGGATAACAAGGACTGACAAAACCCGGGACCAGGAGGAAGGGACGCTGGATGAAGATTGGATTGTTTTTATTTCTTTTTCTACTACTAGGATTGTTTTATAAAATTGATGAATGTTAGAAAAATGTTGGAATGAAATTACTTGGCTTTAGTAAAAATGCTTAAAGAATTATGTAAGAATATTATGGTTATGAGAAGTTGGTAAAAATAAGATTTAAGTTTTAAGTTTTAAGGATTTTTATAGTAAGATAAGATTAAAATAGTTTAAGGTAATGTAATGACAGAATTTTATGAAATATGGAAAGGATTAGCTGCAACAATTAACAACTAGGATACAAAAAAAAGGGAGGAGGAGGTCAAAGAAAGAAGGTAATGACAGTTGAGGATTTGAGAAGAATGGATTTGTTTTTAAATGTCTGCGGTGTATTTTTATTTTTTTAAAATTTGTATTGTGGGATGTGGTTTGTGTTTTTCTCTGTTCTTTCTTTGTTCTTTTTTTCGTAACTCTAATTTCCCCCCCCAATAAATATCATTAAAAAAAAAAAAAAGGGAGTTGTAGTCTCAAAACATCTGGAGGGCCAAGTTTGCCTATTCCTAATCTAGGGCATGGGTAGGCAAACTAAGGCCCGGGGGGGCGGATCTGGCCCAATCGCTTTCTAAATTCGGCCCATAGACAGTCTGGGAAACAGCGTGTTTTTACATGAGTAGAATGTGTCGTTTTATTTAAAATGCATCTCTGGGTTATTTGTGGGGTATAGGAATTCGTTCATTTTTTTCTCTCTTCAAAATATAGTCCGGGCCCCCCACAAGGTCTGAGGGACAGTGGACCGGTCCCCTGCTGAAAAAGTTTGTTGACCCCTGATCTAGGGGCACTTGAAATTCTATATTATTGCAGCAAATGTATTTTCAAACAATTATAATAAGAGCAACAAACAGCTTCTCCTCGTTAGCTAGCATTTTCTTATTAGATTACCCACCAAAACGTTCAGCTCACAGCTCCTGTTGGCTATACCTTGCAGTTGACATGTCTCCGGTCCTTTGTACCTGTCAGACCTGTAAGAAACAATTCCTGTGAGGTGCTCTGCTCCTCAAGCTTCACGTTTGGCGGCTGTTTCACACATTCTAGTTATATCCCGCTTGGACTACTGCAACGCGCTCTACGTGGGGCTACCTTTGAAGGTGACCCAGAAACTGCAATTAATCCAGAATGTGGCAGCTAGACTGGTGACTGGGAGTGGCCACTGGGACCACATAACACTGATCCTGAGAGATCTGCATTTGCTTCCAGTACATTTCCAAGCACAATTCAAAGTGTTGCTGCTGACCTTTAAAGCCCTAAACGGCCTCAGTCCTATATACCTGAAGGAGTGTCTCCACCCCCATTGTTCAGCCCGGACACTGAGATCCAGCGCCGAGCGCCTTCTGGCAGTTCCCTCATTGTGAGAAGTGAGGTTACAGGGAACCAGACAGAGGGCCTTCTTGGTAGTGGTGCCCGCCCTGTGGAACGCCCTCCCTTCAAATGTGAAGGAAATAAGCAGCTATCCTATCTTTAAAAGACATCTGAAGGCAGCCCTGTTTAGGGAAGTTTTAAATATTTAATGCTGTATTGTTTTTAACACTTGATTGGGAGCTGAGTGGGGAAACTCAGGCAGATGGGCGGGGTATAAATAATTTATTATTGTTGTTGTTGTTGTTGTTGTTGTTGTTGTTGTTGTAAGGCAGGGCATTGTGCATTACAGTAGCCCAATTGCGAGGTTAACCAAGACGTGAATCATAGCAACCAAGCCATTCCTGCTATGGCTTGCTCACATATGCAAGCCTTGACATGCTCTTGTTGTCAGGCAATAAACCATTATGTGTGATGAACCAAGTCAAGTGCTAAATGAATTCTTAGAGGTTAGGGAGGAGCTGCTATCTCCCAATATGCTTTTACAGATTCCAGCTGTCCTTAAAAGTACTAAAAGCACAGAGCAAATGATAAGGGATATTCAAAACAAGCTGGAACATTTCCTCAAACAGGTGGAGTAGCACAGAATACTGCAATAACTTTCAGAGGCAAACATACTGTAAATATTCTTTGCAATAACAGTCTTCTTTGGCTCTATCTGCACCACACATTTAAAGCAGTATCATATTAGTTTCAACAGTCATAGCTTTCCCCAAAGAATCCTGGGAACTGTAGTTTGTTAAGGGTGCTGAGAATTGGTAGGATTCCCCTCACAGAACTAAAATCCCCAGAGTTCCCTGGGAAGAGGGATCGATTGTTAAGCCACTGTAGCTCTGTAAGAGGAATAAAAAAAGGTAAAGGACCCCTGACCGGCGGCATAGGAAGGGGGGGCAGAGTGGGCGGGCCACCCTGGGTGCCACTGTGGGTGACAAGATGGCCCCTGCCTCCCCCCAGCCCCAGCCGAGGGCACCCACAGTCCGTATGGGTTGCCGCTCTCGCTCACCATCGCTCTCGCTCGCATCACCGCTCTCGCTCACCGTACAGGCATCCTTACGGGCTGCTGCTTTCGCATGGTGACTGTACGGGCTGCTGCAAGCGAGTGGCAGCCCATACGGACTGTGCATGTGCGGCATCCTGTACAGTCGCAGCACATGCGCTGCCCCGGGTGCTGGAGAGGGTTCCTCCGCCACTGCCCCTGACAGTTAAGTCCAATTGCAGATGACTATGGGGTTGAGGCACTCATCTTGCTTTACAGGCTGAGGGAGCCGGTGTTTGTCCACAGACAGTTTTTCTAGGTCATGTGGCCAGCATGACTAAGCCGCTTCTGCCAAACCAGAGCAGCACACGGAAATGCTCTTTAGCTTCCTGCTGGAGCAGTACCTATTTATCTACTTGCACTTTTGGGCATGCTTTCGAACTGTTAAGTAGGCAGCAGCTGGGACGGAGCAACAGGAGCTCACCCTGTCACAGGGATTTGAATCACCAACCTTCTGATCGGCAAGCCCAAGAGGCTTAGTGGTTTAGACTACAGCGCCACCCATGTCCCTGTAAGAGGAATAGGAAAAGGAGACTCCTAATAACTCTCAGCACCCTTTACAAATCACAGAACCCAAAATTCCTTGGGGGAAGTAATTGAAGTTTAGAGTGCTACGATACTGTTTTAAATCCATAGTGCAGATGGGGCATGAGCTAAAAGGCAGCACATGATCCTTAAAAACAAAGACCGAAGAGAGGACAATAGTCCTAATAGACCAACAAGGCTGTTCTTTATCATTCATAAATATATTTCACTCATTACTCACGTTGACTCAAGTCGAACCTCGAGCTGACATTGTGCTTCAGTGATATTTTTCATCGGGATCCAAGTGCAAGAGAGAATCTCCACTGAGTCATAAAAGCAACTGAGACTCGAGGAATCTGTTAATGAAAAGGTGAGGCTAAATAGCATGGAGTTTCATTTGATGCTCTGTGAAAAATACTAAGATAGGTTATTCTGTTTGGGGAGTATAAGAATGGTTTCACACAAGCTCAGAGAATTACTTTCATTTTGGGGCATCCCATTTGCCTTTGGCTGACCTTTGTGGCCCACCTGGACCTTGAATACAGGCAAGGGCACCATCTTTTCCAACCAGAATTCCCTTGTCTTTGCCCACTGAAAACTGTTTTTAACATTGTTATGAGGTGGTTTCCCCCCCCCAGGGGGGGAGCAGGAGGAAGTAGGCTGTATGTAGAGGCCCTCTTAACCTCTGGTGTTAAAATATAGCCAGGCTAGCTTCCTGTTGGGGTGATAGCCCGGGTTATGGGCCATTCAGGGAAACAAAGGAAAGGAGTTCTGTATGAGATGGCAAATGGGTGGGGTCCCTCCTTCAACTCAGAGATAGTTAGAAAGATGAAGCCAGAGTCTGGAATTGAGTGGCAGTGATGTGAGCCAGAAGCAGAGCAGCAAGCCTGAGCAACGTTTGATTTCTGTTTGAATCCAAGGCTGCAGCTATGGGAGAAACAAGACTCTCTGGTGGTGCTGAGCAGCGTAGCTAGCCACTCGGGTGCCTGGTTCAGGGGCATGTCCTGCAGCTGGGGGCCGGGCGATCTGCCCATGGGGGTGGGGTGAGCCTCTCCAATGCTTGGAGCCTCTCTGCCGGCTCCCCCTCAGTTGTAGGGCGACTGAGGGAGAGGCAGTAGGCAGACGTAAGTCCCATGCTGCCATTTCAGGCAGTGTGGAACCTGCAGGTGCCTAAGCCCACCACATCACTCCTAAAAACATTTGTGAGCCCCCCCTTTTAAAACTCATTTTGTCACCCCCCCCTCAGTGATGACACCTGGGGCGGTCCACACCCCCTGCACCCCCTTCCTCTGCCACTGGGGGTGCTAATGCTGTGAGACCCTTCCATCATAGGCTCAGGTTGTATATTTGTGCAAATAAACCGTATATCATAAAGACCCCACAGTCTCCACTATGCCTCAATCCAAGAAGAAACACAAACTCTGGGTGAGCACACTGCTCAGAGATTGGGGTGGTGTGCAACAATATGCTTCTCAAAAGGGCTTGTTAGAGACATGTACAACAATTTCATCTATTTATGATATGGTGCTACATGCACCCCAATCTCTAAGCAGTAATGGAAGTCGGGGTCTCTGTGCAAACCTTGGGTATGGTTTCCTTGGTAGCCTGTGGCTTCTTCATGGTATATGTATAGATATGTATTTACACATACATACAAACTGAGCATAAGGTTCAGAGTATTAACACTTCAGCAGCTCTCGGTCCCCCATTAGGGTTCTGGTGGTCACCAAAGCTACTGCTTTGGATTTTCACAGAGAGCATATCAGGCTTCTATGTATTCCCAACTCCAGCTGCAAGAGGAGACTGGCTTTTATTCATATACACACAGCCAAGAGAGTCACACTATAGCACAAGAGGGACCTTCCAGATGTGGTAACCCTAGGGAAGTGTTGAACAAAAATGAATAAATTGGAATGATGTGTAGACGGTTCTGCATAATGCCACCACTAATGCAATATTATTGTGTCAATGACATTTTGCAACATACATCTGCAAAACCCCACACAAGCCTGCAGGGGCTGTATATGAGGGCACATTATACTCAGACAGTAACCTTCCTCCAATTACTTAGGGTGTTCACAGGACTTGCCTTCAAAATAATTCCATTCATGTATCCTGCAAGGGAGATAATATATGCATGCCACAACAGAAGCCCAAATGTTACTTTGGCTCCAATTATATTATATGGTGATACAACTCACAGTTTATTATTCTGCCCGTTATATGCTGACCCATGAGAAAAATGGTTAGCATTCATCTTTCTACAGTAGGTGGATCAAACATCTAACAAGATTGTGACAGAGTGATTATTAGATAAACCAGTTTTATAGAACTTATTATATGGTGCTGTCATTTGTCACAGGTGCCAAGAAATCACATGCACATTTTTAAAAATGCATTTTATTAATGGCTTTTATGGAGCTTAGTTACATGAGCAGTGAATATAGTAGATATGGATTTTATCAATGACGTATTTTTGAATGCTATTGATGTACATCATATATTGTCAGTTGTTAATTCTGCAGAATGAATTAAGTGATGTTTGCAAAGGCCTTTGGCTATATGCAATGAATTTTATTACTATGGTGGGGTGTTTGGGGCTTTTCCACCTTCAAGGAAACCCTTCCCACATTAACTGGACTGCTGAAGAACTCCTGCTGTGGAACTTCAGTGCATAGCAGAGAATTTCAGGGCCTGCCTTCTGGCACATTTGGGGAAACCTAAAGAAACCACTCTTTGCATATTCTGATACAAATCAGTCTGATCCTCACTTCCCTGGCCAGCGTGTGGATTGGAATAAAGCTATCCAGCTCACTTTTCTGAAGGCTGCAACTCAGTTTTCAGTTCAAAAAGGGATATCAAAATAGGTTTTGAAATGTATATTTTGAGATAAAATACATGTTCTATAGCTAGTTAAATTAAAAAAAAAATGTTGTGTTTTGTTTTTAAAGATTTGTAGCTGTTAAGTTGTGGGTGAACATATCAGCCGACACAGCGATTCTTCAAACAGCTCTTGTTTATTCACAGGCCAGAACAGAACTGAACTGAAGGGTTCAGCCAGCCTGCTTATATAGAGATCAACTACAACGCAACAGTAACCATTTTCTGTAACTATCCAATCACTGAACATCATTTTCAATCCCTTATTTGCATATGTGGACCTGAGTGAAAATTATCTACAGTATCCCCCTGCTGGTCCAGGGTGAGAACTTCAGTACATAACAGTAGCTTAATGTGAAATGGATTTATGGGGGAACACAGTAGAAGCTGTTGTAGTGAGGCAGAGCCATTCTTCCAACATCAGTGTCACTGCTGCTTACCTGGAGAAGGCCCAGATGGGGCAGGCTGCCAACATGGTGCAGACATATCGGTGAATGCCATCAAGATTGACAGAATGTAGAGCAGTGCTGGAGGGCTGGTCTTCATGACTGCAGAGTGAAACACTGATGGAGAAAAAGTGGCAATCAAGATGGAGTCTCAACAGCAAGCATACATATTCCCAGTGCTATTTTTTCTAGAACTCACCATGAACACCTCCCTCATTCTCTTAGAGCGGCAATGGCACCCACCTGAGAGGTGCCAAAACTGAGTTCTGGTGAGTTCTGACTGCGAAAAAGCCCTGCATGTTTATTTGCTAGGGACCAGTCCTACCATTAGGCAGCATGAGGCAATTGCCTCAGGTGGCAGGTGCAAGGGGGCCACAGCCCTCCTGGCTATTCCTCTTTAATCTCCTGTCCATTCCCCTCTGTTGAAGATCAGAGCTGGGACTCTACTCAGCCTTTTCAGCTCTGCTGGCTGTTCCACTGTCAGTGTAGAAGTAAGATTTATCTGCCAGTCCAGTTCCCTTCTCTAAATTGAATGAGGTGACAGCGTCAGTCTGCTCTTTGCCTCGGGCAACAAAATGTCTTGGTGCAGCTCTATTCTCTGTGGAAGGGGCTTGACACACACACACACACACACACACACACACAAACACAAACACACACACATGTTAAACAGATGTGAAACAGCAAAATACTATGGCCCATACTTTCCTTGGGTTTTCCCTTGACCCCAGTTTATCAGAAGATGACATTACTCCATCTATTAGGTCAATGTTCATATATCTCCTTTCCTGGTTGCATTTCTCGGTAATTACAGACTAATCAGCAGTGATGACATTTAAACTTGCAGTGGAAGATTTCACAATCAAAGGCTGACTCAGAATGCCTGGTTCAACACTGCTAAGAGCTGTATTCTCACAGGGAGCAAGTCATGTCTGTGTCCCTTTTGGACTTAGGTCCAGGACTCCTGCGTATTTATTTCATTCACAAACACTGATCTGTTGACATAATATCCAGCCAGGCAATCCTTTCTAAAAAGATCTCTTACCATTTGTTACACTTGGCCATCTCCTTAGTTACTCAAAAGCCCAGCATTCCAACAAAATGGAATCTACAAGGCTAACCTTGTTGAATTGGTTTGACCTCCTTAACCATCTCTTTTTACAACCAATTTCATAGGTCGGGTGGTGGGAATAGAATTATTGAGAGATCATTCAGAAGCCCCCAACCCATTATAATATCCAATACAATTATAATACAGTATAATTTATTTATACACATGTCATACCATTTTCTTTACATGAAAGCATGATACCCACAAGCATTAGTGGAACTTGTTTTATGAAGAGAGGAGAGGTGTGAACAAAACTTCGGTTCCTCAAAGAACTGAGCCCATGGCTCATTTGTAAAATGAGTACCGATTTCAAAGAGATAAGAATCAGAATGTAAGAACTGGCTTCCTAGATCACACACAGGTCTAGCCTAGCCTAGCCTCCTTCCTTTAGATGTGGCCAGTCAGATAAGCAGGGCATGCTGGAGTTGGCGATATTCCACCGTTTGTTCCCAGCGCCTGGCGACCATACTGCTTCTGAACCCAAAAAAGCCATTGTTTGCCAAGATGGGTAACAGACATGAACAGATTTATCCTCTATGAGTTTATCAAAGTCTATGCACATGTATATGGGAGCAAAGGCCTTTTAGTTGGGTTTCCTTCCAAACAAGCATTCCCAGGCTTGTGCTGTCATCTGTTTTTGAGACCTCAGGTCATTCTGATAGGGTGACAATGTGTTCTTACTTTACAAAGGAGAGTCCTGCATTGGAAGAACTTCAGGAGACAACCCCCTGTTTGTAGGGCTGTCTAGTCCGAATCAAGCTTAAAGATAAAGAAGCATAAGAAGAGAGAACAACAGCCTTGATCATAGAATCATAGAATTGTAGAGTTGGAAGGGACCCTGAGGATCATCTAACCCAATCTCCTGCAATGCAGGAATATGTAGTTTTCTCATATGAGAATCGAACCTGCAACCTTGGCATTAACAGCACCATGCTCTAGCCAACTAAGATAGCAACGCAGTTGGCACATGGGCAGCAGACTGAGCAAGCATACAGGTCACCTGGACATAGTCCTCCAAGCTATGGTGAGATGTATTAGATTATCATATTTCTGAATCTCCATTTATACATATAAACAGGGCTTTTCTTCAGCCAGAACTCACCAGAACTCAGTTACGGCACCTCTCAGCTAGGCGCCATTGCCGTTATAAGAAAACAAGGGAGGAGTTCATGGTGAGCTCCAGCACCTCTTTTCTAGAAAAAATAGCACTGCATATAAACTATACATGCACACTTTATGCAAATCTGTATCCTCTTTTTTTGGGGGGGGGGGGGTGACGTGTAAGTGGTCACCCTACATTAGCAAGAAAGGGGGTGAAAATTATCCCCAAGAATTCAACCACAGTATGTCAGGAAGCTTGAGCATTCATCTACCCAACTGGTATTCAGTCAAAGTTCTGACTAAGACCCCTTGAAATAAATGGATAAAATGAATTTTGGTTAGCTTAAGTCTCAGTATTTCCAATGGGATGTGCAGTGCAATCGTACACATTATTTACTCAATGAGGTTTACCCACTAGCAAGTGGGGGACCTAGGTCTTTGCAGGGGTCCCATGAAGTTAAGAGCCTTTGGAGATGGGACCAACTGCGCGGCAGGTCTCCTTTTGTGCGTTGCCACAATAATTAAACAAGCACTCTCAGTCATGCTGAACCTGTCAGATCAAAAGCTCACTTGAAAAGCTTTTCTCTCTTTAAGTCATCCCTGTGCAGAGAACTGTTTAATACCTATGTACTTTACCTGACTGCAAAATGGTGCTCTTCGTCTCGCAGTCTCATGAGTCAGGATGGAGTTGCCATCCCAAAGGCTGATTGCCCAGTATATGAGGACAGCTGGTCTGGAATTCAGCCTGCTGCAGTGAGACCCCTAGCCTACAGAGTAGACCGTTGATGGCATCGGAAAGGCGCGAGTTGTCAGCAGACAGCGAACTAGCTCCCTCTCATACTCACTCATTTCTGGTACTTACTCTCTGACACAGGAAACTGCAGCTCCTTTGCCATCTCAGAGCGAGATGAGGCCCTGAAGTATCAATAGGGCTTGCAAGGCCAACAGTGAGAAAGCCCCAGACCACACCACATCCCACTTCCTGATTCGTAAAGGTGATGTGTACGGGTGGGGAATCGAGTGTCAAAAAGTGTCGAGCATAGAGTAGACTGAAATGATTGATAGATAAGAGACAGGCCTCTCCCCCCATAGCCCCCCTGTCAGCCTTGCATGGCCCTGGCAAGGGAGAAGGAGCCTCAGTCATACCCTAAACATGAGTCAAAGGCCTGGAAGCCCTTTAGCTGGGCTCACTGCCAAGACAATACTGTCCGGGGGCTCTGGAGGACTTCTGCCTCAAGCCTTTGTCCATCCTTGATCAGGTCAAATGTCCATCTAGTGGTTGTGGCCAACTACATGCCTCTGGGAAGCATGCCCATAAAGTACGGTGCTCCTGGCCGTTCCTTTCTGTTTGTCCTAGGACCTAATAATCAGACAATGTTCCTAACCATCTGAGCAGTTGAGCTCTTACTAAGCTGCCTGGGAAGGTTGAGGTTGAACATTTCCAAGAAGAGTCTAATGTTTGTTACATAAGGTTTTAAAGGGTGTGGGGCTCTTGTTTTTGTGTGATTCAAGGACATACATCAAGAAGTGTCAGCACTTCAAAAGACACATATGCAGGTGCGATTGACTGAGTCAGTTCTGAAGCCGGGGCTATCCCCATTTAAAAGATCTGCACAAAGAGGTTTTGCAATGACTGGTTCTGTTTACCACTTAGCCAGTCAGCTGCAGTACTAGGACCAGAAGATCCCAGGAGTTTACGCATGCACATTGTTCATTGCTTGAGAAGTGCATTGTCAACTGAGGGGTTTTGCATGTGTGAAAGATCCATCACAGTTCAAATGGCCACAGGGGCTATCAGCCAAGAGGCAAGGCAAAAAGAGAATAAAAACACATCACTTGTAGCCATAATGTCCATATCATCTCCAACTCAGGCCACATCTGCACCACACATCTAAAGCACTGGGCTTCTGGGTCTTTCACAGTGCCTCAGAGCAGCTGATCAGACAGACCCTCACCACCTCAAGTGGGAACTCCCCTTCAGCTGCATGTGAATTCTCCATTTCTCCTTTAAGGCTGGGTTTGCTGCTCTACTTGCTACTGAAGCATCAACTTAATCTGCTCCAAGAGCACTGCTGTTCCTTCCTCCATTTTAACACTTAGCTCACAGGTCTTCTCCCAGGAAACAATATTCCACTTCTAATGTCAGTGCTATGTGTGCCCTAGTCTCTGAGTGGTGAAAGACATCATGGGTGCTAGTGCTTACCTCAGCTTCAGTTTCCTTGAAATTAAAGTCACTGGAGCTGTGGTGTCTTTTAGATATATGGTTTTATTTATGCATATATATAAGCTGACTTGTGGTATTAATGTTCCAGCAGCTCTTGCTCTCCCATTAGGTTTCCAATGAGGCCCCCAAAGCCATAGCTTTGGTTTCAGTACAGGGAGCAAGTCAAACTTCTGTGTCTTCTCAGCCACCAGCTCCAGATGAGACTAGCCCAGACTAACCCTTGGCTTATCGTTCTTTATGGCAACACATCTGTATTTGGCCAACTCTTTAGACATGTGAAAAAGGCGCTTAGCAGGCTCAGTTGGGGTCATTAAATGAACAAAGAGACTGGTCTGACTACTGCAGCTGTTCCTTATACTACAGACTCCCATCTTACAGATATAAAACCACAGGCCTGGAGCAGACCCAAAGAGACCATTGAAAGCAACCCGCAAACCTATAGCTTTATAATGAAGATGATTTCAAATTACAAGGTCAGATGTTTTGGACAGCAGCTTCTGTCAGACTGTGCTATACAATGATTTTTAAAAGGTAAGAAAAAAAGCACTAACTATAGGCTCATAATTGGGGAAATAAAAGTGAAAGGAGAGTCAGGCTGCAATTCTATGCTCAGAGTCAGTCCCACCGAAATTGGTGGGACTTACTTCTAAGCAAGCATGTATTCCGTGCATGATTATTCAGGAAAAGCCAGACTGAAGAGATGTATTCTCAGTAGAGCTTTGAATTTATTGCACAAACATGCCCATAAAGATAGAGACCAGAAGTTGCCCCTCTGCACACTGCAAACCGGATAAATTGTTGCAGGCATTACACACATGCTGCAACTTATTGCGTGGACAGGCGGAGTCCCCAGATCCCGAGCGGTCCCCCCCCCCATCATGTGGAATAATGACTCAAGACAACGTGCTATGGGATTAAATTGGCCACAACTATATTAAATTTCAAATGTGGGTAGACCTTGGCTCAGGCATTGGGTGTTCTCCCTCCCCAGTCCCCAGCCGGAGACCTAGGGAGCTTCAGGGTTATCCAGTGTGTGTGTGGGGGATGGGCCGGCTCTGGAGAACATATGTTCAAGCAGAGATAGCCGCCCCCGTTACCCCACCGCCGCAGGGGAGAGCAATGACGACCTTTCGGCGTACGGTCAAAGCCTCCCTTCAGAAACCCCTTTAACAGGGAACCCTGGTATCGCTGCCGCAAAGAGGAAGATGGACTAAAGGATTCCGCCCAAGGCCTGATACCACCAAAGTTGTGACGTTTTGCTACGGGAAAGGCGAAACCTGCCAATACAGGGAAATTCCTTTCCAGTCCTTTAACAGCGACCTTAATGTAGCAGCGCCCACATACCTGTGAAGAAAAGTTACCTGTAAAACCAATGAAGAAAAGTTAACCTGCAAAGAAGACATTAACTGAGGGTGGGTAGGGTGGGAGAAGCTCTGGAGCCAAGTGAGGATTCCCAGGTAAGATCATCCCTCTATTGTGTGGGCAGGTAATCCCTCCCCTACCTGGCCTGGTCTCCTTGGCAACGCTTCCCCAGGTGGGATTGGACAACTGACTGAGGTAGGCGGAGACCTCCAGGTATCCCACCTGAGGGAAGGCAAAGCCAAGCCTATGCTGATGGGGCCGCTCCAGATCCAGGGCTGCGCGTGTCCACGCAAAGGTCGCCCCCCGTTTTAAGCGGGGAGCGGTCATTATATAGGCTGCAACAGAATGCTTCTTTCAAAGTTAATTCCACTGAGGGGAGAGGATCCCTGGGGACACCATGGTGGGCCTTTGGGGACACATGCGTACCCATAAGCACCACATTGGTAACCCATTATATAGACATATATCAGACCTATACATGCCCATCCCTAAATGTGCTTCTTGCCCCTTCCCTGAAAAAAAGAAACCCCTAATTTCTCTGCAGTTCTGTTTGTACTGGCTCATCCCACTTTTGCAAGGATTTTGGAAGAGCCAATAACACAAGCACCCTGAGATACAGAAAATGCTTCCCCCCTCACCTTCCAAACGTGAGACAGAATGGTCCTCACAGAGGTATGTTCACGCATAGCAGTGCTTGTACATTTATTTTTTGGTCCCACTCCCTCCAACAGCGATCTTGGTTGGTGAGTGCCAATAGGACTGCAGTAAAAACAGAGCCACTGTGAAATGCAAGGGAGGTATTTGCATGTGTATAGGAACCCTAAGCTTTGCAGAAGTAGGAAAGGTTTGGGGAGGGGGTTAAGGGGCAAACTCCACCCCCCAACTGCCCAAAGAGTACTGAGCATGCTCGGTGACCATAGAATACTGTCATGGCTTCCCCTGAATAATCCTGGGAACTGTAGTTTATTAAGGGTGCCAAGAATTGTTAGAAGACCCCATTCCTCACACACAGCTATGATTCCCAGAGTGGTTTAATAATCAACCCCTTTTCTATGAAGAAAACTGTCTTGTTGCCCTCAGCCACCCAGTGCAGGAGAAACTGAAAAAACTACAAAGTGGAGGCTTTTTAGCACCGGTAAAAAACGGTACTTCTTGGATGGGCGTGGCATCAGGCAAATGTTGTATTTGCATTGACCCAAAGCCATTGAACTGAACACTGAAGAGATGTTACTACCCTCTACTCACAATAGATGGCATATTGCCATAACTTTCAAAAACTAGAATCTTTACAGTCTGAGACACAGAAAGGATTTTGGCATGCAAGACTAGACGAAGACTTCCGGCTGCTTATTACCTTTATAACATCTTTTGGATGGCTTTGTATACCAATGGGGATTAGGAGAGCACCATATGTGTTTCAGAGGAGACTATCCCAAGCACTGAGAGGGCTTCTGGGAGTGAAAATAAGAGCAGGTAATAATTGTGCTGCTCTCCTTCAGTATTTTGGATTGCTATGCAGAGTAGCCAACTGACCAGAATACACACCTGCTCTTGTGCCTTTAGCACCAGCTCGATGTGCAGGACCTAGCAGGCAAAGCTCTGCAAGCTGTGCAAGGCACAGGAGCAAAGTTGGGTTAAAAGCAACCCTTGCAACCCTGTGGCTATGTTTATGCATTGTTACTTAGCATTTCCAGGAAGCTCTTTTCCATAGAACAATTGTTTCAAATTGAGCGCAACTCAGCAACAATACGCACCACTGCAGTTGCAGCGAAAACCCCCAAATAAGGACCTGTTTAGACTCTGATGGTGGCATCTATTCATAACCACCTCGCTGGACAGCCTCCTTAGGCTCTTTGGACCTTGCAGTTGTTCACAGTCTTAGAATCCTCCCGAACCTGTGCTGCATGAAACTCCTTTCAGAAGTGATGTGACTCAGATTCTGAACCCACCATATCAAGGAACAGAAACCCGGGAGCTCCTCCCCCCCCTTATCATTGGCCTTTAATTACCAGCATTCAGTATATCAAAGAGCTGAACATTATTTGATAAAAAATATGCTAGAAACCTAAAGATCAACTTCACAGCCTGGCAAAGCTGGATGAGAACAATAAGTGCTCAATTTGTGTGAGATTGTCTGCTCCATAGTTATGGCCACCATCTTGGATGGCTTTAATAATAATAATAATAATAATAATAATAATAATAATAATAATTTATTATTTATACCCTACCCATCTGGCTGGGTTTCCCCAGCCACTCTGGGCAGCTTCCAACAAAATATTAAAATACAGTGGTC